AGAACACTTTCAGCCATAAACTCACCCCGCATTCCAACATCCGTCAACCAAGAGTATATCACAACAACATGTATTCATCCGCAATCACCCTGTCTTCATTCCTGGACCGAAAAGGGAAAGACAAAGAGATTCTAGCACCGAGAACGGCGATACCGGCCAATGATGCGGAGACAAAGCTCCCAGCTCTCGGAAATTCCCTCCCGGATCATCAGGTCTGTATGACGGACAATCCCTAAAATTAACTTCCGATCCATTCGCCTTTCGATCGGCTGCCACGTTTCCGCTTCTGTTCTCGTTGCGCCCGATGATGAATCATGTCCCCTTCCCGCAGATATGATCTCGACTATACTCCATATACTGCGGCCTGATGCCCAAGCCATCGTTTCGTCTTTCCTGATTCATGATTCAATTGGTAATGAGGCTTTCAGCCCAAAACCGCCGCTCGACGGGATTGGCTCTCGGACAAAATGTGGCTTTGAATGTTCCTTGACCCTCAAGTACGCTTTAAACAAGCGAGTGAGTTACTTGTCAAGGGCATCTGGGCATAGTCTCAGGCGGTGTACTATATATCGTCTCCAAGACTGATGAGACAATGAGTTTTATCAGGGATCTCAGCCCTACCGGAGTGATAATGCTGATAAGATGTCTTTCATCAACTACAACAACATTGTCACTATCCTGGATAGGACGGAAGTCAGCGGACAATTGTCCGCTAGCGATAGCGGCTCTTATCAGTCCGCATGGACTTGCCGTTTTAAGCTAGTGTTGCCACCCGTCAGTTCACGCTTCGATAGCTTACGATGGTGGATGGCGGATGGCTGCATGACCCTAACATGCAGATATGCTTATTCGTGTCTGCTGGGAAATAGCTACTATATGAATATTCTACAACCACTGGTCGATACCACCACCACATAAAGTGGATACTAAAGGTAAGTAACACATGCCGTGGCATAGCCTAAAATGCCGATGTCACATCACCTTCGTGGTTCTTGAACAATTAACTCAGCAGAAATGTATAGCATTCTTCTTATCTCCATTGTGTATTGTATTCAATTACTATTCCAAATGTCGGTTCCATTTTCTTGGAATCTATCCTACATATTCTTATCTGTGGAGAAAATGGAGCATGATACATAGTATTGATGTGGCTCACTCGAGAAAGTCCTGCCGAGGGCGGTGCCATTTGTGGATCTTTCACGGTTCCGCCCCCCGCAAAAAAAAAACGAAAGAAAATGACCAGAGTTGATCGATTATATGACCAACATTGGTTGACTGCGTGACCAATTCCTACTGTGTCCACTCAATCTAACTTCCGTAGAGTCTACCATTGGCTCGATCCACCCCCGGCTTTATATGTGCCCCGTATCTTTCCTGGGGAAGAGAACGCGACACTGATACTGCATGGTCCGTGTGTGAGGGGGCGATTGTTCACCGCGGAATTCCGTCTTGTGAGAGACAGAGATACACTTATAACCCCAGGATACCAATCTCAGAAGGCTCCCTTCTCTTCTCCTGACCCAGCTTTGGCAGAAAATGGGCGTATCTCTTACTCGCCTCTACGCTGAATTGATCTTTATTGCCTCAGGTTGAAGTACGATGGACGTTGAAACAAATTCGCTTCCCCTTAAGCCACCCATCGAAGATGAGCAGGATGTGCAAGATGCGACCGACCTGGCTGCGATGGGCCATGCCCAAGCGCTAACACGCAAATTCAACATCTGGAGCATGCTTGCTCTGGCTTTCTGTGTTCTCGGTATGCACCATCTTCATAATCCCCTGCAGGTGGCAAGCAACGAGGGTCGCCACCTTGGGGTATCTTCTTCCAACACGCTGACCATATTCGATTCCTAGGAACATACTCGACCTTTGCTCAGGATTTGAGCAGCGGTCTCTCCAATGGTGCTTCCATCACCATTCTCTGGGGCCTGGTGTTGGTCACGGCCTGTAACCTCTGTGTCGCCCTCTCGCTAGGTGAATTAACCAGCAGTATGCCTACGGCCCTCGGACAGGCTTACTGGGTCTACCGTCTGTGGCCCACCCCGCTCGGTCGTTTTGTTTCATACATGTGCGCCTGGATCAACACGTTCGGATGGTGGACATTAACCGCCTCGCAAGTCGCCTTTATGACCGAGTTTCTGTTGGGCATGAAGACGATGTTCAATCCTGACTGGTCCGGTGCTAGTCAGGGGTGGCTCAACTTTGTCGTCTTTATTGGTGTAGTCTTTCTTTTGACTGCAATCAACGTGGTTAGTTGCCGCCGAGAGCAGATCTTGCCGTGGATCAATAACTTCGTCGGTGTCTGGTTTGCAGGGCTTTTTGTCGTTCTATCGATGGTGATGCTTATTTGCGTCGGCGTCAAAAGCGATCTGAAATTCCAGCCTCCATCTTTCGTGTTTGGTCAATGGATGAATGAGACCGGATGGAGTGATGGTGTCGTCTGGTTCACCGGTCTTGTGCAGGCCGCGTATGGTTTGACGGCCTTCGACTCCGTCATTCATATGGTGGAAGAGATTCCTGCGCCGCGAAAGAATGCTCCTCGTGTTATTTGGATGGCGGTATTGTTTGGCGCTATCACAGGATTTATCTTCATGGTAGTCTGCCTGTTCTGTATTCAGAACGTTGATAACGTCGCCGGAGCCGACCTCCCATTTATGGAGCTGATGCTTGAGACCGTTGGCCTGAAGGGCGGTGCTGTCTTGATTGCCCTTTTTATCTTCAACGGCTTAGGACAGGGAATCAGCGTTTTAACCACCGCCTCTCGGTTGTCATGGGGGTTTGCTCGTGATGGTGGCCTCCCTTGGAGCCGATACTTCAGTCATGTCGACCCTGTCTGGCAAGTCCCTGCTCGAGCTCTCTGGGGCCAGGGTGTCATTATCGCCATTGTTGGTATCTTGTATCTGTTCGCCAACACCGTGCTCGAGGCCATCCTGAGTGTCAGCACTATTGCCTTGACCGTCTCGTATGCCATGCCCATCCTTGCGCTGCTCATTACTGGTCGTGACAAGCTGCCTCCCGGGCCTTTCCGTCTTGGTCGCTGGGGCCCCTGGTTCAACTGGGTCAGTATTGTCTATTGCATCATCACGACCATCTTCTTCCTATTCCCGGGTGCTCCAAACCCAGCGCCTAGCGACATGAACTACGCCATAGCCGTATTTGGCGTCATGTTGGTCATCGCGGTCGCCTTTTGGTTTATTCGAGGCAGTCGAACATATCTGCAGACAGAAGATGCAATTGCCCAGATGGTTTATGCCCAGCACTTGGAGGACTCCGGATCCCCTGTGCCTACACAGGAAGCAGAAGTTGGCTTCAAGTAATGCCCAGCCCAGTTGTGTAGATCACTACTGCTTGGCACATGCAATATGTACATAATATTTTGGATGTGTCCTTTTCGCATCCCTGTTTGGATGTTTAAGACCAATCATAATCAATCAAGTTCTGATGAATATTTGATCCGAGTTGCATAGTTACTAGAGCACTAACTAGTATACTAATTACTACTACTAATACATCTTTCGGGAAGTTGACTTCAAGTTGGGAGTCATACTATCTTGGCACGAGTCAACTCAATCTTGGGCCGGTTCAAGATCGATATCCACATCTCCTTTTTAGAATAGCTCATGGGCAATTGTTCTGCCTGGATTGACTGCCTACTAGCAGTAGTACGTAGTGTCCATTCATGTCATAATGTTACTTCCGGTACCCAGGTGATCGTGTATTCCGTACTGATAGGCACTTGAGAGCGTAAGCCTACCGCCGGACTCCGTATCAACAGGACAAACTGGATTTCAATTAACGCCATGTCTTGCATAATCCGTCGGAGACCAGATAACTGCCTGCCTACGTGAGCACAATCTCGAGCAAGGCGTGATTCTAAATAATAGATTGAATAATGACCAATGCCTTCGCATAAGTTTCACAGTTGGACGGAACGCAGAATTAGTTCCCGTCTATTCGATACGCAAGTCGCCCTGGCTTCGAATTACATACTCCGCAGAAGCTCATGCTGGTCTAGCCACCTGATAAACCAGGATCCACGGGAGCACAGTCGGACTCCCCATCTCTCTCCCTGAACTCTACACGAATTACGATCCCAAAGGTGCCGCGTGCCCCTAAGGAACTACTAATTTTCTCATGTCTGCTCTACCTTCGAGAACTGGACGGAATAATTGCCGTGCAAATGTAACCCACTCGCGGTAACAATCATCAGGCCAGTTCAGTGTTTCTTGGCAGGGCTCGATGGTCACATTCTAGATCCCACCACCAGCCTGCGGTTGTTTTATACAATTGAAAAGAGCCATACTCCGTCCATGAAGACAGTTACACCACAGATTACTTCGTATTTTGTATGATTATTGTCCCTGACCCCAGCGGTTTCTCGAAAAACCAACCCCCAGCCCCGTCATTCACCTTTCCCTGCCCCTCACTTTATCGGCGTCTCAGAGAAGTGGGTCTCTCCCCTGCAGATCGGAGCGGAGTGGCGTCGGTCGCGTCGCGCTCAGGGTCGTATGTTGCCTGGGTAAAGGGTAGGATACCAGTCACATCACTGGCTATCTTCCTTCGTCATTTCGCGAGTGCGGCAGCACGCGTGAGGGTCAGTCGTGCGAACATGCGACCTCACGGCATCTTGCAGAACCGCACAGCTAATCCATTGGACATTGGCTGGTTCCTGGATTGCTGCCGACGGACCTCCGGCTTTCTGGGTCCACTGAGGAGTAGTGGGACCCTTCAAGCAAGGCCAAGAGACTGGTGAAGAGCCCGATAGTGTCGATTGTTAGCTTGTTAGCTTGTTAGAATGGGGTTGTGTCTTTTGCGCCACTCCTCCGCATTCTTTGCATCGGTCTTTCTCCCTTCCAATGCAACCATAATAAATAAAACCTTCACGTCCCCTCCTCCCCTTGTCTCGGCCATTCCAGACCCATTGCCCTATTTATACTTGGGCATCTGCATCGACGGGTTGGAATCGTGTTGCTTGTCAGTGCTATACGGTCCTTTTCGCTATGCTTGCCTCACTTTTGAACGGCGGCAGCTTGTCGCTGGCGGTCATCTCGCTGCTCGCATCCACAGCTGCGGCAGATGTTTTCGAGAGTCTACCTCGTATTCCTGACGGTATGTCCCCTTTGCTGGATAATAATTTTTGTAAACAAAGCCGAGGCTAATTATACTTTACTTTGTAGGATGGCGCTACAGTCGCACACCGTCTGGGAACCAACCCATCAAACTTAATTTCGGGTTGACCCAAGAAGGCCTCCACGAATTTGAGAATGCTCTCCTAGACATGTCAACACCCGGCCACCAAGATTACGGCAAACATTTCCAATCGCACGATGAGATGAAACGCATGCTACAACCTAGCGACGATTCCCTTCACAGTGTTCAGAATTGGCTCGAAGGCGCTGGTGTTAAGGATATTCATCGCGACGCCGACTGGTTGACTGTCCACACCACTGTTGAGAAGGCAAATGATCTATTAGATGCAAACTTCCAATATTACGTCAACCGTCACAAGCACGTTGAGCGTCTGCGCACTCTTGAATACTCTCTGCCAAAGGCTGTCGTTCCCCACGTGAATGTTGTCTCGCCTACGACTCGTTTTGGTCAGCTGAAGCCGAACCGTGCCACTATCCACAGCAAGGCAAAGGCTGCTGATGAGGCTTTCAAGCAGGCAGCTCTCTCTCCTTCCGCTAGCTGTGACACTGCCATTACCCCGGAGTGCCTGAAAAGCATCTACAACGTCGGTGATTATAAGCCCCAGAACGACAATGGAAACAAGGTCGCTTTCGCCAGCTATTTGGAACAATATGCCCGCTACGAGGATCTTGCTCTCTTTGAAAAGAACCTTGCTCCATATGCCAATGGCGACAATTTCACTGTGATCGAATTCCATGGCGGTGGCAATGACCAGAATTCTCAAACTGACAGCAGCGAGGCCAACTTGGACTTGCAGACCATTGTCGGTCTCAGCTCTCCGGTTCCCGTCACTGAATTCAGCACTGGTGGTCGTGGATCTCTTGTGCCCGACCTTGACCAGCCTGATATCAACAATAATAACAACGAGCCATACCTTGACTTCCTCCAGAACGTTGTCAAGATGAGCAATGATGAACTGCCACAGGTCATCTCCACCTCATATGGAGAGGACGAACAGGTAAATATTCCCACATAATTCAAAACTTCTTGACGTCGCCCATGCTAATTATCCACCAGAGTGTTCCTGAAAAGTACGCCCGCTCTGTTTGCAACCTGTACGCCCAGCTCGGCAGCCGCGGTGTCTCTATTATTTTCTCCTCTGGCGACTCCGGAGTGGGCTCGGCCTGCGAAACTAATGACGGGAAGAACGCCACGCACTTCCCCCCCTCAGTTCCCTGCCGCCTGTCCCTGGGTAACCTCCGTCGGCGCCACGACCCACACATCCCCCGAGAAGGCTGTTTACTTTTCTTCTGGAGGCTTTTCCGACCTGTGGGAGCGCCCCAAGTATCAGGAAGATGCTGTCGGTTCATACCTGCAAAATCTGGGTAACCAGTGGTCGGGGCTCTTCAACGCGAAGGGTCGTGCATTCCCCGATGTTTCTGCCCAGGGCCAGAATTATGCTATCTATGAGAAGGGTCGGCTTACCAGAGTTGACGGGACCTCTGCCTCAGCACCTGCATTTGCTGGTATCATTGCCCTTCTCAATGATGCCCGTATTCAGGCCGGCCAGTCCACTATGGGATTCCTTAACCCCTGGCTTTACTCGGACGCATCTTCCGTTCTGAACGACATCACCAATGGTGGAAGCACCGGCTGTGATGGTAACGGTCGCTTCAGTGGCCCGCAGAACGGTGGCCCTACTGTCCCTTACGCCAGCTGGAATGCGACTAAGGGATGGGACCCCGTCACTGGACTGGGAACCCCCAACTTCGCCAACATGGTGAAGAATGCCGTCAAGAGCTCTAACTGAACATTTGCATGATTTCTTTCGTTTTTCTGTTTTCTCATATTTTTTGAATCGGCTCTTTTGTCATGATCCATATATCCATCCGGTGAATATGCCGGGTTCACAATGCATGCTGGTGGTGCACATAAACTGTGTTTGCCATATTCAGATAGGTATATAACGACTTTGGACGTTCTATTCGTCTTCTGTATGTATTTTACCCACAGAAATCAATTTCCTCTGCTTAGGTATCGCAGACTGATATGTGCAGCCTCATTGAAATGATCTTACCCTCACCTTCGCTAAGCACATGTTGATTGTGACATGAATATGAGCACATCATTCTGAGTAGTAGAATAACAGTTCCAGTATTTATTTATGTGCTACCTAGGCCTATAACAACTTGAAGGTGCTCGGATACCTCAGGCGGCCAGATCACCTCGCCGCGCCTTCCTCTCTGTTTGCTAGTATAGCTCCGAGCTCTCTCCCTCTCCCTCTTCCTGGTCCCCCATCACCCCACCACCACAAACCTGGAACCATCTCGTCAGTATCCACATTCCGCTTTTCCATTTCTTCATTTCTCAGTTCTTCAATCATTCGGACTACCGAGTTTCCTGTCCCCGTGGACCCCTTGGCCCTTTGGAATATCAATTGACTTAATATCGGAGCTGTGGGCAGGCCGTTCATTCTTGCCACACCAGATCCAATTACTAGTACTCCGTACTCCAATCCACGTAGAATGTCCTACTCCTCACTCTGGATCGCAATTTTAGGCGTTGATATTCATTGGTACCCACGAGTCTAAAGAGGCAGCTCACACCAAAATAAACAAGCATTAGTCAATTCGTAATAGTAGTAGCTCTACTCAGTAAAGGCTCACCTTATGATCCCTAACGTATTATACCAAGCAAAATTCCAAATTCGATAATTGCCAATAATATTCGCAAGACCCATAGGGGCCGTGTCAACCCAAAAAGAGGCAATTCATTCCATGATAACGGCAGAAGTACCGAGGCTTTACCGTTTTCATGTCAGTGGATCAAAGAACATCCACGAACCTCTGATTTTCGTGTTTATCTCGTCACGAACGCGTGGTGAGTGCGCGGATCTATTACTACATCTAATGGACCCCACATTGTTATTGCATGGCTTCCAAAGTTTACAAGTGGGCGGCGCGAGGATTTATGAAGAACGGATTATGCAGCGCTAGAGAAACGCCCTGACAATGGGTTTGTCATAGTATGTATCTTTGATTTGTCCGGCCTTGCTTGTTCTGGGTTTTGTTTCCGCGCAGTCTCCTTGTTTTTTTGTTGCTTTGTGGGGCTTTTAGCTAACGAACCTTATTCCAGATGGACAAATTGAGGTGTCGTACTCGTACGGGCCTGAGAAATACTCTGTGCTCACAAGTCGCAACAGCTCTCCCAGAAACTTGCCAGTTTTATGGAGATATTATACTCCGTATCTAGCTCTTTTCGCCGGAACTAGTAATGACGTATGTCCAAGGTGAACCTTGTCGAGCTGGTGGTGGCTTGATAATATGGGGCTCAAAGTTGAGTGGTTCCACTTATTTCCTGACCAGGAGGTGATGTTGTAATGCACAACACAGCCCACTTGGGTGGGATTAAGCGATTAAGCGACTCACGTGTTATTGAATTGCCCCGCAGATCTTTGATTCAGAGATCAAGACCGATCATCCATGGATGTTTATCACCTCACATTAACCATGGGTTTAACAGTTGCGGTAGCTGGCGCGACGGGTCGCGTTGGAAGAACAATTGTTGAACAGATCCAGCATGAAAATAAATTCTCAGTCATTGCTTTGACTCGAAGCGTAAGTTTACTAGTCAAGACCCACATCCTCAACAGGACGCATTGATTGACAGTTCGACGAAGGAACATGTTGAATCGGCACTCAGCGGCGTGCCATATGTGCAAGTAGACTATGATGACATTCCGGCACTCGTGCAAAAGCTGGAAGAGTATGAAGTACAGACCGTTATTTGTACCATCGGAATGCTGGGAGATGACTGTTCTGAATCCCAACTCAACTTAATCAAGGCTGCAGACCAGGCAGACACCGTACAGAGATTCGTCACCAGCGAGTTTGGCTACTTGACGCGTGCTGAGTACTACTCTCCAATGAAACTAGGCTCTCCACTTGATCGTATCACTAATCGCACGATTCCAGGAGGAAAAATATAGATCCAGGGGTTGACTGGTTTATAACAGCTGCGAATCTTCTTAAGAATAGCAGTTTGAAATATACCCGACCTGTTTGTGGCGCTTTTATGGATTTTATGGGAGCTCCGCATGCACGGTCAAATATTACACCCAACACTATCGCCATTGACGTGTATAATCGTGAAGCATGCATTCCTAACGATGGAACGGCTGGGATAACTCTGATCTATAGCTACGATGCTGCGACTTTGATTGCAAAATTACTCGAGCTCGACGAGTGGTCAGAGTTCAGCTTTTGCAATGGCGAGGATACTACTCTTGGTCAAGCTCTGAAGGAAGCAGAAGAAGTTTGCGGTAAGTGTGTTCCTTTGTAATGAGTTGTGTGCGTTTCTAACTTCCACCAAAGGCGAGAAATTCAATGTTACTTGGTTGAAACCCGAGGATGTTGCCAATGGCGATGTTCCGACCATGAAGATTGTCGAAGGAAGCGGCATCCAACCTGAAGAACAACATGCCTATGCTGTTTTTGGTTATCAGCTATATCTCGCGGAAGGGTTTAATTTACCTGTTGAAGGCCGACTGGGAGACAAATTTCCCGGTTTCAAGCCAAGGACAGTCCGAGAGTTCTTGGAAACGGTTTGGAGGCCGCATGTTTGATGGGCCATAAATGCTTGACCAGGATCAAGGAGGTATTTTGATTTGCATCGTTTTTCTTCGCTAACGCGTTATGTATTTTTCGCTTTTGGAAAGGCATTGTCATCCGCTTGCTTTGTATTGATTAAAGGAAAGAGCCAGTACTACCATATTTTTAAACAGCATCGAAGACGCTAGGGTCTTCAAAATAAGTAATTTGACTTGGCAATTCTCCATACTAGAGCTTCATTTGGTACGAGTAAGAATTCAGGAACATGGAAACCCACAAATCAAGCAACTCGTATCCCAGGGGCGAATTAAGCTAGTCAAAAACCTTCAACCCCACGAAGTCTGCCCCATAGCTTTGAAAAGAATCATCGCCTGCTTCGTTCCCCACAACCACAACGTTGTCGCCACTCTTCCATCCGCCAACCAAAAGGCCCAAGGTCGACGTGTCCCACCATCCCTTTCCGGGGCCAAAAAGCTCACTGTGTTTTCCTGATAGCGGGACTTCCAGTCGCACAGGCTTGTCGTCATTCACGGAAATTGTAATGTTGCGCGAGTTGGAACCAAGCCCCCAAGATGTCGAAAGTGCAATGTCGTTATTTGTGAAGTCGACCTCGATGTACTTTGAGATTGTTTCGTTCTTAGAACCTGCCGGTAGTGTGACTTGAACGTCTGCGGATCCTTTGTTCGAGCTGTTGATGTATGACAGCTTGGAGCTGGTGGGCTTGCAAAATCCTGAGTCACAAGCTTCGATCTTGGCAGAACCGGAAATCGAGAACTCCGTACAAGGATAATACTTTCCCGCTGGGGCTTGGATTTCGATTGACTTAATTGTACTAGATGATTCGATGACGAGTTTGTTGTCCCTTCCAGCAGAAAGTGTGAGTTTCGAGGAAACGGATTTTTGAGATGCCGGCACTGAAATAGTTTGCGTAATTTGATCCAAGGAACTTGTAATTTTGAGGCTTGATTTCTTCGAAGTGGCGCTAGCAAACTGGACGACAATGGCATGATTACTGCTCGTGGTGTTTGCATAGATCGACCCAAAGGTATAAGTGTTTCTGTCGACTGTCAGCGCAGTGCACCCATATCAGCTTCCCCCAACAAACTCACTCATTTAAACTTGCAAAATCATGGCTGTTGTAAGAGCCGGCAGCGACCGTATCGTCAAGCTCCAGCAGCATTACCCCATGGGGCTGAACAGTAGAAGTATATGACGTTTTCACGTTTTGCACCGACTTACCCGCCCATATATCCTTGACGCGACCAGAAAATTGAACACCAATATCGGGTAGATTCAGTGTCAGCTCTCGAGACTCACCTGCCCAGTTGATCAATGCGGCCACAGTCCGCCCATTAGATAGAGGGCTGCTCCAGACCTCATATCCCTCCTCGGACCAACGTCGCTTCAATTCGGCACTCTTTCCGAGAGTGTCCTGGTTGAATCCAATCACATCCTTGTTGGATAGTATGGCAAGGGAGTCTTTGTGAATTGAGGTCAAGTCGTCTTTCAAGGCCCCACCAATGACGAGCGGACTTTTCAAGATAGCCCACAGCGAGAAATGAGTTTGCTCCTCAGGGATCGTGAGAATATTATTTCCAACCTCCAGCATATCGAGATCTGGCCATTGACCCGGACCCGCGAAGGAGGTTTGAGGCACCGCTTGATTGAGCGTACGCCAAATAGCGCGCCAGGCAGGAATGATGTCGTTGCCGATGCGCCATGTATGACCAAGAGCAGGCGCCCACAGTGCTGGGAAATCAATCCCCCATTCGCAGATTTGGAACAGAACCGCCCGGTTTTGTGCTGCCAGTGCCTTGGTCATGTTGGCAAAGCGAGGCTGCGGGGATGTACTGGGTTCATAGTTGGTGTTGGGGTAGCCGGTTGCCTCATCAGAGAAACAGTTGTCGTCTGAAGAGAGTGAGCTAATGGTACATAAAATTCTGGATGAAATACTTACACTTCAAAGCATCAATTTTCCATGATGTAAATAGTGCCGCATCTTGAGCCTCATGGACTAGGAAGTTTTAGCTCATGTTGCAGCAGAAAAAGATTCACAGCCACACGTACACAAACTCCCGGCCTGTTCAATGTCCGTCTGACAAGAACGAATCCCAGCATCTTCATAGACTCCGAAAAGAAGTCCTAGGTCATGAATGTATTGCCCGATCGCGGGAAATCCACTTGGGAAATTCGTTTCATTCCAGGCCAAGGAACCATTTACACGGTCGGGAATTGTCCAGCCACAGTCTATAGTCACGTAGCGATACCCAAGTTTGTCGAGGCCAAGATCAACTAGGGCCTTCGCGTTAGATTTGACGATAGTCTCGTTGGGCGAGCATGCATAATGGTTGTACGTATTCCACCTGCTTTGTGTTAGGCGTGAACATCAGTGCATACTAAATGGTTGGGCGTACCCCATCGGTGGTGTTTTGGCCAAGCCATTGTCGATCCGTGGCTTCAAGGCAGCACTGTTTGCTAGGCCGATTAGAAAGATCTGAAAGCTCCAAACGAGATGCATCTTGCTAGATTCTCATAACACTACTCCATATTCACACAATTATCCACAACCCTTCAGTTATGTAGGTGACCTCGGTTAAATTTCTCCGGAGAATACCCCGATCACAGTTTAGTGATCTGCGGGGTACAAAACCCCAAAGGCGCCGCCAAATAACTAGGATGTCTAGAGGAACCCGGAAATTTACCTAAAGGAGCCAGGGGAGCTTGCATGTCACTGTAACGCGGGCGCGACGATCACCAGCGACGATCGGGAAATCCCATTGACTGTCATTCGCACGTCGAGCTCCGGTGGACCCGGCCCTATCAAGGAATGTAAAAATCGTAACAAAGGGAATGCTGAAAATTAAGAATTAAAATTTCGTCAAGGCTATCGCTAGTGGTACAGAGAAACAAAGCTCCTCGCGAAGGAGTAAGAGTAGATCAAGCACATATCCATATCCGTGCTTCGTGTTTGATTGTTTTCCCCCCCCCCAGTTCATCAATTACCGTTTTCCGTCTCTGCGGTCCTCCGGTTGTCATAATCACAGTATCCATATCGCAGTGGCTCTGTTTGTTCGAATACGAAGGGTGATCGCTTAGGCGATAACACCGGCGACGGCGGAGCAGAAGAGCATGGCGACGAGGCCAAGACCTGTCTTGGAGATAGGCTGGCTGATGATCGCAGCGCCGGTGGAGGTCGAGCTACCCTTTCCAGTGGTGGTAGAGGTGCCTGTAGCGTCGCTACCAGTTTCCCTGGTGGTAGTGGCCGATGCAGTAGCAGTGGAATTCTCCTTTCCAGCGCCACAAAAGATACCGCCATAGTTCTTGCTCTTGTCGGTCAAGCAGTCAGACAGCTCCTTCTTTGTCTGGCCCTGCGCAAGGCAGTAGATGTTGCAGTCGTCATTGTACTTGACAGGGCTGTTACCCTTGCAGCAGGAGTCGAACACATCGGTCATGTTTCCGGTGATGGGACCGGCACAGGCGACATCGTTGGAGGGGATTTTCCAGGAGGGAATGCAAGTGGAGGAAGTGGAGGCGGCGGTGGTAGTGGTAGTGGTCATCTTGCCGGTAGGTGGGTAAATGTGGTAAATGTGGAGGTAAAGGTGTGAGGCGAATTGAGATAGATGCTGAAGAGAGAAGTTGAAGTTGACTGGAAGCTGAATGAAAAGGAGAGCGCACAAAAGAAAAAAAATGAAAGGCTGCAATATAAAGCAAATCAAGGCCAAGGAACGGGGGTGAGACACGACAAGGAATGTGTCAGACGCAACCCAACCAGGCGCCGTCTTGTGGGGAATAACTCCACTTTTTTGCTATATTTAAGGCACACTAGGGCTGAAAGGGTCCATGTGAGATCGAATGATGTTTTTAATTTGTTGAAATCAAGATTATTATGCTTTATGAACTGATGACTCCCCAGTTGATACCCAATTCAGGACACAGAAGCATGGAATATTTTAATAGCGTAAAATCACGGAGTAGCGAGTGATCCGTCATAATTCGATGTGATCAGTTCCCTGCACTTGGAATATAGTTATAAGCCACATGGGAAGCCCCAGCGGAGAACTAATAAGGAGAGCAGAATTCGCCGATCGGTGCATCGCGACAGCGCGACTACCGACCGCTTATCATCGGGAATTGATGTATTCGATGTATAAGGCCACTCGGTGTAGGCAGTAGTGTGTATTAGCATACATAAGGCATGGGTATCTCATCGACTCCTTGCCGATTCAAGGATTTCAACCTGCAAGCGCGTTCCACAATGACCGCAACGTTTGTTTAATCCTTTGTCTCGACAAACTCCTCACTGCCAGCAGTTGTCTCGACATGCTTCTCGCTTTCCGGACTTTCCATTCCAACCAGAGCCAGCAGACCGACTTCACTCTCGATGCGATGCTTGCGTTCTGCGTCAGCGGCGGCCATTCCTGTCGAACCAAAGAGATCGTCCATCTCCTCCAATGTGCGACCCTTTGTCTCGGGAACAAAGAAGTAGACGTAGAAAACACCAACAGTGGTTACACAGCCGAAGAAAATGAAAGTTCCTAGAGTAGAAACTTCGATAAAGGGAGAAGTAGCGGTCGCGACAGCGAAGTTGTTCAACTATGGCGATGTTAGATGATCCGGCGTTTCCGAATTAGCGAAACTGGGATACTCACCCAATTGCTGCTGCCTCCCAGACTAACACCCTTGGCCCGCATGCTTAGGGGGAATACCTCTGAAGTGACGATCCATGCGACAGGTCCTGAGAAGGTTAGCTTGATTATGGTAAAACAGGATTTAGTGGGCGACACAAACCCCAAGAGTAGGCAAAATTGATGACGAAGATCCAAATGAAAACAATCGCCGTCCATCCAGCCGCCCTGTTTTCGCCAAATTCACCCTGGTATGCGCCAATGATTCCTGCAACGATAAAATGGCAGACGGCCATTCCGATCGCACCGGTGATCAAGATCTTCTTACGACCGATTTGATCGACCCACAGCACAGCAGGGATGGTGAAGATGAACTCGACGATACCGACAACGCCGGTAGCCAGCAAGGAGGTTGTGTTGCCGGGTAGTTCCATGTTGTCGAAGATGAAAGGCCTAGACGTAAGGTTAGTGAAAATGAATCCAAGGGGGTGTAGAAGGAACTTGCGCGTAGTAATTGATGGCGTTGATTCCATTCCACTGTTGGAACACCATGATCAGGCACTAAATAGTCAGCTTTATATTCCAATAAACTTGAGAAAGTTCATCATACCGCAACAGTTGTACGTTTGAAAAGCGAAGGGTTTGTGATGAGCGACGCATAGTCGGCCAATCCCATCCTAAAGCGACTGGAGAACGAGCCGTCCAGCCACTGAGGATATTTCTCGGCCGCAACCTCCTTCTCAAACATATGAAGACTCTTGATTTCGAGAAATTCGATGCGCACGAGTATGTCGTCTGTTGAGACGCCACGCAGTCGGGCAAGGGTCTGTAGACATTCCTCCTCGCGCCCAGTGTTCATCAGATGGCGTGGTGACTGTGGCATGAACATCATCATACCAGCCGCCAAAGTAATCGCAGGTAAGAGCTGGATGCAAACTGGGACGAGCCAAGCTGCATTGGATTGGGTGTCGCCAGTGCCACCGATGTAGTTGGTGCCATATCCGATCTAAGTGCGTGGATGATGAGTATTACTCCTCAGGCGAGGAACAGATGGCGAAAACTTACCCAGAAGCTAACCATGATACCAAAGGTAATGGCAAGCTGTTGGACCGCAACAAGGGATCCACGAATCTCTGGTGGGGCCTGGGAACACTTTAAGTAAGCATTGCAAACATTTTATTTGGTATTGCTTCGCTTGCAATGGCGACTTACCAGCTCTGCATTGTACAACGGCACAACCATACTCAAACTACCAACACCCAGACCTGTTACAAAGCGACCAGCAAACACAAAGTCCTTGTTCTCCGTGCAGGCTTGCACGATCACACCAACACAAAATACCAAGACCGCGATCAATACAGTTAGCCGGCGACCAACCGCGTCAGCAAGATATCCATTGAACAAGGTTCCAACCCAGGCACCAAGCTCCAGAATTGATGTCAAGATACCCTGTTCAATACCAGTGCCCTTGGCATATGAATCTGTGGCCTTGACGAATGAGTTCATTGTCAGAACTTGGGCGAACATGCCCTGGTTGTATCCGTACACCAGTCCACCAAGCGACGCGAATAGTCCGATCGCCGATGTCTTCTTATTACTGAGGAGTCCCATAATTCCTCCTTTGCCAGCGAGCTCAGCTCGCTTGGCCGAAACGGCCGACTCTCCAGCGATGAGAGGTGCCATGGTCAATGGATCGTGAACAAAGATACAGGTAAAAGGAGTGAGAAACGGTCGAGGTAAATGTCAAAACCTCTTTACTCACCAGTTCGAGGATCAGCACTGCATTTATTCAATCTGTCGGTTCTTCTCTGGGTAATTCCCCCGGGAATTTATCCCCATGGGGGCCAGAATCTCTCTTTCAGACCAAGCTTCCTCTTGTGGCCCCACCGCGAGCCGACACGCCGCGTGTTCCGGGGAGGAGATATGGAAGTGCCCGGGTCGGTTGCGGAGTGTGCAAGACGTGGGTGGGGACACTGTCAGTGGCTGCAGCTGGGCGCCGGCGTTGGCGTTGCTTGTGGATCGGCCGTGCAGTAGTAGAATTTATCCGGACAGCCCAACTGTGAACCTTGGATAAATACAGGATGCTACGATAGATGTTCTGTGCTTTGCAAGACATCGAGGCTAGAATGACTCGTGGATTAGCAAGGTAGTAAATCCCCTTGTGATTTCACAAGTGACATCATCTCCAACACCATCCCCAGCGTCGATAAAGTCATGAAGTTCACAAACCCTCCCTTTCGGCATCTGAAATGCCGCAAATGGCATCGTCGGCCACGCCCGCTCGGCATGGGGGACTCCCTATTGCTTTCATTGGCGTGCTCTCCACGGGTCCCACTTGATGGAGACTCCTCCCTGGGGAACCCCGCGTGGAGAGAACCTAGAAATACCAACTTCAATCGGAGAGAAGAGTCCAATAAAACAGCCATTGGTCTACATTCCAGCATATCGAGATAAATTATGACAACAAAGTACTTCCAATAGCTTTACGGGAAGCATTATACGACGCCTCCCGATCCCGCACGGTTATGATTTGTTTCAATTTCAATTCCCCGCCTGGCAATCCCCACACGCTACACCTATTTCGCCCGGCTGAATCCTGTTCATTTAGCCTGTTTCTCCCCTTCCAGCCTCCGCAAGCCTCTCCCGCCGCCACGCGAATCGGCTTCGGACAGAGAAAGGAACCGGGAGATGCCACCGGCAATTTGGGATACGGCTGACATGACACGGCAATCGGCCTGGGGCAGAGTAGCAAGTTGATGGCTAAAGTGGGATAGAGGCTATTCTCATCATTACTTGGGGTCAATCGCAAGACTGGACCTTGCTCGGTTGCTCATCGGCGTTTGATCGGGTGCTTGCAGCATGGCATGCTTTCTGCCGGACCGTATGACTCGCGGGACCACCTGCATATTTCGTGCCGAGTCTCGCCTGGTTCAACTTGTGTATTAGAATCAAATGCACTACTCCGTAGTTAGCTGGAATCCGAATGTCCGATGTCGTTCTCGGCCCGCCCGATCTGGTAATCCCGCCGACTCGGATGAAGCAGCTGATTTACACAGGGTGCTAGAAAATATCAAGATGAATGCATGTAAGGTGGACAACATATGGAATTAACATCGGACCATACATTGAGAACTCCCCTACTACCTTTCCTACAGGAATATTGCGGCTCCATCCTTCGTCACTCATGACGCGCCACTACCGAGGTCCGTGAATCTCAAAGCCAGCTAGCTACCTCAGTGTTAAGGTGAATGGATCAATTAGGAGAAAAGCGATAGCTATATTTCAAGTTGAATCCATGACCATCGCAGTCGTTGCCGAGTCGGATATTAGCGTGGCACATTCCATTTATTTCGATGAAGGATTATCGCCAACAAAGCCCCCAAATACAGACAATGGCTTCCATTATGTTTCAGTTCTTTATCCAGGCGTAAGGGTCCATGTTATGAAAGAATTCATTCTCTTAAAAGTCTTTGTCATGTACTCAGAATTTAGTCGAATACATCGAGTTTCTTCATCCATATAAACAGCATGCTGGACTATCCTAGTAGGATCTTTATCGACATTCTCACACCTGGATACTCTCACACTCTCACACTCCCCAGGCAGCTTACGGTGAGACTTCTTCGATATAGTTCTTTACTGAGCCAGTATAGCCACCATCAATCTGCAATTATCGGACTTCACTGTATAGTTTACCTACGTAGACAATGGAAGACGATATGGGCATCGAACTGAACGTGACTCTTTCCGAATCGGCAAGTTCGGATTCTGGCCACGGTGGGCTCCACAATTTACTTTAGGAGATCATCGCTGGCATGCCTGGTTTTATAACGGGGTATTTATCTGCTCACCCCCGTCGCCGTCGCCGTCGCCGACATTCAAGCTCTGGAGAGAGCCAGAATGCTCAGGAGCATAGCCATGAGCATAGCTATGAGCACATGGAAATAAATAATAGGATACATGCGATCAGAATAGAAATGACACCTTATACCTCGCCTGCGGGAGTTCTTGACTTCCGCGTTCATCCGAGTGGAATAGGAATGACTCCTTACATCTCGCCTGAAGTACTTGGCTTCCACGTTCATTTCGACTCCGAGTCTTTTCGTCGGCCCCAGCGCCCATTTCACTGATTTGGGCTCTATCAGCAAAAAGGATTGACGAAGAAATGTTGGTAGATATGCAGCAATCTTCTAGTTCTTGCTGTTCGATTTGTCTTGACGATTTCCAGCTAGGTAAAGAGGTAAGTGCCCTCTCCTGCAATCACCTCTTCCATAGCGTCTGCATCAGGCGTTGGTTACTTGAGACGAACAGTTGTCCTGTTTGCAGAGAAGGTAGAGCCGTGAGAGGTATTATTCAAGTGTAACATTATTCGAAATTCATCTTGGCATTATTAGCGCATATATACTGCCCAGGCGGCATTAGTAACATTTGGTATATTATTTGGCATGGATCTTCGAGATATTTATCTGAAAGAAGTCTTATTTTGTCTCCGTCTACTTAGAATCTTTAAATCTGTAGTCCATGCATCAGGAGGATCGAAAACAATTACAACCTTGACAAAATTCAGTTCTGGTTGATAACAACATTCACCTGATTTCCCCGACATCCTCCATTTCGTAAAAGCCAAGAGCTAAATTAATGCAAAAGAATATCTCCCAACCCACCGAGCCTAAGCCCGAATCTCCACCGCCGACAAAACAGTCGCAAAAGCATCAGCCAACTCAAACAACGCAGTATCCACAAGATCCTTCGCCTTAACGCCGGGAATATTGCGATCACCAACCGCATCCCTAGCAACAATAACATCATACCCCTTCTCAGCCCCAGCCCTCGCCGTCGTCGAAACACAAACATGCGCCATATACCCAACAAGAACGATCTTCTTCCCGACCTCGCCCAACCCCTTTAGATACTCATCAAGATCGGTCTGAGCGAACGAATTGGGGAAATTCTTCGCTACGACCTTCTCGCCTGACTGAGGGGTGAGTTCGCTGAACTCTTCTGCTAGAGGTGTTCCCGGTGTGAAGACTGGTGCACCGGCTGGTACTTCGTGGACGACATGAACGATGTTTTTGCCGTTGCCCGTGCTTCGGTAGAGGGATAGGAGGTCGGAGATTACTTTGCGGGTTTCGTTCACAAGTTCGACTTGGAGGTGGCCGGTCGCATATTCGTTTTGAGCATCGATTATGATTAGGGTTGAGTCTTTGGTAGAGGCTGTGGAAGGGGGGAGACCGATTAGGTCGCGGAAAGATTGGACGTTTGTCATGATGAGTTGAGTGGAATTGTTCCTGGTTTTCTTCTTTTAAAACTGATAATTTTAATTCAAGTTGAATGCGGAGTTATAAATTCTGGATCTAACGAGATTTAAATAGGAATCGGTCACTCATCTCCTGGTGACCTCAACTGTGGAGTATACCGTACATTGCAGCCGCGCTAACCGTAATTGGGAGCATATTCCGCCAAGAAATGGATTATTCATCGAGCTGCATTGTTTGAAATGACGCCACAGGCATCAGGGATTCGGATTGAACGTCTCTCTCAGACCAGACACAACGCAGAATGGCGTGGAGGCCACGAGTATGCACGTAGTGAGCGTGTATGACGCACTTTATCCACAGGACAAATGAAGCACAAGAAACGGACCGTCTGCAACACCTGCCGGCGTCGAAAATTGGGAGTATGAAGCGGAATCCGCAACTTCGATGTATCCACCATAAACTGACTCTTCCTTACCGTTTCAATAGTGTGATGGAAAGCTGCCGGGGTGTAGCCAATGCTCGCTATCCGGCTATATCTGTGATGGGTACTCGACAGGCTGGACATTCATTCAGCAGGGCTCTTTCGACCAAAGTCGAAATAGTGGAAAGAATCATGAACAATTCGAAGCCCCGGCACAAATAAGACGCCGCGACAATTCTCCACGTTTAATCAAAGTGGTGCCAGAGTCCCCGGTAGCTCATTCCACTCCGAGTCTGCAACCGGAGATATCAACCCCGCCAACACTTCACCACCTCTTAACTGTCATCGTGGAAAGCTATCTCCCCGAGAGTGAAAGAAATTCATCCGCCGTCGCCGTCGCCACCGGCCACAGATACCAACATCCACGAATCTGCGGTACCTGGGTTGAAGTATTATACGAACTACCTTGTCTCGCACACACCAACTCCCTTCTCTCAAAAGCAGTAACCGCCCTCGCTGCGGCAGTCCTGACATCGGTGTGTTTCTCCCGTCAAAGTATTTCAGAGCCATATCTTCTCGCCATCCGGTCTCTTCGAAAAACGCTTGAGGATGGGGTTTGGAGGACACAAGAGCTCATTCCTGCTGTTATGTGCCTTATCTTGGTCGAGGTGTGTTCCGCCCAACCTATTCTGAATTTCATTAGTTGTTGAGGCTCTGTTAACGATGAAAGGTCATGATCCCAAACGCAAGTGTCGCCCTTGACGCCCATTTAAATGCCGTGGGGGCCTTTTTCCGTTTCGCTGGGCCAGAAGCATGTAAGACGGGGCTTCTGCATAGACTGTTTGTTGGATTCCGACCATTAATGGTATTCACCCATCCCCAATTAAAGCGATGAATCGAAGCTCTTGCTGACCGAGTCAATTCAATTTTTCTAGATTATACATGCCATTCAAAACCGCCAACCAACTTTCCTCAGCCTCGCAGCTTGGATCGAGATTCCATTTTCCGATATCGCCCCGTCTGTCATGCAGGCCTTTCTCAACGAGTTTGTTCATCTGTCATCTTTACTCTGTCAAATGGATGGTCTTTGTCTTGCGGTGGATTCTCAACCAACCAGTCAGTCCGGGATTGAGCAACAAGTACTACTATCCCTCTTCACAGATCTTTCTGCGCGTCTGGATCATTGGGAGTATACTTTGACTACCTCGTCTTTCTCCTATGAGCGGTGTCACTATTTCTCTCCCGAAGCCGACGATGACTACGACGATGAGAGTGGCCATCGACCCATCTCTTACCCCAACGTGACAATGGCAAATATCTTCACGCACCTATGGGCCTTTCAAATCATCACTCTCCAGGAGATGACTATTCTCACCTCTGCCCTCTCTGAAACGATATCGTCATCGCCGTCTCCATCATCCACATCGTCCCCGGAGGACCGTGCAATAGTCCTCGCCAGAAATATTTCTCTGAGTATGGACTATCTCATGAAAGAGGATATGGGTCTTTTTGGCCCGGCTTCATCATATTTTCCTCTCCGGGTGGCTTGGGAAGTTCTCAAAGAGGGCGGTGATCATTTTTATGGTACTCATGTGAAACGGAGTGTCAATCGACTCGTTACAAGAGGGCTTTTGTCTGCGCCGACTCTTGTCTTTGGTCCTGAACTTGAATTGCATTAAAGAGTCTTTAGGATGATTTTATCAGACAGATATTGATATTGATATTGATAGATCCTCCCTGTACCTAGTTCTATTCCACATAAAGCATCAAATCAAATAGCCACCCATGACATTCCATTTCATTTCATCCATCTCATTCTTCCCATTCCTATGTCATTCATTCCGAATTCCCATCCTCATCCCCATCCCCCACCTCCCCCACCTCCCTCTTCAAAACCTCCCTAGCAATCCTCTCTTCAGGAATCACCAACCTCCCATAAAACCAACTCGGCAAAACCCGCAAGCAATTCGCATGATCGACCGCGAATTCGGGATCAGCCCACCCACTCAGTCGACAGTGCGTGATGGCAAGACGGAGAAGGGATCGGCCGACACCGTTTCCGCGGTATGCTTGTTTAACCGTCCATGCGCGGATGAGGGTTTTTTTTCTTAGTTGTTGGCGTTGATGATGGTGCAGGGTAGACACGCAATATAAGCGTTCCGACGATGGAGTCTTTCCATCGACTCATGAAGATTATGTCCATTTCCTTCCTGTCTGCGTCTCTGTCTTCCCCCCTGGTGCCCTTCGTCTCCGTTCTCATCTCCCCCATATAACCACCTCCACCCAATATCACCCGCCGCATCAAGATACCCCGCCGTAATCAACTCGACGCTCTTCAGCGCGGCGGCGATGGTAGCGAGGCCTGTGAACGCGGTCGAGACGCGGTCTAGTTGGTAGTATTCTGTGGCGAGGGCGAGTAGGATTATGAGACCCAGCACGGTGGTGAGGAAGGGGGTGCTGTGGAGTAGGGCGCGGCTGGTTGTTTGGCGTTGTTCGGCGATGGAGGTTGATATTAGGGTTAGGGCGGTTGTTAGGTCTTTTTCGGAGGTTGTGGTGGATGTTGTTAGGGTGGGTGGATTCGGTGGTGGTTCTTCTTTGTCTTTGGGGTTGGACATTGAGATTAAGTCGGGGGTGCTTGTGGTGCTTGTGGCGGGTGTAGATGTGGGTGAAGGTGAAGGTGAAGAAGGAGGAGAAGGGGAGGAACTCCATCGTGAGTCCAGTTGGGTCAAGTCCATGGTGAATGGAAGTAGTGAATGAGTAGTCATTCAAGTGAAGTATTCCAGAGTTGTTAATATTATTAGAATATGATTAATAATATCTACATCCACATCTACATCTACATCTACATTTGTATAGGATCGGATGTAAGTGTCAGGATCGAGTCATCCCTGGTCCATGGATGATGCAGAGGAACTTGAACTAGTGACGAACTAAATTGACTGGGTCATTGAATAATAATAGTATTTCAGTATTCTAACTAGTGTTCACTCAGAGTAGCACTCTCAGGTTTCATCGGTGCAACCCCGGCCATTTTGAGTATACAAGCCGAGTCAGACAGAGACAGAAACAGAGTATTCTGGGGTACCAGTAGGGACAGTATAGATAGATAGATAGATAGATAGATAGATAATAATAATAGAGAAATCACAAACTTTTCAACTCGATTAAATCAAGCAATAAAACACATAAGAAAATCCATTATTTGCCTCCTCTCGGCATCTTCCATCTCCATTCCATTCCATGAGAGCAAACCAAAGCAAAGGGAGCAAGCAAGAACAGAGCAAGCTCAAGCCGCCTCAACTCGAGCCAAAACACTCTCATCTCCATTCTGATTCCGATTCCCATCCACCGTATTTAGATTCGAATTCACATTCATATTCCCCTTCTCCGCATCCTCATTCCTCGCACCATCCTGTACACCCGCGATTTGAGGCCGTAAAAGAGGATGTATCTCCCCAGATAACACCTCCAATGTCTTCCGCTTCGTCTCAGGAATCAACAACGAAGTAAAGATCCCGCAAAACATAAACAGCGCAAAGATCTGCATAACATGATTCAACCACGGCGAATCAGACGAGTCCTTCTTCGCACCGCGATGCACGAGCGGTCCGAACACACACTGCGCAATAATGGCGCCGACCTTGCCAGCCGCAGCACTGAACCCGTGAGATGTTGAGCGGTATCGGGTTGGGAAACATTCGCCCGGGACAATGAAGGTCGTCGCGTTAGGTCCGAAATTGAAGAAGAATTGCGCAATCACGTAGAGGCCCAGCAGGCCGTTGTGGGAATGTTGTAGTTTTTGAAACCCGAAGCCGATGGCGATGAAGAGGATGGTTAGAATTGCGAAGCCGCCGATTTGGATTGGTTTGCGTCCGATTGTGTCGACGGTTGCGACGGTTACCCAGTATCCTGGGATGGCGCCGGCGCAGATCAGGATCAGATTGCCTACGGCGTTTCGGTAGAAGATTTGGTAGACGTTTTTCCCGCCTGTCCAGCCGATGGCGCCGAGGATGATCGAGTTGTTGAGACCGAGACCGTAGAATGCTGCGGGAGGGGAGATAAGAATATCCCGGGTAAGCAGAAGCAGAGGTAACAACTAGGAAGTAGTGTCACAAGAAGGGTGAGTGTAACGTACCGACATCCAAGAAGAACCAGGAACCAGCAGTCCCCAGGAGAGTCCGGCCATTCTTCCAGTTCCAGTAATGAAGTGCAAAGTCCTTCCAGCTCGCCTTTGTAATAGCCTCAATGCGGTCGTTGCGCTGGACTTGGATACGCTGCATCTCATCCGGGTTACCCTCTCGGAAACCCTTGATGTAGGCCTGAATATCGGCTTCTGCCTTGACAGGGTCACGCGAGACTTCCAGCGTGTAACGAGGGGATTCGGGGATAGTGAGTCGGAAGTACAGAGCTATCAATCCGGGGACTGCTCCCATGCCAATGATGGTACGCCACATCTTGTCGACGGCGAGTAGACAGACCCCCGAGCAGTGTGCGACGTCCTTGGCAGATTCGAGGGATTTTTGAAAACCGGCGGTCACGATGAGGGCCATGATGGCTGCGGCGAACTGGCCGATGCCCTGCATGGCGAAGACCGACCCCATCATGGCGCCACGCCATTTGGTATTGGCGAATCTGCACCGTCAGTGGGGACGAGAAAATAGAAGACGAGGGGAAATCAACTAACTCGGACGTAATGATGGAGGAAAGAGGGTAGTCTCCACCAATGCCAATGCCCATAATGACACGCCAGAAGATGAGGACGCCGGTGATGGAGACAGCTGGGGAGGCAGCCGCGAGAGACTGGGCCAGAGTCGCGAAGATGATGATAATCAATTCGATACCATACATGCGCTTGCGGCCATAACGATCGGCGAGATAGCCAAAGAGCAACTGACCGATGACGGTGCCACCGGAAGTCGAGACTTTGAGGGCTGTGTCGGAGTTGGTGGGAAGTTTACCGGGGTTGTGCTTTGCATCCTGCCAGTATACCACGCCGAGCATACTCACACAGAGGTTGATGGCGAAGATATCGTAGGCATCGGTGAAGAACCCCACGCCGGCGACAACGACAGCACGTAGATGATGCCAGCCGGAACGGGAATTTTCGATGCGCTCAAAGGCCAGACGACGATGTTCGTCGGGGTCGAAAGGAGGAGAAGAGACCTCAGTTTTGGAGAGAACGGACTGCATGTTGGATGAGAGAAATAGGAATGGGACGAGGTGGGTTGATGGGGAGAGAGAAGAGGTGGAGGGAAGAAGGAGAGACCAGGATAGTCAGACATGTGGGTGAATAGAAGAAGTAAAGAAAGAAGAAGAACGAGAAGAAGAGGAAGAGACCAACCAGAAGAGGAGGTTGAGGCACATGACATGAAGGTGGTAGAGGAGGCAGGCACGAGGGAGGGAGGGTCGTACCTGCCTTGTTGGTGGATAACACTGGCATAAACATGACATAACTATACAGCATAGCATAGCACAGCATAGCATAGGGCATAGGGGTGTAGGCTGTAGACAGTACTAGAGTATGATTAGTATACTTAGTAGTAGTAGTAGTAGTAGTAGTAGTAGTAGTAGTAGTAGTAGTAGTAGTATAGGGCTAGTAGTTACTAGTAGTATACTATGTATGAGTAGAAGAGGATGACTCAGACAGCTCTGCAAGTAGTATAGCATAATTATTCTATTTTTATTGGTACTAGTCTTAGTAGTACTAGTATTAGTATTCTCGTCCTCTCGTATTCTATACCTTTTTCAAATGGCAACTGCATGATGTATCCTCAACATCACCGTGGCGGTGGCGGAGAAGCACCCTCAAAGTATAAGTAACCACCGGGGCAACCACCCCTACACTTGAACTCTCGCTCTACAAAAATCAAAAAATCAAAAAAAAGAGGGGAGATCCGGTATTCATATACTTCATATTCATATTCATATACATCAAACCAGAAATCTACATCCCTCTCAGTGTCAACCGCAACAGAAAAGAACACATCACGAACGTCCTATCCAAAGTTGCCATGCCCGGCCAGAGCCAGCCGGGGTGAGTCTGACACCTGGGCACCATGCACTATTCTATTTAATACTATAGTATGCATTCAGTACAGAGTTATAGCTAACACACCACAGAGAAGAGGGCTCCAATCAGGTTCATCATTCCAGTTGCTCTCATCAGCATAATCTGGATGATGAGCCGCAGATCAAGTAAGTTTACTAGTACATTAGCACTGGTCTATCTCTGACACTCTCAGGACCATGCATGCCTCCTGTGTGCACGGATATACGCAACCGCGTCACAGTCAGAACCAGAGCCAAGGTCAGAGTCCCAGCCACTTCGAGATGGAGGGCGACCTGATTGGTCTGGATGATTAAAAGAGCAAGCAAACTCAAGCTCAGTCTAAAGTCGATTTTAGTTTTGTTCCTGGTAGTTATTCAACCAATACGATCTTTATATTAAATATCAACAAACTTGGAACTTGAATCGTCTATAAAGTATCCCGACAGCATCCAGCATCATTAGAAATTATCTTCAGGTACTAGTACTAAGTACTACTACCAGTACCTACTATTATTAGGTATGCGTTGACCGTGGTGTACTAGTATCATATCATCACTCCACACAGCCCCACCTCTACCCCATCATGCATATCCCCGCTTCATTTTCCACCGCATAATGAAGGTCGCCACCGGGTAAAACGCCAAGGACACCGCAACCCAGATAAATAGCACCGCAAAGTCGAGTCCAATCCGCGAGTGCGTGTCGAAAAGGATAGTCCGTAGCGCTTCGACAACTATCACGCATAAAGTTAGCCACAATATCGTCACCATTGGTACGCAACAAGTCGAATCAATCGCTCGCTGCTCGAGAAAAACTTACTCCGATGCAAAGGCCAAGCATACCCCCAAGCATAAAATCCCGGCGCCAAATCGAGCGCATAAAACCCCGTCGCAACATTCGTAATCACCCAAAAAATCAGGAACAGCGAACTCCACGGAAACCCGAGTACCATCGCCATATTCTCGCACGGTAATCCCAACGCCGCCATCCCGACCCAATTGAGCATCCAGAATACCACGAATGAACCCTGTCCGTATGCGTTTGGGTTGTTGGCGGATAATGTGTCCGGTGCGGGCTTGTTGCTGAAGGGGATTTGGAAGGCGAGGGAGACGAGGGAGTAGAAAAGGGATAGGAAGAAGTAGGCTGTTATTGCGGAGAGGATGCGCCAGATTATCCAGTGGGGCACTTTGAGGGTCGCGTTGATGCTAGTCTCAGTGGAAGAAGAATCGGAGGACGAAGGAGAGGAGGAGGAGGAGGTGGTGGTAGGTTTCATGAACTGCGCGTGGATGCCCATGAGGAAGGGGAAGTTGAAAAAGGCGATTATTATTAGATAGATTAGTCCGATTGTAACGGCCGGTGCAGCCACGGCGGGGGTGAATGGGCGTAGATCGATGGTTGTAAATCCAATCCCTGGATTGATGGCTTGCGGAGGTACCCGGGAGAGATTCGTATTCGATATAGATCCCGATCTCGAGGCAGAGGTCGAGGTGAGTTCACGGACCCATCGGGGGCCAAATTCCATAAGGACAGTGCTCTGGAAAATTGCCAGGTCGGGCATGATATAGTTGTAGTATGCATTTTCATCTCGTGCAGAGATGATCACCGATTCGATCGCCCCAGTCGGGTCATATGTGCTGTTTCGCTCGGTCACAGCAGCGCGGAGCAAGGCGGTCGCATTGGGGTTGATGATGACAGCTGCGTAGGCTTTTTCATCGTAGACAGCTTGACGGACAGCCCAAAAATCGTGGTTGAAGTCAGCAGGCGACTTGATCTCATAGCCCAAGTGCAGCCCTGTCGAGTGGATGATGTTCTTTGTGGCATTGGTGACGGCCGGTCCAACGATGGGATTGTCGGTGCGATAGGGATCGACGGTGCCGTCAAAATCAACCACAAAGACTTTGAGAGCCGGATAGTTTGCCTCTGTGCGATACTGCGAGCCCCAGAAAAGGGAGAGCACACCAAATATGAAGACGCAAAGGATGAAGACGGTACGCGTCCATTGGTAGAAGACGCGCCGGCGCACTTCGGTTAGAGCCGGGTCAAAGAATCCCACCGGCGTGGGTTCATCTATCTCTGGCTTTTCCATCTTGTTTCACGGGGGTGGTGAATCTGTGCATTTCATTTGTATTGAAGGTGAGATTTTGAAGTAGGACGAGTGACACTGTATGACGCTTCCGGCGAGTAATCCCAAAACGGCGAATTCCAACTCCGAGCAAGGATATAGTGGCTGGCTGGCTGGGTACCTCCCTGATTAGTCAGTAGGAAGCAGTTATAAGCCACAGACAGAAATTAATATGGTTAAAAACATAATGTTCCTGTTATGATGTGCATTGCTGTGGTGCATGTCAGAATTATACTGTAGCACAGGTACTGCCGTCCTGCCCCTTGAAGGGGGATTTCTCTCAGAGCTGGCAGAAAATGAATCAAGGTTAAGCAAATAATCCTCCAACCCACCCTCAGGGACAAACACGAAATATAGAGTGCATCAGGGGTTTTGAATCCCAGTCATATTTGGATGTTTAATCGAGCTACTGTGATATTAGTGATGCAGATCCGCGAAATCCAAATTTAATCCCCCGCCCCTATGGCCTAATGGTTAAGGCGCCCACCTTCTAAGTTAACTAACTAATAATGATTAGCGGGCGATTGCAAGTTCGACCCTTGCCAGGGGCCATTCCATCAATATGATGTTCTTTTTTTCCCCTCTTTTTTGGATTTTCTTCCTTGAAAGAGTATCTTCAACACCCCTGCGAAAATTCAGGGTAGTATTTTTTGACAAACTGAAGAAGTGGTCAAATACCACTAGGACCCTTTGGGATAGGCTTATTCATCGTTCACCTAATTTCCCTTTAGTATGGTGTCATAACACGCCATAGTTCGATTATAGAGACCCCTGACATTGCTCAACCGATCTTAACACTTACAATCAATTATCTGATTCTATTGGATATATTCAGTACTAGCCAGTACATCAATTCTTCAACCTGACATTTATGGTTGAGAAGGCCAGTGTAAAATAGTCAGCGTGAGAACCGGGCGAGAGTCCTGCGGGCCAGCCGACCGTTGCACTGATCCTCCCAGCTGGCCGAAAGTGGAACATCATTGGGCACGACCCTTGCTAAAATATTTGGACTCTTTGGTGGGATACTCTCTCAGTGGGTCTTTTCATCATAAAAGTCCCTTGCTTATGCGCTACCGGTGCTAGCTAAGAAAGTAATAATCGGGTCGTCGAACACCGCCACACCGCCACACCGCCGGCCAAGCTCGACGGCTCGATTACGTCACGACTTTCTTTATACTAAATGAGTATCGACGATGCCCTACCCAGCTCTGTGCAAGTCCCATATTGCCTACTATAAGATCCTCATGTGGTACTTTGGTATAGATTTAACGAGGGTTTCACCGTATAAAGGTGATTGACGACCCCAAAGCCTGTCAATCGTTGCATCATAATCTGCAGGAATAGAGAGAATTGACTGGTACAAGGTATATGAAGGTCCGCCTTGATACTGCAGGATCATCTTTGCTTGCAAAATATTTTCAAGATACGGTGTGCGATGCAAGGGTTACTCCAATACATGTCAGCATGATACGCCACTCTGAGAACGTGCAATTCGCTGATGATTAGGGTGATCACGACCAGCGGTTAGCCTTCTCTAATACTTACTTACTGGTAACCACATAGAGTAAGCCTCAGGACTTTTAGCTGGAGTGAATCCGAGCGGAACATGAACTCTCCCCAAAATCCGTGAAGTCCTCTCAATTAAAACTAGTCTATATTAGTAGTATCAATAAATCGTTAAAATTCGCTGATTCCATTACTATCCAATCCCCGCTAAAGAAAAATAAACAATTCTTGTGATCAAATTTCTTCTCATAGGACCATCGTGCATGCATCTCTAGCTGAGGGCTTACGCCAAGGATGTACAGGAGAACCAGTCAGTGTGATCGGGGTCCTGGGTTACACAACACCACCCAGAGTCCAGAAACCGACTATTGTGGAGCTAATTACCCCTCCATACTCGAGCATAGCTATGCCAATCAAAGCCGGTTATATTTGAGCAGTGTCGTCTATCGATCAGTTCCATCGTAAGCCGCATATGATCAAATATTTGCCTCTGCCATGGGTCGGCAAATCATTCCTAAGCCATATTAAACAGATGATATTCTGATGTTTCTAATTTAAACATATGGCCTCATGAGAACGATATTCTAATATTTCAGGAACTATCATATAGGGGCGATTCAAGCATTCTGTCACATATGAATCGAACGTATTGATTAGAAGGATTTATCTACACCCCACGCAAGGGGCCAGTACGATACACTGCATAATGCAGCCAATGACGCTGAACTATTTCCTATCCTTCAATGTCGTGTAACATGCCCTAACAAGATGATAAGACTTATAGAGCAAAACGTCGATAAAACAGGTGAAAATTATTTATGCAATATTTTCTGCTGTAACAGCACATGACGTTGGAGAGAATCTTATGGACAGGAGCTTCTCCTATTAAATAGGATAATGCACAGAAACTGCATATAATAATAGCATTGCTACCGGTCAGGAGATCCAATTTTAGAAGCAGATACCCACTTTAGACCTGATTATTCTCAAACTAAAAAGTTATAAATAGTGGCAAATCCTTCGATCAGGAGTAACCTCTTTATTTCCATAGTCAAGCATATTTCTCTGGAACTTCTTCATAGTCCCAACATGTCTTCGATTCGCCGGGGTTTGTACCAGTTTGATACGCAGTATTCTAGATGCTGACACTATAACCTGACAGGCACTGCGATTGACGCCTGCGTAACCGCGCATGACAGGCGGGTCTATGTTCAGGATGAGTCAGACTGGATTGTTGAACTTATCCACTCTGACGGCAAATGGAGCCAAGGAGAGAGATTGGTTGAGGCAGCCCCGGGGGCTGGGTTTTCCGCTGTTTGGTGGGATCAACTCGGTGCAGCCAATTCCGAGGTATGAAGGTCTTCCCCACAGCGCGACGGGTTTCTCAGAGTCGCAATTGACTGGTACTTACAAATACTTGCCTAGCTTGATCTTTACTACGTGAGTAAGGATTTTATCCTTAGTGAGATGTGTTGGAGGAAGGAGAAGGGCTGGTGGAAAGGAAGTCTTGCCACTAAATCTTTGCGACTGAATCCCCAGTCTCACATTGCAGCTAGAGTTCAACAAACTAGCAGTACATTCAAGACGGCTTTGCGACTTCATGTGGTTTTCCAAATGGAAGACAACCGCATTTGTCATTCCTGTGAGTTCCATACATTAGAATTCACATTTTCAATTGACTTATTTCTGAGGTAGCTTACGAATCTGAATGGAAATTATCCAAACAAGACCTAGGATATGGGCTGCCGGGAACTTCTCTAACTTCTCCGGATCACAAGTTCCAAAATCGGTAAGCTCAAGGTTAAAATATCGCCTCGAGATGGCGGACTGCTAATAAAGGCATTGTTAGGTTTTATTATCAGCCTCCAGACCTGAGCATTGTGGAAATGATTCCTCAAGATGGAGGTGGATGGAAAAAAAAATAAGATAATCGACAAGGCTCCCAAGGAGTCCGGCCTTGCATCGTGGCAAAGCGCAAGTTACCAGCCACGAGTATTCTACGTAAAGCCCGATGGCAAGGCCGCAGAACTTTGCGCGGATGGATCTGGTGGATGGTGGACTGGGAACTTCTCTACCGAGATTAGTGAAGGGTCCAAAATGGGTGGTTGCTTTGACGTCAGTGGAGACTACGTCTATGTCTATGTGCAAAATAAGGAGGATGCTTCAAAGATAGATGAGTGGAGGGGTGGCAAATGGAAGATTATAAACTCTCTCACTCTGAATGCATGAAGAAGGGTTCAAAAATTGCAGTACTTCATAGCAGTTCTTTGCCAGGTTCTCAAATAAAGTTATACATTTGTGTTCGTAACATCCAGCATTGCAAGTTTTCGTATCTGATCATTCCCCTATTCCAGGTATCTAAGGTAGTAAGTAAATATCATCAATTTGCCTCGAAGGTTAGGAGTGAGTTCCGTATTTCTATGCATAATAGAATTAATAGGCTGTAGAGGGGTTTGTGGAACCATGGTTAGGAGTTAATGGAGGTAGGTCAATCCACGCGTCGCGTTAGGATCCACGTTCACACGGAGACTTGTTTCTTGGCACTGTATGAATACGAAGAACCAAGTTGGTTGGAAACTCCCATCGTCCTTGAAACCAAGCCAGGTGCACTAGCCTTGTGGGCCAAGCCACGGGCCCCCAGTATGCTTGCGCCTTCGTTGTTTCTAAAGACTTTGTCGAAAGGGCCACTTCGCCTGGCGTATTTAGCGGGCCCAATTCAGAAAGGCTTGGTGCCCTCTGGTTAGCCATACAGTAACATTCCAAAGTGCTTTATCTCTCCAGCATTATCCTGTCCGATCGAAGGTTTACTATCACTGTGATAGGAGGTTTCCGTATTCCGACGGCTCTGCACCTCTTGTCCCATGTCTGATTCGAAGCCTCGAGGACGGCATGATCCGGTCCCATACTAGACTGAGTGAGTCATCGCAGCGATTGACGACGAGGAGATGTCCAGCATCAGTCCCGATCCACCCTTCCTCTGGGAAACCATTAGACAGAGCTTGGGCGACTTCCAATATGATCGAATCTGTAGGCAAAGTGAGTTATAAACTGCCTTCATAAGCTACCTACTTAATATAAGTACAGTGATATTTAATATAGTTGGAGAAATCTACAGCTTTAGCTTATATAGGATCTCTTGATATTACAAAAAGATTAGAAAAATATATTAACATCTTCTCTTCAATATTTTCTATGCTAGCACTATAATTATCGTCTGTAATTAACTGTATCTGCTTATTCAAAAGTAGAAGAAGGCCTGCTCGGTTCCCGAGTCTGGATATAATACCTGACTCTAGCATCTGTAGACCTTTCTGATATGGTGGCAATACTATTCAAATGCTATATCCCACAGAGTCACAAATAATAGAAGTATATGTTTTTTAAACTTTACGTAAAAGAAATTGACTTTGAAGAGATATTTTGACACAACCATCGTAGGCCACGCTCAGAGTACGGTACCTACCCCAAATCGGATCCTACTGATAAGTAATTGGCCTATGAGTAGAAGTGATGCATACCTGAGAGACACTATAGATCTGAACCGAGATAATAGCCTTAAATCTGCTAGGCCTCTCAAGCTTAAGAGTTAGCTTTGCATCAACTAATCAAGATCTTCCTCTTATTTGCTGTAGTATGTGGTCGATAGGATCGCATGATGTATCGAAAGACGTGCCAAGCTCTATTTCAAATTCTTTCGGATCTATCAAGGCGTCAGGCTGGGTTTGCATCCCACGACGACACAAGTGTGTTAAAAGGGGGCCCCATTGTGGTCGCTGGAAGGCCTATATAAATGTGCCTTGAATCGTGACCCTTTACCGTCTGTTTTCCTATATTGATCATCTTAATTTTATTGGTTGACTGTAGATCGAGGATGACTGAATCTAGGATCTAATATTCGGTTGACCAATGATAGAAAAGTGGAAAGCTTTTCCCGGCCCATGAGACTCTTAAAATAAAGCATGCTTTCCCGAATTTTGCAAGGCCTTTTCTATTCTGGCAAGCTAAGGAGAATGATCTTTATATCCGTTAAAATTCCTGTGTAGAGAAATCTGACCTGATACTCCTCTGGTTTCGGATTTTTTAAGTATGCTGGAGGCTATACAATTAACCTTCATTAAGAATGACGAATTTGCCTGCCCTGTCAGGCCGGTCGGAAGGATGATCCTGTGGTATAATTGTGGACTATAGGATAGTATTGATGCTCTGGCTACAGAGCTTCGATTGTTCCTATTTCCAGACAAGCTTCTCGGTTTTTGAATATGGGAATGGAAACCTGCGAACAAATACTTGAGAGGAGCGGTGGCCCGTAGGGTGAGGTTTGATTTTTTGGAGATTAGTATTCTCGTTTGCAATCGCCACAATAATGCAGCATATACCAATAGGTCTTTTGCGGAAGTGATTGAAGTTAAGCTTTGAGTCTCTATATGATGGCTCGCCATAATGATCCATTTCTTCGTAATTTCCAAGACCAGAGATGGTTAGGTCAGCATTTCATTCAGGCTGTACAAGGGAAAGCTGGCGATCCAAAGGTTTGTATAGGGAGGGCTCACTTATAAAAGAGAATCAGGACAATATGAACTGAGATAACGAAATAGAGAGGAGCCCCCCCAAAAGAAGCCATGCATGTATGGTTGTATTTTGTCTACATTAGACTCTAAATATTATGGTGGGAGATTAAGATTAACCATTCAGTCATGATTCATCCAACAATATGTTGTTGATAATTCAATGGTTAATTACCTGTACAGAAACTGATGCTTTTTAAGGAGAAACTCGGGTCCTTTGTAAATTCCGTAGTCAGGCAGGGATTCGAAATATTGGTGATTGTCGAAACAGGTTCTCAGCCTCGCCAAGAAACAGCTGTTCGGGGTCTTGGCAAGGCTGCATAGGGTTCATTATAGCTGTGGGACTAGCTATTTCCATCCAACTTACAATATGTCCTTCGGCATAATTACTCTGATGATGGTAAAGTATGATTCTGTTCTTATAGCTCTGGATACGGTCGAATATCTACTAACTATTTCTCTCTATTCGAATTAAAAGACTAGATTTGCTACTTATCTCTGACCATCAAGCCGGCATATTTGATTGGCCTCCTTAGGCGATCTGTCTTGCTATAGGTTTTATACCAATATAAAATACATAAATATGCAGTACTTCTAAACTTTTATCCAGCGAATTTTCCTGCCACGCTTTAACATGAAACATTTCTGTCAATACGATTCGATTATGCTTTGACTGCATCACTTTAGGGACTCTTTTCAAATCTTCTTCCAAATTTTGGATCGTATACCTGCTGTAGAACACATCTGCAGAGGTAATAGCTAATTGGTGAATGTTGCAACTGGCTGACGGTTCAATCCCCAAAGCGACCAAAGTGATTTTTAGAAAAAGGAGAGGGCCTAGTGATAGAAATGCCTGGGTATAATAATTTATCATCTCTGCTCTGTTGGTGAGATTTTAATCTTTTGTGGCTTCATTGCCGCAACCCGGACTTCTTCGTTCTAGAATGCCTTTTGAAGGCTTATCAGGATGGACTGCAGCTGCCCCATCGAGAGACCAGAGGAGGATATTGGTGACATTCTTAAATGTACTAGCATGGCAGAAAATAAAATCTCCTTTGACTCGTAGCCTTGTATGTGCAGAGCATCAATGCCCATGAAAGAGTAATATAACAGAGCGATACTAGCACCCACGCCAAAACGTCGGTTAGGAAAACCAAGGTTGTTCAAAGCACACTTGAATAAAGCTAGACTCTTCTGATTAATATTGTCCGAGAATATATTGGATCTGCATCTCTAAGTCTTCACATGGCACAGTATGCAAGCCCTGAGATTCGCTTAAAGCGTCGCGAATATCAGTGATTTAGGACTGCAACTGACTGTATTTCAAGACGAAACTCCTTTCCCGAACCTGATCATTACGGTATTTGGTGGCCCACAAGGCGCCTTCATTACTAGGGAGCCTTATATTAACGAAAAATTAGTTGAGTACGAGCAAGAACTAATGCAAGGTGTGGGATTTCTCGGCTGACAGAATACCAGATGCTAGAACTCGTGTTTGAAGTCGAGCCGGCAAAGAAACCTGGCCTGTTGCTAGCTGTGAAGGAAGATAATAGTCGGAAGACTTTACGGGAAGTGTCATATCAAAGTATGGCTGCTTTGGACAAGTGCTGAGGGAACTCGGGCGCTCCTTAGGCTCGGCCGTATCGACAAAAAGGCCACCGAAGAAACCACAGGGTGGGCTCTTGTTTACGTGATATTCGCCCATCGGGACATTTCTTGTTTAGGAAGCTCTTTGTAATGAGGCTGTATTGGCGTATGAGGATTGAAATTTCTGTCCAGATTAATCATCAGCCTCAGTAGCCTCGCAAGTCTCCTGGTGGACATCGAGCATCTTGTCAAGTCGATCATTTGTTCGCGTACATTCGTTCTCGAAAGTATTCTTTGCTGCCTCGAGCTTCTTGTTTGCGTCGGTGGCATCGTGTTGTACCCCAGAAAGAAAGAAACATGCTCTTCATAAATACACAGGTCTGGTTTCTCACGCTCGCAGCAAGACTTACAGGCGGGTTTCTCTCGATGACATCCTTTTTTGGCAACGCGGCATGGGATAAAGGGCCGTCTTGAATGTTTAGGACGTGAGATTCTCTTTTTGTGGGCTTCGGCCATGGCGGTCGTAGCTAAGTCAAAGAGTCTGGATGGGTATCTTTTTCACCTTCAGTAAAGACCTAGAAATGCTTGAGAGCAAAGCTAACGAGCAGAGTAGGAGCCAGCGACTTGGAAATCTCCGATTGTAAGGATATATGACGAAGTATAGCAAGACAAAATGCATCGAAAGCTACAACAACGAGGCTGATTTATTTATATGAGCAACTGTGGCCATGCTACTCCTCAGGTGGCATTTTCCATCACATTCTTCAAGATTTTGGTGGCGGGCTGTACAAATGCTGACATGAGAGCTGGCGAACTCTTTGAGAATTCTTGATCCAAATGTTAAGTTACACTAGCTAATGTGGCATTATCTGGAAAGCAGCGGAAATTCCAACTCTTCCTTAAAATTCTTTGGCAACACCTCTTTCCCTGGCAGAGATAGCCCGTGATCTACTTGCAGACATACCAATTGTGAAATACTGAAATTTATGACTGGAGTGATCCTGGGAATCTCTCTCTTGCTTTTGGGAACTACAAATCTCTTTAGGCCTTCCATGCTGACATCGACGTCAGAAGTTTCACCCTTGGATCCGCCGACCAGATAACCAGGAGCCCTATGCCGATGCCTATCCCTAGCTGCAGACACTTAAATGACTGGACCGGTCGAGGACTGAAACCATTCATAAAGCTGTTTCTTTCTTCCAAATTTCTACAATCCCCTCTTAGTCTCACACCCCTCTCAAACTCCCATCACATCATAGTTCGTCAAGTCCTTCTACAATATATTGCCCATTAGAGAACTAAAGATCAAGCAGCCACAGATCCGAGACTTACCTAACGAGATATTGTTTCTGATCGCTACGTACCTGCACAGCAGCACAAAGTTCTCTTTTGCCAGATCATGCAGAGGCCTATATCACCATCCACGACCGGTCATTCTCCAATTTAATGTCGAATATCAGAACATCCAGCAATCTTCTTAGCCTGGCCGCCAAAGACAACGATATTAATCTTACAGCGTTATTGCTTAATCACAGAGCAGACGTCAATGCCATCTTCCGCAGAAAGACCCCAGTTATGCGAACTCTCAAGAACTCTTCTTCTACAGTGCTTGAGCTCTTGCTAGAGAGCCCTATGCTAGATATAAATATCTAGAACCAAGAGCAGGAAAGTACCTTATAGTGTACGGTTATATATAGATCATACTCAACGCTGTAAGCTCTTTTACAATTAACTGACTGTACAGTTAACCTCCGACATTAAAGAGGCCAAATTGCACTCTTCCTTGCCGTATAGTAGAGCAAAATTAGATTAGCGCAACTATTGCTTTCTAAAGGCAGTCACCCCTACATGTATAATAATACTGACAGTTTACCATAGGCATAGGCCTCCAAATACAACCAGCCCTCTATAAAGGCTGTCCTCTTGAAGGAGCAAGACTATTTCCAGCCAATAAAAATTCATTCCGATACGCTAGCACTGCATCAGGCAGTCCTCTATGGATCAGTGGATACTATAGATATGCTCTCAAAGCAAAATAATTTTGACCTAGCGGTAATTAACAGTAATAGTATAACAGCACTTCATCTCACTGTCTGCAGCCGACACTTAGAAGTACTCAACCTCATTCTCCAGCATCCTCATACTGACATAAACTGTATAGATAATAATAGAGAAACCCCTCTTTGGTAGTCAACGCTTTCGTCTTATTACAATATAACCAAAAGTCTGCTAGCTATAAAGGACATTGATGCTAATTTAATCGGCAGCTTTGGTCGGCTTAACATAACCTTAGCACTGCTGCATTATACCGTGACTCGCTCGGATACTATAATTTTGAGGCAGCTGCTTACAGCTCCAGGAATCAATCTGAACGTCGGTGCTGCGAGACAGACGCCTCTTTCTGCTGCTGCTGCTGCTGCTGCGGGCAGAGTCAATATGATGAAGATGCTTATGGGTATGAGGGCCGTAGAAATGAATAAGGGTCGAGAGTTGATCGATCTGCCTCTATGTCAAGCGGCAGTATGAGGCTACGTAGAGGCTGTTAGACTGTTGTTGCAGCAAGGTTAACAGCTCAGAATTAGCCAGGGTACCTTGAAGATGTATGACACGGCTCTGGGGATTGCTGCTCGTTCCGGAAGCCTGGAAATAGTCCAGAATCTGTTAGAACACGAGAAGATTACCCCCGACCTAAAGAACCGGCGGATGAAATCTCTGTTGAGATTGGCCCTCAAAGGGGCACATGCTCTTGTCTTTAACGCGTTGCTAGCGGATCAGAGGGTGGATATGGTTAGCCTGTGAGAGGTGCGAGTAATGGCGACGCATGAGAATATCCGAATGGCCATCCAGCCCGATATTGATGGCCGAAGAATCCGTCGCGCACGGATCGCAGCGTCCCCGGATGAAGGCATATTGATCCTAGCGTAGAGGCCGCGGGTAGTCAGCACAGACTACGCAGGAGCTGAGGTGTACTGCTTGAGATATTTGCTGCGAGTCGCAGAAAAGTGGTCGACTAGCTATTATTCACGATGTATGGCGTGCACTGGAATGTGAAGTCGTGAAAATAAACTTCTCATCAATCTCACGATACATGGTGACAACCAAATTGCCTCTAAGAACTGCATTTTTTGGCACAGATTCTTCAACAGCGTGCATCAACGGGTAGAACGTGCGTGAACTGTCTCTTGACCCGGCCCGTCTGAAGTATGGCCGAGACTGATCCGAGGGTACAGTACATCTCGCATCCTCGAAGGAATATCCGTATCTGGGACCTAGGGAAATCCGCTATTTAGTATTCTGTCATTCCTCTCCCACTCTGTCGTGGTTGTTACATAAGAAAGAGCCCCAAGCATAGATAAAGTTATTTTCGTAATATATATTAGATCGTCCTGGGTCGAAGAACAACATAGATGATACATCTTCTTGCTCTATATCGTCTAACTGAGTGTCTTTTTTTTTTTAGAAATATCGAACGAAATGAGAAGTTATAAAGCGAATCCCTTTCTAGGTCGTGTTGGATGTTGTTGCCATCCGCAAATGCGGATGTGGGGCAGCCCGGAACTTGGAACCATTCCAGCTTATCCTCGTTTTCCTTCGTTCTCGGTCTCGGTCTCGGTCTCGTCCTCCTCCAATGACCCAAGCAGGCATTTAAAATTGGGCAATACCTTTCAGTGACCCAAAGGAAGTCCCCATATTCATTACGCGAAGCGTTCACTGTTTCATTGGAACCAATTCTAGCAATACTTAGCATTCTCATCGATTTCGCGCCTACAGTATCGCTCAATGGCCTTATAATCATCTGTTGGCTGCTGCTGTTTCGGAATGACGAGAATTACCCCTCGAACTTGTCTTTATCCTCTTACAGGCAGCCTTCTGCTCACCTTTGCTCTCTCAATCGGTCTGTCATTTCGATCGAATCATCATTGCTATGCTGGTACCTGCGGTGAATGGCTTTTCCCTCTCCAGGCACGATTACATGTGGTGGTCTGGTATTCCTGGATTTTGGTATCCGTGGTGTTCTTCGCCGTTCGCGCCTTTCACCCCGGGCTGCGTCGTTTTATCCAGCGACGGGTGTTCAAGTTCAAGCTTCCCCTGGTGGGTGAACAGTTGGCTATCAGCACGTTAGTTGGATTTATCTGGATTGTCAGCTTATATGGCATCATCGTAGGTGTCTGGTGGATTCGCCTGCGAGACTATTTCCTGGACAGGGGTCACAAGGGTGGGATTCTGGAGGGAAACCACCGTCTCGCTGCGATTGCATTGACTGGTCACCTATGCGATGTCACGATGGGAATGGTCCTCATCCCCGTCTCCCGGCATAGCGCGCTTGCGTCCTTCTTCAAATTATCCGTCTCAACAACACTCACCTTTCATATGCTGATGGCTTATACTCTCTTTACTCTTGTTATCATCCACGGATTAATATATGTATCCTGGGTACCAGTTTTCAACTCTCTCTCAGAGAGGCTTCGGGAGGTATTTCCTGTCTTAAACCCAACTTACTTATACCACGAGACTTGGCCGGGTAACTCGTCGGCTTTAGGTGTGTGGCGAGCCTCTCTTATATTTACCGGTATCTTCTCCACCACGATCATGGGCCTCATATTCGTCACTACGCTGCCGAAGATTCGATCGAAACATTTTAATCTCTTTTACTTTACCCATCTCCTGAGCATCGTGGCTGTCATCATCATCTGTTTGCACGCGAGTACAATCTTTTACTGTATGGCTCCAGGGTTAGCCATGTGGATACTCGACTGGGGTATGCGACTGTACGAACTGAGAGAATTTGTGCAAGGCAAGGTGATCCATCTAGGGAATGGATGGTATTGGTACTTCGAATCTTTTATAGCATCAAACTGACTAAGCTAATTTCTCTCATATTTAGCATCGAGCTGCCACTTCCTCGACGCCGACTCGACGGGTGTGCCTGCAACTCACCGCTTGCGCATTTCTATATTCGTCACGCAGAATCCTCCTTCTGGGAGCTCCATCCTTTCACCACTATTACTCCTCTTGCTTCCGAAAGCAAAATCACTTCCGCGTCCGAAGAGGATATTCCAATCCAATTCATTTTCCGTAAGCGTGGTGGGTCCGGCAGCATCTCTCAGGCCCAGGCTAGGAAAGTTATCTTGCCGAAGTGGTTCAACTTCTTTCGCAACCCCGTGAAGCCAACTTTTCAGTGGACAAACAAGCTGGCTAGTATCGCCGATGGAAGCAAAACATTATTGGGATCTAGAGATAACAGCAGTATCTATCAACCAACTGGCACGCCTTCTATTGAGCTTCACGGCAAAATTGAATCATCTACTTGTTCCTCACAAAACGTGGACATTCCGTTACGTCTCGAAGGGCCATATTTTACAGTGGCAGACCCCTCAAGGTATAAGACTGTCATATGCATTGTCGCTGGTACAGGAGTAAGTGGGGCTATAGCCATAGCACGCGCCTTTCTTGAGCAGAAGAGACAGCAAATGGCAGCCCTTGAAATTGGCAGTGAATGGGAAGCCAATGGCAAACTGGCAAATACGTCTACCTGGGAGAGATGTGTGATTATCTGGAGCGTTAGGACAGAGGATTATATCAATCTACCCTATATGGAAGGTGAACAACCAATTTCCATGGCTCATCGTATTGAATTACACTGATACTTTGTTTAGCGGACCCGACTACATGCCTTGAAATTCGGGTGCATCTGACTGGCAAGGGAAGGCCTCGGCTGGATATTCAGGAAAGGCTGGGTTCCATTTGTGGCCAGTCGCCTACAGGGCCCATTTGGGTCTATTTGTCTGGCCCAAGTCCATTTATCATTTCTGGAGAAGACGCATGTAAAACAACCCCAGGCGTTGAGTGGTATAGCGCCAAACAAATTTGATGCCCTTGCCCCTGACTTAGTACATTGTTCTCTGTGCCGCTTGTGCTGTACCTTCCTATCGAGGCGCATCCATTGTCAAAGACGATATGATCACAAGCTCCACGATCCCAAGTTAATTGTTCATGAGGTAATCAAATGCACTACTGTAGATTCTCAAAGTGAGCAAAATGTACAGTGCGAGGAGACTTTGATCCTGCACGGTGGAGTCATAGAGCTCGCAAGCATTACCAATCCCGAATATGCCGCAGCCAACTTCGAGACAATAATTGCCCGTATAGAAAGCTCCAGTGCCCCGAGCCTTTAATGTTGTTATATTTTTATTAAAACTGGTATTGCCCATAAGATTTTGTTTAACCCGACGGAAGGCTATCGTCATATTCTAAGCGACAAACGCCAGCCTAATATGAGGATTTATTGGATTACTATATACATATGTCCCATGACTAATTTTTAGCGGGAGCCAGATGATCAAGATCGATTGTCACACTGCTGACACCAGTCCTTTGTTAATGGGGTAACAGGAGCTAGCCAAAATGGACGTGAAGGAGACTAGTGTGTTACATTTCACTGGGGTTAGCCTACTTAGCGCTCAGTGGGTTGGGTTTCGACACTTGACCCAAAATCTACTAAGAGACTTATATAAATTTAATGTATGCCATATTAAATATTACTACTATATGCGTTAATGTCTATATTGCAGCAGTTATTCCGTAGTATATAGGCAAATGGGTTTTTGGCGGGTTCGCGGGTACCCGTTGAGTACCCAAAAGCAATATAGTGAGGTCTAGTAAAACCCACTCAGCAACTCAGGGGTGTACTCAACTCTAATCGATGAGCAAAAGGCGGCTAGAGGTGAGCATTAAGGCGGGAAAAGAAACCCAAGACATGCCGGATATCATCTTGTCTAATTGTAGTACCCAGTGTATGTTTCCCGCTAGATCTTGAAGTTAAAGCACAGCAATAATTTCAAGAAAGTTGATTATTTGGGACTTGAATATACAGTAATACTAGTGTAATACCGCTGGCATAGATTATGCCGATCAATCAGTCTCCAACTCAGGTAGGTGAAATAACATCTTCAATGAAGGACCCCCTTTCAGTTGATATCTGTATGCGCGGGTATGTATAATACAGATGTTGAAAGTGAGCTAGAGCTAGAGTCAGAGCCGCCCGGGCTCGGACTACCCACAAACACGAATTCAGCTGCACTGGCCTTGGCTCCAGGACGATCGATATGGTATCGGGAATCTGTCGTGCTGGGGATAGAGCATTGCAATTATTGCTCTTCAACGAGGAATTCCTAGTAGGCACGAGTCATCAGCTCGTGCCGATTACGTCCCTGCCCTTTGTACACACCGCCCGTCGCTACTACCGATTGAATTCACCGATGCTTGGATCGCAGTTTGCTTACGCTCTGTATTGTTACTACATGTAGAGCCCTTATTAAGTTTGGCTTGACCAATATATAGTTGACCGGCCCAGCTTAAGTTTTAGCGTGGAGCAATCATTGAGCGAACCGGCAATAGGGACCAATTTAGCCACCTGAGTTCTTAACGTACTTGAGATGAAACTCCGCTGGATATTCATTTACCGAAAGAGGGACCAAGAATTCACAATCCCCACCCGGAAAGATAAAAAAAAGAAAACAGCACGTTTCCGGGTCGGGTGAAGAAAATCTTCAGCACCTTCGCAATTAAACGTAGATAGATCTGTGGAGAAAGAACATGGGCTACTTTAGTGAGAACAGGAGACTCTATAGGGTAGGAAATATGTATGCCATAGGTATTCATATGAAAATCTTGGGACAAATATGAAATAAATTCCTCGGCATCTGTTGCAGCCCATCCCAGCCGTCACTAAAATTCTCTTAGGGCCCGTAATCTTATTTCCGAGAGCTTGTGACTGGCTCTCGAGACCTTAAATATACCATTATCGCAATTGCGCTGTTGTTTGAATGAGCGCTATCGAAGTGCAGCTTCTCATCGGGCCATTCGTTCTTCATTTGTACAGATATGTGAAAGCAACAGCAGAATTCTGGTCTCGTCTCGCTCTGAACTGCTCTAATCAGAATTCTATGACGAATGCTTCAAGAAAGCCAAAAATTAGCCTCAGCAACATCACAGTCTATTTATTTATACTGTACATGGGTGACCAGAGAAGGTGGCCTACAAGATACTACCGCTAACTTTTCTTCCCTGTCCATCTCCAAGAACTGACAGTCTATCCCGAACTTTTCAGATAGTATCTCCTTTGGTGCCCCTGGCAGAGAGGCCCAGAAATAAAGAGCAAAAGAATGGAATTCGCCGCTCTGCCTCCGCAATTCCTGAACCAAATCAGTGGCCATTTCGAAAAGCCAAATAGCATCCTCTCGCTAGCCTGTGCAAGCCACCGACTGTCTCCCATCTTTTTCTCGCTCGCTTGAAGACTTTAGCATTGACTGTTAAAACAGCTCGGCCGTGCTGTGGGCTATTCCGCATAGCCGGGTAGATCTTTGACGACTGCTCTGCCACCCTCAAATTGCTATCAATGCGCTTGGCAATGCTAGGACTACCTTGCCTTTCTAACGCTATTGAGCATGGAACTATTGAAATCCCCTCAATACTTCTTTCTAGCCGTAAATTGCACGTCGAAGGATGAGAGAGAGACCAATTAACACCAATCGCCTTGGCCGCGGCGCTTGGTCTTAGCAACAAGACTTTGCTCCTTCTGAAGGACGGAGCCAATATCAATACCCAGTATCAGCAGCGCGATACTCCCTTGCACCACGCGGCACGACATGGCCACTATTTAGCAGTAAGAATCCGCAGCTTAATTTAGGCCACCTGAAACTGCCTTGGAACTTACTTAGCGCTAACACACGTTCCTTTTACCGCAATTAAGAAGGCACTGTGCCCACAAACCTTATCCATTTGGCCAGCTCCAGGAAACTCGCTAACCTCGTGGCTAAATTCGTGACTCCTCGGCGATTCCAACGAAAAGGCCGTGCTACACTTGCTAGCCTCGCCGTTCTATCAGCCTACCATATCCACAACTTCCTTGAGGATAAGCCCTTTGATAACAAGCACTCCCAACGTCTCATAGACGACGCGAGAGAACTCAAATCCATCACAACAATTCGGGTCAGAAATCCGATTTCGCCTGACACCATTACGAAACTATCCCGAAGGCCTATCCAAACTCCCGTTACAGCCCTGGGAAATGACGTCATAATTTTTAGACGACCTGAAGTTTGCAACCACCTGCCGAGTAGCTGTTGCTGGTTCCCCGCCTTCGAGAATATACTTGCAAGACAGAAGGTTTCGGCATGCGTTCTATCTTCTCTGTCACAAAGCTTAGCGCTCCGACGTTAGATTCTTGTCCTCGTTAGACCACGCCCAACTCATACTCAAGCCCAGCAAGACGGACCGCCATCACGAAAGAAGACAGATTGTCCTTGCAAAAACAGGAGACAGAATATTCCATGCCAAATTAACGTGCTTCAGAAGCTGCTACTTCTCGATCCCAGAGGAACCGAAGCTCCATTGTTCTCCTTCCAAAGAGGACCATTCAGTCGCAATGATTTTCTTGCTAATTTGTCTACTAAGTCGAGAGCAATTGATTTACAGACGGACGGCTACTCAGGCTACAATTTTCGGAAAGGTGCAGACCGACCTATGCACGATAGTGGGATCCTCGACGACCAGATCCAGGTGCTTGGGAGATGGACATCGGAGAATTTTAGGGTGCATTTTACGACGAACGCGTCAGCTTTGTACAAGCCCAATCACCAGTTCTATACTGACTTTCCTGTTTCATTGTCTCTGCTACCTCCACCTTCAGCAGTCCCCTCCACCATCCTAATTTGACGGGGTCACTTGGGCCCTATCTGGCGCTAGTCTAATGCGTTTCCATTCAAGACCTTAGTGGCGGCTGGCCTGTTACGGCCAAACTATACTTTCCTTGTCACTGTTGAATATGTGGGGTCATCAGTAAAATGGACCTAAAATTTCAGATTCCAAAATAATGTCAATGCAAAATGATGCGTGGTTTGTCCTTAAGAGGTTATTCCTGATAGGGTCCCTATGTACATAAATATGGGGCCTTTTATAGGAAAGTTGCCATTTGGGGTCTGATTGAGGTGCCCTAGGAAGGCTAGAGGTCATAGTCTTCTCTAATGTCAATTTAATGTCAATTAGGGCTGCTTCTCAGCTGCATTTTCATTTTCAATATGTTACTAAAGAGCCTGAGGAGGCGATTCAGAATAGTAATGGGTTAAACACATCCGTTCTGTACATTGAAGGTATGCCAGCAATTCGAGATCGATCATGTTACCTTACTGCAAAAAGGCAGCAACAGCAGCCAGGAACCCGAAAATCCCAGCAAAGCCGCTAATGTTTTTCCCACTTGCCCCATTAAAGACGGGAGTAGAGGAGGCAGAGGCGGATGCGGACATAGAGGGCATAGACCCCGAGGCCATGCTCATAGACGCTGTGGGCATCGGCATGGCCATAGACGACCAGGCTGACATGGACGACATAGAGGAAGAACCGCGGCCACTGCACTGCGAACCCACTCCCATAGGTCCATTAGGCTCCCCAACCTAGATAAAAGTTAGTAAATAATTTTCCAATGCGGTGTTGAGATTTTTTTTTCTTTTTACCTCAACAATAGCAGGGCCAGCGAGAATGTTATCATCCGAAGCTTGCTTGTTACCCTTGGTCAGAACCACATAGCTCTGACCAGCAACACCCTCTGGGATGGTGACTTCGAACTTTCCATCGCCAGTTGACTCAAGAGAAGCCCAGACAGGGCCAGTGACGGTGATAAAAGCGGCGTAAACATCCTTAGTGTTCGTAGATATGCCACTAGCGGCCATCAGCTCAACCTTAGAGCCAGTTGTGGCAGGGGCCATAGAAGGCATGGTCAATGAGGGGAAGGCCTTGACGGGAAGCTTGCCATTGCTCTCAGGGCAAGATGCAATAAACATAGAAGCAAGGGTATAAACCTCATTAAAGTCGAGCGGGTTGTCGAAGGCCTGAGCAGCGGGAGCCTCACCAAGAGCAGCACGCAGATAGGCACTGTGACGGGCCTCGGTGGTCAGGATACTGCCAGCGGCAGTGAGATACGTCTTGTCCATAATGCTAGCAGCGGCTCCAAGATAGGCGCTGACTCCGACACCCTCTAAGATATTACCGAGCGCAAGGAATGTTTTGACGTTTGTGGCAGGGAAGGAATAGGTGCAGGCTTCGACGGGTTTTGCGCCGGCGGCCTTCAGAGCCTTGGTCAGGAACTGGACATGCTGCTCCTCGTCGCTGGCGGTCTCCTTCAGGTTGGCATAGAAAGGATCCTGCATACCAGATTTCTGGAATTCGGCATGGGTGTAGTTCTTGAGACCTTCTTGATAGAAGGCAGCTTCGAGATGCTCTAGGGTCAGGGCGTAGTTCAGGATATCGGCATCAGTGATGTCTGCGCGCTCAGTGAGAGGAGTGGAGTGGGCAAGGCCCATGGCTGCACCAGCGAGTGCCACAGAAGAGAACTTCATTATAACGAGTGACTTGAGTGAGAGAAATTGTCAAAAAGGGATGATCATTACATGGGAAGGATCAAAAAGCCCTTTTATAATTTCAAAGCAAGGTAGAGCCACAGGTGTAGAGGTGCAAGACAACAGTCCGGCTCATAACCTTTCAACTGCACCTCCATTGTTTACCCCTTTCTCGATTCTCCATGCGGAGCATATAGTTTTCCAAATCACACATGCGCTCAACCTGAATTTATTGTCGATCTTAATTCAAGTCCAGAATAAAGGTCCGTGTAAACGTCAGGATAATCTCCGGTATTTCAAAGTAAGACCTGGATCAGCTTTACTCAGGCACTATATCCTAGGTCTGAATTTAATTGGTGCGATAAATACGATTGACATTTGGCTTGAAAGATTACAATATTTCTTGTAAGATAGTATGGAGTCAATTATTAGGTCCATTTAAATTTGGAGCCAATAAGATCATGTATACACAGAACCGAGAATGAGCGAGAGCGAACCTCCTTCTAATTGTCTCACCCAAATGGAATATTGTGATCTTTCTTTCTTGGCGGTACCCTCTAGGTTGATCAATCGATCGATCGAAATTAATTAATTGAAGACATTGATTGTGCCCGTCTTTTAAAGGCTGTGTTCGAGCCCTTGAGCTTGTTATCAAGAACCCGGCTTTAGGCGTTGCTGTGCGACCTTTCTCATTTTGAGTGGCACTGACCATATAAACCTACGATGAATGAAATGCCCCTCGCGAACCCCAACCCTGAACTATTGAGTCTGTGCTATTGGCCGTGACTTCAAGTGTTGATCGATACCAGTTCTAGTATCCCCGACGCCTTCGGTCGCTCTCGCTCTCGCTATCGCTTGGCGGTACAATATCCGATTGGCCCTCTTCCTGGGATATTTACGTCCGCCCCAGGATTAATGTTTATGTGCGGTTCTGAGGCCAGAGGGATATGCGGGCTACTGTTAGCGTAATCAAATCATTTCCTTGTTTTTATTGTGCCGGTAGACATCCTGGGAAATTTATCAATGTGTCATCGTCGGAGCCCAGAACTGGTTTCACTCTTTCCCCCAAGGAGGGTTTCATCGATGCTAGCCCGATAGAGGCTGCCTACAAAGGTCCTAATGACGCGCCATTGTATATCTTCTAAAAGCATAGTAACAAAAGTCATAATCATACGTGATGTTAGATCCGAATAATTCACCGGATCATGGCCTTCTCCTGTTGGTCGACACAGGGTCAATTCGGAAGATTTCTGCCTCTAGTAGGCCTAGAAAATCCAATTCAAGTTCAAGACAACGCCACCCAAAGTAATTACATTTTTAGGGGCTTCAGGCACAAAGATTAAGTATCATGGCTGGTTTGTTGACTTGTTCTCTTCAATTTGTGAAAATTGCGATACAAGCGACGAGCTGTGTGGATTGCAAGCAACAAGTAATCTAATCTCAGAAATAATCCAACTGTCGTTACGAATTATTTTGCTCACCACATTACTTACAAAGTGCTAAATCGGCCAGAATTTCAGCTGTCCAGCGAGCTCAGCGAGCTGCTGTTTTTCTAACGGCCCATGATATATATGACGAGCCTCGTTGTGGAGAATTGAAATTATACTTCAGACATAAGGAGCACATACCATTCCAAGTAGAAAAAAAAAGTGTGTTTGAATTGGAAAGCCTTGCTTACCAGTTTCTAGTGGTTATTGTAAAAGGTCTTTTTTTCTTCAACAACCGTTAACTTATCACCGTTGGTGGGTGTTTCCGACCGATGGTTGATTCCTTCAAGCCGATCAAGAGGGGTAATTTAGATACTCTAAATACTGCTGCAGCCTCTGATGTGGAAATAAGTATTTCTTGGTTACTTTTCTGAGCTACAATAGCCATTCGCATTCGTTCTTTTTTTTTTTAGTAAGAGGCACTTTATTATAATGGGGGAAAATTGACATGTCGAAAAATGATTAGCGGAGATAGACGCGAAAATGGAGGGCTTGGACGGCGATTATGAGACTAGAGCAAGCTGATCTATTGTAACCTTCATTGAAAAATGACTATTTTTTTCGCAGCCATCGTGCCCTACGTCTCTCATCAATGCCCCTCTTGGTGCCGCGCATGCCGGGATAGCCCTGTTGGGAACCATCATGTATGCGCACGAATGCCCAATAAACCTTCAAGGATCTCAAGGATCTCCTGATGCGATATTTTCTGATGTACTGTGTCTAACCCTCATCTGAACCGGGGATTAATGCAGGATGTATATTTCTAGCAATTAATCCTTCGACCATTTTCTCCCTTGCCAATTTCCGTTTGCAACGCACACTCCGCAATAGGGCGACAGCGCGAACGATAATAAATACTCTCCAAATCGCTTATGAGGGCATATGAGTTAGGACTTGCGCAGGCAGCACCGCAATCTTGCATTTTCTTCAATTTGCAGTATATGTGGTGAGAGTTTAGGAAGCTGGGCTAGGCCCGCCTCTTTTAAGACCATTGACTCTGGATCGCCGCCGTTGCAACTCCGCGTTCACGAGATTTCAGACGCCTCCTGCAATTCGAATCTCATTCCGACAGATGATGCCCATTGGCAACCGACCGCAAGAATATTGTTGAACCCCCTCCCAGCCCTGCAGTCAGACCGCACAAACACACCATGAATTGCCCGTCGCCGACCGACGACACTTTCGAGCACCTGGGCTGGAATAAGAATCCGCCACATTACAGCCCGGACACCACCACATGCAATGCCTCTAACAGCATCACCAACTCGTGCGTGCACGACAAGCACACTACAAATACTAAAAGTACCGTGGGAGCTGACACAATACGCATCGACCCTCGACTGCACAGCTTGGAGGACCAGAATCCTGCAAGCGAGAAGACCCTGGACGGTGGAGTGATTGCTACGTCCCCAGGGAGTGAGCAGCCCTCGAAAAGCAACGGATCACTTTGCCGTCCTTTTAGGTTATTCCTGTCGTCGTCGACCTTACCCTGTGCGCGCAGCCTGGCTAAGTTTGCTCGCTTTGTCGGGCCCGGATTTCTCATCGCGGTCGCCTATATCGACCCGGGGAACTACGCCACCGACGTTGCGGCCGGAGCACAGTTCAAGTACGCCTTGCTGTTCATCGTTCTTCTATCCAATCTCTTTGCAATCCTTCTGCAGTCCCTGTGTATCAAGCTGGGCACCGTCACTGGTCTCAACCTGGCTGAGAATTGCCGCGAGCACCTCCCACGCTGGATTGTATACATACTCTATGTATTCGCAGAGGCTGCTATTGTTGCAACTGATATTGCGGAGGTGCGTATTTGTAAATGCACGCATTGCATATTATTTGCTGATAACTGAAATAGGTAATTGGCTCAGCAATCGCACTAAATTTGCTTTTGAACATTCCCTTGGTAGCGGGATGCGCTATCACCCTGGTGGATGTCTTCTTCCTGCTCATCTTCTGGCGACCCAATGGATCAATGCGGGGGTTACGCTCGTTCGAATTCTTCGTGATGGCTCTTGTGCTGGGTGTTGTCATATTATTCTGCATTCAGCTCTCGCTTATCAAGGATCAATCTATCGGAGAGGTCTTTCGGGGCTATCTCCCATCTTCTGCTATTGTCCAGTCTGAAGGGTGAGATGAAATTCCCGAATTTATCACAAATGAATTATACTAACCTGGACCTATAGTCTTTACCAAAGCTGTGGTATTCTCGGTGCCACAGTTATGCCCCATTCTCTCTTCCTCGGCAGTGGAGTGGTTCAGTCTCGACTGAAAGAGTTTGACGTCACAGCAGGCTATGTCCAGTCTAACGTGCCTCTGGGTAACAATGCCGGTGAAGTAGAGTATCGCCCTACCATCCACGCGATCCGTGGCTGCATGAAATACTCAATTATTGAGCTAACACTGTCGCTCTTTACATTCGCGCTGTTCGTCAACAGCGCCATCCTCATTGTCGCGGGTGCCTCCCTCTATGATGTTCCCGGCGGCGCCAATGCCGATCTCTTTGTTATCCACAAACTCCTTTCTTCGTCCATCGCGCCAGCTGCCGGTTTGGTTTTTGCCTTGGCTCTCCTACTGTCGGGCATCTCAGCTGGCATAGTTTGCACCATGGCAGGTCAGATGATCAGCGAGGGCATGCTTAAATGGAGTATCAGACCATGGCTGCGAAGACTCATTACTCGATCCATCAGTATCATTCCCAGCATGATAATTGCCGCTGCTGTTGGTAAGGAAGGGCTGGACAAGACGCTGACTGCGAGTCAGGTTGTTCTTAGCATTATCCTGCCATTTGTCTCTGCTCCCCTCATTTGGTTTACATGCTTTAGCCACTACATGGCTGTCCCTGTTGAGCAGACCCGCGAAGGTCATGGTGAGGTTGACGTGGAGCAATTCCAGATGCGAAATCACATTGTCACATCCATCGTAGCGGTGCTTGTCTGGATTCTTATCGCCGTTATGAATGTCGCGTTACTGGTATTGATCGGGATGGGTAAAACCTAATTTTCAATCACCACTTTGCATATCCTGCTTAGGACATCTGAATTTGAAAAAAAAATGAAATCCATTGTATTGGGCGCGCTATTGCATAAAAGGAGCCTGGCAGATCGTAATTGGGACGCCTGTAGTCTATAAGTCTCTTTTGGCTCGCGTAGTGCGCATCCCTCCATATACGAGACTTGCCCCACGCAGCATGGTGCTACGCGTATAAGAGTTTGTAAGAACTAACTAGTCAGTGGTCCAAACCCCCAAAAAGTTCTTGAACAGGTATAAAAATTCTTCCCAGAAGGTCGGAGCGAGATCGGGAGATACATAGCGGCACTACCCGCAATCAGACCGATTAGCAGCAATAAAAGCTCCACACTAGGCCATCAACCAAGAAATTATAAGAGCAATAGTGGCGGAGAAGATAAGGCAAGATAGTCAGCGGAAAGCACTCTTCGCCACTGATGTCAAGGAACCAAGTAAATCACCTTTACGGGACTGCTTAACGGGTTTAAGAGCACAAACATAACCGGTAAGAAAAGCGAAAATTATAACGCCAAGTCGACCTTGCCAGGGAGTTCATAAGATAGGCTACTGGAGAATATGGGGCAGAGTACCCTCATCATCACAGGGAGCAAAAAGTTCATAACCCCATGCGCGAGCAAGATGGGTCATGATAACTAGAAAAGACACAATACACAATTCCTCAAAGTTCCTATTCATACAGTCAGCAAAACGGTGACTGGTCGCTGCTTCTCACTAAATAACTCACGTCGATCCACTTGACGCTTTTCCTTGTGTCACCCTTAACGTTGGGATTCTCAGACTTCCAGGGGAGGCTCTCGATGGAGCAGGTATACAGATAATTCTGTCGAATGTAGTCCATTGCGGAAATGCGGAACAGATGTCAAAAGGAACAAACTACTCAAATCAAAGACCGATCATCTAGTTGCACTCCTCTTAGCCAGCAGAGAATAACGTGAAGGAAGGCTGGAGCGGAGAAAGAGTCGGAGATTGTGAACGAGAGTGAGGAAAAAACATGTCGACTTCCTCTCAGTCAGATAATTTATGTATACCAAGATGGGGCAAATAGATGTTGACCCACTAAAGGCTGAAAACGATCGAAACGGCGAAGGAAGGAATGAGTGGAGGCGGGAGGGGACTGCCGAATGGTAGACCCACTAGTAGTGCCGCGCTCCTATTACAATTAGAGCAATTTGTCACGATGAGGAATTGATGTACTGGCTATTACTGAAGATGTCTAATAGAATAAAATGATTGATTAATCAATAAAGGATGAGAGTGGTTGAGAACTCATGAGAATCATCTAGTTTTGGAGTGTTACCACACCATACTCCGAGTTTAACCTGAATACTATACGAATACTTGGGGGAATTGGGTGGACGATGATCATCCTACCCCAAAATGGTCTTAGTGGTGTTTGACCACTTCTTTCGCTCGACATATAATATAAAGAAATGAAAGCAATAATAGTAGAATTCTACACAGTAAGGATCGTGTCAAATCTACAAAGATACACCAGTGTATGATAAGGTAGATGTTGATATATACACTTCATTCAAGAAAACTTTTGTAAAACCAAAAAACACCACTTGTTCACATCAAACTTGGCGTCTAGATAGGTAATCAGCATGAAGAAAGATCAACCATGTCATATTACAGACAAATTTCGTAACTTTTCAAAGGGATTATACTAGAAAAGCACAGCGATTCAAAGTATGAACCAGAACCAATGTAAAAAACAGTATGTTATTTTGATAACAGAGCAGTTTTATTATTGAAATTATGCAGAAGTTGGGTCGAGTTGGGCCCAAATTAGGTCTTACCGGGGCCCCAGTTGTTGATTGATAAGTGATGCTTCGATGTTCATATTATTTAAGGGAATTGATTGTGTTGTGTTATGTGTTATTTACAACTAGGCTGGTAGACTAGTATAACTGTATGCACAAGATTCCAGCCTCCATTAGTTATTATGTTTGTAACAGGAATATTCAACACCGGTATCAGGTCCGAGTTGGGTCTGGGTCTTGGGTCAAATTGGGTTATGCGGAAGTCTAGTGAGGGCCAGCTAGTTACGCAATTTCGAGAAGGAAAATCTCCAAATCGTGGAAAGGGACCTATCTATGTGGGATGGGTTAATCGGAGTTGCGGGAATTTCGCTGCTACTTGAGGGGCTGTTTATAACCAGGTCTCAACTCCATGTTGTTACCGCACTTTGAGCCTTCAAGAAACCGGCAACTTATCTACCTAGGTGATTTCCTCTGTAACTTTTTAGGTTTCCATTTCTGGTTTATTTCTGAGATATTGAGCTATGAAATATCCAATTTCTAACGTAGTAAGAGAGCCCCGGGTGAAGAGGGTCGCGGAAAAGCCAATGATATTAAGACTATTACTTCTATCCGAAAGAGACTCCACCCCTGGTGACAATGGCGAGAATGAGCATAATTAACAAGCATGCATCGAAAACAACAGCAATACTCCTAGCCTGTTTTATATCAGCTCCAATGTATGATAAAGATGACCTATGGGGCTGCTACATGTCGAAACGAATTTGTAGTCCATGTTGCCTTTGCTAGATAAAAAGCGCTTGCCAGGCTCATTTGGTGCCCTCCTTGGTACCGATCTATCAATACAATAACGTCAGTCTTGCAAGTACACGAAATTGAAGTAACCCAAGAAGTATATTTAAACTACCTCGATAATGGCGGGGCCAGCAATGATGTTGTCGTCGGTTACCTGCTTCTTGCCCTTGGTGATGACAACGTAGCTCTGGCCCGCAATACCCTTAGGGATAGTCACAGTGAACGTCTTATCTCCCTTGAATTTGAGGGGAGCCCAGATAGGTCCAGTAACAGTAATGAAAGCAGCGTAGAGATTGCTCGGGTTGGAGTCGTCGAAGCCGCTGCCAGCCACCAAGTGAACCTTGGAGCCACTGACGACAGTTTGGGCTGAGGTCAATGTCAGCGAAGGGAATGACTTCACAGGCAGCTTTCCATTGCTGGCAGGACATGAGGTAATGAAGGGCGACGCAAGGGTGTACACCTCATCGAAGTCGAGAGGGTCGTCGAAAGGCTGGGGGAAAGGAACTTCACTGATGGAGGCGCGTAGGTAAGCGCTGTGGCGGGCCTCAACGGTCAGAATGCTACCAGCGGCCGTAAGGTAGTCCTTGTTGGCAATAGACGCGGCAGCACCGAGATAGGCACTCACACCGACACCTAGTAACCGTCGTTAGCAGATATCGTCAAATTATCAGGGAGAATAGTACCCTCGAGGATGCTAGCAAGGGCGATGAATGACTCCACATCGTAAGAGGGGAACGAGTAGCTGCAACGCTTAACGGGAGAAACGCCGGCAGCTTGGATGAATCAGTAGGTGTCGCACATTATGTTTCGTTTGATACTCACTAGTGAGAGCCTTTGTGAGGAAGGCTACGTGTGTCTTCTCGTCCAAAGCAACTTCCTGCAGATTTTCGTAGAATGGATCTTTGAATCCAGCCCTTACGAAATCTTCCCGGGTGTAGTTCTTTAGCCCCTCCTCATAAAAGGTGGCCTCAAGGTGCTCGAGCGTCAAGGCATAGTTGAGAATATCGGCTAAATGATTTAAATTTATTAAATCAATTCAGCTATTAAGTCTGTGAAGAAACCATACCGTCGTTGATAGCTGCGCGGGTCGTAACAGGGCCAGCCTGGGCTGTAGCAAGTATCGCTCCGGTCAGGACAATGTTTGTGACCTTCATTGTGTGAGGATGTAGAGCCTTTGGCAAATTGAGTAGGTGGATTGCTTCGTTGATCTTGGCAGAGCAAGGTTGTCCAAGGCCGGAGATCAAGAGCATTTATATCAGAGGGAATCGAGCTCCTCGTGTTGTTTAATTGTTGTAAAGGGCTCGGACCCTGCCATTTCTTTACTAGCTAATAACTAGTTTCTCATTATGTCCTTTTTTCGGAATTTGGGCTTTTTCATACGCGGTAGGGATATATTCTAGGGCTAAAATATTGTGATTGGCCCCAGACCTAGAAAAAAGCTGGTGGAAGGGTTAGGCCGCTGAGAAAAATAACAACACCACGAACGACAGATCGTATTTTGGGGGTTAAGCGAGACCGAGAACGAGTCCGACGCTTTGGAATTTGACATTTGACATTTTTGTGGGCCTCCATGCTTTTTCAATCAGAATGTAAAAGCAATATTGAATCGTCCTTACGCGAAAAGTCCATTCTCCAGGGGATGATGAGAAGAAGGCGCATTGAAAAAGGTGCCCCTTAGACAATCATTTACGCCGGGGCTTATGCATGAGAGCAAGGCCAGTGAGTAGATGAATGGCTGAGGTTGTTTCAAATATTGGCTGCAGATTCCACTTGACCACTTTTAACTGGTCTATTAAGCCCTGGTTGCATTTTCTACTAGTATTCCGCACGAATAGAACAGCAGAAAATGATTAGCCTTTTGCCTGATCTGATCTTTATGATCGCCCGTCCGAGGTCTATCTTGCAGCCCCTAGGTTATATCCAATTTTTTCTTGAATATTTGAGTGGTCAATTTGGTCCTGTCAAGGGGTGGAACACTTAGCAACCAATCAACTCTGATGCTATACGCAGGTTGTAATGTGGGGTCGCGGCGGACTCCAGCGTGATGCAACCATTTTAGGACATTGGTTACACCTGGGCTGATGATCGCGGGTGAACGGGCCTGCTTTTCAAAGAAAGCATGAAGGAAATACAAAGGGTTGCATCTAGAGCCTTCGAAATACTCCCCAAACACTTGCAACTATGCTAATGGCAAGATGGACTTGAATTCCTTTGTTTCCTCCTGCGTGGAATCTTCGAACTCCCGAAATCACAAAAGAGTAGACTAGTCAGACATGAGACCTTTTGAGATTTGTTGAGCAAAGCCTAGTGCCAGAGACTTCTTCAAGTTAGAATCATCATTACTGGCTCATCTATTCTATCGAATTCCCAAGCGCACCACACTCCCCATTTTGTGAAGAATGTCCTTCAAAAGAGCACGAACAATTGCTATATGAAGAATTCCAACGCGTGAACTTTTAGAAGGAGAAAAAATCGCGACAATTTCTTGGAAAGTGAGTCTGAAAGGGAGGCTCGGAACTCAAGAACAAGTTTCAATTCAGATAGCGTAGAGTTGTGAACCGCGAATCAACCTACCAAATAAAGGCGAAAACAGCTTTGTCCGAAGTAAATTGATTATATAGTGAAGCATCACTTTATTCATTTATTTTCATACTCAATTGCTGAATGGCGTTGATCATCTTTATTGCGCTACTCTACGGCGGTTGTCATTGAGAGTGCACGGGAGCAGAAGGGAATCATTCAGACTTAGCGTATTCAGGTAGCACAGATGGAGTCAATTGAGGAGAACCCCCCCGTAATTTACAGTATCTAACAATGACTCATTAAATGATGAAATGCAATACAGTATGATGCGCGGATGCGGCTAATCAGGCCTCGTTCATAGAGTAAGCACATGCGGATAGGCTGATTTCGGAGACGGGCCAAGAAGCAATACGGTACTTACAGGCGGAGGGGTAGCGTGTACAGACTACTGACGGCAATTTATCATGACTCATTGAGGCTACATCGTAATTGATCTTGGCCCGATAGGGAAACGTGAGGCACCGTGAGATAAGCAGAGAGAGTATCAAGGTAAATCTGATTTCGAATATCACTGTATCTTTTATTTGATACTCACCACTGAGAGCCTGCGTGAGGAAAGCCACGTGCGTCTTCTCGTCCGAAGCGACCTCCTGCAGGTTGGCGTAGAACGGATCTTTGAAGCCTGCTTTCACAAAATCTTCCCGGGTGTAGTTGTTGAGACCCTCCTCATAAAAGGTGGCCTCGAGGTGCTCGAGCGTTAAGGCATAGTTGAGGATATTGACTAATCAATTGAAATTTGTTAAAGTCCATTCCTTGATCAGTTCTGTGGGGAAAAATACCGTCGGTGATATCTGCAAGTGTGGCAACAGGGCTAGCCTGCGCTATACCAAGCATCGCACCAATCAACGTAATGTCGGTGACCTTCATTGTGGGAGGATGTAGATCCTTTGGCAAAATGTTTCGGTAGATTGTTTCTTGCGCTTTAACACAGCAAGATTTTTAGATTCCAAAAGCAAATGGACAAAGACATTTATACATAATGGCGATTGAACCCCTTGTGTTGTTGATATTTTAGGGCTTGGGATTTGCCATATCTTGACTAGCTAATGACTAGACTCTCGTACCTTTCTCTTCCGGAATTTGGGCGGCGCTTTCATCGTCAGTGGGGACATAATGTTAAGTCAAGTCTTATGTTAGGCGTTAGGGGTTCCAGATCTAGACAAAGCTGGCGGAAGGGTTAGATTGCAAAGAAACATAGCAACGCCACGAACAACAGGTGATGGATCTTAGGATATAGCGGACCGAGACCGAGACCGAGACCGAGCGAGAACAAGACCGAGTTCGACGTCAGGAATTTGAAATTCGAAACTGGTGGGGGTTTCCATGCTTTTTAAACGGAATGTAAGAGGCAACGTTAAATTCTCCTTATGGATAAAACTCCATTCTTCAGGAATGATAGGAAGAAGACTCTGGAAGACGTGTTCCTTGGAAAATCATGCATGTGGGGGCTCTCTTTATGAGACCAGAGCCGGTGAGAAGATAAACCTGTTTCAAAGTTTGGCTGTAAAGCCCACTAACCACTATTGGCTAAATTATAAGCCCCAATTCTATAGGGAGTGTATACTCACAGTACATTGAAATGGGTTGCACTAGACTAAATACTCCTACCCCTTGGATACTGAATTTAGTCCCATTAGAGAGACCAATCGTTGGATTGCTTCGTCGTTGCCACAGATCCGAATTCTCACACCCGGGCCGTAAAGCAGATTTGGTGGCGGCCTTGAAATCGAAGGGCTCGAAGAAGGGGAAATTGGCAGTCAGATACATTATGGAATTGGACGCAGAGTCGATAGCACGAGTAGGGAGGCAAAAGTGGTCGGCATCTTCATGTCAGTATCGAGTTTATTTAGTGGGGAAGGGGTTTTGAGGGGGGAGGGGAAAGAATCAAAGGGGTTTGTTTCGATAGCTGGAATGTAGAGTTAGGGATACTCTGTATCTAGCCCGACTATCGGAGATCAGAGGTGCATGATCTACTATGTGCACTTAAACTGCACAGATAGTTCCACGGGCGAGCGTGTCAAGGTCAAGTGCGGGAGAGATAGACATCTCGTTCGAGGCGTTCTTTTGGCGCTCATCGCGCCTAGCAGGCATTTTGCCAGCAGAGGGAACTGAGCGATAATTATTAGCAGAGTAGGGATACTTAGCTATAACCCTGTCTTCAATTTTGAAATTCGTTCCTAAGGATTTGTTTATCTTTGAGCGTTCTCCGTGAAGTCTTTGACTTTTGTTGTCCTCGTCATAGCCGCTTAATAAGGCACCGATATGGACTTTGTACATGCCAACTAATGTGGGTCTTCCAATCTTTCTTTCTGCGGAAGTAAGCATTAAGCTCTTCCCTTTGCGCCAGGATTCCCTGAAGGCGGCCAGGTGAAGCTGCTGCTAGTCACTGTTTTCTGGGCCGTTTCGTTTCGTGCCAGCTATTCCGGTCGGCCCTTCCTTTGTACTATGTATCTGCTCCTCTCACTGTCACGGCTGTCTCTCGCCTCGATTCTGTCTCCTGGTAGATTGTCTCTCTCTTTGAGATCCACTGTGGATTCCAATTATCGTGAATAAATGTTGCTTTTCGTTGTGCTATATCAGTTATCCTGTTTCCTCGGCATTCTCGATTATCTTCTCGGCTGCCGGACACGATTCCAAAAACCCTACTATGGAATGGTGGCGGCTGTTCAGTGGAAGTGGATTTCAGAAAGAGTGTTAAGTTGGTCGATGCATGATTTCCCCCCCTATTCTGGACAATTTATTGCACACTTCACGAATCCGAAGGCAATTTAGCTAACTCACACCTAAATCTCACACGGCCTACGTGGGATTGCCTCATGCTCAGTCGTATTAACCCATCTTGCCCGCAGATGGGACTACGACCTCTTTTCACCACGGAATACGGAAGAAGCCACATCGCGAATACTACAATAGCCCATAATTCGCCTGCTCTGGCAAGGCCGGATTGAGTAACCATCTTTGCCTTCTTGACGGGATACTTTTGTGCTTAATTAAATGAGTTATCGCGAGCAGGCGACACGAGTGTGGCGCTTTCGACAATCGCGAAGAGTGCTTTCCGTCATGCCCCACGCCTTATCTTCTTAGCCACCCTTCTCCATATGAACGGCTATTTATTATAGACAAATGGAAGACGACCAATGACTCTTGTTGTGATATAAGGCTGGTGCAGATCAGGAACCTAATCGCAACCTCGGTATTAATCCCGAGTTGTCTATATGAAGAACAAGTTGATTGGAAATTAACTTGATCTTCTCGTTGTATATATAGCCTCAGTTATTCCCTTGGTACAAGAACAATCAATTCATACCTCTGAACTACATGAATTCTATCAAGGTGCTGGATAAATCATTCGTAATGTGGCATGTTCTCGTCGTCATGTCGCTACAGAACCACGCAGCAGGAGCTTTTCCGCTTATCCGAGACTATCAGTGCGGCTCGGGTGGCTGCTTCAAACACGTCGTCGATGCCCTCACCTGTAAATGATGAGCACTCGAGATATTCACGGGCGCCGATTTGGGGACCCATGTCGTTTCCTTCTTTGGTCGTCACAAATCTGAGCGACTTCTTGTGCATCTCTTCAATGGCAACAGAATCTTTCCTAATATCCTTTTTCAGACCTACCAGGATAATCGGCACGCTAGGACATCGTTCGTTGGCTTCTTCAATCCACTGTATCAGGGGTTAGTAGGTGGAATGAACCAACAATTCTGGAAGCTATCGACCTTGTGCTTGACATTCTCCAGAGAATCTGGTGCGTCCACAGAGAACCCAATAAGGAGGACGTGGGCTTTCGAGTATGCCAGTGGTCGCAACCGCTCATAATCTTCCTGTCCAGCTGTATCCCAAAGAGCCATTTGAACCGCACGGCCGTCTACCCGGCAATCAGCCACGTAATTTTCAAATACAGTAGGCATCTAAACATCAACAGTTAGAAGAGAATAGATGACTTCGAGCAGCAGTCGATTCAACTAACATGGCGCTATGAAGAGATTAGTCAGTCAAGGCCTATTTTTGCATATTAATAGGAATTGGTAGAGCTCACTGTTGGAAAGCAACCGAGAGTGAAGACACTCAGCAGACTTGTTTTTCTACATGCACCGTCGCCAATGACCACTAGCTTCCTACACATGCGAATCTAGATTAGTATTTATTCCATAGTATACTTGCGGTAGCCTGCAACGAATGTGAGTGAACTACCACTCTCTTCCGTAGTGACATTTCCAGCGACGATGTGTCAAGGCGACGGTCACAGCAGGAGCTGGGCAGTTGCTCTGCTATACTTTGGCGCGGGAAGGGCTATGGCAAGTCACAGTGAGGAAATGAAATGGCCGCGCGAACTTCCGCATCACATTGTCGTCGTTCCGTTGTTGGGCCATGATCGATGAGTACTTGGCGAATGCTGCTGGCAGAGAAGGAAAGGAGGGTCAACAAGAGTATTGAATCGCTTGGAACTTCGTGGCAGCGATGCCCTGAAACGAAGGAAGGGAGTGAAAGGGATTACTACCGCATGCGAGCTGACCGCATACCTGTCTTGCGCTCCCACTCCCGACCATTTTTGCCGATCTCGACGCTGATTGGTCCGATTCTACACCAAGAACTGCTCTTATTGACCTCTAAGTTCTCGCTGTTGATTCGCCCTTCGTTCTCTCGTCTCATTGCTTTCTGCCTCACCACGTTCCATGTCCGATTGTTACTTTGGCCGTTGATTCCTAGGGTTGTGATATGGGGCTGGTGCAGATCAGTAAAAAAGCCGCATAATAGGAAATAATTCCCAAGATATCTATACGAAGAATCATTTTGATTTCCATAATAATACAGTCTATTTACTCCTGAACTACAATAGGTTATGAGCCTGGTATCCAACTCTCAGGAGCCGTTTCTACTCATCCGAGCAATACCGACAGTAAAAAGAATAGAAGACTTCATTTCGGTAGAAAAGGTAAAGTGAGTACCTTTAGTCAGGTAAACGGCCATAGACCTATATGCTTTCGCACTATCCTTTCTGCTGAGCCAAGCAATCTTAGCCACAGTAGTTTCATTCTCCTTGCTGAAGGCTGCCGCAGCTTCGGCTCGGATCTCGTCTTTCTTGTCTAGCACCACAGCCTTCTTGACGCTGTCGACCTTGATCGGGTAGAGATCATCACAGAGTATCCGGGCTCCCGCACCAATCTTGGCTTCCGCCACTTTCTTGACCAGCTGGTGTTTATCTTCGTCCCGGCAAGCTATTCTGATTCAGTTGGTGTTCTTCAGGTCCACGGTAACAGCGCGACGGCGCCAGTACGTATGGCCTTCCATCGTCCGAATCTCTGTCTCCACCGCCGCCCGGATTAGGCCAGCAGACATCCTCTTGTTTTCATTTTCTGCTGTCTTCGAGGTGTCTACCGTGCAATATAACGTGTCGGTGAACGTGGTTGGTGTTGTATTCAGTGACTGAGTGGAGAAGTACAGGTAATATCTGCATAGGACAGGGAGCCAGAGGGAACAGAAGGGCTGATTGCATCACACAGGGATTGAATTTCGCGTCAGGGCCTGCAGATCGTGTCGGACTTCGGCGAGGGCGGCACTAAATTCCTCTTTAACTTTCTGAAGTTCTCCCTTGTACAATTCATCTCGCCGTCTAATCTCTCGCCTGAGATCGATAAGCTCCTTTACGAGTTTAGAGGCACTCAGGTCGTCGCTCTCCGTCAGAGAGTCGTCCAAACTTGCCGCGTCACGTTGGGTTACTAGCTTGTCCTGGGGTTTCTTGCTCTGTTGAGAGCGTATCTTTCTCTGTTCGTTGCCGATCTCTTACTCCCAAGCATAACTATTTGGTGGTCTGGTGGTGCGTCTCGGTCTCGACAATCCTGTCGGTGAATCTTCATGTTCGTCGCGGTCGGGCGGTTCAGGGGTTCGCATCGCGGTCCGTCCCGCCATTGTTCAGTCGATACCGGGGAAGTCGGTTCCGTCGCTACGTGGCACGCTCAAACTCACACAGTTCCTCAATAGGTACAGTACCTGTTTCTCGTGGGATACAGGCGCGCTCGAGAATTCCTCCGTCCCACGATATCACGCCACCAATTAGTAGTAGTACATGTACCATGACTGGCATGGCTAGACTCAACGGATATCTCTATCGAATCAACGTAGCGCAGACAGATCAGTGTGCAGGTGGACAAGCAAGAGAAACCGTGGAGCACTTTCTCTTTCGATGTCGGAAGTGGACTACATACCGGACGGAAATGCTGCAGTGCATCCACACCCACCGAGGCAACATATCCTTCTTCCTGGGCGGAAAATCGCCGTCCGATGATCAGAACTGGACGCCGAACCTGGAAGTAGTGCGAGTCTCAATACGATTTGCAATCGTCACGGGTCGATTGGACGCCAGTTGACCACGTCGACCAACACAAACGAGCCCCTCCCCCAAACTAACCTACATCAACCACCTCGTACCAGAAACGATAGACGTACTTCAATTGCAGAGAATAGGATGTTTAACACTTGAATAAGCGCCTTCAAGCCCGTCTACTAACAAAATAACTACCCCACGAGGACCCGTCACGATATTGACAGCTGAGATGACATAAACGGAAAGTCATCATGTGTGGGCTCCAAGGAGACACGGCATATATTAGGACATGTATTTAATAGTTGCCCTTTCGGCTTAGCCGCCGGGCGTTAATGAATTGTGTGTGTGTGTGTATCAAAAAAAGGGGTGTGGACAAGCGAAGTGCGTTGACCACCGTTTAACCCACACCCCCTGGGTGTTTATCAACCTTAGGGTTAAGGCACGAAAGGTGCGCCGCCTAAGGTGACTATTGTCCTATCAGGAATAGCCCGAATGATCAATATTCCTGGGGATTTTCTTTTGTAGTATCTTACCATCAAATAAACAAGACCTTACGCCTGATCACTGTACGGCGTATGGAATAGATCTTCAGTTACTCGCGCATTGCCAGCGCCCCACAGGATGTTGCTTTCGGTCTGGAACGAAAGCGAGACCGAGAGCGAAAGTTTGCAACTTATGTATGCATACCGTACTCGTAGTGTATGAGACGTTTGGGAACTGCCTAATCATACGTTTGTCAAAGTGCTATTCGGAAAGTTATATTTAATACACGTGCCTAGACAAGCGTTCGGGAAAATGGTCGCTATATTACGGGGTTCACGACACAAAAGCAAATCAAGGCTCGCTCTCGCTCCTGACCTTCCTCACTCCACTCAACAAAAGTGGAACACTCAAACTTTATCGTTTGTTGTGAATCATATTACTGATATGCCATATTTAACGTAATAAAAGCAACTTCTTAGGTAAGGCATAATCAAAAAATGTGTCGGCGACCGATGAATTGGTCAGGCTTCATAAATATCAACGGAGTATCATTAAGCGGCTGTTTTGCTTCAAGTCCATCGGCCCGTCTGTTCTGCATGAATGTAAAAACTCGGGGTTTTTTGCTTCATCAAAGGTCCCACTCCTGTGGATCCAGCCTGAAGCGGGCTATAGTGGTGTCTTCCCACTGATAATTGGGTTAAAAGGCATAATCCAGCTAGCCACAAAGACGCGAGCCGGCCAATTCCACTGGTCTTGTAGATCAGGGACAGAAAAAATGTATATATGCTGCTGCCTCTTGTAAAATCCAATGGGCAAGGTGATTCAAACTTCAATAAGACGAACACTTTGCGACAGAATCCACCACGATGGTTCGCGTGTCCTACCTGGCAGCCCTGGCGGCTCTGTGCTCTCTCACCAGTGCGCAGGCTGGCCCGAACACTCTCGCACAGTATAACCCATCTAAAAGGACCATGTCTGTGAATTCGAGTTCGTTTCCCCTAAGCCCGTCTATATGTGCTGTAGTTAACAAATTCTAGCGTTCTGCATTCTCCCCATCAGCAAAGCGGACGCCCGGACCATTTCCGGCTATGAGCCACTCGACGTCCCTAAGAGTGTCCTTCCATCCTTCCCTGACGGTATGCACCCGCTTATTGTACAAGCTGGCTACAATAATGACATCCGCATGACGGCCTTGAGCCTCGTTCCGCTGCAGATTCCCAATCTTATGCAAGGTTCTCTCGTCCTGCCATACATCGACGTAACCAAGGATGGGAAAACACCTATTAACACTCCCATCAACAACTATGTCGGAGGGACTGACGGCCATGATCTGCAAGCGCTCGTTCCTGCTATTGCTGCCGGTATCTCGCCTTTCGAGGGTACAGATACGTTCCCCGCAAGCTTTGCGCCGGATAATGCCGCCGTCGAGAGCTTGCCGGGTGGCCTATACAGCATTAATGTGAAGCCATACTTACTGCCTAATACCATTTCTGGGCCCGGTGTCTATGCCGAAGCATTCGATATGCTGTACACACTCACGCAAGTCTCGCCGTACACGGATCACACCTTTCACCATCTACTCAACCATCCACAGCTGCTGAACAATGGGAAGTGCCAGCGTAACCAGCTGTATTTCAATGAGACGTTTGCAGACCCTAAGATGGCCGTGGCAAATGTGACGTTATACCACCAGATCTTGTCCACGCCACCGGCACTAATTGAAGGACAATACACGAATGTTCACTGCTACCTGGCGAATGCAGAGCAGGTTGGAGAAACTGGCGAGTCTTGTGCCTCTGCGGCGGCGAAGGTGGATCCTATGGCGCTCCAGTAAAACTCTGTGCGACCACTCACGAACTGTCACGATGAACCACCCCTGTGGGGCATGAGATTGTGGGGCGAATCGAGTAAATCCCGGCTTTGGTGGAGTGATTATGTATCTCGCCTGTTACTGCCGACTCGTTTTATCACGCGTTCAGAAGCTCTGAAGGATTGAAATTTAGCTTCGGTACTGATGCAACTGCTACTTGAATATGTTGTGAGATTGTGATTGATCGAATTTCCACGCTTTCATGTCAATATTTCTCGAGCGAATGGAGGTAAGTGGGCTATCACAGGATTGTATAAAGAGTAGCAGATTCACACGCCTTTTTGTTTTGGCACCCACAAATCCTCGATTCTCGATGCATTATGTACAGCAATTGGAAAAACTCATATGCGCTCTATTCAGCCAAGCTAGACCCCAGACTTACAGTCATTAAGTATACATCCTTCGCCTACAAGGCCCTCGTCATTGGGACCTACAGTATAAGTGTTTCGGGATTGACCATTTGGAATTATCATCTAACTTGATTCAAACAATACACCTAGAGCCCTTCATTACACATTACGCAATGGACTGATTGTACATTGTCGACATAGTGCAAATGATAAGCTGGATCTAACTTGTGTCAGCTCTCCCATCACGTAGGCTCAAATTATGGAAAAATACCTCAAGTGCAATGACCCGTTTCCTTGAAATTGCGCCAAGAATAGCGGCTTCTAACAATATAAGACCCATGTTTGATAGATGAACTAAGGTAACATGCAGCTTTTTCCGGCCCTGTGTGGCGCCTTTTACTAACCACAGGTACCATGCCATTTCACTAAGATGATCCAAAACAGAAGGAAAGGAGTGATGCAATGAATGATATCTAGCGTAAATGTCCCAATGAATGTAATTTGTGTCTTTGAGACCGTAGAGGTTAAAGCATTTACTCGGCATACGACACGTGTCGATCGTTTTATGAATGGATTATTGAGCTGCTGGCAATTGATGCGAGGAAATTGGGCCAGTATTAGCTTAGAAGTAGTCTATTTAGTAATCCGAGATATACAGTTTGATTGGGCGGAATTGTTGAGAGAATTCCAAGTATTATCTAGATCCATATCGATGGTTTCTTGCCCCAGATCAACCCTGTCAAAACGACGCATTGGGGTAATGATGACACGTATAGAGCCAAGTCAATCTTATAAAACGGTCAATCATCTTTGAAGACCCACAGAAAGAATAACCTGGCAACCAAGGCAAATAGGATCAATATGATGAGCATTGATTGGATGGACTGTTCAGGGCCAAGGTAAAAATGAAATTGACGTCGATGTGTCGTGGTGGGGAGAAGACGCAGATGGTGAAATATAGGTTTTTTAATATGGCGATACGCAACTGAACAACCGGAGAGCCTTGGAGATTTTCCATGAAGAAGTTGGTCAATTTAAAATCAAAGTGCATCGTAATGCCAGAGGGTCTTAAAAAGGTGAATGTAACAAGTAGTAGCCTTCTGTGGGCCCAACTGTCTCGCAATTCTGGCTTCTTTACGCTCACCCTCCCTGAATCCGACGGTCACCATCGCCTTACTTTTTCCTTTAGGATTTTTGTAAGGTAGGGCTACCAGGTTAAGGAGGTAGCTTAGCTTAAGAGAAAGGATAAGATACTGGGGAAGTTTGTATTATTCAGTATTTAGCTAGACTCAGCAGAGGAGCCGAATTTATCCTTAATAATAGTCTTCTGCTCGGCCAACGGTATATTGGCAGTGTAGAACACTGAGAAATTAAGAAGAAGAGATACTTTCAGTATCAACGGTTCAGCCACCTTATATAGTCGTACAAAGAAACTCTATACTGTAGCTATTAAAATGAAATATCATAATCATCATCATCATCGTCTGTATATGGAAGTTATACAATATCATTTACTCTTTTGCCTTTTGTTCAAAATCAATATTGTATTCATGTTTGGTGTTCTGGACACTTGTACTAGTGAACAAATCTTCTTGGGCATACCAAGACATGTTCTTAAGATTTGGTGTCAACACGTCAAACACGTTTTAGACTTCGGAACATCATACCCCCACAAACCAAGTGAAAGATCACTTGGGAACTTCCGGGAAAGACTTATACATACCACACGCACTGAATCAATCAGAAGTACAAATATTGAGGGTATACAGCATATCAGGAACCAAACTTGCACCGATGAGAAGCGAGGCTCGCTGGGAATGTGGGGATGATCGGTAACAACCCATCCTTCCATTCAGGCTCATCCACCTCTACAGATTGTTGCTAACCGTTTTCGTTCTCTCCTTTGCTTCAGGACTCTCCACGGCTCCTTAGAACATGAAAAACAACAAGCAGTCCAACACTTAATTGTGCGAAGTCACTTGTGCTGCGCCTTGAACGAGTGACCTTCTGGTCGGCCAGGAACACATCAAAGCAGCAGGTTCCTTGGCACAAATCAACGCGATATTTGCTCTTAGATTTGCTACCCCGGCTCACTACGCCCCACGAACCCTGTTGATCGTCTTGGCTGTTCGAAATGGCACCGAAGTAACCAAGGGACCCTTCCTTCACGCACCACTCGCTGCCATGCCTGTTAATTCAAACTTGACAGAGTTTCCAAGACAGAGCCTCCTTCATATTCTGCGCCGAGGGGCGCTCAGAGAAAACCCTCGGATGGCTTGATCGATGCCAGCGACCAAACTACAACATACTTAAGCTCGGCCTACCGGTCGGGCATGGTCACACGCCTCAAGAAGAGCCCACATCTCACGCCATCGAAGCGGATGACACAGACAATCCCCTCGATAAGGAGTCTGCTGAAGAAACAAAGGACTAGTATTAGAATGGCTCCTAGGCATGGGAAATCGCGCGGCGTTAAGCGTCGCTGGTCCCGCTCCTCTGGTCGGCTTCTTTGTGAAGATCAGCAGCACGTCTTATGATTCCTGGCGTTATATTGCATCACCGAATACTGTGGTTTCTATTATTGCCACCATCAGCAAAGCAGCTCTACTGGTTCCTGTTTCGCTCCTCCTGGGTCAACTCAATTGGAATCAGGATAGCACTCCCGCTTCGGCTCTGCTTTATCACTTACAAGCTATCGACCAGGCGAGCTATGGGCCTGGGGGTGCTTTGGATGTGCTTTGGAGAAGCATAAAGGAACTGAGAATGAATGTGTTGATATTTGCGGGAGCATTCATAACAATTCTAGCCCTTGCTGTGGATCTATTTGGGCATGAGATGTGGACTCTACGGAAGATGGACGAGATGCAACCGATATCCGAAAGTATCTATGCAACAATGCACCGAGAGGAAGACCGCCCTGTGTTTATTGAGGGATAAATCCAAATTTATTTGTTTGAAAGCTTCCGGATGGCACATGTGCGCGAATCATTTAAAATATCCCAATTTGGAATATCTCCTCAAGGGGTCTGGTCACCTTTCTACAGAAGCTAAGTCGATCCGGCTGCAGCTGGTCTATACATTCCACTGCGCAGCTGCTTACAATCATATGAAACCACGCCGATTCCGAGGATCAAATATGCGAAGCGAACCACCCACTTCCAAAGTCTTAAAATCTACATTACAACCTGTCTCCAGTATACTCCGTCCGACGGAATCCGCCCCTCGCCGGGCTGATCCTTGCCACATGAAGCTTGAAGGAGTGAACAGATCAGGAATCTCCTTATGCACTCGCCGTTTACAAGGGATCCTAGTGGGTAGACCTGTCACTCTCCTTTGACGGGGCGAATGGGTTGAAACAGGGCGAAAGGCAATCTGCAGCAAATTACAGGGCCAGGTCTGCGATCATCAATCACCGATCAGCAATCTATAATACGAATTGCCTAGACGGGCTACATGTGGGTCTCATAATTTTAATCATAATCATTTCATATTGATCTTCATATTCATATCCTCTAGGGTATCATTATCTATTGCAGTAGTGCAAATCGAATCCAGTTCGTTCGCATATTCTATGTATTGACAAAACCAAGTTAAATCAAAGTGACTCTAGAACTTCAAATTCAACGATCGAAAACGCCTTCCCTCCAGTGCCAGCCTGGATTTCCTTCAGTTTTCTTCCAGTCTGCTTATTCAAGATTTCGCTTGATTCTCAGCTCTCGACCCTCGTCGCAGGTCACTTGGTACGATCCAATGCGTCGGGTTGTAGCCTGGCAGGACTCGGCGCCCGCCGACAGATCGACGATTACGCCAGAGGTCTCGCTCTTCTCGCACATGGTGTTCTCGAAAAATTCCACCTGGCAGCCCGGGGCGATGGTGTTCAAGCGGTATGCGGATGCCATGGTGTTCAGGTCGGCGCGGCAGCCGGTGCTACCCATTCCGGAGTGGATGTCGCTGCTGACCTCGCCGTCGCATTGTGTGCTGGGGTACAGGTCGAAGGACCACTGGATGCCGCGCTTCATGAAAGGGAAGGCGATGGCCATGTTGACCAGGAAGAGGGTGGTGAAGAGGCGGATAGCGAAAGACATTTTGTAGGGGTGCGAGTAGAACGAGGGTAGTATTTGCAGCAATGCAGCGAGTATGCAACGAAAGATGCCTCACGATCTGAATACAAGTTAGCACCGAAGAAATGCTTGAATTTGGCATGGGCAGCTGGGTACATACCGTGCTGGTGCACTGGAGTGTCAAAGAGTGAACTGGTTGAGGATGGATGAAGGAATCGATCTGGCAGTTCAGGGTCTTAAGGATAATCCAAGATAATTCAAGATAAGTGGATTCACCCGGTGGATGACGGGCGAAAGTCTCCATTTTAATAACATTGGCTTGTCAATCCCTAACAGTGTGAAAAAGCCCCCGCCACCCGTTTGTTTCAGCGCCGATCAGTTCCTGCACTCCACGGCGACGTATACTCCGGCGCCACAGCGCTTGGACGTACATACCAAGTAGGTATCCGGACTCCGTATCCACGAGAATTTAGATTAGAATGATTCTCATACTTACTAGAACTGCAAATAATATTTTGTTAATTTTTTTCCCCTTTCTTTTCCAATCATCAGATCGAAAAACGGAGTCCGCCGCGAAGGCCTCATTCCGGCGGGCGCAGATCTTCTTCGCAGATGGAAAGATGTGGGGACTCTTACGTCGCCAGGGACGCGTAATTCCAGAGACACATGTACCCCTCGAGCCTGCACACTGGTTCAGGGTCCAAGTCATATCTATTAACTATTATTACCCCTACGATGGTGTCTAGGATTCGAGTATAGTACTCGTATACTCGTACTCCGTACTCCTTGTGGAGTGCAAGAGACAAATCGTGAAGCTAAAAAAAAATTAGTTTGTGCTTTTCGAAGAGTTGTTTAAAGTGGCTGCTGACTGTACAGAATACATAGTTAGGAAGTGTTACTATTTTCATCCACTTCGCCACTGAATTTGCAGTACCTGCATATCTCAGCTGGTCGGCCTCCTCGATCTCAGGTTCAGTGGTCTCGGTCGATTAGTCGCCTAGTTGCCTGGCTGGCTATGCCCTTACTCGTATGCTCACCTGCTAGATGACCACATCGTCATGGCAAGGTATTTCCGTAGCGCATTCCTATCTATAGAACAATTCGTGTCTCGTGTGCGCAATGCAACTACAATGTACAAAGCAGAGTGTACGAGTAGAATGTGCGATCAACCACGCTAGCAACCACACGATTTCCTCCGCGGATCCAAGTATTCTGCCCTACAAGCCATGGGAATATTCGACGATCGTCGTAGAAAAGTTCTGCGCCGGTGACGATCATTTCGGGTTCCGCCGGTCTTTACGAGTACTCGCACTCCGTACTACTTTGGCGCCATAAGCCCCCCTCGTTTCATACAAACTGGGGTTTTTTGGCGAAACACCTCCTGCAGATTCGTCATCCTGGGTAAAGTTCCATTTGATCATTTGCAATTCAACTCACCATCGCTATAGCCATCATTTAGAGAATATTGAAATGTGGGATGCGGGACCAGCCTCGTTCTGCTCGGCTTCCCGGGTCCACTCGGCTGTCTCTCCACTTGAAGATTCGCCCAGATCCAACATTTTTGACGGGGTTGGGGCGCCAGCCTCCAATACGTCATTCTGTGCAGCGAATGGCAATATCAGTGTGCAGATGGCGAAATCACACCAGCCTTCAACTTGAGAGGGGTCGGTGATTTATTTCATCCGGGCGCATACGGTCGCATTTGTATGCAGAGGATGGAGTAGATGCACCCTAGGTACTTTGTACTCGCGCAGCCACTCTTTTGTTATGCGTATTCGTATGCATCGCTGTCCCTCTGATCAGTCTGACTAGATGTGGATGCTTTTTCCAGGACAACCCGGCTTTTCTACCGACGCTCCACTGCTCCATGCCGATCTCTCGCTTAACGGACATGACCTCATGCCATGAGAACCAGGGAATGTCTTGATACAAGTGCTCCATAGTACTCCATACGCTGTACTCCGCTAGCAACGGGTACGGGGTACTTCGTAATAGTAGTTAGTTTGTTTACTATCTCCAATCCTACTCACAACTCAAGTCATTGTTTCCCAATTGAAAGACAAAAGCCCAATCACTGTCGCCTGCAAGAGTCTCAAGGATATTGACACCAATGTTAAACTTGAACCTTCCAAGCCTGCGACATACAGAGTAGAGATCATTGAATTCGGTTTCATTTCAGGGGTTTCCTATGGAGATGGCCCTGCAATATCCCATATGTCTTCCCTTGACGAGTCATGCCCCTCAATCGACAGATCACTTTGCGCCCAACCTCTTAGCGCAGCCGATCTCCCTCCGCCTTCCGCCAAACAAGCCCACAATCAAACGATCTAAGGGAGAAAATCCAAGCCCAAGCCCCGTATAGAGTCACGGGAGGGAAGACGAAGCGTCGCGCCAAAACGGCCGTCAACTATGAGTAGCAAATAGTATGGAACTATTCCGGTCCGTTCGAAGATGGCGATGCGATGCGATACGATGGAATACTCAGGCTGACCTGACCGGAGCAGATAATGGCTCGCCTTCATCTGCCCAACGAGATCATCTTGATGATCGCGCAGTATCTTACGCCTCGTGGTGTTGCGAATCTGATGCTTGGTAATCGGGAATTGTATAATCTTCTCCGGGGTGGTGTAATCTTTGATCGGACGCCGGGTTCTTCGAGGAACGAGGCTATCCTATGGGCGAGTCAACATGACCGCAAAGATGTTGTTCTTGCGATGCTGCACCGACAAGGTGAATTCGGATATCGGGACTGGCAAGGATTCGAAATTGTCAGTGAGACCCCGAGTTCCGAGTTGCACTTACCGTTGAGATTTGCGGCTTGGTATGGACATGTGGAGATTATAAAAATCTTGCTCGATTGGGATATCAACACTATCCGGGATGATCTGCGTGCCCTGCCCGCCGCAGTAAGTGGTCAGCATTTGGAGGCTGTCAAGGTTCTCCTCGAATATTCGGCAAAGGTGCCGGAGGATAGTCCCGAAACATCTGCCTCTGAACAGGAGTACACCATAGATGAGAATCCTCCGGTCCCAGAGCCTCTTTCCCCCCCGCGCCACCGCCACCAAAGGTTCCTGAACCAGGCGTTCGTTGACGCTATCAGACATGGGCATGATGAGATCATAGAGGTCCTAGTGGCCGATGGTCGGGCACAGATCAGCCTAGCAGAGGCTGCACGTATTGGGAATGAACGGTTCATGAAGCTCAGCTGTGCTAGCGAAACCCCTAATGCTCTAGGTGAGGGTAGATTGTCACCGTTGGGGGTGGCTGCAAAGGTAGGGCACGAAGGTGCGTTGCAGATTCTCTTTGAGGCGGGCTGGGATGTGAATCTTCGTGATGGAGATGGCAGAACACCACTTTTCGTCGCGGCTACTTCTGGCCAGGAGGCGATTGTGAGGATGTTGCTTGGTAGGAAAGATGTCAATGCCGATCTCGCAGACAACCAAGGGCACACACCACTTCTTGAAGCCTCACGCAAGGGGAATGTGGCCATCATCGAGCAGCTTTTGGCAGCTGAGAACGTGAATGTGAACCCAAGGACTTCATCCGGCCAATCGGCATTGTCATTTGTGGCTGGCCAGGGCATCGAAAACGCAGTGCGTTTGTTTCTTTCTGCGGGCGCCCATCCTGATACCCGCGACCATGTTGGACGCAGCCCATTATCTCTCGCCGCCGGGGCTGGATTCCCGGCCGTTGTAGAGCTGTTGCTTGCAGTGGATGGCGTGGATCCAGATTTGAAATGTAAACAAAGCCTGACGCCGCTTGCATACGCGGTCCTTTCGGGTCGCTTCCCAGGAAGAGTCAACGGCGAAAAGATCAACACTATGGCCGACCGAGATGAGCAGCAGATGTTGGATGTTCTTCGGGGATCGATGGAGGATCGCATGGGTTGTTTGAGAGTTGGAGAGGAAGCTCTGGGGAATGGTGCTGCGCTGTCGATCATGAAGCTGCTGCTCGAGGATAATCGGGTTGATCCTAATTCGCGAGATGCCAAAGGCAGGTCAGTATTGTGTTTAGCAATATTGAGGGGAGAGCTTGGAGCAGTGCGACTTCTCGTGTCTTCAATGAAGATCGATTTGAAGAGCAACATTTACCGGAATCTGACTGCGGTTGACTTGGTCAAAGAGAAGTATAGGAGGAAGCGCTTCAGTGAGTGGCGGTTAAACTGTGACAAGAGCACATGAATTGTTCGATGGGCTTATACTCCGGACCTTCTTCACAATTAGAACTTATTCAATAAAATATAATGATTATTCAAAGACACTCATCCACTTCTGGGCTCTCTACTGAAGTTAGCTGAAGTAATGAGTATTTATTCTCATATCCAACTGCCACTTCTGCGGGCACTTCCCACCACCATTGTGGGAAGCTTTTTAACCCTTTCCCCAACAAAATTAAATGTAAAAACAATCATTATATACTTATTCTCACAGGCACTATCTATAGATACTAATTTAATTCAGTCCGGGCAAGAAACAGGAAAAAGTGAGGTCTATCACATGGCATAGTTATGGCCGGTCCACCCACACATCAACAATGTAAACAAAAAATATTTGTCACAACGTAAGGATGAAAAAGAAAAAAAGCTAGGCAGAGCAACGAAGGATTTGAAATGCCGACCTTGAAATTCTGAAAAAAAAAATGGCAAAAAGATCAGCCCCTATTCAGCTTCTCCTATCCCGCATATGGACTTTCCTAGAGGAACCAATTGTTCCCCTAGACCATAAGGGCCAACGTTCCAGGGTAGAGACTTCTTAAAAATAAAAGCACGCCATTACTCCCCTTAGGTGACTGATATCACAATTTGTATGTGTGAATGTCATCACCCAACACACCGTGATACACATGCTCACTCTTCTGTTTACTTTTGCTTTTAACCAACAGTATATACACTCACGATGTATTAGACTGCTTATTTCCAATATCCTCTTTCATAATTCGAAAATAATTTATCGGAATTGATATAATTTCGCCAGAAACGACAAATATGGATGATCTGTTGATTGGAAAACGCCAATATCCTAAGTAAATACCATCCACATCAGGCATCAACAATAGTGACGACCCAGTCCATTACAGTATTTTCACCACTGATATAACACACTACTAAAAATCTCCTTCATAATCCTAACCTAGAGAGCTCCCCAGCTTTCTAATATAATGATAGGGTCACTATGTTTCACTTCGCAAGGGTAAGAGCCAACACAAGCTTGCATCAATTCAAGGTAGGGACATGTATTTGCCTCTGATCAAAGATGTATGAGTCCTTCATGTTTATTGACTCTGGTGTCCTTTAGAATTCTACACGTATTTTTATCCTAGTCCTTTGGTCAGCAGCAACTTCAGAATAATCGACAATATAGGCGTAAATACATTTGTAAGACCGTCTTCACGCCGGCCATCAGGCACACAACATGCAATGTAGTTTGTGCATTCAATCTGGGCATTTCCTAAGGCATTGTAAGTGGCTGAAATGGAATACGGAATTGCATTATCTCGAATTTCCATACCTATGATTGGGGAACATCCAGAAAGTATGCTGGTCGGAATCAACTGTTGTAAAGGTCCTGTAACAGCTTCCCCGAGGACCGCAACAGAATTGCCAATGATATTGGTCCCCGTACCGGGAGTATCAAATATTTGGGTCCCTTCGGCAGAGTTTCTGAAGTTCGAGCAACAGGAAAGCTCAAAATTGGCACACTGCTGCGTCAGATGTTTGAGTTCCCGATATTCGGAACCTTCGGGGGAGGGCAGCAATAAGCAGCGGGCAGGAAACGATGGGAAATAAGAGAGAAAGCTTCATAATGGATGGAGTGAATATGAGTCTTAGGGAAGGTGGATTAAAACACGAGGTTAACGTCAATTTTAGGAAATAACATACTCAAACTTGAAGGTGGAAGCGAGGGTTTTTAAATAAAGCGAAAAATTGAATTGTAACTATGTAGGTAAACAAGCCATGAGGTTATTATTTGCAAGTTGTTGGCACATTTTTGGGACTTGGGCAAATTACGTACAGGGGTTGCTTGGCATTGGATAGATGAGTTCAGGCCTCCAAATGAAGGTTAGGAAAATGGCATGAGGGAACTCGGGCAAATTATCCCGAGGCAAGTTTGAATATACCCTGAACAGAGTTTGAATATAACACCCACCATCATAGCAATGTCAATGATAGGAATGCACCTATCAACGATGTGGCGCATAACTAAATAGTTAACAGACCCTCCTCAGGGAACGATCCAATATCGGAAACAAACGTATAGGCCAGTCTGATTCAAGTTAGTGTATGTTGGAAAATCAAGGGGATACGCTATTCAATAGACACGGCCAACCCAATATATGTGGCACGAGACTATTCAGGTACTCCGACAATACACGATCCAAAGGCCTAAATTTCTTAGCTTCAGGAGCCCCATGAATATGTACTGCATTCCTGTGTCGGTCCATTCTGAACGTCTTCCTAGGTCAAGGTGATAGAGTTCACAGCACAATGAAAAACAAAAGCATTTCAAAAAAGCGATGCTATTCCTATAGGCCACATCCTATTATTTTTTCGTATTCGGTTCAATTGGTAACGCTATGTGAGAAATTCTTAGGCTGCTATTCAGCATGATAGGTATTGCTAGTCATCCCTTGATAGGTTGTTTGATAGCTGTAGCAAGGTATTCTGTCGCTTATATGAACAGGTTAGCGAGAGTTAGCGAGAGTAGACAGACAGAGGCAAGGGGTAACTTTTCCCGTGCAATAGGGAAAGCGAAAAGACCCGAACCACCAATCAAATACCAATAGGGGTTTCTCGCTTTATTTTTGAAAATATCTCAACGGCGCCCTAGAAAAGTCTATTCTTTTCTATCTCACTATTGCAAATTCATGTTGCACGTCCTTTATGGGTACCTTGTTCATTCCCGATAAATATTGCGACATGAAGGCCACTCACTGCATTCAGCGGCATTCGCATCTAAGAATAATATCTAGTTTTAGCTTACGAAGTATCAGGTTGTGAATGAGATTCAAATCTTAGTTGAATGAAAAGATTCAAGGACACCACGCACTAGTTATACAAAGTCAGAGATTTTACAGCCTTAACAACAATCTAAACAATTGTGGCATATGTGCAAAGAGTGTAAGTTGGGCCTAACCTTCCTACTTCTAGGTGTGCTACTAGTATTATGTCGATGTTCTATTGCTACTTTAATCCTTATACGCTGATATCATTCAACTTGAAGTTCATCCATAACCGAGACATGCGGATGGATGACGTTGGCATCCAAGAAACTCCATGTTCAACGGAGACGAAATTAGTAAATTATATTCTAAGGCTGGTTGTTGGTATCGGGGATATCAAGGTTGTCAAGAACAAGAAATAGATTTACATGTCGTCTGGTATTGCTAGTGATCAGGCTGCTGTTGAACAGATCCGCTTCAAGTTGAATACTACTAGTACGAAAGACTTGCAAGTAGATAATGAAGTGGATGTGTATGTATAAAGAATAAACATCAATGCATGATCTTCTCTATATGGCATAAAAATATTCATAGTCATCAACCGGTCCGGGATTGCGCTGAATCCAGGACCGTCTTTTTTAAGCTCTAATCTAAGCGAAAGCCTTAAGCTCGCCCTCCTTAATCTTACCAGCACCGACAAGACGCGAGCCCTCGGCAGACCAGGCAGACTTGACGGCAGCACCGTCCTTGCCAGCAATGGTCAGCTTCTCAGCCAGAACAGCGAGCTCATCAACGTCGATCTTGCCCATAATCAGCTCGACGTCACCCAGAACAGAGTCGACCTGGGAAGCGCTGGCCTCGCCGTCAGCGAAGTAGTTGACATCCTTGACGGAGCCCTTGAGCACACGCTTGTTCTTCTTTGAGGCGTTCTTGGCGGCCTCCTTGGCCTTCTTGTTCTTCTCGCGGTCAGCCTTAGCAGATTCCTCGGCAGCCTTAGCAGACTCCTCCGCCTCGACGCGGGCACGCTCTTTCTCGTCGGCGACGCGCTTGATCTCGTCTTCCTTGGCCTTGCGCTTGGCGTCCTTGCCGGCACGGGCTTGTTGGCGGAACTTCTTGATACGCTCGTCACCGGCCATCACCTCGTCCAGCATCTCGCGAAGACGGACGTTGTCCTCTTGCTTGCGCTTGCGGCGGGCGTTGGCATTCTTCTTCTCGGTGTGGCGCTTCTGGTCACGGCCCTCACCGTCGTCGGGAATATCCTCATCCAGGTACTCGAATGTACGCCAGCTGTCGAAGTTGTACCAGAAGTTGTAGAAGGACTCAACCTCCTCTTGGGTGCTGTCGTCACCACCAAGCTGGGGAACGGGCTGCTTGTTGGAGAAACGACCCTCGGCGTGGAAAACGGGAGCCCAGGCCTTGAAGTAGCCCTTGGCGAGCTGCTTCTTGGAGGGGGGGTCCATCTCGGCGGCCTCGTCGACGGAGTCGAATTGGCGGCGGCGAACGGGGTCGAGCATCAGCTCGGTGGCCTTTTGGATACACTTGAAGAAGTTGTCGTTCTCATCACTCTTGCCGGAGGCAGCCTTCTTATCGGGGTGGTGACGGAGGACCTTCTTGCGGTGAGCCTTCTTGATCTGCTCGGGGGTGGCGCGCCAGCGGTACTTGGTCAGACCGAGGACAGCGTAGTGATCCTGGCCCTTCCAGTCCTTGGCCTCACGGGTGAACATGGTGGGGTCTTCATCTTCGGAGATGTCCATGTTCTCCTCGTCCTCAGTCTTGGCGACGTTCTGCTTGGCCTGGATGCGCTCATCCTCGGAGAAGGTGCGGTTGTGACGGCTCTATGAGGATGTTAGTAGATGTTATCATCATAAATAGAAGGGAAATATCAGTATATACATACACGGCGAGCGTGGGCGAGGAAGTGCGGGCCCACAGCCTCAATGTTGCGCTGAGTGGCAGCAGAGAGACCGCCGACGGGCTTGAAGTCCTTCTCAGCGGACCAACCCGAAGGAAGGGCAGGGAGAGAAACGTTGACAACCTGAACAGGAGCCATTGTGAAGTACAAAAAGTGGATGGATGTTCAAGAGGAAGTCAAGTCAAGTCAAGTTTTGGTGGGGAAGGAAAAAAAGGAAGTTTTTCGGTTTTTTCTGCCACTTCCGCCCGCCCAGCACTTTCCCCGTTCGATTGCACTTTCACTTCAACTACATCCACATTCGCATTCACATTTATACACTCAACTTATACACTCTACTCTCACACATACACACACTCACAATGCCTTCTCCCAGTGTGTCCGCGCTGAGCGCCTACCGCCAGATCATCCGGGCCACCCGCGTTGCTTTCCGAGGTACGCAGATTGAAGACTCCGGCTGCTGAACCGGCGCAGCCAGTCTACACCTACACCTATACAAGATGCTTCCAATCTTTATATAGGCCAATGCTAACATGATCACTCCCTCACAGACGATCTCCCCGTCATGCTCGCCGCTCGCCAGGAAGCCCGCCGCAACTTCGACCAGAACCGCCGAGTCGGCATCGACAACGGCATGCAGATCAACCACGCCCTGGAGGTTGCTGATATCCTCCGACACAACCTGGTGCAAGGTGCACGGGAGGATGGCAATGAGGCTGCCAAGTGGGGTATGTATAACTGGCTCAAATGAATGCAATTTTGGTCTATGCCGGGTTACCTGGTAGATTGGATTGCATGATCTCGAACTGTTGACTAATGCGACTGGATTACTTTAGAACTTCGGATCCACGATGAGATCGAGCGAGGTGATAATGACTCTATCAAGATTGGTGGACAAGATGTCAAGATTCACAAGGCTTGTTCGTCTTCGTCATGATCCGAGCTGGATCTGCGCTACTTCCATCCCATCCCGTTGCATCACCATCGCATCTACAACTACATCAGCATCTCTGCCGACTCGCATCTTTGATCTGCTCTGCTCTACCTTACGACGGCTGGGGTCAGACTGGCTCACACTGTGACTGTGTATTATAATATATACCCATCCCCATCCCCATCTCCCTTCTCTGTTCCGGCGTCTCGGGGTATTTTTGATTTGAATCTTCCCTTCTCTTCACTTCTGCATAAAGAAATCCAACAACGCCCGCTTTGTACAAATCAATGGAACCGTGACAGAATAGATCCATATGCAACCGCCAATCCATGACTGCGAACCTGGGCACAAAAAAGAAAAAAGAAATCATGTTTCAAGAAGATCGTAAAGTATTTTGTTTTTGGCTTCGGCGCTCGACTCTCAATCGCCATTCATACTGGCATACTGAACATCGCCCGAACCCGGTGGAGGTGCCACCACATTACCCTGGGCTTTGCTCTGCTCAGCCGGTTCACCAGCAGCCGTGACGGCCTTCTTGCCAGCACCACCAGTCTTGGGACCAGGTCCAGCGGCCTGTCTCCCTTCACGAGCATTCTTGATCCGTTCCTCGCGATCCATATTATCAAGTGGCTTGGGCTTACCCCAGCGAACCCGAAGCGGACAGCCCTGGATAACAGCCTTGCCTTGACACTTCGCAGCAGCGGCCTCGGCGTCCGCGCGATTGACGTAGTTGATAAAAGCACAGTGTGATCGGTGCGAACAGACCAGCGAACGAAGCTGACCGAATTCTGTGAAAAAGAGGCGCAGCAAGTGCTCGGGGAGATCGTCCTCAACTCCCGTCACGAAGAGTGAGGTCACGTTCTGATCGGCGGGAGGTCGAATGTCTTGCTCGGAAGGTGGTAGCTGTGCCGTTCCTGGGAATGGTCGTCCACCTCGTCCACCACCTCCGCGTCCTCCGCGTCCACCTGCGCCACCGCGACCGGGTAGGCGATTCCCACCGCGACTATCGCCTGTGCGGATCGGACCTGGTCCGTTGCCGTAGCGGCTGTGTGTTTGTGATTGTGTTTGCGATTGGGATGACTCGCCTTCCTCGGCGGTCTCGGTGTTTGCTGAGGAGTCCTCGATGCGGCGGGGTTTGCGGTAGTAAGGTTGACTGTTTGCTAAACGGCGGAGAAGCTCGCGCGCCTTGTCGTCGGTCTTTTCATATTCCTCGATGGCGCCGCGACCTTCTTCGATTTCCTTCTCGTTGTTCTGGGCGTAGAATTCGCGGTTGATGGAGCTTTCGGGGCCTGGAGCGACCATTTTCAGGGCGGCATCTCGGACGACGATGGGGAGACCGAAGGATAGATCGAGCATGCAGCATTGGCAGCAGTTCTTGAGGCGGGCGCAGGTGAGGCAGATGTTGGTGCGCTTTTGGCGGGAAGTGCGGTCGGCTTTCCAGCGGAAGATAGTGAATGGACGAGTGCACTGGGAGTGTTAGCAGGGGCTTATATCATAAATGGCTGGTGGGATATAGACTTACAATCTTGCATTCGGCGCCGTGGTCTTCCTTCAGCATCTGCACGTAGGGGTTTTCGGGAAGGCAGTTTTCGCAAACGGAGGGGAAGTCGGTGGATTCCCAGCCAGAGCGGTTGAGGTCATGCTTAATCTGAGGGGGCATGGCGGTGGTGAGTGGGAGGAGGAGGAGTGACAGTGGAAGTGTGAAGCAGAGTCAAGCCGTGTCCAGAGCAGCTTCAACTTTCTTTGCGGCTTGCATATGGATGACTAATGTGGCTGGTGACTAATGTGGCTGCTAAATTGGATGACTAATGTGGCGAGTGTCATGCCTTTCTCGGAACATCCGAGACCGAGAACACTGTACAGTGGAGTATACAGTGGAGTATACAGTAGAGTATACATTATACAGTGGAAGAGGGAATAGCAGAGTACTAAGAGTAGACAGTACTGAGTAGAGTGCATTACTATGCGTACTATTGGAGTAAGGAAGAAGTAGTTAATTCCCATCGGCCTAACAAGCCTACTCTACGCCTCCGCCTGGTCTGCACCTGACTAGTGTTTACTAGTAACCCGGGGGAATGCTCTTAGCAGATATCATTTTCATTCCCATTCTCATCCTCATCCTCATCCTCATCATAGCCCTCTTCTTCACTTTCGTCTTCACTTCCACCTTCATCCTCCTCTCCATCTCCTTTTATCAGGTCCAGTACTTCCCCAAGTCCCTCGAAAACACAATAACTCTCGGCAAGTTTCTCTAACTCTTCCAGCTTGGCAAAAAGGGATTCGGAGCCCATTGCCTCATTGCAAATATCGTCTCTTTCCTGAGAAGACATCTCAGAAACAATATCACACATGGCGTTCTCAAGGCATGGGTCGGACTGAAACTGCTGCTGCACTTCATGGCCGAGTGTATCATTGGAAGAAAGACAGATTGTCTTGCCAATCTTGCGCAGCGTCTCAAGGCCACTCCTTCGATTGCGTGGATTCGGATATTCGACACATTGAGCTGCGATACTGCTGATTGTAGAGCTGATCTCCCCAGCCACGTCAAATGCGATATCATACTGCCTGGAGCCCTTCATTGATCGATATGTGACGTTGATTGTTTTCCAGATCGATTTGGAATGATAATCGAAGTCAATCACACGGTTTCTCTGCTCTTCTTGCGCGCTTTGGATCGCGGTGAGTACCATGGCGTTGACATCAACGTGCTTCATAGAGGCCATCTGGAGAAGCTCAACCACACGGTCGGTTTTCAGAATTTTGAGTTGCTCTTGCGTTGGAACTGATATTTCGGCCAATTGGGTGTGGTCATCCCCAGCAGTATTGGCACGGGCCCTTTTTGCAACTTGCGGGGAGGTCATTGTAGTTTGTTGTCCCAAGTTGAGGAGTTGAGGACTCTGATTGATAAGGCCCAAAGTAGGGAGGTGAAGGGATCCTGCGCACTAGGTTTGCGGTGAAAATGAAGACACGCCTGTGGATATTCTACTCGAATGCTGAAGTGGGTGAATGATTGTGTGAATCGGACAGGTCTCTGGGATATTCGAAGGTGTGGGGTGAGAGGAGAGCTTGTGCGATTGTAGTGTTTGCTGAGCCCGCGGCCCCACACCAGCTTCAGCACGCAAGAGAGAGCCTTCGAGAGGACTTTGTAGTCAACAATATATATTCAATTCATTGAGGAAAAAAATGATCCATATGTATATTTTCAAAAAATAGTTTTTCTATTGTACCAAACAGGTCCTTCATAATTCCGATGTGTTGTTCTTTCTTATTATCCCAAGTCACATACTCGTATTTCGGGTTGTCTCCCAAGTGCCGAGTCAAAGCGCAGAGATCAATTCCACCTCCTGATAACATATACTAGTATATAGGAACTGATAGCAAGCATTGTATCGGTCATTCCCACATCAGACCCAATATAATCACCTACAGAATCAAAGTGTGGTCGGAGTAGTACTCGTAGTAACGATACCTAGTATATGTGGCTGACTAACGTGGCTGGTGTCAGATGACTAATGTGGCGGTGCCCTCGTGCCTCGGAAGGAAGGACGGTAGATTAGGGAGAGTACGAGTATAGTAAGAAGAAAGGAGAGAAAGGAAAGAGCGATCCAACATCATCTGGCGATCTTCAACCTCACCTTCAACTTCCTACTGTCATCATCGTATCACCTTCTCTTCTCCTCTTCTCTCCGCACCTCCGCATCTCCGACATCCAAGGCATCCTCAATCTACCCTGGGCCATGCATGCCTTATCGTGAATACCTCAGGTCACCCAGTCTCCTCGCCGGAAAGCCCCCCCCTCCGGCTGAGCCACCGCCCGGAAGTCCCAGTACCCGCCCTGCAGCCTCGACCGCGCTAGTCGCTCAGGGGTTCGTGATTGGCCTAAGTTTTCGCATTGGCAAAATGTCTCTCTGGACTGGTCTACTATTTATCTCCTTTTCACTTCCCTATTGACTTCACCTCTTCAATTCAATTCTCACGGCTTGACCTCCTCCTCTTCGTGGTTGGCCTATTTGCTTTCTCCTTATCCTCCTTTAATTGACTCCGTCTCTCCTTCTCTCTTCTCCCTCCTCCTCTCTCCTCCACTCCACTCCCCCTTTTTTCTCCCCGCAATTTTTTTTCGCACCTTTTCGCAATGGCTCCCACCGCTCTTGAACAAGAGAACCTTTCTCGCGATGCCGACTTCAACAAGGCCATGCACGGCAAGTCCGCCAAGTCTCGTGGTGGTTTCGCTGCCATGAGTGGCAAGGACACCGCCGCCCAGAAGGCCGCCGTCGACGAGTACTTCAAGCACTGGGACAACAAGGGTCACGAGGAGGAGACCGCTGAGACTCGTGAGGTGAGCGCGCAATTCTTCCTTTGCTGTGTGCTGCAAATCTATGAATCATGCTAACCACCTCATCTTCTCCATCAGGCTCGCCGTAAAGAGTACGCCACCTTGACCCGACAGTACGTTCTTCCACTCTCCCTCTGTCTCTCTCGCGCAACCGCATACTAACTCTTCTCCAGCTACTACAACCTGGCCACCGACCTCTACGAGTACGGTTGGGGATCTTCCTTCCACTTCTGCCGCTTCGCTTTCGGCGAGCCCTTCAACCAGGCCATCGCCCGCCACGAGCACTACCTCGCCATGCACACCGGCCTTAAGGACGGCATGAAGGTTTTGGATGTTGGCTGCGGTGTCGGTGGTCCTGCCCGTGAGATGGTCAAGTTCAGTGGTGCCCACGTCACTGGTCTGAACAACAACGACTATCAGATCGACCGTGCCACCTACTACGCCGAGAAGCAGGGTCTGTCCGACAAGATGGCCTTTGTCAAGGGCGATTTCATGCAGATGAAGTTCCCCGATAACTCCTTCGACGCCGTCTACGCCATTGAGGCCACCGTTCACGCCCCCGAACTGGTCGGCGTCTACAGCGAGATCTTCCGTGTCCTGAAGCCCGGTGGTACCTTTGGTGTCTACGAGTGGCTCATGACTGACGAGTACGACAACAACAACGCCGAGCACCGTCGCATTCGTCTCGGTATCGAGCAGGGTGACGGTATTTCCAACATGGTCACCATCTCCGAGGGCATCAAGGCCATCCAGGATGCTGGCTTCGAGCTCCTCCACCACGAGGATCTGGCTGCCCGCCCCGACGTCACCCCCTGGTACTACCCGCTGGCCGGTTCGTTCAAGCACATGGGTTCCGTCTGGGACTTCTTCACCATTGCCCGCATGACCTGGTGGGGCCGTGGCATTGCCCACCGTTTTGTTGGTGGTTTTGAGAAGGTCGGCCTCTTCCCCAAGGGAACCCGCAAGACTGCCGACAGTCTGGCTCTGGCCGCTGACTGCCTGGTCGAGGGTGCGGAGAAGAACCTCTTCACCCCCATGTACCTGATGGTCGGCAAGAAGCCCGAGTAGAGCGAGTGCACAATTTCCCCAAAAGAAAAAAGTTGCCTTTTGTTTTTGAACCTCTTTGCCTCCTGCCTCTTGTCCTCTTCTGGCCCGTGGCTTCTCTTCATCTCCTTCCCTTTTTTTGATAACCCCGCTGTTCCTCTTCTGTTGACATTATTCACCCTGCCCTTCCACCTTTATGCTGTCCGATCTGAACTGATGGTGACGACTTTACTTCGCTTCTTCCGTGTCTCTTTTGAACCGTGATAAATATGTAATAGTTATTGAGGCAAGAATCATGAGCAAAGGATTTCATTTTGTACTAATATTAGTTGCTGTCGAAGTTAGAAATAGACGATTGATCTACCAACGGTGTTCTGTAGGTGGTAGTTCTATACACTACCTAGTAGTTAGTAGCTAGCATCAGTTACTAGGACTAGTACTTAATACTGTACTCCCAAGGTTCCTAGAAGGTAGTAATTCTTACATTACTTTTCCAACTTAAAGCCCCGTCATGAGATCCGACATCGTGAGTTTATGGTAATGCATGGATATATATATTACCTACTCCCCAGTGCTTATTAGTACCACCGTCTAGCTCTCCAGTGCCTACTACTAGAGTAGTATACCGCGACACTAAGCAAAAAATTTAAATACTAGCAGTCCATGTATACCACTTTACCTAGCAATGTGAATAAGACTCTATCCATGGATCATTATCTTCCTTTTTTTATAATTGACAGTATCTCTTTATTCCAGTTAATCCTAGGATAACTTGAACTTTTTGTTGATTTCTGTTTTGGTGCATCACGTGCCCCTCCGCCTTCCGCCTTGGTAAAGCTTCGCCTTCGCTTTTCGCTCCTTTGCACTTCCAACTTCCGCTTCTTCCATTTCTTCCACTCCACTTCATTTCCCCGGGCCTCGTCCTGCTTTCTTCTCGTTGAGTACCCCCTCGTGATCGACCAGTGATACCCCTCACGCACACAACGTGCCAGGAACAACCCCACCCTCTACCACCAATAATATCCTCTCTCTCGAAGCCTCCGATGTCCGACTCCACCACTGGCCCCACTCGCGATTCTTAGTGTGGTTGTGATGAAGAGCTTCGCCCAGTCATCCCGTCCTGCGATGCAACGTGATACCTCCTCGTCTCCAGATCAGCCCTGTCCGCGTGGTATTCCATCCCGACTACTCGATTAAGCGAGGTTGGATGACAGTATGGCAGATGGGATCTAGTATCTGCCATCTGCCATGCATGCTCTAATCCGGGCCCCGTGACTGGCTCGCATTCCTCCCTTGCTGCAGCTATAAGATCGCGTGCATCGCCGGATCGTCTCCCACGTTTCTTCTCTTGTTTAGGCATTCAATTTCCCCCGAGACCTTGGTTCAAGTAAATATTGTTACTGAACTTGTCCAGAAAGATGTTCTCCAAGCAGACTCTACTCTCCCTAGGCCTCCTGGCTCTGGCCTCGGCCCAAACTATCACTGAGGAACAACCCACTGAGGCTGAGATCCAGGCTGCGCGTGCCTCTGTCCTCCCTTACTCTCCTGTCACCAATGTCAAGGGTAAGGCCTTTGACCGCTTCGTGAATATCTGGATTGAGAATACCGTGAGTTCGAGTCTCCATCTGCTTGCTTGCTTGCTTGCTTGCAATGCACATAACTCTATCCGAACATGTCAATGCTAATTGACCCCCGCAGGATTTCGAGACCACCGCCAGCGATGCTAATTGGGCCAAAATGGCCAAGGAGGGCATCCTGCTCACCAACTACCACGCCGTGACCCACCCCTCCGAGCCCAACTACGGTGCCTCCGCCGCTGGTGACACCTTCGGTATGGACAACGACGATTTCCACCAGATCCCCGCCAATGTCTCCACCATTGCCGATCTGTTCGATACCAAGAAGATCGCCTGGGGTGAATACCAAGAGGACATGCCTCACGCGGGCTACCAGGGTTACCGCTACCCTCTGTCCGGCGCCAATCAGTACGTGCGCAAGCACAACCCATTGGTTCTGTTCGACTCCGTCACCAACGACGCCGTTCGTCCTCGCCAGATCAAGAACTTTACCACCTTCTACGAGGATCTGAAGCACCACAGCCTGCCCCAGCACTTCTTCATCACCCCCAACATGACCAATGATGCCCACGACAGCAACATCCACGTTGCGGGTGACTGGCTGGACAAGTTCCTGCCCCCTCTGCTGAAGAACGAGTATTTCAGCAAGGATACCCTGGTCCTTGTTACCTTTGACGAGTCGGGCAACTACACCGTCCCCAACCGTGTCTACAGCATTCTGCTTGGTGGCGCCGTCCCCGAGCACCTGAAGGGCACCACCGACAACACCTTCTACACTCACTACTCCGTCATTGCTTCGCTGTCTGCCAACTGGGGTCTTCCCTCTCTCGGACGCTGGGACTGCGGTGCCAACCTCCTAAAGCTGGTCGCTGAGAAGACTGGCTACGTCAACTGGGAAGTCGACACTAGCAACCTCTACATCAACGAGACATACCCCGGTCCCCTTTCGGACAATGACTACTCCGAGTATGAGTCGTACTGGCCGGTCCCTGCCACTAAGGGCGAGTGCTCTGCTGGTCACGGTATCCTTGATATCGTCAAGAAGACCTACCACGGCCGCAAGGCCACCTACAACTACACCACTAGCCCGATTCCCTATGATTCGGTTAGCGGCAACAGTGTTGGCATCAAGTTCCACCGCTCTATCGTATGTAACCACCGTTTTGTTCCTTGATGAATTCCACTAACTTGTTTATAGCACGGCAAGGAGCAGACCGGCATTACCGCTTAGATGTGAGCGAGGTGATTCATCTAGAGAAGTCCCAGGAAATTGATGCGTCGTTATGTATATATAAGAATCTAAAAAGAATGCATGTGGTGGATAGCAATACATGATCAACAGTCGTCGACTTGAAAGCTCAAGAACTTTGAAGCGTCTAGCCCAACTCGGACTCGTTTTCGGACTCGGTCTCAAGTCTCGACTGGAACCAAATTTGCCCGATTCGTTCTCGTAAACCATTCACTTTCTTTGTTTGCTTACCCCCACTCGTCTCCGCGTCTTCCGGGCTCAAGTCAACCGTTGAAGTGGATCCCCGATCGATCAACCCCGCAGCAATAACCTCGAGTCAATGCAGTATCGATCATCCCTACTCCTACTGGTTGTCATGACGTGGCTTACTGCATTCTCCATTTCCAGTTGTCGATATTGGGCAGTTCCCTCAAAAGGTTCATCGTTCTTTAGCCAGGTATCCCGAGGTCACGGGTAACCCTGAATCAAATCAAATCGATCCAACAACCAGCCGTGCATCTCCTACGGTTCGTCCCAACTGCACAAAAATAGAACGAATCGTCGTTGGCTGGCCCGCTTGTCCGTCTCCACTATCGACCATATTGACGACTAAACGACAACTTGCAATACATCATTCATCCGGTTGATCCTCATATCAACCAATCATCTTGCTTATTGAAGGCAACTGACTTTGTGATATTTCAGGGTCATCATCTTGCCTAGACTGTCGTTTATTTACCCTTTCCAGGTTTGCTTTTGCTTGCTTTGCAAACCTGCTCGAAAGCCGTGACGCTGCACGGAGTGACATTATTGATACGGTCGCAGATCTTTATCAGATATCCTTGAATAGTACATTTCAGCCACTCAGCCCATTCCGCTACACAGCTCTTCTTGCAACTCAATCGTCTCTCGATCTATCGATCTATCGAATGGGAACATACCTGCCAGCGACAAAGTCATTGACACGGAATCAAACCACGCTATGACCAAGGGGATCCCGGGAATGATCAAGTCTGGAAAGTTTCATTCGGCAATGCTTGCACCTCGTCTCCACCGGCATTCTTCAAACAAGCGACTCACATCGAGCAGAAGCAAAGCAAAGTACGTACCCCGCACCAGTCAGTACCATTGGCCATGTCTATGCCTGTGCGTTACAAGCTCTATTCCCAGAAGTGGTTGATTGTTTTCCCTCAGAATTAGCAAATGCTTCGTTCGGCGAGCCGTGGTTAATGTATTGCCACTACATTCCCCTCAGGCTGTCAACCCCATTTTGTGATCAGGAGGTGTTGATGTGGGTGCTATTATTGTCCACGAGGTAGATCTCATTGGCCAGTATTAGTTGGTTTGCTTTCCTAAAACCCTCTCGTGTTTATTTTGTATGACGTCGACCATCCTGCTTCATCCTGTCGGTTCGCTTCGGCTATTGATCAGGTTTCTTTCCATTTCCAACAAGACGTCTATTGTCCTTTTTCGTTTGGCTATAAGTATGCCTTGTCTCACCTGTTATTTTTTGTCTCGACTTTCATTCGAAGTTACATTCCAATCTCAATATCGAGCTCAATCTTTTCGACCGTGACTCTTGGCCATTTATTCATTTCTTTTCCTACTTCATTATTAAGATGAGGGGTTTCATGACTCTCGTGGCTTGTGCCGCTGGCGCTCATGCCCTTGCCAATCGTGGTAATACCTGCTGCTTCCACCTCACTGCATCAGGCGGTGCTTCTGGCCCTGTCGGTCAGCTGAGCGATGGACAGAACCGAATTGGTGATAATAGTCTCTCTCCTGCACAGTTCTGCATTGATTCGAACGGCGCTATCACTGATGGAAATGGCCGTGGATGTATCCTGACTCGTAGGTCACATCTCATATAAAACCACAATTGAAACTCTGCTAACTATCTTAGCTCCAACCACTCAATTCCAATGCGACGTTGGAGCAACCCCTACGCCCGGTTTCTCTGTTGGCTCCAATGGCGAACTGGAATTCGCCGGAAGCCCCAACTTCGTCGCCTGTGAAACTGGCGACAACGGCGGTCTCAACATCTACACTACTCTGAGCAACGCTCTCAGCCAGTGCAAGACTATCAATCTTATGGCTGACTCGTGCTCCGGCTCGACTTCTCCCCCGCCTTCGCCTCAGCCTAACAATGGCTGTGGCCCCATCTTGTCTTCGGGTAACTTTGAGTTCCCTCATCTGATTGTCCCCGTCGACTCCTCGTCCCCCGATACTGCATTCGGCACTCGTTTCAACGGGACTGTCACCTCGACTATCTCAAGTATCTTTAACTTCGACATTCCGCAGTCCGACTCCGGGAAGACCTGCAGCCTGGTCTTCCTTTTCCCCAACAAGGCGGATCTCCAGACTTCTTCTTTCAGCTTTAGCGGTGATGGCAAGATTGACGTTGAGAAGCTTGCGAGTGTCGCTACTGCACAGACAACCTTCAACAATATGCCCTCTGTCGCAGAGGATCTGGGTGATATTACCATCTCCCCTGGTGGTGCTTTTGTTATTTCCACCTTCTCCTGCCCGGCTGGCGAGGCTATTTCATTCGAAATGAAGAATGCTGGTAGCACGGACCTTGACTTCTTCCAGGACTTCAATCCCGCCCCGTAAGTTGATGCTTTCGACTCCTTTGTCTTGGGCAAAGCTAACGTTTCTTTAGTATTGGTCTGTTTATTACTGTCTGCTAGAGGCTTGACACAGCTTCTGCTAATCCAATCCTTGAAGAAGTGTCGTCTTATGCATGAGACTGTATATTCGTCGCGTGTAATTGATTGTGTACTCTGAATTTGTCGATTTACTGAATGTAACTGTACGGAACTTTCATTAGTTTAGTAGTAAATAAGTTGGAATAAATAATAATTCTCAAGTTTTCCAAGCTGACGATGATCTCCACTTCGTATACGATAACTGATAACCGCAAAATCACAAAGCAGACCTCAAAAATAGCAAAAATCAGCAAAAAATGACAAGAGTGGGATTCGAACCCACGCCCCCTTGCGGAGATCAGGAAATTTGGAGTTAAGGTTGACCTTAACCTGACGCCTTGGACCAACTCGGCCATCTTGCCAATTGGGATAACTGCTTGTTATGACGAAATTTGGCGGACTTTTTGGTATCAAGAGGGGAATCCTTGACGAATGAATGTGCTCCACATTGAATTAGTGCACCGAATTGTATAGAAGCTGCCATGAATAATACGATCGAAGGTTTATTTAACTCAAGCTCATGATAAAAAAGAATTAAGGGCTCAAATTGTTAGATTAAATTTAGTAGTATACATTAATGAAGCTGAGTAGCCAACGCAGTCCCCATCTATTCCATCCAATTCACATTGCCATCATTCTCCGAACCGCTTTATTCTCAACAACATAGCCACCACCAAGTCTGAACACACCAGGGCCCTGCATCTTGGAGTCCATCTTTCCCATCGCCAATTGAGTCAAGAATGAACCAAGTTCAGGCGTGGGCGAATGGAACGATTTGTAAAAATTCTTGATAATGGGCATGAGAACGACCCCCATAGCTTTGTACAAGAATCCTTGATCCGGGAGATACGGCTTGATAGCGTCGTGACCGGTTGGATCGACGCCCGCGGGCCGAACACTGTCCACTTGGAATGTACCTGGGTGCTTGGCTGATATGTCGCCGAGAAGCGACTCGGTCTCGCCCTTGACTTTTGCGAATAACTGCGAGAACATTCCTGGTTCCTGGGTTGCTCCTTCACCGGATACGTGGATGAATCGGAAAGGGGGGGTTCGCGGGCTTGAGGGTGGAGAATGCATTTGCGGCTGCTAGGGCGTAGTCTTTGGTTATCTTGACGTATTGTCTGTTTATTTGTTAGGTTGGGGGAATTTGAAGATAATGGGTTGTGTTCAAAATGGGAGACTTTTCATACTCTTTATCGACGCTGTTTTGGCTTATTCCCAAGGCCCACACGCATCCGTCCGCGTCTTTCAATTGTTCAAGTAGCTCGGGTTGGTATGTCTCGAAATCCTTATGGGTAATGACGTGTACCCGGGGGTCTTTGGCGTCTTCTGCCATTTTCACAGGTCGTCGACTGAGAATTGAGATTCTGGAGATTGCGCTGTTCTGGAGCATGGCGTCCAGGACGCCTGAGCCGACAAGGCCAGTGGCACCAGTGAGAATGAGATGCATTTTGGTTTTGGTGTTCGTGTGGTTACTCTGCAAAATTGTGTTGAGGATGATAATTTTCAGAATCAATCCAGCGATCGCCTAGTATTTATAGTATGAAGCAAGGCGCCCAAGTCCGTTGCTAAGTCCGTGATTCTTCCATTGCTGATGCTGACAAGATACTAACCCAAAGCAGAAATCGTGGTAAGCAAAACCCAAAGGAATGTGGGTTTTGATTTTTATCTTGATTGGCCATTGTATGTCACTTCTCCCCACTCGGGCCGCAGCAGAAACGGCACGATGCCGACGGACAAGGCTCGGGTTTAATTTTGCTTTGACTCACTCAAGAAAACAAATATGATTATTCTTATGACTGTATTCAAACGTTAACTTGAAGCGCATTAAGATGGACTTTTAAATGGTATATCTAAACATTATGTTGGGGTATGAAGAGCTGAAAAACGCGAAGCAAAATCACAAAACCACTCGTGCCTTTCAATAGAAAGTCTTTTTATCCAGCAGCATAGGTGCTGCTGGCTCTCAATTTCGCGCCGTACTTCCACAAGAATATCGGAGCCGGGATACCAATTGCAATCGCGACAAATGCGAGCACGCTATTTCCCCAACCATAGTGTAGAGCGTCGTACATATAAGGTGCAAAAAGTGGGAATCCGAAGCCTGCGAGCGATCGCAGAAATGCTCCCGCAGCAAGAGCACTAGCGGCATATCGCGTATAAGTGTCAACCATGTATGTCTGCATGCATTGGAAGGAAATAATGGTTCCTGCACCGAAGAGGAGGGCGCCAATGTTGGGTGCGATCCAGTGGCAGTGTGACTGCGCGGTCCAGCCGTAGATGAATAAACCAGCGGGGATAAGGAAAGCCGCGACTCCAAGGAGTGGGACACGGAATTCTGGACGACCGATGTTGTTGTTGCGTGCTTTCAGGCGGCGGTAGATGCGGTCGTTGAGCGGAGCGCAGAGTTGAGATCCACACCAGAAGCCCAGGCCAAGAGAGATATAATTGAGACCCCCGATTCCAATGGACTCGTTGTAGTATTCCGGGTTGGTCCAGAGAGCGGGAAAAGTTGAAAGAACGAGGTACATAATGCCGTAAACGTAGGCCATGTAGAGCGCAAGTACTTGGACGATAGATTGAGTGAGAAGAAGGCGGAAAGGTCGAATCAACGCAGCGCGTAAAACTTGAGCAAGGGTCTTCTTCTGAAGCTCGGCTTCGGTTTGATAGGATTCATCGTTGGTTTCCTTTCGCAGTTTCTGGGCACGATCACGGAGAATGCGAGGGGCATATGTTTCGCGAAGGAAGAAGAGACCGGCCACTTGGATTATGCCATCGGTGATAGATGTCGCGTAGAAGACCCAGCGCCATGTAGTATTCTCCGCAATGAAACCGCCAGCGACAGGACCCAGAGCTGGACCGAGGAGGGGGGCCAAACTATAGATCGCGATACTCTTACCACGTTCTTCAGGACGGAAACAATCGGATAAAACTCCTCCTCCAACCTATTCAAATTAGAATTTGTTTCTTCTAGTCGATAAATAAAAGTGGGGGGAAAACTTACAGCGAGTGGAGCACTGCCTCCTAATCCTGCAAAGAATCGGCATACAATCATTTGCACTTTGGTCTGTGAAACCGCACATCCGATATTGAACACGAGGAAGAATAGGTTTGACAGTTGTAGCACAATCACACGACCATAGATTTCCGATAATGGGCCCAGGAAGAGAGGACCGACGGCATAGGCAAGGACGAAGACGGAAAGCATCAACTGAGATACTACCTGGTCCGTCACGTTGAATTCAGCCGCAATCGAAGTTAAGGCGGGTGCCACCATCGACGAGGAGACGGGTGAAATGAAGGTGAAGAACGAGACTGTGATGGTCGCGGCCCACTTCTTCTTGTTCGGCCAATTCTTAGGATTCTCGGGGTCGTCGGGGCCGTCCCAATCCACCTGGCAGGGTTAGTAGCGTTAGCATTTTGCTGTTCTTGAGGCCTGAAGCCTGAAGCCTGAAGCCTGAAGCCTGAAGCGGCTGAAGGTGGTACATACAAGTTTGGCATCCTGGCAAGATCTAGTCGAGCGAGCCGACTTTGATTTTTGGATCTCTGGGCTTTCTTGTGGACCTTTCTCGAGATCGACATCCCGCTCATTAACAATACCGTTTCGTACCTCCTGGATGGTCTCGACTTTCTCCGCATCCAAAGATTCTTCGTCGCTTGTCGTTGGGTGGTCGCTATGGTACACAGACTGATCATCAAGATGCTTGGCGGAGTGGACTCGGTCCAAATGTGGGGTATTGGGATTTGAGGTTGATCGAAGGCGAGATTTGATTGATTCTGCGAAGCCTTGAGGTCGAGATTCTGTCCTGGATATCTCATTCACTGAGTCGGAGGAGGCACTGGAGCTGGAAATGGAACTGCCTGACCGCGCATGTTGGTCTGCCATGGTGGACCATGCACTAGTATGGGAAGTCAAGAAGTGACGAGGAGAAGATGATATGAATGGCGAATTCAAATTCAAGATGGAGAGCGATTCTTGTTGGATTGTAGATCTATGGTTGACAAAGAGACACACGATCACGCCCTAAAATAGAAAAACAAAATAAAAAACCAGCGGGGGTCCGTTCTTATACCAAGTTACATCGCGGAGGAGGTGCAGGCCGACGTGGACAGCATAAGAGTTCCGATGATAATGCACGGTGATAATTCAGGCTTAAGACCGTCCAAGTGGATTCGAGCATGTTGAAAATCATGACTTCGGGTCATCTTATTGGAGGCAAAGGTGAAGCTTGACCAGGTACAGGGCCCAGGCCGCCCCGCCGATGGATTTTTGCATGAAAAATCACAGGCCGTTTGCTGGATAGCGGCCTGAACCGGTGTGACCACCGTTTAGAAGCGGAGAAATTCCCAAACGAGGTCGAATGAGATCGAATGAGAGGGCTTCAAAGTCACGGGAAGCGGAGCTCCGTCCCCGGTTGGACTCCGGTTCAGGGATGTGACTCAGCAATTCGGGAGTTCGGCACAGAATACTGTTGTATACTGTTGTATACAACACAACTTTGTATAGAGACAGTGATCATAGTATTATGGGAGTTTTGTTTCAAAGATGATGGAGTGAGCAGTAAACAGGTGACCCTATGTTGGCTGGCAATCGAATTGCCGGAATAATTTAATGTGGTAGATACAAACATCACCTGTCAGCCCACAGTAACCAACTAACTAACCAAACTAACCAAGAAGGAATCATGCAAAACATACCCCTTTAGGGAGACTGCCATGCCCATCTTGAACGATTAGCAAAAAAGATATCTCAGGTAAGGTTTGTAGGAATAGCCGAACGGGGGGGGTCGAACCCCCAACCTTGAGATTAAGAGTCTCACGCTCTACCGATTGAGCTAGCCCGGCTGGGCTGTTGTTTAGGGAAGCACTTTATGGCTATAAGAGGCAGATGTCTCTGGGTAGGAATATCAGCACTACCAAGATGCGACACACCCAACCAGGAACAGAAAATCAACGAGTACGATTATTCACAGATTAGGACAATACAGGATAATTTCATAGGGGATATGATAGTATGCCCAGGTGTATCAATAATTTGCAAGTATTATAGTCTTTCTCAATGTTCTTAGATTTAGGTATTCATGACTCTGGGTCGGAAATATATATCAGGTACCTACTAGGTTGTATCACCATTAGTGCTGGCACTCACCAGCCTCAGGCTGAGGAGTCCGAGTTCTGAAATGCCCATGATCCATGGCCGTCATAATTTGAACGTTACAATTACCTAAGGATTGTGATCGCAGTATTCTAAATTGACCTTGCGTTCACAGTACAGAGATACTATCTTTCCCGAGCATGTTGAAAATGGGTAGTACTAGTACTGCATCGATCAAAAGAAGAGACTTCATAACTCATGTTCATATTCAATATACTACTAGTAATGCAACTATTTATCATCTGCCAGGGTCACACTAAACGTGGGAACCCGAGCGTTCCACATGGGCTGCGGTACCCTGTTGCGTGGCAATCGCCTCCATCTTCTCATCAACCGCCGCATCCTGCAGCTCGGCCTCCGCATTACCATGGCGACCAATCTGGTACCAGGGCAGAGAGAACAGACGATCCATACTCTCGAGAGACCGACCAGCCGTCTCTGGAACACTGAACCACACCCAGGCACCACCAAGAATCGTCACGGCAGCGAAGCACCAGAAGGTTCCCTTGGGACTAATGCCACCGTCCGCCACGGGAAGAAGCATGTTGGGCACCGCACGAGAGTTACCGTATTGATTGGCGAAGTGGAGGGTCATAGAGAGCGAGGTGCCCAGCGCACGGATGCGTAGAGGGAACAGCTCTGCGGTGAGCAGGTATTGCATCGAGTTCCAGCCCAGTGCCCAACCGAATCCGGAGAGATAGATCATAGCAACGGCACCCCGGCTAGCTCCCTTCTGGCTCTCGGGTAGGATAAACCCATCCACCACACCCATCTGAGGCACAGCGGTAAGGAAGCCAGCGATGTAGATCATGGCAACAGCCTGGAAGGTGATTCCGAGGAGCAGGGCGCGTTTGCGACCGATCACGTCGACCAAGAAGAGAGCGCATGCAACAGCGGCGATGAGCTTGATGATACCGAAGACGGCGGTCACCAAGAGGTTCTCATTACTTCCAGTGATTCCCAGGAGCTCGAAAAGATCAGTGGCGTAGACAGTGATAGATCCGGCACCGGACCATTGGGAGAGAATCTGAGCCATGAGAGTAAGGTAGACTCGGTATAGGTTGGAGGGAACAAGGAAGGTCTCCTTGAGGATACCGATCGGGCCCGATCCCATTGTCGCCTCCAGTTCCATCTGGTGGGCGCTCTGAATAGCATTGATCTCATTCACGACGTATTCGTGGTCGGCAGGGAGACCACGGAGTCGGGCAAGATTCTCCACGGCCTGTTCATTTTTGCCGCACTTGATGAGGTATCGAGGGGACTCATACTGTAAGAAGGAGAGGCAGAAGATCAGGCCAGCGAATATGATGTGGAGACTGGTGGGAACCTCCTGTGCGGGGTGTTAGTGATGATCTCAACGGGATCGGCGACGGGGAAGGTGAAGGTGAAGAGGCAGATAAGTAAGAACATACCCAACGGTTGTGAGTGTTATCTCCGAGGTTGACTTGACATCCATAGTTTGCAAAATATGCGAGGACAATACCTGCCAAGAGAGATGTTGTTAATGACAACTGATCGCTGAGAACAAGCACCGCGCCAAGTCTTGGGTGCGTTAGACTTTCTTGGCTGGAGACAACATACCGAGATAGACAAAACCAGTGAAGACGCAGGTACAAAGACCTCGAATAGCAGCCGGGGCCTGATATTCAAGTTAGATTGGAGTTCAACTTCGTGGTGTTGAGGAGGGGATGTGGGATGGTTGAACGTACAATTTCCGCAAGGTACACAGGTGCGACAACGACAGTTTGACCAACACCGAGTCCAGCGATGAAACGACCAGCATAGACAGCACCGAGGGAACCATTGTTACCCATGAAAATTGCCATACCGATGATCCAAAGGACACAGAGTTGACGAGTGGCCCAGATACGACCGATGCGATCACAGACCAAGAAGGCGCTGTTGACAAGAAGGTCAAGATTAGCAACAGGAAGACATGGAAATGGAAACCCAGAAAGAAAACACGCAAGACGTACAAAAGAGCACCGCCGACAGAGCCGATTTGCACCATGGCTGTGACATTGGCCTTGATGTTGGTTTGTTCAGTCGTGGAATAGGATTCATAGTTGATGTAGCGTTGGAAGTCCTTGGAGTTGAAAGCACCAGAAATGAGACCTTCGTCGATACCGCGCGCCGCTCCCATCAAACCAAACGAAACGACCGCAAACCAAAGCTTCCAGTTGAAGATCTCCGGCGGTTCGCCGGTATTCTTCAACCGGAAGATGTTAATGGGCTTCTTCGCACCGCCGGCCATGGTGGGCGATTTCACAGTAAAATCAAGATCGACTTGAGAAATATGACTGTGAAGCTGAAAGAAGACTCGAAGGCGAAGGAGAGAGACTGTCGTAGGGAGGGAGAAAAAAAGAGATCACCAGCTGGTGAATACGAGGGGAAGCCCTTTAATAGCCTCGCAAGACCGGGGGGTCCCTGCGATGCGGGGAACTTCCGGGGCATGGGGGATGAATTGAGGGGCATAGATGAGGCAAATCATAAAAAAAAGTAAATTATGGATTCGACCTCGTGTATACGTTGTACCAATTAGTGCTATGGAGCTCGGCATTCCATCATGCATCTGGCATCTCGTTGCGCACCCCAGATTCCCAAACCCGACTATCGGTGGGACGGAACGGAGCCGGCCCAGGCTGGGGGACAGCGCCAAGTGAGCTTGCATCCCGAGACGAGACAGAGGGCCGATCATTTCTATTCGACGGCATCGCCGGTAGGTAGGTCGGGCTTGTTAGTTTATTTTTTATTTTTTTTTCTGGCCGAGGTTACACCGGTGTCCTGATCCTGCGACCCGCAAAGAAGTGGCGTGCAGCGTACAGTTCACAATTCAGCAGTATCAAGGTTAGTAGTTTAGAAGCAACAGACATGAATCACAGAAACAAAACCGTGATAGCAACAACAGATATCGTGGAAGCAGAAATTTCCTTCACTGCCCTCCCTAAAACGCTGGATAAACCTCGGTGAACTTCCGCGTGGAGAGGCGTTTTGTGCCGCGAATGCCAAGAAGCCACTCCACGAGGGGTGAAACCGGGGTAGGCCTACCATGACACTTGAGTTGCTTCTGATTGGCTGGTTAATAGAAAAGGGTATCGGGTGGACTTGGCGTGGGGGGGAAAGCTGGGAAAAAACTCCTGGAACCACACATGGTGGACTTGGGGCTGGAAGTCTATCTCTTGCAGTACCGTCCGTGCGAAGGAATATTGGGTTTGAGGCACCACGCCATTATATTACAAGATTTTGCTCGGCGATGCTTCGACAGTCGCCTTGGTTTCTGCCGATTCCGGGAGATCTTGTCGGCCTGTTGCGATGCTTGAGGGGTCCGGATATCGGATCGGTCAAATGCTCAATGGATCACGTACTCGTATGTCCAGCTCACGAGCCGACCCCTCGGAGTTTTAGATGGGGGCCATATGCTACATCGTTCCACTCAGTCTTGGCCAGGCTACCTCCGGACATGATTTGGTGTGAAAATTCTGCTTCTCGCATGATCATGTTTGTGCTGATGTGATCGGTCTGGTTCACCGAGAGGTTGGATAATTACGACAGGCTCGGATTAGTTTCCTATAAGCGCTAGATCCAAACCCTTGATCGGGCCGAGAAATGGTGATTGTAAAGAGACTGCGAAACAGATTACTCCGTGGATGTTCACTGAACAAGGCTGAGATTGATGCAGCCCTAAGGGACGCACAACCACTCAGCGTCGCTTGATATGCAGGTCGTAAGATGCGGTAGATTAGAAATCAACTAGACGTGGCGTATCAAAACATCCATATCCTTTCACTACGCTCATCTCGTCGATTTCGGCGAATTTGGTCTTGAATGTCCAGCCCCCAACCGAATTCTGGAGCATGTCACACCGAGTGCCAGACTTCTTGGCCGTTGTTCGCTGCCACAAACAGCATCCCAACACGCCTAGTTCGGAGACTGTCTTTCCACCGTCGAGACATGCGGATCCCACCAGGAGATTGTCCGCGTCCGGGGGGTGGATCTTCTCCATAAGAATATACCTTGACCAATGTGCGATCGGAGTTGACTTTAAAAATGCCGGAATCGCATTCCCGTATACATTGTTGCCACCCCCCTCGAGGGATGGTTTGAGAATATAATTGGTCGACCGTTTAGGATCGCAGGCTATCCGCCGAGCTTCCAGACCTTCTGTGGATTCATTCAAAGGATGGACCGGAACAAACGTCTCTCGAATTCTGGCGACTTCGGAGGGAGATAGAAATCGCTCCAATGCCCCTGACTCCGTCAAAGCCTGTTGGACTTTCTTGAAGGTAGTCAAATGTCCCAGCACCGAGGGACATTTAATTGCAGTGGATTTCTCTAACTGTAAGCGGGCATCCCAGCCGGTTTTGTTGTACTCATGCGCTTCATAGCCAGCTCTTTGATAAACCACTGATATCTCCACTGGTTTCTCCGATGCGAGCCACGGTGGGTGGAAGAGTAATGCCCGTTCTTCTGTGAGCTGAGTATACTCGAGTATGTCTGGGAAATCAAGCCGGTAATTTGGAACAATATCATCTCGATTCCAGAGGGCGTACTCAATCGGTCGCTCATCTGCGATGTTGAACTGGATTCAGAGTTAATCTTGCCTTGATCAACTACGAATGGGTGAGACTGACATTGTAAGGCTGAACAATGAATAAGACCGCTGTCTTACTCGCCAGCTTGCTCCTTGGCGGACCATATTTCTTGTGTGCCAACGCAAGAATCGAGGAGACCGAATCGATATTATGGTTTCCTGGCAGTGAGTCGACAGGAAATGGCTTGTCATTCATGTCATACACCCCGATTCTTGCGAGATGCCGGTGCATATTGGCAGCTTTGTTCGCATGCGAAAAGCCAGAGCATGAATATGAGTTGAACTCGACTTGCTTCAATGTTGTCTTCGACAGGTCCCCCCATCGATCAACTGAAGCTGCCTCCGTCAGATGGAACATATAATCAGAGCGAAAGATGCCGGCAGAGATGTCTTGTACATATCCTGCATCCTGCGCGGCCTTGTAAATTCCCCAGAGAGCGTTGGCAAGAGGCTCAACGGTAATAATGTCCTTGATTGTGTCGTAAATCCATTCTTCATCTTCGGCAATAGAACAGTATAGCTTGTTGTAGATTTCTTGCAGTTCTAATGCCTGCTCAAACCGTGCCCGAGGCAAGGGGGAAGGAAAACACTGGACAAGATTGTCAGAATGCCTCGCATCGCAGGTTGAGTCCAAGGGAAATAACCCACGCTAACACCAACAGGATAAGAGAGAACGCTATTCTCTGTCTCCGAATCGAGTTGCTTCAGTAGCGAGCCGTGGTTGATTTGCCAGTCCTATTTTGCGTTGTTAATTGCGACCGGCGAAGGGGGGGAGGGCAGATCGAGACTGGGAAATGAATTCTACCTTGATCTGTGATACCAGGGAGAACAGACGATCCTCGCTCAGATCTGGAGGATAATCCTCATCATCCAAGCAGTGCAAATTTGCCATGTCGGTGGTCAGGAACTGGTGAACCGTGGGTTGAGGCTCATAGGAAGATAGTCCCGCGTTGCGGGGGTTGGTGGGGAGGAAATCGAGCAAAGTCGGAGGCAAATTTGGGGGCAAAAGAGGTGACGTCTTTGAAATGGGCATTTCATAGCACGAAATGCACTTCTACATTCTACATCTCGCCCTTCACGCCTTTTCTTTCATCAACGCTGCTGAATGAATTACCTGGTTTTGTCTCTCCAGGCCATCTATCTCGTCGCATCCCACGATGGTCTCAATCCGCTGTCGATCTAGAGCTTCACCAAAATATCATGCCGAACAAGTTCGATGAACGCCCAAATTGAATCCAGTGCACTCTGGATTACCCCTTCCAGAAAGACGGGCCCGGAATTGCACGGGCGCGAGGGTCCCCATGGCACAAATTCCCACGACACATTGGAGAAAAGTACTGATAGTCGTGCCAATCGTCGGCACGACTGTCGCGACAATCATATACGCACTTCGTCTTTATGCTCGGCACATGGTCACACAGAAACTGCGAGTCGAAGACGTGCTCATGGGTATAGGTCTGGTCTTTACCTGGGGTGTTGCAGTGTGCACTGTCTATGGTAAGTGAATCCGATCTAAGATGACCAACCGTTACTAGTACTCAAAATTTGGTGCCCCAGCGGCCATCCATGGCATTGTAAATGGGAGGAATATTTGGATCTTGTCCCCTCAAGAACGGGGGCGCATTGCACTGGCATGTCTTGCAAAATAAGATCTCATTTACCGGGGGTATCTGACTTCTATGATTTAGGCCGACTGGATTTTGCAGAAGTTCTGGCCCGCGGCTCAAGTTTTCGTCAAAATTTCGATCATTCTTTTTCTTCGCCGGCTGCTCGATTGCGTCCCAAGATTTAGAATATACGCAACAATGGTCATCATTCTAGTGGTCGCGTGGGGAATTACTGCGATTATTGGAAATATCTTCCAATGCTGGCCAGTACAATACTTTTGGATCAAACACCTACACGGTGACTGTATGAGTGGTCAAAATACGTTTTTCATCATCATTGGCACCGTGTCGCTGGTCCAGGATGTTCTTATTTTATGCCTGCCTCTGCCGATAGTATGGAAGCTACAGACCCCATTGCGACAGAAGATTGAAATTACGCTGCTATTCTCAATTGGTTGCATGTATGCGACAAACTCCTGGCAGAGTCAAAATCCAAAGCTAATTCTCTACAGAGTCTGCATCTTCAGCGTCCTCCGATTGGTGGCTTTGAGAGAATTTCAAACAGAAAACTTAACACGTGAGCTTTATCTTTTAGTAGAAAGACATTTTATAAGCTGACCTGGCGTTTTTTGCATAGAACACAGCTCTTTTACTTTGCTCTGGACAATCTTGGAGCTCGACGTAGCGATCATATGTGGATGCCTCCTTCTGATGAAGCCCTTTTTCCAGTCCTGCATAGGATACATGCGAAATGGCGCCACACGACTGAGCAGCGGATCTTAGTCCCGTGGCTGATATAGAATGTTCGTTGCATTATAGCCCCATGATTCCCGCATGACTCTAGATTTAGTGACCATTATTGGCGGCCCCGCGTTGGAAGACGTGGGGCCTCGAGATGGCATGGAGGCCTGAGCAACGATATTTTTGAACATAAGTGGCTATGCAAAGAGAGTATACGATTAATGAAAATGAAAATACACCATTTTGCCTCCGCAAAGGTGATATGCAATCAAAGCGGGAGGCTTCAGAGAGTTGTCATTAAAAAAATACACTGCCAGGCTCAGATGATCCGACCCGAATTAGAGAAATCACCTTGCAATGTCCGCAAGGGACGGATGATCCGTGACACGTATAGCGTAGATCAGGATTATCAACAGGATTGTACAATCTAAGTTTCTACCAACCAATAAGTTCCGGATAGGCAGCAGGTTGCATACTTGTATTCGAAGAGAGCTTCAAGCTTCAAGTTAGTAACTACGAGGAGAAGTTGTATGAGAGAGAGAGAGAGCCGACTCGTCACAAACACGGAACACTTGCAACTATCTGCCTATGAAAGAGCCCACGAGGCTAAGTATACCATACCAAAAGATTTGAATGTCAAGTCAGGGTCTTGGAAAGGTAGAATCTCACCGGACGGATACCTAATACTATATACAGGGATTGAGAGCCAAGAGTTTGTCATGCCTGAGGAAAGTTCTTGGCTCCAGTCCATGCGATCAAATTAAAAAGCCTTCAGTTTGAGCTGTCCTGAAACGATACGGGGCTGTAGCAAAACACGTTGGCGTTCCGCTCTGCCAAGGGCGCCTAGTCCTGCGTGGTTGTATTGACCCGGCGCCTACTTGGGGTAAATCAAGGACTTCCGCCTCGAATCTGGGTTTCATGCTGTGAGTATGAAATTCGTGGACTTAGTTGATCTAAATTTCCACCTGTCCCTATTACCAGTACGTTCTTGCAGCGGCGCTCCTTAGCCTGGCGCTTCCTCACGCCACTAACCTCCGTGCAGATGTGACTAGCAAATTGCTCATTTATCTAGAGCCAGCTAATCGCATTCCTGGTTGACTCGAAACCAGTAATGGTTTGAACCTACGGAGGCGACCCCATCGAGGTGGTGGACGAGGCATCAAAACCTAGTCTCTGTCGCCTCTTGGAAAGGATTTGATTCACCCAAGTGACTCGACGAACAAACCTCTAAGCTCAGACCAAAGATAGTATTTCTTCTAACTCTGAAGTTCTCCTCCAAAGATCAGGTATCTGGAAAATGCTACCGATTGTTACGCCAATTTTTCTAGCCACACTGGTGGCCAGTCATGGGCATATTAGCAATATCGTTATAAATGGCGTCAGTTATGACGGATGGGACATCGGCTCATATCCTTATTCGTCTGATCCGCCGGTTGTTGTGGCATGGGGTACTCCTAACACTTCAAATGGATTTATTTCACCAGGTATGATGTCCTCTCGCGGATCTTTCATCGCGGCCCAGCATTTCGTTCCTCTGGACTAACTCGAAAAAAATCAAGACGCCTACGAGTCTGATGACATTATCTGCCATTTGAATGCAACGAATGCCAAAGGACATGCTGTCGTTGCTGCCGGAGACAAGATCAGTCTTCAATGGACCACCTGGCCCGATTCGCATCACGGACCTGTTATTACTTATCTAGCTAACTGCGGGGACTCTTGCGAGACTGTTGACAAGACAACACTGAAATTCTTCAAGATTGATGGCGTGGGTCTTGTCGACGACACTGATGTTCCAGGAACTTGGGGTGATGACCAGTTGATTGAAAACAACAATAGCTGGATGGTCGAAATTCCACCTTCGATCGCACCCGGGAACTACGTAATGAGACATGAGCTGATTGCGCTTCATAGTGCAGGATCAGAAGACGGCGCTCAGAATTATCCTCAGTGCTTCAATCTGCAAATCACTGGCCCAGGCAGCGATGCACCTTCAGGCGTCCTGGGTACCGATCTCTACAGTTCAACGGATCCAGGAATTCTTGTGAACATCTACGCTTCGCTTTCGACTTATGTTGTGCCGGGTCCAACTTTGTATAGCGGAGCTGTCTCCATCAGCCAGGCCTCTTCTGCCATCACTGCCACTGGAACACCAGTTACAGGATCAGGATCCGGGGGCGCCAGTACGACAGGTGCTGGCACGACCACGACCACCACTTCATCGAACGGTGCATCATCTACCACTTCGTCTACTACCAGAGCTAGTACCACCACTTCTACCACTACCAGCCAATCGACGACCTTTGCAACCACGACAAGCTCTAGTGGAGGCAGTGCCTCGACCCAATCGGTTTACGGTCAATGTGGAGGAAGTGGATGGTCTGGTGCGACAGTGTGCAACTTGCAAGCGACCTGCACTGCGTACAACGATTATTACGCCCAGTGTGTCCCGACCTCTTGAAATGTTAGAAATATAGCCAAGGAAGGGGATGTTGAAGTGTTTTGATGTTGTTAACGCCGTATTGTTTTTACCTTTGAATGTTTCTATTTTTGCATATCGCATTATATTAGCACTATTTGATCTTTTCTCATTTGATTATCACCGGAAATCGTATTTGATGAAATAAGGCGAATGAATTGTTCAATTCGCCTCGTGTTTCGCCGGAAAATACTACCCCGCACTACCCTAAAACTCCGATTGGTTTAGACCTGAGCATCCGAGCACTGTTCCCCCGCAAATAGTTACCGCGTCGCACGCGTCAGGCCCTCCAAAACTCTACGCGCATCACTCCGAGGTCAAACATTTCAACCTTTCAAAATGGGCTCAGACGATCAAACCAAGCTTCCTCTAGGATACAGTCTTCACGATGGCTACCCTTCCGTTCCTCACTACCTAGACCTTCGTGCAGCATCCGGTCTGTCTCCGAAAACACAATCACAGGCAACCGCCATCTCCACAGGAAGTTGGCATGGTTGCTACATCACATACGACGCACCCGGCGAAGAGCCATTTCCGATCGGAATGGGAAGAATAATAGGTGATGGGGGCTGGTATTTCCATATCGCAGATATGGCTGTCCATCCAGAACATCAGAGGAAAGGGCTTGGGGGTCTGATCCTCAAGGCGCTTCTTCAGAGAATTCATGCAGAGTCCCCTGCAGATGGCGAACCCTACATTACACTATTTGCCGATGAACCTGGGCGGAAATTGTATTACAAAAATGGATTTGTGGACTCGGCACCAGGGGAATTAGGCATGGCTTGGAAGCCATAGTGCATATACAACGGGAAAACAAATGTCAACTTACATGATCTCCGCTTTTTTGGCTATTTTGTCTCTCCCGGTGATGAATGATCATAATAATCATCTCGCGAGTCTGAACGCCACCTACGAGGTCGGTTTCTCTATGGCAGGACTTCTACTTCTCTAGGGCCTCGGTTACCATTTTGACTTTTCCCCCGACATGGGCGGGGGAGGAGATCCGCAGGATTATTCCAGAATTGCAAACTCACGGACTCGAAAAGGCAGTGCAATGTATGTACATATCAGTACTATTCTCTCATTTTTTCACCCCTTATAGCAGACACGGCATCATAGTTACCTCCGTGTATATTCTCTGAATCTCCGCGTTCCCACAGTCTATTTCCTGAATTCTCTTGTGATTCTCTTCAGGTGCACAATAACTATAGATCGGCACATCTCTATTTGCCCCCATAATATTCAATGAAATGGATCGATAACGTCGCCGGCGCTGACCATGGCCCACAGAGAAAATACAAGGAGGAAGAAAGTATTACAAAAGTCGTGACGAGAATATCGAATTTTTTAAGAGTTGCTTTGTGGTGCACGATGAAGAAACTGTGGCTATCTATTCTATTTTAGTCGATCTCGGTAGCTAAACATCAGTGGAGCCGAACCTTCGTAAGCAATACGATGGCCCCCCTGAGCAGATGTGTATTGAGCATAGCGCAAGTTATGCAAGCCCGTTTCGCACGTGTGACCAATCGTTGGCTCGTAGACGTACTCGGTGGGGTCGCTTACGGAGCTGGTGGATGTTGCACCAAACAAGGTATGCGATCACCAGGAGACACGGGAGCATCGATCCGCTCATCAGCCGATGGATTCGCGTTTGGGTCGACTGCCAACCCGTATAAAAGGGTGCCTGGTAACTGATCGGATTGGATGATCGATCTCAAAGCCGTCGCCTTATACGCCATTCACGATGCGAGTCAACGTTCTCTCTGCGCTCGTCGGGTCTCTTGCTCTCGCAAAGTCTTCTTTGGCAGTCAACATCGTCTCGTCGAATGATGATGGCTGGGCGGAAGTGAACATTCGTGCCTTCTTTGACGCTTTGACAGAAGCCGATCACTCGGTCGTTGTCTCCGCGCCTGCAGAGAACCAGAGTGGAAAAGGTTCGCGAAATGTTTGCCACCAGCTTCTGCCACTGTCACTAACTTATATCCTCCAGGGTCCACTCAGGGTACTCCAACGACACTTGATAAGGAGTGCGAGTTCAACAGCTGTCCTTCTGGTAGTCCGGCTGTGGGACATAATGCCTCAGAGCCTCGTCTGAATTATGTCAATTCATACCCTGCAACTTCAATGAAGTATGGTATCAACTCGATCGGACCTCAATTTTTCGATGGCGCTCCTGATCTTGCGGTGGCAGGACCAAATGTAAGTCGCCGAAGCACCATTCACAAACGAGAGTGGAACTGATATCAGCAGGTTGGTTCAAATATCGGACTCGCTGTTTACATCTCCGGGACGGCTGGAGCAGCTACATACGCGGCGCATTATTCTGGCATTCCTGCCATCGCATTTTCTGGAGCGACTGGTTCTCAGACAGCTTGGAACGCATCTTCAACCTATCCAACTTATAGCCAGGTCTATGCAGATGCGGCTACCAACCTGACCAACCACCTTATCGCGGCCGGGAAACCTTACCTTCCAAATGATGTAAGTCATTCGCACCCTACCCAAACACCTTGGACTAACGGAATGTCGTAGATTTGGCTAAACGTCAACTTCCCCTCCGTTTCCGACTCCGAGTGCACCAAAGCCGAAGACATTTCTTTCGTGTTGTCGCGCATTCATGTTGCGGTACCTCTAATCACACCGGACGATGTTACTACTTGTGGTGGAGATCGACTGCCAAGCGAGATTGGAGTCTCTTTGACCTCGGGATGCTATGCAAGTGTGTCAGTTGGCATGGCAGGTACCAAGGGAGATGCAAACGCCACTATGCAGGAGATTGTTCTAAAGAAATTCAGCAGCCTGCTCACTTGTCTGCCTTGATTGGCGGAAATTCTCATGTATATAGTGCAATATCCAATACATAGCAATGCAACTCTGATTTTCATTCCTTCAAAAAACATGACGTGGTTTACTATTCCTTTTTAAGAGCCTGTGATATCCTTGCGATGTCACCTTTTAGCCTCGTGCAGGGATTAGATTGCTGTGGATAGAACGGTGGCTGCATGAGTCTTCATGAGGCTAGAAAGCCATTTGCAAGCGAAATAAAGAAGCTTAGGTGAAACGAATCACTGATAATCGCGAACCCACGGGGATCGACCTCCTCAAAACCTAGCGGGGTGTTTCTCGGCCACCATCCCGATTCGGGATCGACGGCCGCTGACCGTTTTCAACTCGGGTATTCTCCGGCTCTGCAGAGTCCGGCTGTTTTGCCATATTGGTTCAAAGCAGGTCCTGACAGGAAGCTTCTGAGACGATCTTGCAGAATATAAAGATGGCTATGCGAAAGGAGAAGGGTAGATCACAAAATAATATTCACGATAGAAACGGCATCAGTAATGATCTCTCAGTTATTTCTCGGTCTTTTGTCTATCGCCCATTCATCCGCGGCATCTCCCCGACGAGGAATCTCTCGGCGAGGAACAGTCGGTTCTGATGACATAGTCGGCTTTGCGCAGACTGTCCCGTCGGGCACAACCGGTGACGTCTATCTGGCCTACCAGCCAGATCTGTATGTTGTCAATGGATGCGTGCCATTCCCGGCTGTTGATGCAGATGGAAATACCAAGTGAGTATTAAGTCTCCAGATAATGATGTATAGTCTGTGGCTAATGGTCATAGTGCTGGACTGGATATAACTGGTGCTTCGGACGGGGACTGCAGTAGCAGTACTGGCCAAATTTACGTGCGAGGACAGACCTCTGGCGATTACTACGCGTTGCTCTACTCTTGGTACATGCCGAAAGATGAGCCCTCATCAGGCCTCGGTCATAGACATGATTGGGAGGGGGTGATTGTTTGGCTGTCTAGTTCTACAAGTACAAACGCGGACAATATTGTTGCTGTCTGCCCCAGTGCCCACGGTGGTTGGGATTGCTCGACGGATGGCTACACTCTTGATGGAACTGCACCGTTGATTAGATATTACAGCATCTGGCCCGTGGATCATCAGTGTGGGCTTACCACCACAGTTGGTGGCACGCAACCCCTAATCGCATGGGAATCCTTGCCAGCTGTTGCACAAAGCGCGTTGGATACTACTGATTTTGGCGACGCAAATGTTCCATTCAATGATGGAAATATGGACTCAAACCTGGCAAAGGCTACGTTTTAGATCCCACAAAGGCGGAGTCAACTCTGCTGCATTTGAGAACAATCAACGAAGGGATTTTGGTTTTACGTTCTATAATCTATGTCTATTTCTAAATTAACGCAATAAAAGCCACGAATTAATAGATATTAAAAGGAAAAATGTCACATGTGAAAATAAAAGGAAAGACGCAAGGATCAACATGATGAAAAGCGAATGTTTGATAGCACGGATGCGACATGATGTTGGGACTTGGAAAGCCGTTCTAAGATGAAAAGAGGGCCTTTCACTCGGATCGAGCGCTTTTGGTTTTCTTGCTTCTGAGCTTCATCATAAAAAACACAAGAGCATACGAGGAAATGCAAAAGAGGGCGGTAATTCCCGTCTATATAAATATGTTAGAAACTTGACGACGCAAAGGGTTAGAACACTCACGTCTCTCCAGGAGTAGTATTTCTCTTGCAAGTTGAAAGTTTTGGCATAGTCGGCGCCCGTCGAGTATTGACAAAAGGAGCAAGTATCCATTGAGTTTGAATCCAACAAATAGCCAGCCCGGGTCGAAAGAAAGTCTGTCATATATTCACCGCATGTCTGACCGGACGGAGCGCTAAACGTGATGTATTCGGATGGTTCACATTGAACCTTGACATCCCAGAGAACCTCCCCAAGCAGGCCACCCACAAGATAGGTGAACGGGTCAAGATAGTACATCCAATAACGCCAGAATGGTTGCATCTGGCTGTAGGGCACAACAACACCACAGAAGCTGACCAATCCAGCCCCGATCAGGACAGGGTTCATAACCGCAGCAAAATACTCATTTGGCGCGTAAGCCGCGATAGCTTGGCCAATCGAGGTATACAGAAACTCGTAGACTATTCATGGCTTAGTTGATGCTGATATGGACTGGGGATATCTGAGAGGTAGCACGTACATATCATTTGAAGATAAAAGTGGCCCGAGATGCTGGCGAGAGTTTGAAATCCGGCAGTGAAGTAGAAACAAACGAAATAGAGCGTTGCGCAGATGATGAGATAAGGAATCTCCGTAATTGTCTGAGCACCAATGAAAGCAATCCAGTGATAAGTTTTAGACTGTTAGTTTAGTATAGGTTAGTAAAGTTTCCCAAGCCTGAAAATAGGCGATATGACCTACCTTCTTTTCGCGTGTCTCAAAGATATCGCGGTTGTGCAAAAAGAAAGGCTGCATCTGGTTAATACAACCAGGAGCGACAAAGATAAAGTTAAATATGGCGAAAAGTCGCAGTTGAAGGGAAAAGGTGCCGTCTCCAATCTTCCAAAACGTGAAGCCGCTGAATAAAGCAGCGAAGATATGGAGAATCATCTTGTTCCACATATAATCCTTTTTGATGGTTAGTGATTTCCATCAAAGGACAATTCAAACGATCGTTATAATGGAGGTTTCTTACAGGTGACCGCCAAATCTGAATGGTAAGGCGTTTTGAAACCACCTTGAACTGAAACCAATGCGAGGTAGCAAAGTCCGCAGTATCCTCCACATAATTGGGATCGGCCATCCCGGCCGCATTCAAGGCGTCAAGCTCTTGGAGTGCCACTTTTCGCTCTTCCGAGTCTTTCCAAACGTCGACCCAGTCGGCGCCATTCTTCGCACTTCCTTGAATGACATCGATGATGTGTTCAGCCGGATTGGCATCTGGTGGACACGGGCACCGTTACGTGAAAAATAATCCAAAATCTTGTTCGAGTCTTGGCCAGCTAAGGAAAGGTTAATTCTAGATAGCTCAATTTATGGGGTGGAATGCTTACTTTCACCAAAGTAAGTCATTTTGCCGCCCTTTGCCAGCAGCAAGAGGCCATCGAATGCATCGAACAGGACGGCAGATGGCTGGTGAATCGTACACTAGAGCAAATTAGTCTTCGCAATCTGCACACTTATAAGAAAAGAATTTACCAGTACAGCTTGTCCTCCATCGACAAGCTTCCGAAGAAATCGCACAATGTTATAAGCACTCTGGCCATCCAGACCAGAAGTTGGTTCATCCAGGAAAAGCAAGGTAGGCTTGGCCACGAGCTCAACACCAAGAGTTACGCGCTTGCGTTGCTCAATACTGAGGCCAGCTCCGGGCACTAGACGTAATCAGTATTGAGTCATCTCATTGAGTGAACTTGAGACTTACCTCCAATCAGGGCATCACTGATATCGCGAAGCTCCAAAAGATTAATGATATGGTCGACATAGGCGATCTTATCTTCGTAGGATGTACTGGACGGTTGCCGAAGTACCGCAGAAAAAATAAGTGCTTCTCGTACGGTCGCGCTTGACTCGTGCACATCCAACTGCTCACAGTATCCAGTCATTCGCTGAAAGCTGATCCCTTGCGGGCGTCCATCAATCAGGATAGATCCGTGAATTTCACCAGAATCTTTGCGCTGTGCAAGAACGTCGAGTAGCCTGGCAATCGATTCGTTAGATATTTTTATCAGATATAGCGCAATTCTTTACTCACGTTGTTTTCCCAGCACCAGAGGCTCCCATCAGAGCAACCAGGTTTCCAGGTTTCACAAACCCAAAAACCTTGTCAAGTAACTGTTTCTTTTCTCCATTGAAGGGAACATGATAGTCAAGATTATTCCATGTAAATGTCGAATTCTTGACTGAACCCCGGAGAGCGCTCATATCTCCAGACTGCTCGTTTTTGGCTGGCATTTCCTTTTCGCCCAACTGATGCTGATTCTGGCTTCCACGCTTGTAAAGCAAGACCGAGGACCCACCTTGGCTATTCTTCCACTCGAATCCCAGCGAGGTAAGACCAATGAAAAATATCCAAAAGCCAATGATAATACCAAAGCTGCGCCAGATGTGATGGAATGAATAGCTGTACTGCTCCCGGATATAGGCTTCCCCACTAATCACGCCATCCTTACTTCCGGGAACCGAACATCCCCTGTGAAGCGATACTGAGCTAGAGTAACCTGTACCGTATGGAATATAATCAGGCTCGATGCATTGGAACTCCCGTCCAACAAACTCGTTCGCCATGAGCGCCTCGAATGCATATGCTCCGGGGTTCAAGTAAAATATCCACCGGAACCAGACGTGCATGCTTTCAAATGGAATCAGGTAGCCTGTAGTTTCATCTATTAGAAAAGAGAAAAAAAAAAAAGAAAACCCGAATTGACATACCTCCATAAACAAAAAAGACAGTGGAGAGCAAGCCGGAGATTTTGGAGGCATTTCCAAACGTCTTGCAAATCGCACCGACTGACCGGAAAAGCTGAGAAAAGCACAGTGTCTGGGCGATGATGATGACCCAGAATGTAAAGAATCTCCCGGCATCCATCTGAAGTGCCGACATAAAATACAGAATGAGTGCAAAGAATGTCACCTGCACCGTTATAACTGGGATATCTGTTATGGCGTTTGCGATGCAGAAGGCTGTCGGACGGTAGAATCCGAAGCGCTTTTGCCGAGAGAGAATTGGGCGGCCCATGAACGACTTGGTCGTTTCTGAGAGTGACTCGAGAAGGAAATAAAGGATGGGGAAGAAAAGGACACCGGGACGCAGGAAGATAGAGCTACTGTCTTCGGCAAGGTTGTAGAAGAGGGAGCCGCAAACCAAAGCCTGAAGAATAGCAGAGACGATTTTAACCACCAGGGAGAATTTGTCCCCCCACATGATCTGGAATTGCCGAACAGTACAGGAGCCGACTTGCTCCCAGAGCCCTGCGGTATAAACACTCTTCTGTCGAGGCATATGATGCTTTCGCTTTTCTCTAGCCACGGCAAGCTCCAGATCTTGAATTTCGTGAACAAGTTTTTCCGTAGGCTCCATGGTATCAATCTGGTCACGACAGATTGAACTTTGGTGGTATCTTTCCTCAAATTCCTCGGGAGTGTTGGGGACCTTTGCCTCCCATCCGGAGCGAACGATACGCTCTGTCAGAACGGTGACCGAAGTAAGAAAGTCAGCAATATTAGCCCCCTTTGGGAAATCGAACCCCATTCTTTCGAAGTACTCTCTCGCTAGAGCACGAGGACCATAAAAGGTCACTCTTCCTTCCGCGAGAACCAGAACCTTATCGAACTGGTCGTAAATGCCATTGCCGGCTTGGTAAGTGGTGGCAATCATAGTCTTTTCATTTTCGTCTGCTTCACGGCGCAGCATACGGGCAAATTCAACCGCAGCTTTAGAATCCAAGCCTCGAGTGGGGTTGTCCCACATTTGAACAGGACTCTAGTCACTCAGATTGTTAGCTTGTTCCAGATTAATGACAAAGCATGACTGGGGATGTGACAAACCTGTCCTGCAAGAACTTCAGCAAGTGAGACACGCTTGCGTTCACCTCCAGAGACTCCACGAATGAATTCGTTGCCAACAAGAGTCTTTTTCGTGTGGCCGATTCCCAACGAGTTGAGAATATCATCTCTTTTTTTCGCTGACAAAACCCTTTCGGTCGGCTAACTCTGGGGGTCTCTCATTCGGAATTTTATTTCGCAGAGCGAATTTCATGGTTCGATTGACAGTAAGCGTGGGGAAATGCAGATCGTCTATTTCCATTTTTAATTAGTGATATTGACATCTACATTTAGCGATATGTTAGAAGCGCACCTTCATTATTGAACATGATCTGCTGGCGGTATTTCCTCGCGTCTCTGTGATCCAGACTTCCGTACATGGTGTCACCACAGATCTCGTCGAAAGTTTCGCGGTCATTTGAAAGCACTCGAAGGAGCGACGTGCAGCCGGAGCCTGGTCTGCCAAGCACGAGAAGCTGCGTATTTCAGTTAGCTCCAGTCCTGTAAATCTTTGAACAGTTGGTATTTACCATTTCGCCTGGCCGCACTTGACCGGAGACATCTTTGAGAATTGACTTCGAAATTGTTAGTTATATGCTGTATCTTTGCCATATCACCCTGCATACCCTTTTTGACTTTTTCTTGTTGAATAGGTTGCCAAGCTGGCGTGGGTCAACTTCCGACCAAAGCGTGTCGCCTAGGGCGGCATCGGGTGCTGTAACATTGACAGTGAGATCGCGAAATGTGACAGTCAAGCGTTTGCGAATTTGACTGCTGCCGGATTCCACATCCACTGGTGTTGCAGTCCCGGATGAAGGCGTCTCCATCCTGGTGATGATGCTATAGAAGCAACGGGCGCTTCTTTACCGGTGTAAACGCTTAAACTGCGAGCTTAAATAGCTGTTTGTATTTGATGACCTTGGAAGTTCGGTAAATCTCAACCGGGGCGATCTTTTTTCTTATATCTCAACACGCAGATTGCTCTCTGTGCATCTAGATCCATATTTCCGAAGATGTGGGTCGTGACTCTAGGATAAGGGGATGTGCGGATCTTCATGTCGCGAGCTATCATTAAAATGGGCCCCGGATATGCTGAGTCATGTACGTACGGCTAGGTGAGCAAATTACATTGCTAGAGAATGCTATAAAGCCGAGCACGGCAATATATCCTTTTCGCCGGATATACTGGTTCTGCATATATGTATATTCCACGCCCTTCCTTGATCAATAGCCCCCCGAGTCCGAAACCTGAGTGATCCACGGTGATCCACTTTGGATCAAAGCTCCGATTTAGAAAACCTCGTAATGATTTTCCCGCTTTCGGATATACAAATTTGATTTGTTATCTTCAGTCTCGACAAGCTTTGTTGGGCTTGTCTATTTATTCAGTTGCGTCGAGGAAAGATGGACAATAAGTCTTGATAACATCCATATCGCTCGGAAGATAAAACACAAAATCACGTCAGAGTCGACCTTGGAATCCATGATGGATGTCTAAGGTCTGCAGTATAGGTATGGATTGTATTTCTCTGCCGGTTAAATAAAATGCCGTGCTCAACTTCTTCAGCTCCGAGCTTGGTTTAAGTGAATTGTGGGTCATTCTCAGACCTCCAGTTTATGCTCGGGATTTAATAGATTCACTGCATTCACTAGAAGGAGAGTATTCACGAAAATTATTGATAAAATAAGCTATGAATAGAATGGTAAGACATGAATCAGCTTTTCCTTGGCATTGACACGACCCTATTGGGGAGCGGAAGAGTCAATGGGGGGGGTAGATAGAAAAGAAGGCTTCCAGATCCATAGTCGAGAAATCAAAATTCCAACCCATATCAGATTGTGTGAAGTCGAGGAGGTCCTCACTCGACCCCCCCTGAACGCCCCGTTTCAGGTGATTCCAGAGGGAAATTCCACTGCGACGCAGGGAGGTCAGGAAGTGGGCCGAGGAACGCGTTCCCAGCGAGTGAAGTACCGGCTTGAATCTGCTGATTCTCTGCGACTCTAGAGCCCTGGGGGAAGGATATTGAGTTATCGCGGCGAAGGGCATAGTCGTTTTCTTGACTTGCGTATGGTAACCATTCGTATGATGGATTGATGTTACGCAGTACAGCCTGGATGGCTCCGATGGTACTTTGAATTGGATCGCCCGGTCGCATTGTCGATAAGTTCTGCAGAGTTGCATACGCCCAAGGTAGATGATTGGATGCAGCGCTTGGATCATTAAGTAGGTCGTAAATTATCGTGAAGACCGAGCTGCCCATGAAATAACCATGGTACCGCAGTTCCTAGTGGGATATTTCAGAATAATGCAAAATTAATGATGCTCGTGATTTGATTGTTAACACACCTTCACCAAGTCGTTGGCCTCCGAGGCTTCGCATAAGTGATGGATAGTTTTTCGGGCGGCAGAAAGAGCATGATTACAAGCTTCGTTAAGCCATGACGGAATTTCATTTGGGCGGTTGTGCACCCTAGTAGCAGACTGGCTTGATGGGACTTTCTTACCTCGTCGCCAATGCCCGCGAAAGATGAGAAACGGCCGGAATGTAAGTAGAACAGTATGGTAGTACACTAGGGAAGGTTAAATGCAAGTACCAAGAGAAATCGACATGAAACTTACGCGTTACAAATATCGTTTGCTGCACACCCAGGGAGCCCGATCTGAGGTCGGCATCGAGGCCGAAGCCTAATGTCTGTTTCATGTGCAACTCAAGTGCACGGAGGTCTTCCGTGATTGATCGAGCAACTCGCCACATGTGCAGCAATGACTCGTGACGCTCGCTATAAATTTCCGTGGTCGACCGTGAGATTGTTTTGCAAAGCTGGACTAGTAGTCGGATGAACGGATCTTGTGGATATTCAATGGCAACGTCGCGCAATGACAATGAACTAGGTCGACCCGCGTGGAAGCAAAACCATCTAGAATAAAATTGAGAGGAGTGGTTTGGAGAGTCACTGTGGGTTTATTCACTTACGTTTCAAACATGTATATAGACCAGAAAGTAGTCCGTCGCTCCTCGATATTCTCCGGGCTTTCAATATTGTCATGGGGGACATCCTTGTGTAGTCCTGCTGAGACGGCTTTTCGAGAAGCTACTCCGAGGTGCAAGAATGCGGAATTGGGCCGACCCTGTTCATTCTGATAGTTGGCGTTTAATCATGTCAGCTGGGAAGTCTATTAGCTAGATGGGAATGGCGGAGAGACTTATCATGAGAAGGGATATTTGGACGGTCTGCAAATTAACGACGTCATCGTAAGATGCAAGGGAAGCCTTGACACGGTCGTATAAGATATCACCCCAAGAGAAATACTCGGTACCAAGGGCTGCCGTCGCCAAAATGATCAGAACGATGGCTTGAGTCAGTGTATCGGGGTGGGCAGAAGGGGATGGGTTATATAGCCGCTCTAGGCAGCTTTCATAGTAGGCCTTTGGACGGTACGGCGTCATATGATAAAGGCTAGACAAGAATCGTGACATAAACACCCTGGCGAGGTCGTGAGGCAAAAACATGATTGGGGTATCTCCCCTCCAGTTGATTTCCCAGGTTCATGGTTATCCGGTGTGCCAAAGAAAATCCGTCGGAAGCTGAATAAATCCAAACCTGCACTGGCCTCATCTACGCCACCTGATGGTTCTGGTTGTGCGGTCGGGTTGGAGACGAGATCCCTGTAGATGTGCTGCATCAACGAAAAATGCGACGTCGGTCCATAATAGAGCTGCATCTGACAGGATGGCGATGCCATATGTGTCGCCGAGACACTATTCGGGAAATCACGCATGAATGAGGATCTTCGTTGCTGGGCTGGCTGGGCTGGCTGTGCTAGGCCCGGAGAGGCTGGCGGGGGCTGGGTTTCATTTTGAGCCTCTTGATATTCATGTTTCTTTCTTCTGTGGCGAATGAAATCCCGATAGTTACAAGGTGTTTTTCTTTGTTGGCATGTTTTGCACCTTTAAGATTTCGTCAGACATAATCAGCAGTCGGTGTCGCGTCGAGTTGGTCTCACGGGTTTAGGCCATTGCAGCGGATCTTGCGCTTTCGGCACTCCTGACAGGCCTTGGGAATGCGCCATCCGCTAGTGGGGTGATTTGAAACCTCAGACATATCCGAGCCAAGTCCACTGTGGTGTGTTAACGCGATCCTGGCAGTTGTGGATGGCTTTCTGTACTGTTGAGGGTTTGTTCTTTATCCGCGTCATCCGTCTATATCCGGCCACACGTGACTGGCCTTGTATCCACTTGGTTTGTTTGCATTTTTCTTTTCTGAAGCTCTAAATAGTGTTTAAATAGGAACTGGAGCATCTCAGCACTCCGAGGGAAATATGTGATTTCCACTCAATGATACCCCTTATCTTTGTGGGCTTCCGACCCCGAACTTAAGGCTCGATAATTTGAAAATTAGAGGCGTTGGTATCTTGTGCGAGGCCCCTTCTGCATATTCCTGCGCCCGGACAGGGCTTCCAACGGTTTTTTGAGATCGGGTTTGGGCATGAATTCACTTATGTACTAAAAATCGGTGTTTGAGATCGAGATGCATCTAATTCTAGACGAACCAGGGTGCCTTGTCAACACGCGCGTTGCTATTGACTGCAGGGACATTTGCAATCGCCCAATCATTCTCACTATTTCCCTCGGAGTGGGGAGGTCCCATTTTTGACTCACAAGAAAAGAGGGAAAATAGCAATAGGCGATCACCCCATGAAGCTGAAACTCTCGTCTATTTCTGCTGTGTTTATTTTACTATCCGATCGGAATAGACCCGCTTCCGACGGAACGCACTCCGACTCAAACGTCTCTTGGCGATGGCGTCGGTTTAAGTTAACACATCTATGCGTATTGGCCAGCGATACCTGGCATCGCGTGCCCAGAAATCTCGGATGAAGCTCTCGGTACTTGTACTCGGGGGTTTTAATGGATCTGACCTGGCAATCTGCCGTGGAAACGAGGTCTGGGGTCGGGGTTCACGGATCGCCTTCAGCCCCAGAAAAGTCTGGGGAAGCCGAATCCATCAGTTGTGGGTAATCAGTCTATGGTCCCGCCCATCAAATCTTGTCGTTGACTTTTGGCTGTTCGTAATCATGTGTCCCACTTATTCCCCAACCATTCAGAGACCCAGCCCCATTCATGGCTGCTATCAACCATTCCTACGATTACTCCGTACTGATCTTTCATCCATGTAAACGAGGCTTGGCGACTTGTCGGATGGTATCGCAATGATTGATTGATATCAGTTTAGACACAGTTTCCGATGCCTCTTTTCGCCCATTTTTGATTTCTTTTCCATTCTGAACCTCAGGACTGGCGCGCCTCGCCGAATCTTTACTAGAACCGAGGTGCGGGGGGCCAAAGCAATTGGCCAAGTGACGCATCTTTTCCCGTCTGCCAAGATGCACCCCCCCTTTCTTTCGCCTCCAGACGTCAATTTTGGAGCTTGGCAATCCTAACATGGGGGATTCAATCAGCCGGCATTTCCCACGGTTCAAAGTTTCCCCACGACTTCAGATCTTAAAGCTCGGGTCTTCCGGAATCCATCCCGGGCAAACTCAAGCCCATAAAAACTGCTGATTGCGCTGACCTGCCAAAATCTATCCGAGGTTACTCGAACCTATAAGGACTGCAGCACCCCCCCGCTGAACCCTCCGTGATTATCTTGCGGACTTGGATAGTTCTTTTGGTTTTCCTTCCCACCAGGTGTTGGGGTCCAGCTCATTTTCTACCATGGCCATCTCCGCTGCTGCTGCTGAGTATGTCGGAGACGACAAGGCCATTGCAGACCACAAAGAGACATTGGCGAATGAACTCGCTCGCGATGCCGCAGAACGTGGCCATCTTGCGACTGACCAGTTCGGCCACTCTCTCGTGGAGTTCGACAAGAAAGCTGAATCGCGCCTGCGATTGAAGATTGATTTCTATGTTGTGCCTACGGTGGCGCTCATGTACCTCTTCTGCTTCATTGACCGCGCCAATATTGGTAAAAGATCCCGCCACCGACTTTTCTTTGAATGTTCTTGCACTGACTATCATTCCTGCTTTAAGGCAACGCGAAACTTGCCGGTTTCAATGCCGACCTCGGCCTGAAGGGATACGACTACAATGCGGTACTGTCGGTATTCTTTATCTCATATATCATCTTCGAGATCCCGTGCAATGTAAGCGCGCATATAATCTAACCAGACAGTTGACTCGTTCGCTAATAGACTGTTTATTTTATAGATTGCTTGCAAGTGGATTGGGCCCGGTTGGTTCTTACCAGCCACCACTCTGGGCTTCGGTATATGTTCGGTTGCTACGGCGTTTACCCACGACATTCATCAGGTTTCCGGAGTCCGTTTTCTGCTGGGCATGTTTGAGGCCGGGTTGATGCCCGGTATTGCCTATTATCTCAGTCGTTGGTACCGTCGAAGCGAGGTAGGACTCTTCCATGTTGCCAGTTTGTAATTTCGAATGCATTTACTGACCTCCAGCAGTTAGCCTTTCGCCTATCCTGTTACATCGTCATGGCTCCCCTTGCCGGTGCGTTCGGTGGGCTGCTTGCCTCTGGCATTCTGCGTCTCGACAACTTCGCCGGTCTGCACACCTGGCGGATGATCTTTGCCATCGAGGGTATCATCACAATCGCCATTGGCGTCATTTCCTTTTTTACTTTGACTGATCGACCTGAAACCGCCCGTTGGCTCTCACAAGAAGAAAAAGATCTGGCAATCGCCCGCGTTAAGTCCGAGCGCATTGGAACAACCGAAGTGCTGGATAAAATGGACACCGCCAAGACACTGCGCGGTATCTTCAGCCCAGTGACGATCACTACAGCGTTCATATTTCTGCTGAACAACATCACTGTGCAAGGGCTGGGGTTCTTTGCACCAACCATTGTTGCAACTATCTATCCCAATGCCAGTGTGATTTCCCAGCAGCTTCATACTGTGCCTCCCTATATCGTGGGAGGGTTCTTTACGCTACTTTTCCCCTTTCTCAGCTGGCGGATGGATAAGCGACTCTTGTTTTTTGTCCTTGGTCCACCACTCATGATGATCGGGTACATCATGTTCCTTGCCAGCAAAGACCCGATGGTTCGTTACGGAGCGACATTCATCATTGCAAGTGGCGCGTTCGCTTTCGGTGCGCTCTGTAACGCCAATTCTTCAGCAAATGTCGTCTCCGATACTGCACGATCATCGGCAATCGGCACCACTGTGATGTTTGGAAATATCGGCGGGCTGATTTCCACTTGGTCCTTCTTGCCCTTTGACGGTCCCGATTATCACATTGGAAATGGTCTCAATTTGGCGACAGCAACAATGACCTTGATCCTGGGTTCATTGATGTGGGTGTTTATGCTGTGGGACAACCGTAGACGTGAACGGGTTGATGTTGGCGCTGCGCTAGCGGGTCTGTCACAGAAGCAAATTCAGGACATGGACTGGCGTAACCCGGCGTTCAAGTGGAGGCCTTGATTGGTCTTGCTCTCTTTGTCATTCGAGTGGTGGTATTCGGTTCTCTTCCTTTAGTATGCTGTTATGAGATTAATATTAACGAGGTTGCGTCTTCGAATGACCAACAGAGTTCAGTTGTCCGATCTTCGAGACGGTTATATCTTCCAACCTTGTGTTGAAATGTACGCTGTAGACACACGGAGATATCCCCAGTGACCCCCGCACTCCGTCATGCCCCACCGACTTCGTCCAACAGGCGGCTGTCACCGCAACGCTGCCTTTCTTGGGGGACACAATGGTGGGGTCAGGGGCCAAAGATCCCCGGGACCGGGAAGAGTGCAGGAAGCAAGTCAAAAAAGACATAAATAACGGCGTCCTGAGGTCCCCTCTAGGATTCATTCACAAAGAAATAAACCATCATCAATATGTCTTGCGAGGCCTGTCGAACCATCCCCGCTGTCATTGCCCAGGGATATACCCCCCAAAGGCCAATACGAGACCGTTGCGGGTCTCAACACCTGTAAGTGACCATCTTCAAGATTGTTTGTGCGCCCCCTCGATTGGTTTTCAGTCTACTGATCGACTTGGAAAGACGTTACCGGCAAGACGGATGGCCGCGTCGGGATTGTGCACATTTACGATGTCTTTGGACTGACCAACCAAACTCTCCAGGGCGCTGATTTGCTGGCTGCACGGCTGAACGCTGTGGTATTGGTACCCGATTTTTTCAAGGGCGATGCACTCGAAGCACATATGATCCCTGCCGACACCGACGAGAAAAAGCAGCGAATTGGCAGTTTCTTGGCCACTAGCGCGAATGTTGAGCGCAATTTGGGAGTTCTGCTCGCAGCCGTTCCAGAGTTTTGCGTGCGGTTCCCCTCTGTCAACAAATGGGGTGCCAATGGCCTCTGCTGGGGAGGAAAGGTGAGTCTCGACGCAAACTTGGTCACAGTGATTGTGATGTGAGACAAGGTTGACATTCGCAACGCAGGTGACGATCCTAGCGTCAGGTTTCAACACCCCTTTCGCAGCCTCAAGCCAGTGCCACCCCGGGTACGTATATTCTGCTCTTATTGTCTCTGCAAAGTTCGAAAGCTCATACAATCATAGCCTGATGGATGCAGCTGATGCCCAGTCGGTCGCCATTCCTCACCTCGTACTCGCATCGAAGGATGAGGAACTCGCAACGGTCGCAGCGTATCAACCGCTCGTGGGCCCCAAGGGCGGCGCTGTTGAGACTTATTCCACGATGTGGCATGGCTGGATGGGAGCCCGGGCGGATCTTGAGAAGGAGGAGAGTCGTGCGGAATATGTGCGCGGGTGAGTTGATCTCGAGGAATCCCTGGTAAAACGTGAAAAATCCATCGGTCGCGTCGCTGACAATCCAACAGATACACACAGTTGGCCGACTTTTTCGAGAAGCACCTTGCCTAAGGCCAGGATGACTGATCGACCAATAGCAATTATCGCTACCCCCTACAAGGGCTCAATATCATATGGAACGTGCTAGTGATTCACTTTGTAATATTAAATCAAATGAACAAGCCGGAAAAAAAAAACCAAGTAGTCCGAGTATATTCCCGTATCTACTACTACCAGTCAGTAGATAAAAATGTATCCATCGATACCTCCTACTAGGTGGTATCCCTGGATTCATGGATCTCCCGAGGTCCAGAACAGTTGAAGTCCACTTGTACCAGTGTCCGCAACCACATTATTTCCATTTCAATTTACAATCTATTGAACCAAAAAATATAACATAACGAGTGAGTGGCCTATTTGATGTTTACGGTTAGACTGCACAATGCGTAGACAAAAACTTCATGCTCGAAAATTCCCTCGCAAATCTTTCCCGATTCGACCATCCCGGTACCGGCCCGCCACCGGATCGCAGAACACATTCGCCTCAGCAGAAAGAACACACTACACGATCCAAAATGGGGAAAACGGATGAGGTCTGTGGACTACTAAATACGATGGATCGCCCGCGATTGACAAAATGCCGAGTGAATGAAGTGCGACAGGATTTCATTTTCTGTGAGGGATGGAAGTGACGATCGCCGACCAGCGCCCAACCGCACCTCAAGATGACACTCATCACGACTCGGAAAAGGTAAATGTGGATGCAAATATTGGGGTGCCAGATGCGCCGTATAGCGTGCTACCAGCAGGCGAGAAAATCTTTGTGATTATTGCGGGCTCTTTTGCGGCTCTGATCTCGCCACTTTCAAGCAGCATCTACCTGCCGGCGCTCGATTCGTTGGCGCGTGATATGGACGTGTCGGTTTCACTGATCAATTTGACCATTACGACCTACTTGGTACGCTTATGAGAACTTGAGAACTTGTGTCGCTCAGGGAATGTTAAACTAAAATTATTCAGATATTCCAAGGGCTGGCCCCATCCTTCTTAGGAAGTTTCTCTGATGGCTATGGAAGGCGACCGGCCTACATCATCGCCTTTGTGATTTACTTGGGAGCCAACATTGGTCTCGCACTGCAAAATAGTTACTCGGCTTTAATGGTTCTCCGGTGCCTGCAATCCGCCGGAAGCAGTGGCACTATCGCGCTCGGTAGCGCGGTCGTGGCGGACCTGACGACTCGAGCAGAGCGTGGAAAGTACATTGGTTATGCGGGCATGGGAATCGCCCTGGGCCCAGCACTCGGGCCTGTTATTGGTGGCCTGCTGGATCACTTCCTGGGATGGAGAGCCATTTTCTGGTTTTTGGTCATTCTTTCAGGGTCGTGTTTTATCATCACGCTCATCGTCTTCCCGGAGACCTGCCGGGCTGTGGTAGGGAATGGGTCAGTTCTGCCACCCCGATGGAACTGGCCTTTCTGGGCCTTCCTGATACCTCGATCTCGCTTTCGAGGAGCCGAACATCCTCCAGACCCAAGTACTGTCCAGGTGCTCAAGCATCGCCCGAATCCAATCTCTTCTTTGCGCATCGCTACCCAGCGAGAGGCTGGCTTGATTCTGCTCTATGGCGGCCTGTTGTTTTCAGGATACATGGCGGTACTGAGTACACTGAGCACGCAGCTTAGTTCTCGTTTTGGATTTAATTCTATCCAGGTTGGACTTTGCTATCTGCCTCTCGGAATGGGGAGTATCAGTTCCCGGTTCACGGTCGGTAAGCTCCTGGATTGGAATTTTCGACGTGAGGCGCGCATCCAAGGCATGTCTATTCAGAAAAATCGACAGCAGGACATCGATAACTTCAATATCGAGAGAGCTCGATTGACGATTTCTATTCCCATGATATACCTTGCGTCTCTTTGCATCCTTGCTTATGGTTGGGTGATGCAATTCCGTACTGCCCTGGCGGGACCTATGGTGATGCTCTTTTTCACCGGCATGGCTACCACGGGTGCTTTCAACGCCCTTAGCACGTTGATTGTGGATGTCAATCACCATAGTGCAGCTACTGCTGTCGCAGCCAACAATCTCTGCCGTTGCCTGATGGGTGCCGCGACCACGGCCTTCGTATCACCCCTAATCGAAGCCATCGGCTTGGGATGGACGGCTACTTTGATCGCTGGACTATGGGTTCTTTTCAGCCCCATGCTGTGGTTGGTATATCGCCGAGGGCACAGTTGGAGGCAAAAGGCAGCTCTGAAGAAGCAACAAAAAGCAGAAAACCGCGGACCGTGATGTTCTTTCATCGGTGTCAAAGAAACGAGGTGGCATATCCGATGTGATCTCTGATCTCGTGCATGACCCGACTGTAAATAGTGGACATAGATAGGGATAGAAGACTGGGTATGGACTGCTCAATACATTACATAGTTACTATGCCAGGCATCAAGGGGTTATGGAATTAGGATTCTCCAACTCTGTGTTACCTAGGTATGTATGAAGGAGTCGTTCGAATTCGGGCGGCATCCATGGGATTTACTAGCGACTTTTATATCATCGAGGTGGTTCAGCCTTGGAAGTTGCTCTGCCCGGTTAGCATTCTGACCTCCCAAGTTATATTCTTAATCTATGTAATCCATATCATAAGATGAAAAGTGGATTTGCTGTTGCCTAAAACTGCTGCCTGGGTTCGCTGACTGTGTCCTGCATTATTCACTCAAGCCCTGGAGGGTAAGTGCCACCCACCTGGTCCACCTTATTTACCTGCCAAACATTAGCTAATTGGAATACATTTACCTCCCTAGTCTCCTCATTCTATGAAGAAACAGAATATCTATCGCAGAGATGTCCTGCCGCTATGTGTCGAAACTGAGTTGCGAAGAGAAGCGAGCGCAATATGATCTGAGTAACTCACAGGAAACATGGCAGGGACTGCGTGATGAAGCAGTCAATATCGGCAGCCAATTTGTCAATTATGAGTTGGAGGCCACTCAGATCAAAGAGCGGATACATGATCTGTGGGATGAACTCATCCATGCGGCAATAGCCATTCCGACAGGAGGCGCGGAACACGACCGTTTGGTGACTTTGGTGTTGAGTACGCGTGAAATGGGCGTTCTGGCTCGCAGGGGGGGATCAACCATTTTGCACGAAACCTCGTATGGCGAAGAAGCGATTCTACCCAATGGTCAGCGACTATGGATAGATCTCCCCTACTTTATCGAGGACGTCCAGGCTTTCTGGACACAAGAATCGGTGTTTCTTGCCGCCTCAAAGCGGGAGAATCTAGCCACATGGACGGCAAAATTATGTGCAGCCGGTGTCTTTGCAAACGAGCTGAGTAGCGTGGCGCTGTGGCTGTTCAAGGAGACTTTCGAGATCTTCAGGCGATCGGATAAGTCGGAAGCCGGCGGCAATGCTGAACAAATCTCCATGATCGAGCTGTTACCTGCCTGTACGGCTTGGATGCAATTTAATAATTTTAAATTGGTGAAATTCGCGGTGGCCAATCGTGAATCACAGTCTGCGAACGAAAAGAGTCTAGGGGCGTTAACACTGCCGGGTGAACTAGCCAAGAACGCGCAAATACCGACGAACGGGTTTAGCATCCCAAGGTGGGTCTTTTGGAGGCAGCGACTGAAAGACCTCCACGAGGGTGGAGATGCACAGATGATGAAGATGACAAGAGCCTGTTTCGAGGCAATGATATTGACGGGAATACACATCGGGGTTGCTGTGCCAGGAGAGAGGAGGTACCTGAATAATTTATTTCGGGCACTCGATGAGGAGCTGGCGTCACGAGAGGTGAAAACTTCGATTGGCCCTGAAGATATTGCTATTGATATGAAGTGGGCCGAATCGGACGAAGAGAATGCTTAGTCCGGAAGAAAGTAATTTCTCTCTTTGTGCCTGTGCGTTTGTTACAATTTGCCCCCTTTATTTCGGCGGGCTAAGATGCAGAATGAAACAGCACTTCCCTGAAAACTTGAAGGCACCCTTCAGCAGGTGTTTCACTTTTCGTATTCCCATTTTCCCCGCTGGCTTTAATTAGCTCATCTTTGTGGGTGGGGGAAGGTGAGAAGGCGTAGTTTCTGATGAAAGGAGGAGGATAACGGACCAATACAAGTACAAGCATCATGATATTCATAATATAATCCGTATAGAAGAACTATAGTACAAATAAGGCTGATCAAGAAGGATTATCTGGGGATGCCGATCGTTGTAAATGCCGATCGCTGATAATCCTGCAAGAAACTGCAACAATGACTGAACACCCGATTGTGGAGAAGGGTCAACTAGAATTATCTTTTCAAACCAAACAGGTTCATCAGAAAACCCTGGGATCTGGGGAAAGACAAGCACCAAGGCTGATTTGGTGTTTATTTCTGCAAATGCGTGATCATCGTCAGCCCAGAAGCTTGCTAAAGCTTGGCGGGATCCACCGAGAGGCGTCGCTCGAAAAGAAAGGTTGACGACGCTAGCGCCGAGGATTACGCATGCTCTGGCGCTATATTTAATCTCCCAGCGCTATATGGGTCGCCCGCCGCGATTTGGGTGAATCCTGTCGGATTCTCAACTTTTCTCTCTCTCTCTCTCTTGACAAAGTTGTGTCTGATGCCTTCTGCGAATAATCAGAACTGAAACGTCTTTTTTCCATCTCGGCTGGCTCCGTCCCCGCGTGTTGTCGGTAATTCAGATCAATCGGCCCACTAGAGAAGAAGTTCTCGACGGCCCTCTCTCTTCCGTCAAAAATGCGTTTACCAGGAGCGGGGCTGCTATTCAGGGGCCTCTGTCTTTCAGTCTTTTTGTTCAGCCCTGCTGAGGCCATTGATTTGGATATCAGCGATGAACGTATGTATAGCGCTTCCCCGGTGATGTTGACTCTGGCTGACTCGCTTTCTACAAAACAGAATCGATCAAAGATGCCGCAAGCACAGCCGTGTATGCTATGATGACCTACTATTCTGGTAATGAGACCGGTCAAATACCTGGCGCTTTCCCCACCAAATGGTGGGAGGGATCGGCGTTATTTCTCGCCCTCCTTCATTATTGGCATTATACCGGCGATACCACATATAACGACGAGCTACGCGTTGGCCTGGAGTGGCAATCTGGTGATGATGGAGACTACATGCCTACCAATTATAGTAGTTACTTGGTTAGTCCTCCCGGTGAAAATTAGGGCTATCGAGTCAGGACTAATTGACTATCCAGGGAAATGACGATCAAATGTTTTGGGGAGTCGCTGCTATGACTGCCGCCGAATTGCAATTCACCGATGTCTCCGACGGATTTTCTTGGTTATCCCTCGCTCAGGGAGTTTTCAACACACAGATTAAACGATGGGATACAACCAAGTGCTCGGGTGGAATGCGCTGGCAGATCTATCCCTACCAAAGCGGCTATACCATGAAGAACGCTATCTCAAACGGCGGACTGTTTCAGCTGTCCGCTCGACTGGCGCGTTATACAGGAGATGCAATTTATTTGACATGGGCCAACAAGATCTGGGACTGGTCTGTGTCGGATGATTCTTCGCCCTTGATCAATAATGCGACATGGGATGTTGCCGATTCAACAAACATGGAGAATGATTGTACAACACGTGGAGACACCCAGTGGTCATACAACTATGGGGCCTACATGACAGGAGCCGCCTACCTATACAATTATGTGAGTTCGATACAGCTAGGGAATTTTGCGAGATGTGTTGCTTATACCATATGCTCGCTATAGACCAACGGAAGTTCTTATTGGCTCGAAGCCGTCGATGGTCTCCTGAATAAGACATTGGACAAGTTTATCCCCGACAGCAACGGCGGCATTTTTGAAGAGGTCACATGCGAGCCTACAGAAGTGTGCAATAACAATGAGATCCTTTTCAAGGGACTTGTCTCCTCCTGGCTGTCGTTTACCGCCATGCTTGTTCCATCGACCTATAGCAGTATCATCCCCAAGCTACAAACATCAGCCCAAGCCGCCGCTAAATCCTGTACGGGCCATAGCAACAGCACATGTGGTGTCCGATGGTATCAATCCAAATACGACGGATGGATCGGAATGGAGGAGCAAATCAGCGCGAGCGATATCTTTACGGCAAATTTGGTCAGCTTCAACGCGGTAGCGCCAGTTACTTCGACAACGGGAGGAAACAGCACCAGCAACCCAGATGCTGGAAATAACGACACAACGTCAACCACTACGACGAGTACTACTATCACTACAAAAGATAAGGCTGGTGCCGGAATTTTGACAGTCCTTTTTGTTGTCGGGTGGGTAAGCCTCATCGGATGGACAGTTCTGGGTGGTTAATATGCATGGTTTTGATTAAATGGCGTTTTGATGGAAATTGGCGCACTATTATCTTGGAAATGGTCAAGGGCATTGGGATTCGACTTTGAATACTTATTGGCTTCAGGCCACTCAGCGGCAAGGGTTTAGGAATAGAAATGACTTATACAAGCTTCTGGGAAGCATTTCTCACATGCAACTGTAGGGATGATTTGCGAGATTATAATATGATCATACAATATTCAGTCCACATCGGACTTGCATCTGATATTCGCTCAAGAGAGGCGTATAATTGTCAGAATCTAAGCACTCAGGCCAGCAACCAACTTGTCACCCAGCTCCTTGATGCTGGCCTCGAATGCATCACGGTCCCCAGCTTTCCAATTAGCATCGCTGCCAGGAACAGCATCCTTTCCGGTGAATCCCAGATAAAGAACGTCTTCTTCGCCATGCCCATTATTTCCGTTGATATCGTCGTCGGGGAAGCACATCTGAGCCAGAGAGATGGATGCCTCGCCGGTAGAGTCCTCGCCATTGGTGTCGCCCCAAATTCCATACAGCTGGCTCAAGGAATTAGCTTGAAGGGCATTGCAGTCCTAGAGAGGGGACTAAACATACCACTTGATTGTTGCATACGACGGCCATGACACTCAGAGGCTCCATTCCGTATTGCTGAGGATCAAAGTTTGTGTTTCCGAAGACCACATAAGGGTGGACGTTGGCATCCAGATCTTGAATTCCATACTGACTGAGTTGGTCCTTGAATGCAGTTTCTCCTTGCCCGGTCTCATCGGTCCCACAATCCCCCCCTTTATCATTCAGTCCATCGCAATCCACATCCATGTTGTCATATTCACCACCATTGGCCGAGCCGTGCAGGTAGATTGCCCCATCGATATCACCGCAGTACGAAAATGTGTGAGCGCCGTCGATACCGTCCGAGAAGCCTCCTGCGATCTTGTTACTGCATTGACCAGACTTTTTTGCACGTTAGCAAACTGTAACTAAACCATGTCGCTTCCCTGGATACCTGCCTTGTGATTGTCATAGATTGTCTTGAGATTGTCCGGCAAGTCATATGCAGCAGCAAGACTGGCTGACAACAGAGTGGTGGTGGCGAGAATATGCATGATGATACTGGTGATATCGATACAGAGATGGGATCTCTTTGGACATGCGGGCGAGCTGGAGTATATATGCGAAGTGCCTCGCTCCACTATTCCCCATCGGGATTATTCAGTTTTGCGATTATGAGGCTTTCTGCAACGCAGGGTCTTGGATTCAGCTAGAACTTAGCATCCGATCATTCGGCTCCAGTCATTAGAAGCCAATGAGGACGACGGCAGAAATCACAGGCGATGATCCTTGTGAATTTGGGGAAGAGGTAGTATCAAGGGGTCATTTGTTTTGATTTTAAAAAAGAGGCGGAGTGGCATTCACCTCTTTCTTCAAAACCCTTGGTGGGTATGGCTCAGGGTCTAGGCTCTCATTTGGTGACGCTGCTTACATTTCAAAATCCATTTTATGACCAATTCCCCAAAAGGGTAACGAATGGGGCGAAAAGGGGCCCTCATAATCTTACCGTAACATGAGTTTCAGAAGATCAGAGGCGGTTTCAGCTAGCGGGGCATAATAACACTTAGACTCGCATTCGGGTACGGGAAGTGGTGATGATCGACAGCCAGGCCCGTACTATTTCTATCGAACTTGGAATCGGCCTCATTGCCATAACTATGATCATGATCATTGTGGTGATTGTGAGCAAAGTAATGCAAGGGAATTGAGGAACTTGGGGTTATCGAAATATAATGTGACAATTCTCGCTTTTACATCAATAGAGATTTAATGCTGCCCCTGTTGTACATTTCCGCCATCTGTCTCCGCCGAAGAGAGTATTGATGCCAAATCCGACTGCAAAGTAGCACCTTCACTAAGAAGAGCACCGATTTTGTCGGCCGTTTCCCTGGCGCCATTTTCGCCCACAAAAAAGAAATGATTTCCCGAAATCTCCCGCGACATTCTTGATGGCGCTTCATGGAATAATGCTCTTAGCTTGTCCCACTTTTGAGTACCTTCAATGTCTTTCAGATGCTTCTTTTCAATCGTGGATTCCAATTTGTATGTCAGCAAGAATCCCCATGTGGCCTTATCAGTGAGAGAATGCCCCGAGTCCTGCGAACTTGTTGGATATAGTGCTGATGGGTAGGGGGTGTTTTCGATATCGAAGACCCGTGAATCCTCTTCGTGGGTTACTTCGTCTTGAATGAAAGAGCCCTGGCCATCGTATTTGAGCCTGAGTCCAATCAAGTTGATTGGAGTTCCTCCGACATATTCTCTCAGATAGATTTCACGGGGTATGATACTCCTTTCATTGTTTGCTTTGTCCACAGCGTCCAGCTGTTTGCAAAATGCGTCGATCCGTGAAGCGATGTCGAAGTATCCCGCTGAAGTACAAGACATATCCTGGAGTGATCGGATACCTGATATTCCAGGGGTAGCAGCGAGACTGATATATTGCTGAACATCAAGGCCTAGTTGCTTGCATGCAATGTTGAATTGGACAACCATTCTGCCACCCATACTCCATGAAACCAACACCACAGAGCGAGTTGAGAGAGAATGACGTTCTATGCAGCTTTGAGAGCCCAATGCTGCTTGACGTCCCCAATCTCCAATCCGGAATCCTGACCCTGTCGCCGGCATCAGTGGGGGGTTTGTGTCGAGCGGGTAAGATAATGACAGGACTCCGAAGCCAGATTCATTCAGCCAGTGAACCACAAAGTCTTCTTGGCGGTATCCGTGATGCCCACCGTAAAATACACGGGCCAGATGTACTGCTCCTGGGATGCAAACGATCAAGGGTCTGGAAATTGTATCCCTGGCAGTGGGCGGCGGTTGATAGTGACAGATGGTCGGGAATCCCCCGATTGTCTCCAAGGTCTCCCCCGGGTATAAACGAGGCTCGCCAGCATGATCTGCCTGGACCATCTTGTCGGTCTGCGTTGGAAAAATTCACCTCGATCTGTCGGGGTAACTGAATGTTCCGAGGATTCAAAATGAAATGGAGGGGAGAGTTGAAAAATGCGGATCGAAATGAGGGGCTCTCGGCATTTCCCCGTCCATCCCGACTCCACGCGTCACAAACCTGGAGAATACAGGTGCCTTGATTAATATCTACATTTATGAATACTCTAAGGCTCATTTAGTTTCGTGCAATGAACTATGCAATGAACTAATCATTAATGTGTATTTTTGCCTGATTTTCTCTTATCCTGAAGCATTTCGCCTTTTATAAGTCTCATTGTAGAATAATTAACCAGGCGATGTCATGATCAGATAAGTCACAAGGAAGAGTGGTTTAGATATTATCAAATATGCTGATGATGAGCTGGCCACTTTGATGGCCTATCTCTGGAAGTTCTATCCTCGCAACCAAATCAATTGGACCAGCTATCAGGGGCCACAAGTGGAATCTTGCAGACTTTGATATGTAGCTTCAAGGACGCTTTAAGCGCACATAGTGTATTAGCGATATTTCATTAGGGAAAGGAGTCGAAGGTCATACTGAGAACATCTGATGCCGTGCATGAAGCAGCCAAACAATTCATGAGAACCTCAACGTAATCGGCACTCGGGCAGGTACACTCGATATTCTCAAAACTGCCACAGTTTATTGCTGTAGCGGCCTCTTTGTTGCATCGGAGCTGTTCCGTGAGACATTAGACTGTTGTTCTTTATTTGGCTTTCACCATGTCCCGGTTGGGATGTGCTAGTACAAACCAGACAAGGGCTCATAGCCTGTGACCCATTACTAGGATCTTGAGCTACCGTGTACGGGGCAAGGGAAGAAGAGCTAGCGCAAATGACAACTTCATTTTGGAAAAACAAAAACTGCCAGGTGAATTTTACTATCTGAGAGCGGATAAGAAGCGTCGAGGTTATAGAGTTAATCCAACAAAAACGAAAGAAGTACAGTGGCATTCTCAAATAGTTTATATATGCTGATGAGGGACTAATCGTACACAATCCATACATCTAATTCCAAATTAAACTACGGTGACACCATAATGCAGATGACTGTACGTCCTGGAGAATTCGCCCCTCAGCCCCCGAGCTCGAGAACATCGAGGGCGAATACGAGATACGAGATACTAGTAGTAGGCTGATTCATTTTTGTGCGAGAAGATCAATTTGGTCCACGGGTATTGATAGATGCGATCGGAGGTACAGATCATAGAGATGTAAAAATGCGTATAGATTAATGGCCTCTAGGACCGTCCTAGCCCTGGAGGGTAGGACAAGATTCCCGATCTCTGTGTTACGCTATGCACTAGATGTGATATGATGCGAAAGGACTCATCAGTCTGCATGGTTAAGAGTTATTTCTCACGGGTCTTTCGGAATTGTAGTTCTGTTTTTGTAGTACTAGTACTAATATAAATTGATGTTAGATATTTCGAAAGAGTTGACCTGCGAGAGAGTGGCTTCGTATTCAATATGCCAGATTAGTCTCGAGCAACTGGCATCCTACACAACACCTTTCCGATCGGCGTTGCATCTCGCTTGGCCAAGTTTAAGTTACCTATATACTTAGAGGAAAGACGATATTTGAATTTCAAAAAGACTGGAATTTTAATATAGAACCATCTATCTGACCAATTAACTCGGGCTATGCGAGGAATAATCAACGTTGCAACAGTACGATGATATCAAGAGCACCCTAGAGCTAAGAAAAGATATCCAAATTGACATTGCCGCCCATCAAGAGAAATTTCAATCATCACTCACGGTGTAATCAACTTATCTGTCTCATCTTATAGGATAACCTTGCCCATTCATGAGTGGACCGGAAAACTGCGGCGGTACTACAAAAGACAGACAACCTTGAGAAGTCGGAATCATTCAACCTAATAATTACGCCAGGTGTCCATGGTAGGAATGTGGATTATGGACACCTGCATACTCACAACTTACGAGCGTCTAGAGGAATGTTGGTGCCGGAGAAGGGTGTATGGTGTTGGTTCACCGATTTTTTCATAAACTTCATGGTGGTACAATTGAAGAACGCGACGCTTGGTCGGCCCTGCAACCTCGTTAGTCTAAGAAGGAGCTGCGGTAAGAGTTAGTCAGTCGGAAACTGCGTGCGAATGATGGGAGACAAGGAATGGAATAACCCTAGGATGTGGTCCCATGCGATGTCAATGCGAGTCCGTGCCAGGCGATACATGGCTCGGAAAGCTAGACCGTTTGGAAAACCTGAAAAAGAGAGACCAGCTCTATGATTCCGCATCGGCGTCAGTGTGCGACGAGAGGCCCAGGACATTGGATTCCTCCTGGTTATCCTCATCCTCGTCGTCGTCCACGTCTTCCCATTCAAGGTCGGCGTCGCCCTCGCCGAGACCTGCGACCATGGCCTGCAGCTCTTCATCGTCCTCGTCTTCGCCGTATTCATCGCCGAGCATGCTTAACAGTTGCAAGAGTCCGGCTTGTGAGCGCCATATTTCGTCTGCGGGTGGGCGGTCCTGGCTATTGGGATCGAACAAGCCGTCTCCGCCGGTGGTGTTTGTTGGTGGTGTGTTCGAGCTCGACTTTGGTGTTGCACCGGGAAGATCGGGGGCCAGGCTGATGACGCGAATCGCTTTGGTTGGGAAGATGCGGGCGGGATTCTCATTTTGCTGCACATCACCGGGGATATTAGGCAAGGATTGTCGCCAGCCGAGGGTCTTGTGAATCATAGATTAGCAATGCGACACACGCAAAGGAGTGGGTGAGATTTGAGATGTTCAAGGGGCGAAGCATACCGTATAGGTGGTCATGATCGCATCGTCGCACAGCGTCATGAAGCTCACCGGGACTGCCAGCTGAGGGGCAGAACTGGTGAGCAATGAATAAGAAGCGCGAGATGGGGATTCAACATTTTGAATCCGATCGCGATCATCCAGTGCGACGATGTAAATGCGATCTTGGATCTCAAACATCACGCGGTGATTCTGCACTGACAGCCAGCCACCTAGGTCGAAGCTTGACCCATCCGACTTGCATTCAATCACAGAGCTGTGTGCAGCCAGAGCTGCTGGATCCCGAATGGCTTTGCGCCAGTCAGAACAAACGAACACGCTGCCCGCCCGGGAGAAGCCCACAAAGAGATCACCATCTAGCATCCCAGCCCCCCATTCATTGACGCCATCCCACATATGCTCGGAGGTCGGAATGGGCCCGGAATTGAGTTCGAGAGGTACGAGGGAATCTTTTCGAGGGGCCCCGGGCGGGAATGGTCGATGTGCTGTTCCATATCGAGCGGCGCCGGCCAATGCTGCGGTCGCAGACGGCGAACTGGGGGCGGGTGGGAGAATGTGATATTTATCGGTGCACTGCGATGGTTGAAGAATCCCGAGGAAGCCACCGGTTATTTTGTCGTAGACGTAGTACCCCTTTTGTCCGATGGAGTAAATGACGGCATCTTCGCTTTGATCGAGATGGCCGACCGCGTCCTTTTCGATGTTGAGGTGGGTTTTCAACGTGGGCGGACGCTGTGTCATATCGTATACGAAGCCGTGGCCCTGGTTGGAGACCACGCAGAGAGTCCAGTAAGATAATTGGAACCCTCTCGTCTGGCAATCGTGATTCAAAATGGCAATTCGACGAAACTCCCCCCGTACCGCACCATCTTGATCGGCCTGCCAAACCTCAACGCCATCCCCTTCCCTATCGAATACCACCATACCATCTTGATATTCGAGATGTGCGTAGGGACGCACCGCATCGCCGTCGCTGTCGGTTGTGGAGGGGAGTCGCCAGAGAATGCGACCGGTGTCCATATCGGTGACATTCAGCCCGCCAGCATGGGAGGAGGAGACGAAGAAACGGCGTTTGAAATCGGGTCGAAAGCGCCACACAGGATCATTACCGATTTGTAAGACTGACTCCTGGCTCATGGGACGACAATCAACCCAATTGCGAGCTAGAAGAGTCTGGCGCTTGCAAAGATCCTTCCATGATGCCGTCCCTTCAAACAAGCGAGAGAAGGAGTGGGTATCGGATAGGAAGGATAGTTCACGAGGACGAGAGCATCCCGGTGGACGAAAGGTCTTGTATTCGGAGTTGTAGATAGCTTCTTGGTGGGTGTAGTCGATGAACTGATGCCAGGCCTTGGAGGTGGCAGTGAGCGCGGCGAGGGCGGAGACTGGGGAGAATTCCAAGATTCGCAGAACAATCTCCGGGGGGAAAGGCAGCGAGGGGGTCTGCAGTAGAAGAAGTTCCGGCAGTCATATTCTGAGAGGAGGAGAGGGAGGGAGGGAGAGAGAGGGAGAAGGAGGGAGGTGAGAAGTTAAGAGTGAAGTTGAAGTTCAAGGAAGTCGAAATGGCAGAATCCTTTTGGACGCGGGGCATGCCGTCATTATTCACCGCCTTCCTCGGAGTATACAACGAGTAGAGTATACTAATACTAGTATATTAAGGGGAAATGGGATACTAGTATGGGATATTAGTATGATATTATAGTAGTATAGTGTAGTATACAGTATGAAGGCTCATTGATAGTGGTAATATTATAATGCAGGAACGAATACGCTGCGAGTAGAGAAGGACATCAAGTTCTGCCAATTGCCTGTTCAACTAGTAGATTTATATACCAAAAGGTGTGTCGTTCCATAGACGCCTTTCAGCCTCGAGCTCCTCTTCATATTTACCCTCTGTAAAGGCATCGCGAATGAGTTGCTCGATTTCTAGGAATCGTTCCGCACCGTACATCAGCTTTGTGTATTCCCAATACTCAGGGTAGAAGCCGGCACATTCCCAGTCCACAATCCCAGACAGGCGTCCGCGGTCAATAATGATATTGCTAGGATGGAGGTCTGCATGAGTGAAGACCTATCTATACTGGCGGGCATGGATGGTCGAGATTTGCTTCTTTGTTTCCGCGCGTATATATTGATGCACAAGAAATGAAATGAATTCAGGAAGGGATTGGAACGGACCACAAGTTCCAGAGGGAAAACGGTGATCTTTCAGTGGGCCACCTAGGCAGTTACCGAAGACGTGTGGAGTTTGATTAGGAATGCCGCGCAGCTGTGACCAGACATTTTTCAAGTCCTTTGATAGCTGCTTTCGCTCGGGATATGAGAGTCGATGAAAGCTAGGAATCTCCTCTTTCTCATAGTACATCACGGAATTCGAAACCCCTTTAAGACAAAGATAAATCTAAGGAAAAGAAAACAGAGCCATTACACTTTGCGAGAACGCATCCATTCCATACACAATATCCGATTGTTCTTCAAAGCCCCGGCTTTGAAGCTCGCCGAAGATCACTCCGAGCGCCGTGTCAGCCGACGAATATCAGACCAACTGGGTATCAAAAACAGCCCAATTTGGGCCACAAATAGCCAAACAGCGACCATGTCAGTCTCCGAATCGATGTGATTGCGCTGGACAATAAGTTCTGTCCAGAGAATCAACGGCCATCCGATTATAAGCATTGCAATTGCCCCCAGGGGGATAGCGGGATATTTGTGGAGATACCACGGCATCCTTTTAACTTCCTCGGAGTCGATACTCCCAACAGTACTAAGATAGCCAGCAGCGAGGGCAGCGTTCAGGACTAGAAACGAGTCTCCAATCTGCCATAGTAGAGTGAAAATATGCCATCCTTTGCTCAGAGTCCTCCACCCGAAAAAGAAGAATTGATATTCGCCAAATCCCTCCGGCTGATTGGTCGCCCAGCTAACCCACGCAGAGATAGTATTGAGGATGAGCACCCCAATAGTGCCAAACGAGAGGAATGCACTCAGAAAGATATTTCCCGATGAAACTCCCCCAAAGTAACTGATCGCATAGACAAAGTTAAAGTGGATCGGCAAGAGTGAAAGTGCGTGGAGTTCCTTTGCCTGAACAGCTTGGTACCATTGAATTTGCGTGTACCAGTTGTAGGCGAGGAATCCCACGTTGGTGGGGATATTGCTCCCAACTCCGCCCGCAAATTGAGCAGGAGAAAGCATCATGCTCGCATAGAGGAGCCATCGGTTGGTGAGACTGAACCCTTGGACGACTTGTGTGGTGGACATGTTTCTCTGCGTCCCTGGTACCAGGTGGGATGTTATTGACGGACAGCTGGAAGCGGCATACTACTTGGTATAGAAAAGTCGAAGATACCAGAGCCAGTAGAAGGAATGACTAGACTCGCGAGGGTCTATCCTCAAGTATGAGCTATTTTATTTTTCTTGCGCCGGCGTCCGACAAGAAAAATGGGTGAATGTGGTAAAGAGATTGATCAGTATCCTTGAATTAGGCGAGTGCGACGTGGGTTTCTGTATTTATTTATCTTACATCACTTGCACCCGGGCGCATGTCAAGTGCATGGCAAGGCGGTGCAATGAGGCTAAAAGAGGCGATGGGTAGATCGTTACTAATCTGAGTCCAACCTTCCGCGAGGAAAGCCTCAGGATGGGCTGATAATACGAGGCTCAGCCCCACTGGATTCACCTAGCTGCATGGGAATCACCGCGATCCGACGATCCTATTGGCCTGGTATGCTGCATGAGGCAACAAGGGCTTGTTGAAGACAATGGCTATCGAATCAAAGATGGTCCGCATATATGAAGCATATCGTTAGTTATTTCCTAAAAAATTCCCAAAGCCCTGAAAGGATTCATGACCTACACCGTGCGTTTCAATACCCAGGACATCTAGTTATTTGACGTTAGCCCTAGTTCAAGCCCCGCCAGCTTCAATCACAATGCTGACACCATTTCTATCACAGCCCATCGCTAATTCCATCAAGTAGTGATCCGATCTCCCGATCACCGTTAATGTCGTTTGAGAATTCTGATCTGGGTGGGGGGATTCTCTAGCTTGTGCAGTTCATTTCTGACTTTGATGATCCTCGAAGCAGGGCCTCAATTCATTGCTGGCACGGGCGCTAAGGTTGCCAAGTAACTAACGGCCCAGGATGGTAAGACTCCGAATAAAATGGCACTAGTCTACTTCTGTCTGTACTTCTGAGGCAGCGTCATTGCTTGCAGGGTAATATCTTAACCTTGACCAAAACTTCATATCAGGCATGATCGGCACCAACATGCCAATACCGGATGTCAATTATGTCGGCTTTCACCCGGCCTCTTTGATCGTTCGGTGAGATCCCACACTGGAAGCCCTCTTCGCACATACCCACAAACCCTCCCTACCTCAATTTTGTAAGGTGGCTGGCCCTATCGTATTACACCGCATTGCATACTCGTGCAGGGCATGATGCGCCGAGCCTCTTGGTTCCAGCTCATCGCGGAATGCTCCGATATACGGACGGCCCGTCCCGGGGGGGGCCTAACGAGGCTGGATCTAGCCCTGATCGTGAGGATCATCGCGCATATACGTAAGCTCGGGGAGTGAATTGGCCCGGTGTTCCTGCATGACCCTGATTGCATGATCCCCTATTCGTTCCTATATGACCATCATCACTAGAGACTAGTCGTGACCCCAAATGAAGAACATTGACCATGGAGACGAAAGGCTCATTCAAAGTTATTATCATCGGAGCCTCGGTGACGGGTCTTACCCTGGCCCATTGTCTTCACCGTGCGGGGATTAACTATGTGGTTCTGGAGAAGCATGCCGAGATCCATCCGCCGATCGGAGCCGCTGTAGCCATTATGCCCAATGGGGCGCGAATTATGGAACAGCCGGGATCTTCCATCACGTTGAAAGGAAGTCTTCTTCAATCCAGCGGGTCCATCTTTGTTTCCAGGACGGGTTCTACTATGATAGTCTTTCTCCCAGTGTCATACTTGAGAGGTGGTTTCATTCCTATCAATGCATACCGCATAGCCACTGGAGCATAAAGCTGACAACATGCCGATCAGATTCGGCATCAAATTCGCTTGTGTGGAGCGGACTCAACTTCTCGAAATTTTGTATACGACCCTGCCGGACAAATAAAAGGTTTTCACGAGCAAGGACGTCGCGACAATCACTCCACATGGAGCCAAAGTGTCTGTCACCACGGCTGCCGGTGAAGAGTTCCAAGGCGATTTAATTGTAGGAGCAGACGGCGTGCATAGTCTGACGCGACGTGAAATGTGGCGGGTTGCTGATCTCGAGCAGCCGGGACGGATCACACTTAAGGAGAAACGCAGTGAGTTGAACGGGAATTTCACGTCCCTACTGTTTCTGATTCTTGGCAGGCATGGGTGTTGAGTTTAGGTGTATCTTCGGAATGTCTAACCCTATACCGGGTCGGAAGGGCTGGCAGCACGTAATCCGATTTGGCCCCGGGTTCACAATCCTGATATTCCCAGCAGTCGCTGATGGCTTGTTCTGGGTGCTCATTGAGAAGCTCCCGCGAAAGTATATCTATCCCGATGCACCATGTTTCTCGCAGGACAAATCCATATCACACTGCGAAGGAGCTGCCGACCTTCCCATCTGGGATGGAGTCCGGTTCCGAGATATCTGGGCTCATCGCCGGGAATTCCGGATGGTTGCGCTAGAGGAGAATCTTTTCCGGACCTGGCACCATGGTCGAATAGTCTGTATCGGAGATAGCATGAGCAAGGTAGGCCATCTAGTCCACACCACTGCATACGACTAACACTGGCTTTTAGATGACACCAAATATTGGTCAAGAAGCTAACACCGCCATGGAAGCAGCTGCCGGGCTGGCCAACATGCTCCACGCAATCACTCAAGACAACAAGCTTCCCTCGACCGATACAATCGAACAGGCGCTAACCATGACCACTTAAAGCGTCGCAAGCGTCTCGACGCAATGCACATGGAGTCCCGCTGGATCACGCGGCTGGAGGCGTGCCAAGGTCGAATGACAACAGCCTTTGCGCGCTACATAGCACCGTATTGTGGAGATCTCTTCGCGCTCGGTGTCGTGCGAAGTTCCTACAATGGCGAAGTGCTGCAATTCCTGCCCTTGACGGAACGTGCAGGGAAGAACTGGCCAGAGTTGGAATGGTGGAATACATGGGGCCTATCTAAGTGGCGAGATATGTGCCAGAAGATGGGCTGTCTGCTTTTTATTATGATAGTTTTGTGGTTTATCAATCGAATGTCGAGAATTACGGAGCTATGAGAGACGGGACTACTTTTCAGAGTGGCAAGATATCATATTCCTCGGACAAATCAAATCAATTCAAATCAATTCAAGATTCTATAACCTAATTCAGCCACACATTCGAATGTAATAGCTATATAGGCGTTCCCTCCTATAGAAACTAGAACTATCCTAACGCTATACTTATAGTAGTAAAAGACAAAGAAACTTAGATACAGTATATTACTATAGTAAAATTAGTAATAACGTAATTCCCGCCCGAGCGAGACACCCGGCCGACCGAGACACCCCATCCAAAATCGCGTCTTTCTGCCCACACATCAACTTCAACCACCTACCATGCCACCAATTCGCTCTGAATCCTCGCAGAAATTGGCTAATCGAGAGGGAAAGATCTTATTAGCCCTTGATGATCTTCAAAAAGGCCGTATCAAATCTATTCGTGCAGCAGCGAAGCTATACGAAATACCGCTTGCTACACTACACCACCGCGCCCAAGGACGCCTTTCACGCGTTGATATACGCCCAAACGGCTATAAATTGACCCAATTAGAAGAAGATTCACTTGTTGAATGGATTCTCTCTATGGATTTACGTGGAGCAGCACCTAGGCCGGCTACTGTACGAGAGATGGCTAATATCCTACTGGCTGCACGTGGTAGCTACCCCCCGCCTACTGTTGGCAAGAATTGGTCATCAACCTTTATAAATCGACGCGATGAGATTCGATCACGCTTCTCTAGACGATACGACTACCAGCGTGCACTAAATGAAGATCCAAAATCGCTACGAGAGTGGTTCACGACCGTACAACGTGTTATTGATGAGAACGGTATACAAGCGGAGGATATCTACAACTTTGATGAGACAGGATTTGCAATGGGTCTTATATCTACACAGAAAGTGGTCACACGAGCTGAATACTATAGTCGGCGATCGATACTACAGCCAGGAAATCGTGGATGGGTTACTGCTATTGAAGCAATTTGTGCAGATGGCTATTCGCTACCGCCATGTGTGATTTTCAAAGGTAAAGTCGCTATTGCTGGTTGGTTTGATAATCTACCACGCGATTGGCGATTTGAAGTATCCAATAATGGCTGGACTACCGATGAGATTGGCCTACGCTGGCTAGAAAAGCTATTTATCCCATCAACGAATTCACGTGTACGTGGTCGATTTCGGCTACTAATTCTTGATGGCCATGGTAGCCACCTTACGCCTAAATTCGACCGATTATGTGCAGAAAACAATATCATACCTCTGTGTATGCCTTCGCATTCATCACATCTACTACAACCGCTAGATATTGGCTGTTTTGCAGTGCTAAAGCGTACATATAGTCGCTTTATAAGTGATCTTGCACGCAGGGGATATAATCATATCGATAAATTCGATTTCTTGGAAGACTACCAGCATGCGCGGCAAGAAGCCTTTCAATCAAGCACTATTCAAAATAGCTTCACAGCCAGTGGCTTAGTACCAATTGATGCAGAAAGAGTGCTCTCGAAGCTTAATATCTCTATACGAACACCTACACCACCACGCAGCCGGCCAAGCAGCAGATCTAGCCAATTCACACCACAAACACCTAGAACCGTTACTCAGCTATTCAAACAAGCTTCTATGTTAAAGGATCTGCTAAAACGACGGTCAAAAAGTCCTCCAAGCCCATCAAAAACTATCTTGGATCAACTTATTAAGGGTCACTGCCTATCGCTACACAACACTGCATTGCTTGCGCAGGATAATGCAAATCTACGCGCAGCAAATGAAAAGAAACGCCAGAAACGTAATCGGTCGCATAAACAGATACCCTGCGAAGAGGGTTTGACCGTTGAAGAGGGCCTACAGCTAGCTACGCAGCTAGAACTATCAGCAGAAGCACCTATGGTAGAATCATATACGCAGGGCGAATTGCCTATTCAGGCAAATAGGCCGGCTACTAGGGCCCCGCCCAGGTGTAGTGGGTGTAGGGAGATTGGCCACAGGATCAATTCATGTAAAAATCGCTATATTTAGTCAAATGGGTAGGCGTTGGTTGAGATAATCGATTTTGAAATTTTCTAATGGTGATGGGTGTCTCGGTCGGCCGGGTGTCTCGCTCGGGCGGGAATTACGTTAATCTGTTAATGGTTACTAAGTTATCAGGCAAGCGATATATAGTTGAGCCGTAAGTTGCTTCGTTACTAAACTTAGGAACATGAAAAATAAGTTACCAATGAAAATATCCAAATAACTTTAATTCTTTTCAACTATCTAATTTCTTTCCACAATAACTTTATAATTTAGTTAATTAAAACAAATATTACATTTAAGTAGGGAATAATTCATAGATATTACCAAAATATTGCTGCCAAGACCTAAATTACAGGCAATTTGGAACCGCAACAGAACCGCGGTTCTGCCGCAGTCTAGCTGGGAATATAGAAATACGTATATGTACTCTTCCAATAAGAAGTTTGGTCAGCCCATTAAGAAAATGACGTCAACACTTTCGCGCATTTGCCTATCCAGGTGATGCATGAGAGCGACAGCCTATTTCCTTTACGCGTTCTATGTCTGGTGTTTGCATTCAAGTACATGAGAAATTTCCCCATAATCGAGACTTCGAGTACATCAACTCCTGGACCGTCTTACTATAAGTTTGATTAACTTATGATGTGGGCACTTACTTCTTTCTTACAATAACTCCAAAAACGAAATCGAATGGCGGATGATAATTATTGGCAAACGGTGCTAATAACTGTTCCCATTATTGGAGCTACTATCGCCACCCTCTTCTTTCTTCTCCGTCTCTATAGCAGACTACTCATAGGCAAAAAACTCGACATTGGTGACCTCCTGATGTTTTTTGGCTTGTTCTTCTCTTATGGAGCGACTATAAGCACAATCCTTGGTGAGTATAATTTGTTGAGGCGAATATATTATGAGCTGACAGTACATCTCAGCTGCTGTCAGAGAAGGGAAAACTGATATATGGGGACTGGGAAGTGAACATCGCCAGAAGGCTGCACTTGTAAGATGGTGTTTTAGGATTGCTCATTAAGTGGGCGTGGCTATGCTAACGCCCCGAGTCAACAGCTTTTCTGGATCACTCAGACATTCTGGCCGTTATCGCAAGCTTTCATCAAGTTCTCGACAATTATCCTTCTACGTAACCTACTTGGTTCTGCGCAAAAATTGCATCTCACGACTACGATCCTCCTTATATTCACTACAGCTTGGGGTATAGCCTCATTACTGGTGAATATCTTCCAATGCTGGCCCCCTCAATATTTCTGGCTTCAAGAAAGTATCCAGGGAACTTGTATTCCCTCACAGACAGCTTTCTACATATCAATAGGCACCCTGTCTCTCGTGGAAGACATTTTAATTCTATCTCTTCCAGTTGCCGTTGTATGGCGATTAAAACTCGCACTCTGGGACAAGATTCAACTCACGGGTCTTTTTTCTATTGGCAGTTTGTATGCCCTCAAAAATATCCTGATAAATATTCAACTTTGAAACTAAGCTGCTTTATATAGAGTATGCATTTTTAGTCTTTTACGCCTAATCGAATTCAATAACTATTTAAAACACAATTCGAACTGTAAGTTTGGGACCCATTATTGGTCAACTATTCTGACTCATGATATAGCCAGCGCATCAAAAGAAGCCCTATGGACCCTGCTTGAACTTGACCTTGCCATTGTTTGCAGCTCACTTATTCTTATGCGGCCTCTTTTCAGGAAATACAGAGGCGCATATGAGAATTCTTGCCGTAATCGTCATGGTAAAGTCTAAATCCATGTTGAAAAGCAGTGGTTGAATATGGAAAATTTTTGATCGCTTGAATATTTGATATATCCCTACCTATTAGCCACGAGAAACTGAGATATGTAAGGTAGACTAGCATGGAATGATCAGCCAATTGACTCCATGTATTTGCAATGGCGGGCTTTCTATATAAAGGATTCCTGTATATAACGAATAATCATTGCTCCCAAAAGCAATTCATCACACAGAGGTATTGACTGTAACTTGCGTTATTGTCGAAATATATACTGATCCAAAGCTACATGTATTATGGGGCCGTTGGCCATGGTTTCGGATCACTAGTGGTCATCATGTCTCTCGTGCGGTTTGGCGTATGTGGCTTACACGGTCACTAGCGGAGTACGCACTCCAAGCCGATGAAGTAGTCCAAATGATGGTTCAAAGTGCTTCCAGAGCATGGCTGCTGCGAATACGAATATTCGCCACAATCAGTAATATTCGTTATGTTGAGAAATAGGTTGTACTGAGTTGAGTTAACTACCTTGTTGAAGATGAAGAGCCACACCATCAACAAGATAGTTAACTCAACTCAATACAACATACCTATCGCAACAGTTTATGAGCCCGGGTGGCGCAACCTTCGGGCGCACGCAGAAAATTAAGCAGACAGTTCCTTGCCTGCCATTAAGGCTAAGCCTCCCTATCAAATGATAACTTCATCAACTCAAGGACCTGACCATATTGAATCAGTAACTTGGTGAATAATCGAACTCTAGTTTACTAACATCTGGGTAGAAGGAAGCAGATGAAATTTATCACCGCCATTATCACACTATAGCCATTGTAGATATCACACTAGCACAGGATAACACAAAACTGAATCCATAGCTGAGATTTGTCCCCTTCGGCAGCGGTCTCAGAAAGTACCTTCTCGGGCCCACCATCTCGATCTCAGAAAAGGCCAGCTCAACTTCCGAAGGAACGAAAAACGACAAAATAGACTGCCTTGGACAAATGAAGAGATAATCTTGTAGAGAATGTCATGTTATGCTAAGTTGAGTAAATGCCTACGTATAATGTTACAGTAACATTCGAAATCAGATTTACCTCTACACTCTTCGACTTTAATTCCCGAATTCTATTTTTAAACACGCTAATCCAAATATGGGAATTCCATCGATCCCCTTGTTCCTAGAATGGAATCCGTATTTTACATAACGGGGGTGGGACAGTAAATTACAGGAAACTGCTATACATACGACATCACGCTACTCATGATCTTTTCGGAGTTTGGCTTGGTATCTATCTGCATGAGTTCGAGATGATTCCCGTGGTTTCCAGGTTTTGTTTAACGTCAACTAAGTTTGAGTTGAAATAGAAACTCCACCCATGACTTCTGCTTTTAAAACTTGGTGGGGATTCGATCCCCGTTTGGCCCCCGGGGCCAGTCTATGCTTGCCTTTTGGCCGGCGTGCTTTCGTACGTACTGAAAGTAGTCCTGAAAGACCAAAATGTTTCGGCTACTTTGTCCGGTGCGAGTGAGCTTTTGGCTATTATTCCTGCAATCCTGGTATTGTGAGTAGACCTTATTTGACTCAAGAGCTTTTTGAAACATAGCTTGGTAGAGAAGGCTAACGATATGCAAGCTAATGCGCCGGATTGCCATTCGTCCCCAGCATTTACTCAATTTTGCTCGCTTGCATGAGGTAGGCTTTGTATCATGGGCGGGTAAGCAAACGCTCTTCCGGATCTTTCCTTGTTGTCATCACACCGGACTGACTAATCCGAATATGGCATGGTTCAGGTCCCCTATTCGAAGAGCGTGTCGCCGAGGGCACGCGTCTCTTCAAAGGATCTGTGATCGTCGTTAATGAAAGAGACCACTGGAGTTTATTTCTGCAAATTGAGTCTGATGTTTACGTAAAGAACGCAATTTGGAATATTAATAGGGCTCGGGTGTTCCCGTTCCGCACTGTGCTTTGGAAAACAACGTGCAGTAATTAAATATGTGGAGTCAAACGATGATCCGCTGTGACCTTGACTAATTTGCAATTACATCAATATGATTTATTCTATAGAGGCCATTTCCTAATGGACTAAACCTTGGAAGAGCGTCATACACATTTCAAACACCGAGAAATTGAAAGTTGAGTAAGACTTCCAGCAATGTACTCTTGGGAGGCCAAAAATGGCAAGTGACTGGAGATAAGCACCGAGAAATCCTTCAAGGTGGCGTTTCAATACTTACAGGGGTGGTGAGGGGCATGACAAAGAGGAATGCTGTCTTAACCCCCAAAATGCTACTTCCCCTCTTTTTCACTACCCTGTTCTTTACTTTTCACTCCTCGACAGAGACATGATGCCAAAAATCCTGTGTTTGGAAAATCCTTTACTTGGTAAGACACCTTAGTGTCAGTTCATAGCTATCGGCTGTAATAACACGTTCATTAGATGTACAGGCCTTCGGGTATGACTGTTGCCGACGCGACTCCGGTCTAATTATTCTTCTAACGGCATAAAAGGACCCTGAAGCTTCTTGATAAGTATGGATTAAAAGCCAACAATGCCATTCTCGCCACAGAGTCCCACAGGGGTCTCTTTGATGACCTGATTGACAACTGGTCCGCGGAAACGACCGCAGGCGGTGGTGCTCAGAATACAGCAAGAGGGTCACAAGTATGACGACAATTTCTTAGCTTCTTCGCCTTCTTTTTCTTTGCCTCCTTGAAAGTGACTGAAAACTTTCCTAGTATATGCTTCCACCCGACAGTGTCGTCTATATTGGTTGCGTCGGTAATGACAGTTATGCTGAAACCTTGCGAGAGTCGTGCAAAAAAGCAGGGGTTCGCACGGAATACCTCGTCAATAGGACACACCCAACAGGTCGATGCGGCGTTATTATCACGGACAAAAACAGAAGCCTCTGCACCGAGCTAGGTGCCGCTAATCATTACAAATTGGAACATTTGCAGCGGCCCGATATATGGAAGATTGTTCAGTCGGCGCAGATCTATTTTGTCTGTCCAGCAGCGGCTTTGGCCCTGGCGAAAGAGGCCGCTTCTAAAAACAAAGTATCGCTCGCTTTTCTGTCCTTTCTTAGCTCTTCCCAACGTGCTGACCGGTAGTTTCACTAGATTTTCGTTATGTCGCTATCTGCTCCCTTCATCCCAGCTGCATTCAAAGATGCCCTTGACAAGACTGAGCCATTTTGGGATTACATCGTGGGCAACGAGAGTGAAGCCCTGGCATGGGCACAATCACATGGAGCAAAGGTAATAGCTCGCCATCTATTAAAATATTATCTGAAAATGAGGTCTTTTTCACAGAATTAACGTGAAGAAAGTCCGAGTCTATTCCTGCGATCGCCGAGCATCTCGCCAACCTACCAAAAGCAAATCTTCAAAGACCCCGGGTCGTATTGATTACTCAAGGTTCTTCTCCCACGGTCGTTGCGGTATCTGGAACTCCAGGATATAAGGAGATCCCTGTCCGCAAGATTTCTGTAGAGGATATCATTGACACGACCGGTGCTGGCTGAGTGTACCCTGGATTTTTGAACGAGTAACCTCATTTTGGGAAGATCATAAGGCTAATATATTTACTATCTACCCAGTGATGCTTTTGCAGGAGGACTTCTGGCCGGTATTATGGGACAAAAATCGCTGGAAACCTCTGTCAATATGGGACACTGGCTAGCTCATCAAGGGATAAAACAAATGGGCCCGAAGTAAGTGAAAAAGACCTATCCGTGCTTACATTTGCCCTTACTGAAAATTATAGCTATCCGCTTCCAAATCAGTCCTACACCACGGCATAAAATATTTCACACAATTTCCTCGGCTGTTAACTGTCCAATTCAATAAGGCAGGAATTATTCATTGGCAGTGAAGCGTACTGCGGGTTTCAACAACTATTTCTCATGTCTATCTTCACAATTGTCTTCTGGTAATGCTAGAAACCCATTAATGCAAGCTGTTTCTAGATTTGAGGGAAACCCATTGAAATCGGAGTAGGATGTGCAATTCGGTATGAAACCTACTCACATTTATATATAATGTATGTTGGCTTCAGATCACGCTGACCGATCCTTAGTGGGCAGCTCGTGCAAGGGCCAGACTCTTTGCTGCAATACCAGAAATGTGAGTCGCGAATCAGAGCGACGCTGACGTAAACAGTTTTCGATTGACATTCCCAACGTTTACACCGAGCCTAGTGAAGGTGGTGGTGGCACTAGTGGTGGCCATGGCGGTATTACTGGCTGATTGTTGACTTTGTACACACCTATCGCCTAGGCACATGAAGATGCCGACGAAATAATTTTGATCAACTGTGCTGGAGTTGTTTTGTTTTCGTAAACGCCCTCAACAATGAAATGGAGTGTATCGCAGACCTCAAATATAGAATAGCCAGCCTGATGTCCTTTGGCGGCGAACGTTCGCTTAATTATCTTACCACTAGCTGCCACCATACCGTATCCGATATCTGTAGGGGTAATTATAATCCTACCAGACCAAAGTACTTCAAATACCTTTGCAGCAACACGCCTAACGTTATGCAATTCGCCCAGTAGCGGTATAACTAGAGGGCAAGGAGAGCGACTCTTTTGTACGCTTTCTTGCTCTATTGTGGTTCAAGAATAAAGAGATAGAGAGAGGGAGGTAAGGATCAAGATAGACTGACAATCACAAGCAAAGTAACGTGATCAAATGGGGGTTGATAAATCATATAAAATGATAAACGAGGCAAAAATAATTGAAGTAAGCTTATTGATAATCTTAAATAACAGACCGGATATACCGGATAGAGGCACCGCTCACACCCCGCATTCTTAGCCCCCAAGTACTGTAACAAGCAAGCCGAACACCCAAGCGAGCCGAACACCCCAAAACACCATAGTAAAGCCAGCGCTCTACACAGTTCAGTCAGTTCAATTCAATTCAATTCAAGATTCTATTAACCTAATGCTGCCTAGTGAAGCGAGAGGGATGCTCGAAGCGGCACGATTAGAACGTGCGGGTTGAATGGAACATGGGAATGGCGTCAAAACCACCACCACCAAAGCGTAGAGCTCTAGTCCACAGGAAGACGGAGCTGCGAGAGTGTAATGTCTGTCTTGAAGCTATTCCTGCCTATCAAAACGAATATATCGACCAGCAATCCAAATGGAGCCTAGCCTACTATTCTAAATCTGACCAATCGAAATAATTTGTCTATATCGACCGCTTCTCCCCATTACACTACCTACTAGCCTAACCACAGACTTCTTCATGTTCATTCAGTTTGGTTTCTGCTTGATCCTGTATTTTACACAATATCAACCCGATACTAGCTATGGTGCAGCGTGGGACTGATCCCCAAAGCCCCCATCTCACAATGGATCCCCTTGTCCTCTCGCTTAAGTTAAGAGCCCGAGGCTGTTCCGGGGCGGGGTAAACTCATTTTACCCGACGGGTATTTTCACATATCACGCTACAGTGAGAACAAAGCTTATAGTTATATCCTTCGGTACAGTCATTTGCTACTAGTTAGTAGCACGCCCTAGATTGGCACAGATTCGCTATCGACACCAAAATTTATTGTATGGACCCACTTTTACCCCCCACGTTTCCGTCGCAAATTTTGTTAGGATGTCATGGTGCAGCCTTGAATTTCTTGCTTCTTACAATTGTACAACTGCCTCGTATGAGTCAGTTGCTTGCCTCATGCTGCTAACTCATCTTCCCTAACGCAGGCAAGACTCGATTTTGTCCCTCCCACCTTCCCTCTATATATAGAACCTCTGCAATACTGAAAAACTGCTCCTTACAAGGGAGCACAGACGGGCTCTATCTGATGCTACCTATCTGACGCTACGGTCTAAGACCGCAGCGACAGGTGACCCGTTACGGCCAAACTATACTCTCATTCTGCCTCTTGGCTGCGTTAGGTTACCAATAAAGCTATTTAAAATTTGCTAGAAATGAAATAACACCCATGTAACTATACTATCATTACTACTAGTAGTTACATAGATGATTTCGTCCCGTGGAGAACCAAAAATTCTAAGCATTACTAATTCGATGAGCCACACTGAAACTTGATTTTGAGGGAGTAGACATAGTTATGGGATGGGTTGAGTTGTGCGGGGTACATGCGGGTGAATATGATGGGCCTCCCCGGATTGGCGCCCCTACCACGTTGACTTCGGACTATTCATTGGGTTGTGCCGATGTTTAAACCCCCTCGGTGCCGGGAGGCGGGGGGCTTCGCTTTAGATTATGTTACCTTCGATACCCTAAAACCTCAATTCAGGCTAATTTCTTTCCCGTTACCACTGCAATCGGCGGCGGGATTGTCTAATTTATCACGTCCGCTGTCGATTCTGTCTCTCGGCAAAGTTGAGCCGTATAACTAATGTCCCCAATGTGTGCCATTTGTGGTTACTCCGCAGGAGATTCCTCAGATAGGGGGATAGGGATCTACAATTATATTCAGCCGGAATTGTAGATCCCTAAGTAGCCCAAAGCTGGGTGAAGCTCAGGGTTTGGGGTTGAATGGAGAACATCAAAGTATAAAAGCTCCGTCTTATCCAAGGTTGTGTCTCTGAGCACAACATCATCCTCGGTCCAAGTTCCACGATGGTCGGTGTTAAGATCAATTCATTGAACACTTCAGTTGTGTCTGTTCTGGCACTCTTTGCTAGCGAATCCATTGCCAGTAGTCCTTTCCCGGACTGCACGACAGGCCCATTGAGTAAATTGGCAGTATGCGACCCATCTAAAGATGTGCTCACCAGGGCCAGTTCCCTTGTGGCTGCCATGTCGCTGGAGGAGAAAATCAACAACACACAATACCAGTCTCCTGGGGTACCCCGCCTTGGTTTGCCTGCGTATAACTGGTGGAGTGAGGGTCTACATGGTGTCGCCGGTTCCCCTGGCGTTCATTTTGAAGAAAGTGGACCCTTCAGCTATGCAACTTCATTCCCGTCACCGATCGTTCTCGGTGCTACGTTTGATGATGACCTCGTGAAGCAGATTGCCACTGTGATCAGTACGGAGGGTCGTGCATTTGGCAATACTGGTCACTCCGGTTTCGATTTCTGGACGCCAAACATCAACCCCTTTAAAGACCCTCGTTGGGGTCGTGGTCAAGAGACTCCTGGTGAAGATGCTTTTCATGTTGCTCGATATGTATATAGCCTTATAGACGGCCTGCAGAATGGAATTGGGCCTGCACACCCAAAAGTTGTTGCGACATGCAAGCACTTCGCTGCGTATGATCTTGAGGACTGGGGAAATGTCACGCGCCATACGTTCGATGCCATCGTCTCCACCCAGGACCTTTCCGAGTATTACTTGCCTTCCTTCCGGTCTTGCACTCGTGATGCAAAAGTCGACGCGGTGATGTGCAGTTACAATGCTGTTAACGGCGTCCCCAGCTGCGCCGACCCGTACTTACTCCAGACAATTCTACGGGATCACTGGAACTGGGAAGCAACGGGTCATTGGGTCACGTCAGACTGCGGCGCAATTGACGATATCTATCAAAGTCACAATTATACGTCCACTGGTGCTGAAGCAGCTGCTGTCGCGCTAAATGCTGGGACAGACCTCGACTGCGGCTCAGTCTTCCCAGATTATCTGAACTCATCTCTTGCACAGAATCTGACAACGACCAAGACTCTGGATCAGGCTATGGTCAGATTGTACTCCTCATTGGTCAAGCTGGGCTACTTTGACCCAGTTAAAGACCAGCTATATGGGTCCTTGGGATGGTCGGACGTTGGAACCCCAGCCGCTCAAGAATTAGCCCAAAGGGCTGCGGTCGAGGGGACTGTGCTGCTTAAGAATGCCAACACGCTTCCTTTAGCGGCAAACAAGACGTTAGCTTTGATCGGACCGTATGCAAATGCGACGGACCAGCTACAGGGTAATTACCAGGGCACTGCCAAATATATTCGGACGATGGTTTGGGGCGCTATACATGCCGGATACAAGGTCAAGTTCGTTCTAGGTACTGAGATCAATACCACCGACACTTCTGGGTTCGATGCTGCCGTGAATGTGGCCAAACAAGCCGATATAGTGATATACGCAGGAGGCATCGATAACACAATCGAAGCGGAGGGCCATGATCGCATGAAAGTTGACTGGCCTGGAAACCAGTTGGATCTGATCCAGGGTCTGGCGCAAATTGGTAAGCCCCTGGTTGTCGTACAATTCGGTGGAGGGCAAGTCGACGACTCAACTTTGCTGTCGAACGATGGCGTTGGAGCACTACTTTGGGCGGGTTATCCGAGCCAAGCTGGCGGTGTGGCTGTGTTCGATATCTTGACAGGAAACGAAGCTCCGGCTGGACGACTCCCGGTTACTCAGTATCCGGCGAAATACGTCGATGAGGTAGCTATGACAGACATGGCACTGCGACCTGGAAGTGGCAATGTTGGTCGGACATATCGATGGTACGAGGGCGCTGTATTGCCATTCGGCTATGGACTTCATTATACAACTTTCCACGTCTCCTGGCAAAGGAGCAACCTCAGTCCGTACAACACTGGTAACCTTGCTAAGCATGCGTCCAAAGTAGCTCCAGTGGATTCTGCACTCTTCGACACTTTCACTCTTGCCGTCACCAATACCGGAAAAGTGATGTCTGATTATGTGGCACTTGTTTTCCTGACGACTGACAGTGCCGGACCCACGCCATATCCAATCCGGACTTTGGTAGGCTACCAAAGAGTCAAGAAAATCAAGGCAGGGCAGACCCGTAAGGTTGATATCGACGTCACATTGGGTTCGGTTGCCCGAACTGCAGAAAATGGCGACTTGGTGTTATACCCTGGTCCCTATAAGCTGGAGGTGGATGTTGGAGGCAAATATCAAACCTCTGGCTTTCAAATTGTTGGAAAGGAGAAAGTGTTGGATCAGTTTCCTCAGCCCTCAAAGTAGATGGGCACATTCGGAGGCCCATGAAATCGGTGGTTAGCTTGTTATATCAAACCATTCCTTTTGGACAAAAGATGCTGCACAATTCGTTCACATTTACTCTCCCGCAGTAGCTGCCAGCCATTTATTAATTACACTGTTCTTTATTTTTTGAGCCAACTTATTGTCGTACTTGTAGTTAGTGGCCTTTGATCCATTACTGCATGGTGGAGCTTTTGAGCGAGTCAACAGTCGTGCCCACAACGCCCATTGATCTGACGGCGCATATATCAATAGTTTTACAAACATGGTCGGTCCATGGGCGTGGGCCATCATATGCGGACAGCAGTCAAGCTAGAAAGAAGCCTTTGTCTTTTTCCCCCACAGCCCTATCTGACGATCACGCCGTTTATTGGGCTCCAGAACGCTTCAGCCATTGCATGTCCTCCAAGCCAATGACGATCAACCGGCGACTCAAGTCATTCCACAACATATCGCGGCACTCACTGTCACTGTGGATGGCTATATGCGACCGGAATACAGCTAGAGCTTTCTTGCGCTTCTGAACGAAAAGATGGAACTCTTGTGATTAATCTCATGCTGAAGTCGGGTTCCAGGCCAGCTCAGGAGCATCATCTGTACAATTAGTTTGCCATGGTACCAATACGCAACGTGTGGCTTAAAGTCTTCAAGGGAATCTATTGTTCTTGAAAGCTTCCAAGCTGGCGATAATTGTCCACTTCTGCTTGAAGGAGATACTGCTCCTGCGCCGTGGTACAGTAGCCTTAATGGCTACAGTGCATCTACGTATTTCAAAAAAACACGAGATAGCCCGTCCGGTCACGCACGGGAAGTGGTTCAAATATCTCATCTCGATTGCGTAGAATACCTCTGACCGGGGATATTGAAGGTGATCCTGCAAGTTTGGGTCAGGCATTCTCCATCCGGAATATCTGGTTTGACTCTGTCTCAGATTCAGATCATAGTACAATACGGTCAAGTAGTACAGCCAGCACAGGTAGAAACGTCCGCCCGCGTCTGCTAGACTATTCTTTGAGCCAAGAATCGTATGCAGCGTGGCAACGACAAAGCAAAGTCTCGATCGATTGAGACAGGAAAACGTTGAGTTCATCACCGATGTCAGACCAGAATATCCCTCTCTCGCATACTGTGTTTGTGCCTACAGTTCCTAGTGACGCGAGCGAAAGCCTGATCATGTCCGCAGCTGCCTTCAAGCTTCCGATATTCCTTTGTGAATCAAAACCAACTAAATCAATTTCCCTTGAATTATAACACATACCCCTATCCACCTTCCAGCAAGCCCCCATGGAAGAGCTACTGCACTTTCATGTGCAGTAACGAATTTCTATAACTTCGCATTTGGTCTCTTGGTCCCAGTTTGCACAAGAGACGTCTGAACACTTGCCTCAGATGCTTTCGTCATATCCATAACAGACCTCTTACTCTGATATTCAGCCAGGATATTTTCATCGGCCAGCCAACCCTGGAACCACCGCCGAATCCAATCCGCCGCCACATCCGTGCTCTCATCAATCTGCTCAAACACAAGTGTATGTGAAGCTCCTTCAAAAACATGCTGCTCAACCATTCCTTGTGCAGCACCGCCACTTCCCCCAGCACCGATCCCTGTCTTTCGAAGTTTGGCAGCTCGCTCATCTGGCGGCGAGAGATAGCTACGACTACCAAAAGCCAGGAGTACACTCGGTCGGACAAAGGGGAGGTTCCTCATACAGGACCATACCTCCGGTCGACCGAATTTATACGGGCGCTCTGTTTCTGTATCCCAGTCCGGCAATAAGAGGCGATCCAGCCCTGCAGACTCGGGTTCCAAGTTGGGGATGGTGTAGGACCATGATTCCTGGTGTCTGGTGGTTGTCAGTGTTACAGCCGAGGTAGGCAGATTAGGATTTATGTTTTTGTTATATAATTTAGTCGGAAGAGGCCGTATCCCGAATTGGACGAGGCGATCCACGACGCGGGGATTCCACTTCTGAAACATTTTGCGCAAGGCGGTTTCTGCTTTTTCACGAGTTTCCCAGAGATCTTGTCTTCTTGAGACAAGTTTTGCGGGATTCATGGGCCCCCAACCTGTTTCGAAAATGATTGGTTCGTAGAGGATGAGGGTTGAGAGAAGACGTGGATGAAGGATGGAGAGGTGGACTCTGAATGGAATTATGAGTAAAAGGATTGTCAAGTTCCTAGGGGTTGATGTGGTCACAAACAATTGGTTACAGCCCATACTATGCGCAACCCCAATCATTGGCCGAGGCATCTCATCACGAAAGTGGTTGACCATATGCAAGAGATCACGCGAGTGGTCATACCAAGGAGCTGAATGATAATAAGCATTATTTCATTTGGCACTAGAAAGGCCCAGAACGGACTGGTATCTCCCTGCACAGCTTCATTCAGTACACCACTAGCGCCTTGGTTGGAGACATCGGCGATCCAAATTGCGCGTAGCGGCACAGAGCACCTTTTCAAGTGGGCATACAGATGTTCCCAGAAGGGCTCAAACAGTTCCTGGCGCCAGTTAATTTTGTAATTTCATTAGGTATGGCATGCTGAACACCTTCGGTGTGCCATTCCCATGCACTCCAATGACGGTAACCGCATTATCTGGGATGGAATGAGCGTCGCCGAGTGGGATGTACTGTTTGATGGCCAGCTGCAGGACATCCTCTTGACGCCCCCTCACGCTGTGAGGGTGCTCCCGGATATGTTGGCCCGCGATTGTATGCTCAACGATTTTGAAGGAATCCATCATAGATCTTGTGTTAATGAAATCTGGAATGGGAAATAGAAGCCGTCATTTTTTTTTAAAAAAAAAAAAAGCTCGGGCTTCTAACTGGAGCGAACTCAAGATGTCGCGACTTGAGGAATTAGCCCACATTGATGACGTCAGATATTTAATCTAAGCTAATGTCCGAGCTCCCCACTCGGGGGGTGGGGCCTGTGCGACACGCTAGAAATGAACAAGAGAAAAACGTGGGTTATATATCTAATGAGAAGATCAAGGTGATTTACAGTCAACTTGAGTATATGTACAAACATCACGAATTATTTCCGATGGTGCGGCTTCTTTCCTGATCTGCACCATCCTCATATCACAACTTATTGCAAATCAACTTGGTCTTCCCGCGGTATATACCCTCAAATGTTCTCTCAAATTTTAGAAAAGGCAATCAGTTCAGTTGAATTTCAAAGATATTGTGCAGTTAATCATATTTCTGCTCTATATTGAAATTACGTGTGTCTCAATGAGGTCTACGAGTAGTTAACCACAAATATGGTTGTGGACTTACGCGTAGATTAAGAGGTAAATGATAACCAGCAGCGATAAGTTTCAACAACTGAAAATATCATCGCCTCATTTAGATGGCATATCCTTCGCTAGCCAATTTCTCTTCGTTGATAGTCAATTTCTGATTGCGTACGTAGATAAAGCGGGCAAACGGATTCACCCATTGGCTCGTTTCATAGACTGAACATCCAGTGGCATTTGCTAGAATATAGTACTGCTAGTCACCGTTAGCCTTTCCCATGATAATAATCATGAGTGGGTAATGAAGAGCTTAAACAGAGTGAGAACTTAAATTATGGTTGCTCTTTTGAGCGTTCCCAGTTAGACACCTCATATTAGCACATTAGTTTGGGTGGATATATTGGCCAAAAGTCTGGAAGGACCGACCCTTGCTCACTTTATGATTCTCATAGAGGTAGAGGCTGGGCTTACATTCTTCGGCTATACCCATTCCAAAATCTGCAAAGAATGCAGCGCTGTTCAGCACTGCATAAAAGTGCAAGAATGCTAGCGAGAAATGAATGTAATGATTTGACTCGTCCAAACACGGATGTTGTGGGGGATGAGACAATATTCCCAGCATTCCTGTTCAAAGTCAAAACCCGTTAGAAGCCTCGTCCTTCTAACTAAAACAATCAAGTCTGACGACGTAGGTTGTAAGCGAGCGGCTAATCTAAACGAGTGGCCCACCCCCCACAGTTACCGACAATCATTATATATTGTAGTAGAGGTTCACCGGACGGGGTATTGTGACTATTCAACACCCACATCTTCTGATCCCTAAGGAATTAATTGCCGGATCAGTGTATGGAAGCCCCTATTTACACATATTTATGTATTTTAGAGCAATACATCTCAAGTACCGTGCAATGGTTTCAATTTCTTATTCTAGTTTTAGTGCATGCTGCATAACTTGGATTTGACACCATATATATATGATGGCATCCGTAATTTACAATTCAGACTCGTTGTCCATCGATTGGTGCACTTGCCTAGGGGCCCACATGGTATCTCGGCAGATACGAGGCCAGTGCATATCAAGAATAAACCCGCAACATCCGAAGAATATTCTGCGCTGGCTATATGAAGAGCCTGATTCAAAATCAGCTTGGACTTCATTTGGCATATATAGCCTCTTCTATCCTCCCAGAAATATCAACAAGAAATCCATCCTCTGAACAACACAATCGACTGAGTTATCACGATGGTTACGGTCCACTCTATAGAAGAACTATGGCTCAAAAGGGTCATTCTCTGTCATTTATCCGAAGAAATCTCAGCTGATGAGTATATGACAACTTCCTCTCCTAGGTTTGTCGGTTTTGTGACAGGAACATACGTCTTGCAAACGTACATCCAACTACCCCAACCAACGATCCAATGCCAGCGCCGCCGACGAGCCTACGCCAACCCCCCCATAGCAACCCCCGAAGGCCTCCGTAAAACCACTGTAAGCACCCCTAGAGCTGCTGCCGGCTCACCCCAGTTGTCAATGGCCAACTGGTCTGAGTTGTACCGTAACCGCCAACTGCGGTCTTTCCATTCTATCTCGCCTCGGCCCCACATGTGTGCGATGAGGCCAATTCCTGTTATTCCGGCCCCGATGGCCCCTCCGACACCCGCCGAGCGAAGAAGAATGGGACAAGTGATGGATTGGCTTTTTTTCAGGGCTTCAGCACTGCTACTCAGTAGGCCGACTGCCGTGCCAAGCTGGAAGCCGCGGGAGAGGACGTGGGTGGCGAGAATAATTCGCGCCAGAGGTTGGTCTTCCGCATACTCAGCGCTGGGAAAAAAGTGTGACATTGTGTTCTGGAAATAAACACTAGCAGATAAACTGGTTGTCGACCATCCACTAAGAAATCTTGACGTTTTCGCGTCCTGGTACGCCCTACGGGTTAAGCCCACGCGTATCATGAGGCTTTTTGACGGTAACGATCACGTGACAGTGACTCCCGCGGGCCGCATCTAATTCTGTAGTAGTTTAGCTTGGTTTATAACATCTCTTGACTCAGTGGGGGTGCACACAAATAATCACTATACGAGTATTAGTACGAACACTGCGTCTTAAGTTTGTGGGAGTTGGGAAGCACACCGCGTTCCTATTGGGTTACTAACTCCTAATATAAAGCTGACGACGTCGGGCGCTAAACTAAAAGTTTGGGGGATAATCCTAACAAAGTTAGCATCGGATTTGTCATCCGCAGCTATAACTTACTAACGTATTTCACTAGTATTCCGAACACCCTAGTATTCCGAACACCCCATCAAAAACGCGCTCCTCACGCGTCACCTACGACTTTCCACCACACACAATGCCACCCAAACGCTCTGAAAAACGCTCAAAGTCGCCAAATAGGGAAGGTAGGATCCTACTAGCTATCAAAGCTATACAGGATCACTCAGTGACCTCCCTACGCAAAGCAGCAGCGATCTACAACGTGCCGATCACTACACTACACGACAGAATCAAAGGCGTGCCAAATCAGCAGGAGAAACGATCAGCGTTGAACAAGCTTACACAAGAAGAAGAGGATTCGCTTTGCAAGTGGATTCTCTCACTTGATCTACGTGGCGCATCGCCTAGGCCTTTGGCTATCGCTAATATAGCAAATCTTCTACTAGCAAAGCGTGGTGATCGTGTGATATCTACTGTTGGCGATAACTGGGTTATACGTTATATTCAACGCCGATCAGAGCTTCGTACACGATATTTAAGGCGTTACGACTATCAGCGTGCTTAAAATGAAGACCCAGCAAGCCTACGCGAATGGTTTCGATTAGTACAACGTACGATTGAGGAAAACGGGATTCAAAACGAGGATATCTACAACTTTGATAAAACTGGATTCGCAATGGGCCTTATATCTACTGCCAGGGTAGTTACACGTAGAGATTTCTACGGTCGGAAATCTCTTCTACAACCAGGAAATCGGGAGTGGGTAACATCAATCGAATCTATATCGGCAACTGGCTATTTGCTTCCGCTGTGTATAATCTTCAAAGGCAAAAACTATATTGCAAGCTGGTTTGACGACCTCCCAAGCGATTGGCGAATCGAAACATCACTAAATGGTTGGACAACTGATGAAATTGGTATACGATGGCTACAAAAACTATTTATTCCAGCAACAACTATACGTACACAAGGTAAATATCGACTATTGATTCTTGATGGTTACGGTAGTCATTTGACACCTCAATTCGATCAAATCTGCGAGGAAAACGATATTATACCAATTTGCATGCTATCGCATTCATCACATCTTCTACAACCACTCGATATTGGATGTTTTGCAGTATTAAAACGCTTATACGGTCGCTTAATCGAATCCCAAACCCGCCTAGGACACAACCATATCGATAAGCTTGATTTCCTAGAATCCTACGTTCTAGCACGCCAGGAAGCCTTCAAAACAGATACAATTCAATCAAGCTTTGCCAGTGCAGACTTAGTTCCAATCAACGCCGAGCGAGTCCTATCCAAACTTAATATATCGCTTAAAACACCAACACCACCAGTAAGCAGACCTAGCAGCAGATCTAGTGTTTTTACACCAAAAACACCACATACAGCGAAGCAGCTTGCTAAGCAAGCTTCCTCAATTAAGCGCCTACTACGCCAGCGTTCAACAACGCCAGGAAGCCCTACCAATCGTGCACTAGATCAACTAATCAAAGGTTGCCACCTAGCGCTTCAAAGCGGTATACTACTTGCTGAGGAAAATCGAGTACTACGCAAGTTTAACGAGAAAAAACGCCAAAAGCGCACTAGATCTAATCGCCAGATTGAGCGCCAGGAAGGCCTAACAGTTGCTGAGTTCATTCAGCAGGAATCGTTGCCAGAAGTGCCTACTGAATCGATTCAACCTGATCAAAGCGAACACGCTCAGCAGCCTACCGTGCACGCTGGGCCTACAACTAAGCGTGTATTTAGGTGTTCTGGATGTAATAATTTAGGGCATCGAATCAATAAATGCCCTAGTAACCTAGTTTGAATCAATCTATTTGGTGGTTGTTGAATAATCGTGTATTGAAGATTCTAGATGTGGTGGGGTGTTCGGAATACTAGGGTGTTCGGAATACTAGTGAAATACGTTAACTAAGAGGCGATTTAGTATTGACCTCATAATGACTGAAACTCACCTTAGAATCAGTTGACCAACAAAAATTTAATGTCATCTCCTATTCAGAATCGCGATCGTTAGATTCGTCACGCTTGATACCAGACCATCCAAGCAGAAATCAATTAATTCTTTTATACTTCAATTCAACATTCCCGCAACCATGTCCTTTGCTGCTGCCATTCGATCGCGAGTTGTCCGACCTAGTTTATTCTCTGGATCAGTCATTCTTCAAGGGTTTGCTATCATGAACTACCCCAATCTGGTACTAAGAGGGGAACTCCCTCAATCTCGGTTGCTGCCTCATTCCCTGATGATTTTGAATCCTCGCCATTAGCCTCGGACCTGCCCGAAGAGGAGCACGCCTAAATGGGAGGAAACCCTGGCTACTTTGAGCGAGGCTACAGTAAGCCCTTCCTCAAGAAACCTTTCCCCTTTCCTGTCAAAGCAAATCATACTTTAAATTATCACGGATAGAAGAACTTTACATTGAGACGCTGTTACATCCGGGTTAAAGCCGATCGAGGTGATATTAGATTTAATATGCAGCCTCGAGTGAAGAAAACCGAGACTCCGTCAATTGTAAACAGGGAGCCGGAATTGGATGAAATGCAATTGCGTGTCCAGATTAATTAAGAAGGTTCGGCTCTTCAGACTCGCGTGTGACAGCGGAGGCGAGCAGTTGGAAGGGTTCAAGTTGTTGTCCAAGTTGAAGAATAATTGATGATATATCTCTTCTTTCTGTACGTGGCTATGACGCAGTCATCCTTCCAGTAGACCACACGCTATTGAACGCATCGCTAGCTTTCTCCCACAAGCCCCGTCGTAATTCCCACGGCCTCGGGTAATCCACCACGACGTAGACTACTCTTTCTTGTGGGGATTGTGCTGGTATTTTTCTCAGTATGGTGTAGCTTATATAATAGTTGTCGACAGGCACCTTGCTCTGCCTCATTGTCCCCTTGAAATGGAAATACATTAGCATAGTAATTCATGGGTAGGGATTTATACCCAACGGCCACAAGCCGTTTCAACAAAGAACGCCAAATATGTCGTCGTCAGGAAAGCACTTGGTTACAAGACAGAATATGCAGATTGGAATGACTTTTTACCATCATCTACTTTCACGACCACGATAGGCCGCTAGTTGTCATTTCGTAATGGTATTGCAGCTTGCATGAAAGTCTGGTCCATTCAATAATAGGGGCAAAAAGCTATTTAACAAAGGTTACTGCTTTGGTAAGCAGGCTAATGACTAATTGCCAAGTAATAGGCAATGTAGCCGACTAGTAACAGTGACTTTGTCGCGACATCTACACTACAAAACATAGTATTGTACAGTAACATGAGCTGCTATTAACATTTATTTTATATGGAAATCGGATCAGACTAATTTGAGGGAGCTCTTAGCATGCTTAATTTGTGCTTTATGGCTCTTCTAATATCTTGATCACCATATGATCCTATCAGACCAAATACAGATGCTAAATATAAAGGCAAAAGTGATATCAACCTTTAGTGAATGATCAGAACCGTTCGCTTCCTGACTTTGGTACAACGCCTTATATATGTCCAATTTGGACCTTAAGATGGAACGATTCCGCAAGCTTGGAAAAGAATTTGGATAAGTTCACGCATCCTAAGATAAAAAAATCAAAGGCTACATACAAGCAGTGTAAGACAGTCCTGGATCATCTACAGCTTAAAAATAGGACATCTACTTTGGTCAAGCATATCAAAGGGTCGGGATACCAGACAAAACTTAAGAACGCAAGTATCAAGGACATTATACAACAGCAGGTACGATATAATAATACTCACAACTCAAAACACAATAAGTGCAGGACTTCATATAGGAATTGTCCTCTTCAGCTTGTCTACAACCTCACAGGATTCCTAGGAAGCGGCGCAAATTCGGTTTTTCATCGAATTTCAACTGCCATTTCAATTACTGAGCCATACTGGATTCTCGAGTTGATTGTAATGGCCCAGCATATGACTTCGAGACTAGAGCTTCTCATTCCAAAGACTACACAGCGTTCAATCAGTGCGAGCGTGACTACCCGTTAGCGTAAAATTCTGTCTAGGCTACCAAAAGGGGCCAAGATATCGTTTACTGTAGATTGTTAGACTTTTCCGTTCCAGCAGACATTTATGGCGGCCACTGGGAACTTTATTAATGATAAATAGATACTTCTTGTATTGACCCTCTGACCGGGACACATACATGTATTATTAATCCTAGTACAGTTGTCATGGATCTCCTCAAAAGACATAATATTACTAATCAAGTGCTGGCAATCACCACGGATAATACATCCAAAACAATATCTTGATGGAAAGCACGCCATCCAATCACTCAACCTTGGTGAGGGCATTACAGTCATTCAAGTCTCTTACTTTGCTCATGCTATTCAGCTTAGTCTGAAGCAGCTTCTTGGGTAAATGAAAGCAGACCCAAAAATAACATTGCACAGAAAGACTGGTCCGACCCTCAAGAACAGTCACCCCGCAATAGACAGCAGCAAGCAGCAATCATTAATAGCCTGAATAAAGTACACCAACCCCACTTTACTAGAGCTCATTTAACTAAACATGTAAAAGGTTCCGCACTTGGCTATCTTTGTCAACGCCAGTCCTCAGCACCGAGAACAAGTTTACGAGCTCCAGACTGAAGCACCTAAGCTTGTACCGATCCAAGATATTCGAACAGGTTATAATTTAACGTTTTTAATACTTCGACGTGCTAATCGGCTACAGTTTGTATTTGATCAGTACTGCTTGAAGTATGGACAGTCACATTTAATGTTGGATCAGGAGCAATGGTGTCAGATTAACTACTGTTTATGGATTACTCGGCCATTTTTCAAGTTTACCACCACACTGTCAAAGACGAAGGATGTGACTCTTCTTCTAGTACTCGGCATCTTCAACATACTTTTTGACCATCTGGAAAAGTTGATTGGACAGTTCCAACAAAAAAGGGTGCCGTGGAAGAAGGTCATGCTCACTACCCTTTATACGGTTAAGGATAAGCTTGCATACTACTATAGCAAGACAGACAATATCCACAGTAATCTTTTGGCGTCTAGAACAATCCTTTCCCACAGCACAAGCTCCAGATCTTTAAGAACTGGGCGGAAGAGGATGTAGACTGGGCTTCGCGGTATCAGAATAGCAATGTAGGGTACTTTAGGCCTTGCAGTCAACACTATAAAAATGGACGTGGGAAGACCCCAGATCCCGATAGTGAAGATAAAGTAAGCGAGATCAACATTGAAAAATAATTCAGCCAGGCGCGTTAGCACAGGCGTACCAGTAGGATAAGCTAACTAGATATCTTGACACAGGTCGGTACTATACATTCTAGATACTTATACATCTTTACTAACCTAAAGTATAGAGATGGTTACTCCAAAGTTGATCCAAGCTTAGTAAAAAGAGCATCAGTACGAGTATCCAACCCTTAAAAGCCTCGCGCGGGATATTTTTTCAATCCCGACGACTGGCGCTGGTGTTAAACGTCTCTTTAACTCTGCCTGTGACATCTGCCACTATCATCGAGGGTCACTATGCGTGACAACAATCCAGGAACTCATATTATACAAATTCACAACAAAGTTCGATATAGAATCTGAAAATCTGGCTCTACAGGAGGAATATCTCTCACATCAAGAGATTGAAGCGATTCAGGAAGGATACAGGTCTTCTTAAGGACACTCTTGACCCTATCAGTAACGATGAAGAAGATGAAACAATAGGCTCTCAAGACCAAGATTTCACTCAGACTGCCACGGAGCGTGTTGGAGAAAAGCGGCGGCTGATTTGAGTGTCTGATACCGTAGAAGCTCAAGGAGGTATGGAGTCTGATAATAAGGCAAATCTTCCTCTTCCAGACAACCAAAGGCGAGTTTCAGGAAGGATTCGAAAGCGTTTAAGATGTGATGATGATCAGTTAATAGAATACTAGACTAATACGTAATTGAAATGAATATTATGATATAGATTCCAGAACTGCGGAGAAGTCTGACTTCAAAGACTGCAGTTAAAGGAAATTCTCCAAACTGAACTGAACTGACTGTACTAGACTAAAATTCAGGTTCAGTTAACTGAACTGTGTAGAGCACTGCTTTCCATTCGGCAACTCAAGCCCTTGTTGACTGTATAGGATGGCCTCCTATATCCCAGAAGTTGACGTAACGCGCCGGGCATGCAAAGGAAGAGAGTAAGAGGTCTCGGTTCTCATGAATCAACACTTCATAAGTTGTTTGTTGGCGGGAAGTTGTAACGTATTTAATCTCCGTTTGAATGACAGTCGCGACACGGAAAAACAGTTCCTGCGGTTAGCAAGCCTGTTCGGTATTTAGTTACATAACTAGTGACGTGGGGAGGGATGCTCAAAGCAGCACGATCAGAACGTGCGGGTCGAATGGAACTTGGGAATGGCGTCAAAACCACCACCACCAAAGCGTAGAGCTCTAAGCCACCGGACTAGGAGGGCGAAACTACGAGTGTGTAATGTGTATATTGAACTATTCCTGTCTCTCGAAACTAAGATATTGGCTAGCATTCCAAATGGAGCCTAGCCTGCTATATTAGATTTAACCAATAAAAGCAATTTGCCTATAGGCCGCTTCTCCCCATTACAATAGTTATATACAGTTTTAACATGACAAGTTGCTACAGTAGGTTCTGATATCTGCCAAAATCATCTTATTACCGAAAACACGCAACAAAGACCAACCCGAGAAGACGTCTCACAGAGAAGCGACTGTGATAGAAACCATGAACCGTATGCTCTGGGAGCGAACTTGCACCTGGTCCTAGGTTGGAGGTCTTCATGCTCGGGTCCAAATCGAATCCTAATGGTGCCCCACTAGGAAAAGCCGCGTTTTGCGCAGATGACGGACCAACGTTGAAATACGATCAACTTTTAGACCGAAATACCGAGATGGAAGTTGATTGATGACTGATGCAATAGGGATGGCCCTTCCGCAGAAATAGGACTGTTGATTAACGTGGGAATGGTGTTGCCTCACGAAACACAATGAGCCTAGCACGGATGATCATCGAAAAAATAGGAAGATTGTGGTGCCACCTCAAGCAGTATACAATTAACGGTGAAACGGTTTAAAAAGCCACACTGAGGATTAGCTCTGTCGGGACACTCACGATTCTCAAGGCGATCACTGCTGTGCAAGCGACATGGCGGGGCCACGGCACTATAAATACCCCAGGTCTATCGCCAGCACAGCAGTTACTCGAGGAACATATTATAGTCACCCCTGGACAAAAGATCATAAGTTTCTCCTCTACTTCCCCGATTCTTTGTCCTGACATGATTGAACATATAGTGACTGACCACTGCCTCATCTCTAGCTTGTCTACGCTTAAATAAGAACCACGCTCATTGTAGGTATGTTTATCGCTGCCCGATCACTTACCACCATGCTGATGTGGAAGATGCTTTGGATATCAACCTCGTTCCGCTGTTTGCCACGAATCCAATCGACGCATTTTGCTTGGCCATGGGAATCTCACAGAGGCTGCGAGAAGGGTGAGCTAAGTTGAGCCGCCTTATGTCAGCTGCTAATGATTAATGATAGATCGAGACCATCTAGCGAGCAACAGGTTTGTTTGGTCGTGCCAACATGCAGTCCCGTGTTACATGTTTCTAAATGATCCCAGTGAGTAGCTAGACAGTTGATGGACGTACTTTGTATTATGTGGAATCACTCGGTGATCCTTAAGTATCGACTCGCAATCGTACCGTCGCTTGTGCTAAGCCTTATACGGATTCGATTTTTGTTGAATAACTTCGAAGGATGTGCCAGGTAGAGCGCCAAGTAGGTCAGTCCGAAAAGCTCCCCTACTTGTAGGTTGTTTGTCACAAGAGATGAAACTGTATGAAGAATAACCCGAAAGGTATCCTGTTGTAACTGAGATTGGTTGATCGCGAAGAACTAAATAAATGTCCGCAGACGAGCGTCCCTATATACCTAATCCTCCTCGGTGTGGTATATCGAAGGGTATGTTTGGTAGTATACCAGCTCATGACCTTCCTCTACCGGTTGGTATACCCTCCGGTATACCCCAAGGTCACGTGGTCTCTTACCAAGTCCTTGCGCTTGCGACGTATTAAAGGGTAATTTAGGGAAGGGGCCGGTCAGTCAGAACCGCGGTTAGAGTTGAGAGGGAAACCCCAAAACAATAGACCATACAGAAATGATGACCTCAGTGATTGCCGATGAAGGTGGCAATTCGGTGATGTCTTTGCCACCATCTCCGCAAGTAGGGAGATGCAAGTCAAACTGCCACGCAAATGACTGAATAATGGACAATTACAAGGACAGGGATTTAATATTTTCTAAAATCAGCATTAGATTCAATTGAAACTAATTTTATTTCGTTAGTCGCATGCGCTGCATATTTAGACATACGTACTATTTAACCTGCCAAGCTTAGTGTACGTTTTGCCCCCAAAACATAAATAAAACCCCGCCTACGCCATGTCTTCAAATGTCCCTATGTTTCAAAGACTAGCATCTCCACTTTACGAGGTTGTTATGAGATGTCCTCGTCAAGCTCTTCCAGCCCATGGGACTGGATTACAGGCAGCTATACTGGAAACAGCAATGGAGTCCGCATCACCATCGCGACCTTTTTGGGCGTCGCCTTGTACAACGTGATCGAGCTTCTTGTACTAATTTTCCTCACCTTTAAGCGATATCAAGGTCTCTATTTCTGGAGCATTTTGATAGCCTCCATGGGTATATTGCTATACTCGATCGGGTATCTCATAAAGTTCTTCGGTCTCACATCCGCAACTTGGGTTCCCCTGACCCTGTTGACTGTGGGCTGGTGGACCATGGTCACGGGGGAGTCGTTTGTACTGTATTCCCGCCTGCACCTGGTTATCCAGAACCTGCGGGTGCTTCGCCTGGTGAAAGGCATGATTATCATGAACATCTTCATACTCCACGTGCCGACCACAGTCCTGACTTACACTGCCAACTTTTCTGGCTCCCCAACCTCCATCTCGGGGTACAATGTCATGGAGAAGGTGCAGTTGACCGGATTCTGTATCCAAGAAGCCACAATATCTGGGGTTTATTTGTGGGAAATCAATCGTATGCTGCGATTGGAGGCCGACGATGTCAGCCGAAATACTATATTGCAACTGCTCGCCGTCAATTTGGCCTGTATCCTTATGGATATTGCGCTGATGATTATCGAATTCATGAACTTCTACATTTATGAAACAACCCTCAAGGCCACTTTATACAGTATTAAACTGAAACTTGAGGTTGCTGTTCTGGGAAAGCTGGTTGAAGTTGCCCATCAACATGTCAGAAAGCCGCCAATGTTCAATATGGCGGGCGGTCGGTACCCATCTTTTGTGGATCCAACCAAAATTGTGTCGGATATAAATCACGCAGAAGCTGTGGGAACAGACCAGGCCTCCGAAGGACATGCTGCAAGACTCAAGTCTGGAAGCAATCGATAATGATGTTGACTGAGGCGCTGTTTACTCTCCATCACGATTGTCTGGGGAAGTGTATTGTCATCTTCGCCCTAAAGCCCTAAAGTCCTATCCAAAAGGATGCAAGCCATTACGAGAAAGGTGATTCCACTGGCTAACGTGGCCGGTAAGCGAGTGGGCCATGTAAACCTGTGTGCCACCCAACTCACTTTTGCGCGCCTATGCCTTCTTCAATCAACCATTATGCCGCCAAGAGGTCGGAATATCATAAGCGATGCAACAAGAAGTGGCATGGGCGGTTAGACCTGTGCAATGGGCGGCCCATGGGCCAGAATCTGGCTACCCGCCCATGGGCATGCCCAAAGGTGCCCATTTAGCCAAGACTAGGCATCGCCATAACCCACTATAACCCGGACCCAACCCAACCCAACCCAACCCAAAATGGGTTTTGGGTCCAATTCTATAACCCATTTGGGAACCCAGTGGGTTTCTATTTTAGTGTAAACAAGGCAAACATACTAAGCTTTTAAATACTATATATATATATATATATTGTAATGGGGAATTCCGCTCTCAACACCGGTATCCCATAGTCAGGTGATTGGGGCCTTAGTAACAAGGCAGCCATATCGTTTCGGAAGAATAAGTAGCGTTCGTTCGATAGTATCAATAACATGGATGTTCCCCCTTATGAATTATTCTTTCTGCGGAGTCTACTGAGGCTGAGGTTGCGGTATCGGTATATCGCATGTCCATGAAGACTCGAATGTCTTATTAGTCGCATCTCGATAGTGTCACGCTTTGTCTACTACTCTCCTGCACTCTGCGAGTGTGGTGGTTCTGTCTTCTTGTGATCGACCCGTCTGCTTGACAGACTGCCAGCGAGCATTCCCATCTTACAATATATAAAATCTTAGTATCTAAATCTGTCTAGAAAAAAAAGATATAAATTAAGTATTGAAATATACTACATAAAATTTATGAATAAATCATGCTAAAATAGGTTGAAATGGGAACCTACTGGGTTATTGGGTTGGGTTATGATATAGCTCCTATAACCTAAAACCCAATAGGTTGGGTTTTGGGTCGGCATCTCCAACCCAAAATGGGTTATGGCGATGCCTAATAACGCCTATTTGTCGCTGAATTACTTAAAAATATAATAAAATGTAAAGCAGCATCTATTTCCTATCTAGTACTAGCTCTGACAACCTTTGTATTCTTAACGATAATGCGATACGATAATGATATTAACGATAATTATTGTGAAAAATCTGACGATACGATAACGATAACGATATAGCAAAAATCCGACGATAATTTATCGTGAACAGCCTTAACCAGCCGCTCCACCATCCTCATTCGGCCCACCTGGTCATTTGGGCCCGCCTGCAGCCCTCACGACGCTGTAGCCGCCCTCTGTCAACGAGGCCTACATCGCCAGTGTTCAGACCGCAGGTGCCCCGTGCGGGCCAAGATATCTCACTCGTCTTCATTTGTAGCAGTGTCGCAATGGTTGGAATAGATGAGTTTGTTTCTCTGAAAAGGCCTTTCAATAAGATGGACCATGACAGAGAGTGAGAATCGCTTTCAACAGCCCATAGCGCCGACAGCCGGATTATCAGTGTTTAGGTAAGCTTACATAAGATCAATATGATTTTTCTCGGTGTGAAGAGCTTCTTGTGTCGTAAAGTTAGGATTTGATCTTTAACAATCTTAGTTGAAGTTTCAGAGGGTCTGGAGCATTCATGGATTCCGAAGGCCGGAAAGCATTTAATGGAGACGGGAAAGTAAAAGGCAAAATCTAGATCTGAATCTCTAGGAATATTCCACTCCAGAGAGATTGACACAGATCAGGACTACAGAATATACCTAAAATATCTGTTCTGCTTATCCGTTTGGTCGACGTGATTTATATCTTCATCAGTGGTGATTTCAATCCGGCGAGTCTCCTCCGGGTCAATCTTGACACCCTGTTCCTTATCCCGGCGAGCATTCTCCCACACGAGATAAAACCTAAAGCCGACCAGTAAACCAATGCTAATCGCGTAGCAAACCAGAATCGTGGTATAAGCAGTCTATCAAGAAACACATTAGAAATCTCAATACTGACCGTATCCGCAAAAATTTGTACGTACGTGGTAATTGGGTGCTTCCGACGAACTGAAGAACTGCGGTCCAGCGAGGTTTCCCGCACAGTAACCCAAGAATATCATAGCCATGACAGTCGATTTCTTGGTGAAACCTGCGATATTACTAGCTGCTAGTGATAGCATCAATGGAAATGCCGGGGCGATTGCCATGACAAGCCAGAACCCGGCGAGTCGGGATAGCTTCTCGCTTGTAGGTAGGAGCTTCACCATGAGTATTCCGACCATTGCCATGAGGTGGAGGAGGACGAGATTGATCAGACGAGACTTTCGAACGTTAGAACTCAGAAGTGCCGAGAGAAGCACGGTTGTCAACTGGAAAACAGATGCCGGTAGTCCCATCAATATCGTCTGGAACTTGTCATAGCCGAACCCATTGATGATGAGTGTGTTGAACTAGACTTTTGTAAGACTTAAGTTTATTCAGGTAGAACAGGATACTTACGCTGGTCGTACCACCATTGGGCACACAAATGACAAACGAGAAGATAAAGAACCACCATGACTTGATATCTGTTAAGCTTTCGATAAACTGAACCAGGTCCCAGGTCTTGGTTTGCGTGGTCTTTTGGAATTTATGAGGACGTAACGCCGCGAACTCGCGCTCAGATTTCGAGAGGAATCTGGCTGTCTGTGGGGAGTCGGGCAAGTAGAAGAATGACACGATAGACCACGAAACTGTGATCAGACCAAACAGAACAAAGAGGATCTGGAGGAATTAGTCACTAATCTCGTGCAAAGTCAAGTAGAACAAACCTTCCACTGGGCTATGCTGCCTTCGTAACTCAAGAGCCCGTAGGCGATGAGGGAACCGATAATGCTTGCAGTCGCATTTCCTGCGAACCAGATCGAGTGTCTTGACACATGCTCTCGGGGTGTATACCACATGCCCGTGATAAGGGAGAATCCTGGACTAATGGCACTCTCGAATATACCGAGAAGCGTCCGAAGTGCCATGATACTGGCGTAATTGTTGGTGACGGCATGGAGAGTCAGGACGACGCCCCACAGGAAACTGGATTGTTAGCTTCAAAGACAATTCAATATGGGTGATTAGTTCGCCTTACATTAACACACTGAGGTATTTGCCCAGTGGAAATCTCACGAATCCGAGAGAAATCGGATAGGAGGCGACAAGATAACCGACGTAGAAAATGCTGGAAGTCCAACTGTACTGTTGCCCAACGAGGTTCTGTCACAGTCAATGACTGATAGTGAACTAGGACGAAGGGTACATACAAGATCTTCTCGAAGTCCGAGAATAGCACTATATGCAAGACTAGTCTCTGTTTTGATTACTTAGTAGAGAGTCAGATACAGCTGGAGGATTGAACATACTATCAAGATATTGAAGTCCATAGGTGGTGATCAAGATCGGCATCAAGCTGGCGACCATGTGAGATTGAGTTCCAAATTGCCACGAAAGGGATTTGGTATTTACTGCCAATCGATCTTCCTGATCAATCTTTTTTCGTCTGCTGGATCAAGGGTTTCGGCTGTACCAGTTTCAACCCTCAGAATTTCGTTCTTAACACCTGCTCTGTCCGCATGTTCGGCGGGCGGGCGCTTTGTCTCCATAGCTAAGAATTGCGGTGTAACTCAAGCCACTGTGCCAGGCGAAGAATATGCGGGGAAGTGACTGTCTCGGTAGGACGAACGGTGACAGCAGTCTTTTATATAGACTTCCAGCGCATGGGCTATGGTTGGAGCCAGGTCAGTAGAAATGGAAGAGCCAACAGACCAGACAGTTCGGTTGGTAAATCTGGACTCCGCACTTGTCCCGAGATTGGATCTGTCCTTGATAGCCAACGGGTTGTCATTGGTCAGATCAATCGATCGCCAAGAAGGGGAAAAGAGAGAAAGGGGGGAGCACCGAGTGTCGCTAGCCAGAATAGGTAAGTATCAGCATCACTAGTGTAGAAAATACGATGCATTTTTAGGAATCCTTACCGATCTTCATATTTCTGTGCGCAGATTCACAAGCAAATCTGGAAAAAATTAATACGTACGGAGTATTCGTGGTATTTAAAATCCAACCCGGCTCATGGATGCTCGTGGTTCATTGTGTCAACGACTTTTCTTATTTCGTCCATTGAGACGGGATATATTGCTTGCCGCCTCTTAACATGCTTGAGAATCGCTTTCAAAATTGGATCGGATAGGATGCCAAAGATCCAGTCCAGATGAACTGGATCGTGTGTTTCTACCCCGGCTATAAGGAGTGACCATTGAAATCGCTCTAGGAGCTGTACTGGCCCTGCCGCAACGGTTTGATAAGCTGTAGCAATAAGCTCGTTGAGAGTTCGCTGGATCTCGCTAGAAATTGGGAGTTGGCCAAAGTATGAGTCACGGCTGCGGAATAAATATATCTGGATGGCGTGGAAGAATGTAACCGCAACGAGAGCCATTAAAGGTGGCACACGCTGATTCATTTTGCAGTCGGCAAGCAAAGACCACACAAATATAAAATCCTGTGAGATTTCAACAATAAGCAATTTTTAGATTTTGTGAATGCTTGACACTCACCTCTTGCGCCTGGGCGAGGTTCCTCTTGATCCTTCTCAGCCAATGAACCGTTTGGGCTTCAACGGCTTGGCTATAGCGGTTTATATCATGATGTATGGATATGAGCTCGAAATAGAGCGTAAGAATGTGTGAGTCAGGTGGATCTGAAGTTCCGGACATAGTAAAAGATGTAGGAAGGCCACGTGAAGAAGTAAATACAGATCTTGACAACTGCCAAATTGTCTTTCGCTTTTCCTGGTTTTGACTAACGTAGCTTGCGAAAGCACCGCCACAGCCGAAGAAGGCACAGAATCCGTCACGATCATATAGGTAGGTGAGAATTCGCGAGAGAAGCGTAGTGTCGAGCAATGAGCTAGAGCTTGCACATAGCCCATCGAGGTCGAAGCTTTTGACATAGCTGCATACGAACAAGCTAAGTCCACGTAGCTTCTGGTAATTGAGGGGCAAGACTCTCAACCAGAACATGTATATGTACAACATGGACAGCATTGAACCGACATGATCTGAATGAAGAGATGAGTTGATGGCGAGGGTCAACTTTTGAGAGCCGTGTTGGAAGTGGATCCATGACTCCGGTGGCGGTTGCTGACTGGATCCAAGACGAATGGATAATTCATTGTGGGAAACAGCAAGAATGAAATCCAAAATCATGGAATTACGTATTCCAAGATCAAGAAATAGGAAATGTGCCGATGAAGCTGGCTTTTGAGTTGACTTGAGAGGCGCAAATACGGCCCGATGAAATGACACCGCTCGGAAATCGCTTTCTCCGAGAGAGGAAGGAGATCGAATCTCGATATCACTGGTAAAGAGAGTAGACGGGGCGAAAAAATTGGGCAGTGTAAGTACTGGCAGAGGGAATTGGGGAGTAATTGGCATCTGGATGTCTGGCACAAATGTGACTCCGGTATTTATTTGATTAATTGGATTGTCCACTGCCTCGGTACTGGTAGGCCAGGTGTTGAACATCACCTCGGGGAAGTGACCAGGGCCAGGATTTGGTGGCTCGATCACAGAGTCACTGGTCTCCTCGACCTGTGAAGGTTCATCTGAGACTATGTGCTCAAGTTGGTCTCGTGCCCTCGGCTGTATCGTTCGAGGGGCCCAAGATTCTCGGCTCTTGATAGGCCCAAATCCCCGTCTTCTGGCAGACAAAGAAGGTGGTTGAGTTGTCCATTCACATTGCAATTGGAGTCGAATGCACCGACGACAATGTGGACGTTGCTCGTCACATTTCACTTTCTTACTAATGCACGTTTGACAGCCTATAGCAGATGTCAGTTTAGACCGGTGCGGCAATCACCGAAGCATACCATTTTTGGAGCGGGCTCCACGTTCGGTTCGATGGCGAGTCTTGCTGGCATTCATGATTCATTATCGAGCGAATCAATGTCCTGCCTCGATTCTTTCGGAACGAAAAGAAGAAAAGAGACGAAGTCCGAAGTGCGGAGTGACCCCCGCCTTTTATCTCATCGATTAGTCTGACCAATCACAGTCATCCACCCACTTTTGGCAACCCTAACTGCCTCGACGACTTGTTTTTCCCACTGGAAAGTGCGGAATCCCATTCCCCTTAACTCTCAAATCTCCTCAAATCTCTTCATTTCAAGCGCTAGTTATGGGGAATACCATATCATACTCTACCACAAAGTGTGAAGTCGTTCTTCCAGAGCGAGGACGGATCTCTGGTTTACAGTTCGATGACAAGTCACGTCGATTTGCAGGCATACCTTACGCACAGCCTCCTACAGGGGACCTGAGATGGCGGAAACCCGAGTCTTTTCCTTCTGTTTATAAATATTCATCAAGAAATGGCCCATATGATGCTAGCGAGTTTGGACCGGTCTGCCCTCAGCCAAATTACTCAAAGGTGGTCAGCGACCATGTCCCAAAGCATATTTACGACGAAGATTGTCTTCGTTTAAATATTTGGGCACCTGTTCCTGATCCTCAAAACCCAAACAAGAAATGGCCCGTCATGGTCTGGTTCCACGGCGGCTGGTTTCAGGTCGGAGATCCCAGCCAGGAAGCCAGTATGGATCCAACAGATCTGATCTCCAACGGTAATCTCCAAGCTGTGTTCGTTGCTGTGGGATATCGACTAAATGTTTTCGGCTTCCTTGCCTCCAATTCTCTGCTGGAAGAGTCGAACGGGGCATCCACGGGCAACTACGGCCTCTGGGATCAGCGGTGTGCAATTGACTGGGTCTACGAGAATATTGAGGCCTTTGGTGGAGATTCCAAAAATGTCCATTTGACAGGCCGGAGTGCAGGTGCCTACTCAGTCCTGGCTCAGACTTTATATGACTTCCGTTCAGCGGGTAGTGATCACTTCCGATCTATGGTCATGTATTCTAATGCCATTCCAACACAGCCCAAAACGCCCGAAGAGTGTGAACCACAGTTTGAAGAGCTGTGCAAGTACTTTGATGCTCCGCCAGCAGCAAATGCGCGAGAAAAACTCCATTTCCTTCGTGGGATAAGTGCCCAAGACCTGTGCGCCGGAATTATGAGCCTCGAGAATCATACTTTCCGCCCCGTAACAGACGAACTATTCATTCACCAAGGGATATTCGACTACTACAACGATGGGTCTTTCGCGAAAGAGTTCAAGCGACGAAATCTGCGAATCTACATTGGCGAGGTCCTCAATGAAGAGACCCTATACGCAGCTACAAACGGCCCAGACGCGAACATAGCATCGCTCCAGAAACAAATCGCCAATTACTACCCTCCTTCAACAACAAAGCGTCTTATAGAGCACTATCACCTTCCAAAGTCAGACAAAAAGCAAGAATGGGCAGATATATTCGGAAAGATCATCGCGGATGGCCAGGTCAGGGCTCCATCGCGGTATCTTGTCAAAGTTCTCGTGGATAATGGTGTTGATATGGCACATATTTGGCGCTATTTGATTGCATATCGACTATCATTCATCACAGAGGAGGTTGCCCCAGCATCGTTCGGAGTTACACATGCTATGGATCGGCCTATTTGGAAGTATGCAATCTCCATTCTGCTTTTTTGGACGTTGCTAACACCCCCTGGTCAGTTACTCGATCACTCACGGGCCCAATCCAAGCGAGCTTCAGTTGATGTCGGCTTGGATACAGGATCTTCGTGCCTTTATCCACGGTGAGAAGGGCTACGATTATGGAACTTCCGCTCCAGAGCAATACAAGGTTATGACTGACGAAGGAAAAATTGTTGTTCAAAATGATACCAAGTGGGAGGAGTTGATAGGGGCGATGGATCTGTTTTCGGGAGTTTGAGAGGTTCCACCGGAAGATTTCGTCTAATAAAATCTGCCCTTGGCTTGATGGCATCATAGAAAAATCGAGAACTGCGAAAATATTCATGGCCCATGGTGTAGCAATTTCTAGCTTATCGAAGTCAAACTCTTGAGGACTCTCCCGATTGGTGACAATCAAGTCTCCACAGCCATCCTGTCAGTCACTTCGAGGGAGCCCTCCGACCGGCTCTCGTGGTCAAGCAAAGCTTGATTGCCCCACTTTTGTCGGCGGCTATTTGTGCTCCGCCCCTCTGCGTCCACCTTCCTTTCACGCTGAACATCGCATCTGATTGTAAACTCGAATTCTCTCACAGAGCCGGGCCTCGGCTGCTTCGAGAGCAGTATTGAACCCACTGGGATTTTGCAAAAGATGCTTAGCAGATGTGTTCCTGGCCTGACTTTTGTAGAGGATTCTTCAGCGTAAGAGCCGCCGCTTTGTTACTTATAAGCAGCGTGAGCCTGCACCGTTTCAGTCCCCGTAGCGTGCTCAGTACGAATACCATTGCTGCTAATTCGCCAGAGTATAGGTTCTGCTCAGTTCTTATACCCAGAGTAACAGAGAAAGCTTTCAGCCTTGGTTTTTAATATCGAGGTGGCTGCTTCTCAATCGCCACGCTAAATCCTACTATCTTATTCCGCGCCGAACTGCTAACTGTAATCTATATAACTCTGCTAGATCCTGTTGATCGCCCTATACCTGTTCCTCCTATAGCGCTAATATAAATAGATTAATGGTTTCCAGTGTTTCTATGTCAATGCTCTTTAGTACGTCTATAACCTGATACAATAGCAAACGATAGTATCTTCTAATTTTCTTAATCTGAGCTAGGCATCGCCATAACCCATTTTGGGTTGGAGATGCTGACCCAAACCCAATGGGTTGGGTTTTGGGTTATAGGAGCTATATCATAACCCAACCCAAAACCTAATGGGTTAAACCCAATAACCCAGTGGGTTCCTATTTCAACCTATTTTAGTATAATTTATTTTATTTTTAAGTACACAACCTTTAGGTTTTCTAATGTATAATATATATATTTTAAATATAAAATAATATTAATATTAAATAAAATTGGTTAAATACCTATATATAAGACCTAAAAACAGTACTAATACATACTATATTTAAAAGCTTAGTATATTTGCCTTGTTTACACTAAAATAGAAACCTACTGGGTTCCCAAATAGGTTTTGGGTTGGGTTGGGTCCGGGTTATAGTGGGTTCTGGCGATGCCTAGTTCCTAGTAACTTCTACCGTCAAGGTACCATAAGATAGGGACCAATTTTTGATTAAAATGTTAAGGGACAAATACAAAAAGCTTACTCAGAGAAATCTTGCCAGGGATATAAAGAGGCTCAAAAGAGAATTCACAACCGTTAAAACTAAGATTAAGAAATTTAAAGAAATACTGGTAAATAGACAATAAATTATATATAGGAGGTCGATCGGTTACAGTACAGTTTTTTAATCAAGAAAATCTTAGTCAATAAACCAAATTTAATTTTGATAAATTAATGGTATAGAATAGAAAGTTTCTACTAATAATATATAGACTCGCTTAGGTAATTTAGCTGTGAATATTAGGGCGTAAATAAGATAGAGCCAACTATTTTCGCAAAGATAGCTGCGGGAAATTTAAATAGCGGCCCTTCAATTGCTGCTTCAGTATAAATTTTCAAGTTACCGGTGTGAAAACCGTTTCTCCTTATTAACAACGTTGATAAGGCATTTTATTTGCCAGGCCTAGACCCAGGAAAGCCAAGGTTCCAGGTAGGGCGATACGCAGTTATTGGCTAACGTTGACAAATTCTCATCCAACGAACGCAGAAATATATATCACAAGACTCGCACTGTATATACATTTTAGCGGTAGAATTTGAAAAAACCATTAGAATATCGGCGATAAAAAGGCCATTCTTCTGAAACTCTTTCAAATATCATATTCCATTAGCATTGCCAAATAAAAGACACATGTGGAGCTCAAAATGCTGTCCTAGTTGGGTGCTGGCCGAGAATAACGGTATGATATTCTGAGAAGATGGTGGATATAATAATCCGAACACTTTGCTACTATTCGTTAATTTAATGGATGAACAAACCACAGTTCTCACTATTCATCGGCTAGTGCAGTTGACCGTGCGTGTATGGCTGAAAACGCATGATGAGCTTGATCTCTGAAAGGGAATGTTTATCAGCAAGTTGAGCTATGCGTTCCCAACCGTGAAGTACGAAGACTGGAAAACTTGCCGATCACTCTTTCCACATGTTCGATCGGCACATTCCCACCGTCCAAAACCACGTGATTCACGTGGGAAATGGGCCACGCTCCTTTACAGAGGTGCCTGGTATGCATCCGAAAGTGGAAATATACCAGAGGCCACAGAAATGGCACAGAAATCAAGAGATGAAAGATTATAAATATTCGGTGCAGGGAATGATGAAACGCTGTGTGACAGCTGTCAATGGCTGAAACCCATGGAAGAGTCAAGAAATTACGTCACTTCCGTGGATTACCCCTGACTACAGCTGGCTATGTACGCTGCAAGCTGCAAGATTTAATTAGATTGAACTCTAAATCCCTGTAAACTTCGTGACGCATTTTATATATCACTTTACACAAACCTACTATCCACAGACTGCTCATTCAAATGTTGCTGAGAGTTTCTGAACATATTCCTTAAAGCAATCCAAAGCACAGCGCCAAATAAGCTAGTTGAGGTGATCAGCACTCAACCCCCAAAAAAGACCACAGGACGGCACGTATAATTTAGCCCTTGACACAGTCAAGGTACCTCTCGCCACGCTTGCAGGGTGACTCGGACATCAACTTGCAGCACGAGTTTCCGGCCTTGGAGGCACAATCGCCCGAGCCGTCCTTGGAGACGGCCAGGACAACGTGGCCGTCGCTCAATTGCTGACCAGCATCGAAAGGCGATACCCCGCAGTAGTCACTGCCGTAGCCGTATTCAGATTGTTTCCAGTCACATCCGTAGATCTGGTAGACACAGTCGTAATTGTCGGTGTTGATGGTGCTAGCCTGGGCGGCAGACTCGGCAGCAGCGATGGAAGAATAGGAGGCAGATGGAATAGCCTTGATAGCACTCGACACGGCGGAGGGGACAGGAGTGTTGATGGATGGAGGTAAGGGGACGGAAGTGATAGGAGTGAAGGTCGCAGAGGACGAGCTGGCCGAAGCCATGCCAGCTAGAAGGAGGGAAACGGAGGCGAGTGTGAACTGCATGATGATATGAGATACGGAGTATCGAGAGGAAATTATTTCAAGGGGTTTTTCGTTTGATATAAGGCATTTGGATGGGTAAAACCGATAATCAAAAGCCGCAAAGGTACAATATTGATGTGAGATCTCAGAAAATGCTGCGGTGCTACTTGACGATTTGTTTGCTAGTCGTCGCCCCTACCTCCTATAGATAGTTGTCTTGGGTCGTTCTCCAATTCTCTGATTCAACTCTCTTGCTCTGGAGTCACCTTTCCCCTTCAATACACAGGACTGTAACCTATACCCCAGGAGTACGCACTAAGCTATGCCTGATCCTTGAATTCATTGAAGAGACCAGGCAAGAAACTAGCCAGATCTTAGATAAGAACACGTCAGCCGTCATGCTTTCCAATGAACTTTATCCACTAAATGCAACTCACATTTCATCTCCTGTGCACAATGGACGGTAATATTATGTCCGATCTGATCTGGTCACCTAGAATTCGATCAGAACCTGGATCGCAACTCTCTGTTGCCATCAGGTAGGCGGTGGATCTGGTGAATGACATACGAATAAGCGACCTTTCCCCCTTCAATGCCCCATGCCCGATTTTTTTACTTCCCCCGTTGCCAGGCTCCTCTGTCGCGCTCTCCCTAATCTTTGCAGTAAATCTCAGGCGCCCCGAAGAAGAAATACCTAATACTTCGGACTAAGTTGCCTCTCCGCACCTCAGGCTCCTTCTCAACCCAGCCGACTAGCCCAGGGGGCAGGACAGCAGCTTCCGGAATGAAAATCTCATCACGAAATGTCAATGTATAGTTGAGTATGCTCCCTTCACCTTGTATTCTTTGTCTAATGGCCCTGTTACCTGTGCAGATTGTCCTCAAGTCCAACGAATGGAACAGAACCCTGCGTCGCTGCCTTTCACATACGACATGAACTCGCCGTCTTCACCACGAACACACGACTAACCTACGAGGGGGAGGCATTGAATGGCACATTGCTAGTACCTCACCACCCTCTCAAACTTTTATGTTAGGCAGAATACGGAGTTCGATCTTTTGGCTAGGTCTCACAACACTCGAGCGTCTTGTCTTGAAGTTACTCGAGATACCCGTGCTTTGCGCCAGATATGGGATAATTTGGGAGATATTGTCCATTTGATGCTCTCCTGAATGAAAAATCGATGGGTACGTAGCACAGCGCTAATAGCAGGAGTATACCAGAATGGGGGACAGCGGAAGAAGACTGAGCAACTCCAGGTGCAGATGGAGACTTGCCAGACCAAACTCGGTGGGGACCATCTAGATACGCTGAAAAGCATGGCCAACCTGGCGGCGACTTTTAGGAACCGAGAACCTTGAGGTACAGGTTATGGAGACTCGCAAGGCCAAACTCGGCGGGGACCACCCGGAGACGCTGACGGGCATGGTCAACCTGGCAGCGACTTATAAGAGCCAGGGTCGGTGAAATGAGCCAGAGCAGCTCGATTTAAAGATGATAGAAGGCTATAAAAACAAGCTCGGTGATGATCTCCCCTACACGCCCCAGAAGGGCTCGAATACTAGTCTCTGACACCACGAAGAGGTGCCTGCATGAGTACTCCGTATTGAACGCGCCATTGATCGGGCAGTGATGGGCAAGAATATCGCATCAAGGATAATAGAGATAATCTAATAAGTCAATCCAAAATGCTTACTAGCAGCCAGTGGTTGAACATGAATGCAAGGGCGAAAAGAGGTCCGCCCTCATTCCGAAGACTCCGAAGAATGCTAAATGGAGAGATATTCTGGAAACCCCAACAAACAAATTCTTTGTCTTATTTCTCGTCTCCAAGGCACCATGCAGACATGCCCGAAATCAAGAAAAATGACATCGTTCGCGGTACTCCGTACAATAGGCAGTAAAGGCATGGCAGACTAAAGTGAAAGAGAAAGCTCCATCAACGCCATGTCGTCGTCTCACTTGTTAGGCGTTCTCATAAAAGGCGACGAATGATTATAGGAGTGGAGCGTACCCCCAGGGATCCGCCCTTTGGCGCACTACAGTTACACAGAGGTGTTTAGCTATTCCGACCGTCCATCGTGTGTTGGCACAGCAGGAACTAGCGGCTCGTGGTCATGCTTCTAGCACATGGGCAGTCGACGACAGGGTTGCACAAAGCTCCGGTGGTTAGCTTTCCACTTGATTCTCCATGATTCAAACCTCAAAGAAATGTCTCCATATTCCAATTTCACCCACACAAACGTATTGGTTCGTTCCATGGCTCCATCGCACGGGTTTGCCGAGACTGCGAACGCTATTTGATGTAGCAAGGGAGAACAAAGTCGCGGTGTAGCATATGCGACAGGAGCTTGAGATTTTTGATGACTATTAATATTCCGTAGCAGCTCAAGGTCCGTAAGGCAAGTCACAAGCGACACATAAGCTATAAAATTGTGTCTGCGAAAGCAGAGTCACGTGTGGCTCCGAGTCGGGAAGATCCTCCACACAACGCTTCCGATCGGCGCCTCAGTTGCCGTGTTCGACGACAGAGGACTACTTTGTCCAGGATATGGTCGGCTGATGGATAAGACGTTTCAGGTGTTCATAATATTGTGATGACACTCTCAACCCTGCAATTTCTTTTTGCGATTTCTCGATCGGCAGGTCGCATGACAGGGATATCTGAACGTAAGGTATTGCGAATGCGACTTGATTTTCACGGCCTAGTTAAGCTGAGTGGAGACTACGGGCGCGGGGTCCGGTATTTTACGGTGTTTGCCGGTCGAAAGGGAAAAAACACATTCTGGTTACAGGTTAGGTGCGTCAGTTAATCCCTCTGAGTACTATATTTTAGTTCTCAGTGGAGGAGATATGATATATTTTAAACATTTACATCGACTAGAGGGATTTCGTCGAATGGTCTTGCTAGATCTAGGTTACCTTGGCATCGTCCCTATTGTCATGGAAAATCGAAAAGCGAAGAATTACTCAACACTGATGCTTCTGGCCGCAAAAACTGCAAATCAATCGATGTAGTATCAAAACCAGTTAACAAAATGACTTGTGTTGGGTCCGAAATGGCCGACATAGTGGATGATTTCATTGCTTTTCTTTTCCTGTTCATATTTTGTACACAGTACCGATATCTCAAATGGCAGGCGTGAGATACGAACTCCTCTGTCTTGTTGAAAACTGCGCTACATCATTGGTCAGAGAGTTTCAGTCCCAGAACTGCATGTATAGCGACCCGAGTAATTAATAGTGGCGTTTTACATACCTTTGATTATACTTCGCCGTGTCGCATTCTTCTCAATGCACCACTGGTCACCAAGTGCAACCCAAATTTATTCTCGCGAAAAACGGCTTTCCTTTTCTGATCATGAAAAGAGCCCGGCCATTGCAGTTTTAGCGGTTCATCGGTAATAATGTCCGAAAACAATGTGCGAATTCCATTCATTTTCAAGCGTCAATATTTCAAATGTGTTTGGCATGCTATTCAGGATCTTTGACATGACCCACTCTCGATTGCACCTAGGACAAATTCTTCTGCTTCACATTCCGACTTAGCTAAAGCTCTGCTGGATTCACGTAAAAATCATCCGGTATCATGGTAAGCATACCGAAGCTCCGGATCAACATTGAACCTCATCGGCTTAGTTTATTCTGCTTTGCTCAGCCAGTGCTGTGAAATATCTTGCGACTACCCTGCTCCAAGACTGATAGGTTCAATTTGAAATCAAGTCAGACATACTCTCTACCTATCTGCGATGAAACTATTCAAGGGGAAACTTGGGCTACAACAAACCCGAGGTACACCAAACAAGAATACACATCCAAGTCCTGAATCTGAAGCGACCGTTCTGAGATGGCTTAATGAAGTCTTTCCAACGGGATCCCAGTCCCTGGGATACGTTTTAAGGCTACTTCCTTTCCTGAGGTGGATCAGACATTACAATTTACGATGGTTTGTCGGTGACCTGGTAGCAGGTAAACATCTCCGCTCTTTGCTGATTCGTATCCAGCTCTATCTCTAACTATAACCTAGGAGCTACGGTCGGCGTTGTTGTAATCCCAGAAAGTATTGGATATGCGAAGCTAGCCGGATTGCCTGCGCAGTATGGCCTTTACACATCTTTCATGGGGGGTGTGGTATATTGGTTCTTTGCAACATCTAAAGATATTACGATCGGGGTGAGAATTCCTTTTGAGAATAATTGATTTAGCCTCATGTTGACAAAATTCTAGCCAGTAGCTATCATGTCAACAGTCGTCGGATCGATCGTCACGGATGTCCAGGCTCTTTACCCCGGAATTTCTGGCCCACAGATCGCCATGTCGATCACCGTCATATGCGGCAGTATCGTCACGTTTATGGGCTTGGCAAGGCTGGGTTTCGTGCTTGATTTCATACCTCTTCCGTCGATCACTGCCTTCGTGACTGGGTCTGCTATCGCTATATGTGCGGGCCAGGTGAAGAATTTACTGGGAGAAACTGCGGCTTTTAGCACCCGAGCGCCCACCTACCAGGTCTTGATTGATGCTCTGAAACATCTTCCATCGGCCCAAAAATATGATTCCGTAATGGGCATATCCGCCCTTATTACTCTCTATGGCATTCGCACTGTTTGCAAGTACACAGCGACCAAATTTCCGGGCCGTGGAAAACTAATCTTTTTTCTTTCCGCATTGCGCATTGTATTCGTGATCATTTCTTTCACGATAATAAGTGTGGTCGTGAACTGCCATCGTGAAGACAACCCTGCTTTTGTTATTGTTGGAAACCTCCCTCGAGGCTTCCAGGATGTTGGCCCTCCTCAAATTAGCGGAAGCATTGTCCGGCTGTTCATACATAAACTTCCCGCTTGCGTGATCGTTCTTATCCTAGAACATATTGCTGTGGCAAAACATTTTGGTCGAAACAACAACTATACGATTGACCCGTCACAAGAGCTCATTGCTATTGGTGTCACCAACCTTCTCGGCCCTTTCATTGGAGCTTATTCTGCGACCGGATCTTTTTCACGAACCGCTATTCAAGCTAAATCAGGAGCCAGAACACCTTTGGCTGGTATGGTCACCGCTATCGTCGTTCTGATATCGATGTATGCTTTGACCAATGCACTGTACTACATTCCCAACTCCACACTGTCCGCGGTTATAATTCATGCAGTGGGAGACCTGATCGTTTCGCCAATCACAATTTACCAGTTCTGGCAGATTGCTCCTCTCGACGCTATTATATTCGCAGTTGGGCTAGTTGTTGCCGTTGCGAATACTATTCCAAATAGTATCTATGTGACTGTTTGCCTGGCTGTCATACTTTTGCTTTTCCAACATGCAAAATCCCCAGGCCATTTCTTGGGTCAAACCTGGATTGGCGAAGAAGATAGCAAGCGGCCTTTGTTCTTGCCAAACGAAGAGCTGAAGGGCAGCCACGCAAATTTTGTCTTCTCGCCCTCGCAGCCAGGTGTCTTCATTTATCAGTTTTCGGCAAACTTCAATTATCCAAATGCCAGTCATTACACAGATGCAATGGTCAAATATATCCTTCACCATACACGTCGAAACAATGAGCAGATATCAACTAGAAAGGGCGACAAACAATGGAATGACTCACATCAAGGCGAGAAAAAAAATGACACCGAACTTCCACTTCTTCGAGCAATCATCCTAGATTTTGGGGCAGTCATAAATGTCGATGTAACTAGTGTCCAGAACCTAGTCGACGTGCGCAATCAACTCAATCACAGAACTGCGCCTCTAGAGGTCGAGTGGCATTTTGTCAGCATAAGGAATGAATGGACCAAGCGCGCCTTAACTGCAGCAGGCTTTGGAATCCCGCTGACCTATATTGCCAGCCCAGCGATAAGTGGGAACCCTATCAGCTCACTAAAATCTCATTCCGATGGGACTCCGATCGATGTGGAGAAAGGCGGAAAGGCGAGCGACGGGTGCAGGAAAGGGATTCGCTCCTTAGAAAAACATGCTAGTAACGACGTTGCTTCGGTTTCGCACAGGACTGATTGTTGTTCGTATTTTCATGTTGATTTGACAAGTGCACTGGAAAGTGTGAAGGTCCAATTAGAACTCAATTCTGTCAGATAGGTTATACCAGTTCATAATTCATACAGCTGCTCATACTGAGAAATGAACTATCAGTGTCGTCTTTTGAACCCAAACTAAAAAATCCGAAACTAAAAATGAGGATATTAGAAGAGTATTGCATTCCATATACTGTATCAGATCATGTCCGCACTATGCGTCCTTCAAAACTTGAGGATATCGAGCCCTTCAAAACCTCCTACGTACCTCAGAAGTTACCCTATCGGGCTTTTTTTTACTTAATCACACCAAAGCCCTTCTTTAGTCCCTGGTTGAGAAGCCATTTTTGAACAAAGGGCCGAAAGTGAGTCCAGCTGGCGAGGGCGCCGGCGACCCATACCATGCAAATTCTCTGGAAACGCAGGCGGTGGTCATAGACATCGACAATCATCCATTTAGGGTTTAGGCCTTAGGCCAAGTGGTGCAGAATGCGCAACGTCAACATCTGAACTCAATAGTGAAGCCGTGATATTCGAAGAAGAAGCATGCAGGAGTTTCTCAGGCCTCCGAGGCCCTGTGGCACCCTCGGATGGGATATCTGAACCGTGTAGACTTGACAGTGGTCCTCCGGCATACTAGCACAATATACCGGCCATTTACGCGGCCCCAACATCTGGAAATTCCGCAGTGACCGGCGTGTATGTCGGTTAAGTAGCATCATAAGAGGACCTCCCGTGCAAGCCGGCCACGTCTATATTCATCGAGAACCTTTGAAATGATCCATTCAGATAATATGGAAATGCCGATCGCCAAAGGTGGCTCCAGGTAAGTGATCCCCTTTCCTGAAAATTATTCTTGAGTGCCGTGGGCATATGTGCCATGAGATGGAAATACGAAGCGCTGCAGCAACTCCGACAATTCGGTGCCTGGATCAAAAGCTTTCTCATCGACAACAGGACAGAATACTTGCCTATTGGAACACATCTCAAATCCTAAAGAGTTGAGTTTGACACCTCGCTGCTATACTGCAAAGAGTCCTTTGCAGAAATTCGCTGATCGTGCGCACGAACTGCACTATCCGGGAGCGGGTCAACATGCTCCTGCGCGGTTCGAAACTTCCTTCTTCCTGGTGGAACAAGCTTATGGACATAGTCATCTATCCGAAGCTGCAAGCCCTAGCATCACTCTATCAGAGGAAGGCACCCTACTCCCAACATCAGCTCGCGAAAATAGTGCATTAGATTGACTATCTTGATTATTTTGCAAATCGCAATTAAGATATTTTTAAATATAGATATGATTAACATGATGGAAACCTTTGAAGTCGTAGACTCTCTAGCTCTCCCGCAAATTGTCGTCGCCGAGAAAATGGACAGTCGATTAATTGAGATTACCAGCTACACCGGAATTGATCAGTGTGAATGATATGGATCACGCAAGAAATAGCGTGCAAATCAGGATCTGACCTTATCAACATATGTCGCTTGTCTTACGTTTGAAGCCACCGGAAAGGATTGTCCCTGCCTACAGCAACATTTCCAGCTCTGGCTCTGGAAAGTCTACAGTACTTGGTTGTTTAATATCATTTACCCTGCCCCCTCGGAATGGAAAGCGATATGCAGCTTGCCTCAGCTACATATAGTATAACGAACCGATGTTTCAGAGTCACGTGTACGACCACGTGACCCAACCGTCCGTTCCATTTGTACCATAACGCGTGAGAGCTTACCTCTCTTCCTTTCCTCAGCTTTATTACTTTTTACAATACTACATGAAAGTCATTTTATCTCGAGTCCTTACATATAGCTGTACGTATATCCAAGTTTACAGTTATCACAGCCACGTCTAGTGCTACAGTACTTCATTTCGCTCTGTTATCTAGCGAAGGGTAGATTAATCCTGCTAAATTTTTTTTTTTTACAATAAAAAATAAAAATTTACAGGGATTTTTTAAATGGCTTCAAACCTTTAACTGTTGGCACTCGTAAATTCAAGGTTCTGATAAACATTTTATGTTGTCGCTATAACACTGTAAATTACGTCAATTAGACCGGCCAACTCCGGCCATTAGATTTTGCTTGTTTGAATTAGCCTCGTGACTCTGCTACATGCAATTCATCCTCTTTTAAGATGGGACGGCTTGAAGATCTAAAACCCATCATCCGTGACCATCGCCTCTCGCTTGAGTGTTGCCACCTATAGAAAGAGGGTCTGTGAATAGTCAAATCGCTAGATTGGACACTGTGTCGCTCGCCCGTGGAAAAAATCAGTTCCGTCTCCCCCAGAATTTCGACCACAAAGTCCAATTGCATAATCTGAAACAAACGAACTTCGGGGTCAGGTGGCGTACCAGTGTATCTTACTTCCGTACCTCCACCTGGATCACGAACTGAGGTCGTTCATTTATTGGAGCGATGTGGAAATTCAGAATTAAATCTTTTCTGAGTTTAGCGCGTGTGGCCGTTCCGCGATGCATTGCTTTTTATCAACATCACAATCAGCGCAGCTTATCGGGGTCTGTTCCTGTGGAGATGGGCGAGATGTCATTATTGCCGCTATTTCCAGATAATTGTAGTTGGATAATGCATGAGTAGTGCATATTGCGGTGACAAGACAATACCATCGGTACAGGGATCCAATAACCTCGAATCGCACAGTAATGCTCTATCTTAAATCGAATCGAATCGAATCAGGCAAATGTTCGATTGGATTAGATTCTTGCGGAGCGGTAACAGGCAGTACCCCCATTAACTTGTCTATGGGGCTTAGTGCTGACCAGCGGAACTTCCAAAGCAGCCAACATTAGTATTGACGAATAATCATTTTAGGCCTCCGATAGAACGTCGTCTTTGCGATGTATCCCATTTAGCGGAATCTTAAGTCGGCTCTTAAGGTGTAGTTGCAGCAGCAGCCTGATCATTATGGATAATGAATTGGACGTTAAGAATGGCTACTTCCAATGCGAGAACCCAGCCTCTTTAGACAAAATGTTGGTTAAGAATATCTCAAGCATCATTCGCCAACAACCTCACACCACTTCCTCTTAAACCAAGGCTTCATCTCCCAATACCTTTGATCCCATGATGGACAGTTTTTACTACCGCTTGTCACGAGCCCATCCCTGACATAAATGTCTAATTTCAGGTCCCACAGATCGAAAACATCAGGCATGGCAAAAGAGATCATGATAACCCTCTCACGCAGCAACGGCAACGGAATCAAATCCAGGCTGGCAGGGTGTGGGATTAATATTTGAGCCATTGTAGGCTGGAGATGAGTTGGGAGGGAGGGGTCAAGCGTGGAAGCCACTAGATCTCGGGGATTATCGGTTGGGGTGAATGTCCGAAAGAAAGGGGATATGTCGGCTTTGTCGCAGGTCATCAATTTTTGGATATCAAACCCTAAATACACTGCATTGTTCAGAACTGCGGAGATGGTTTTTGTTTGATTTGTTTGGAGAATGTTCACTTTAGGGTCGGCGTGCAGTAATGGTAATGTGTTTTGGGGCTTGGGTGAAAAGGTGGACGAGCTTGAATCCTCGCTGGTGACTTCTTGTCCTGAATACCAACGTTAAAAACTCATCCAGACTAGACTGAAATAACTTACCTTGATAAGAATGAAGTAGTGGTCCTGGGATTCTTGGGTGAACGACATCAAGCACGTCAGGGCTGGGGGTTTCCAGAGATGCCTCAAAGGTCAGCTCCGCATGATCGGAGGCTTTCAAATGCAATGGGGATGGCCCCAATTGCGAACTCCGGGTTTGGGACGCGAGACTACTCGCGTCGTCGCGAGACACTGCACCTTTCTGAAGCACCTTTTGTCTTTGGCCTACGTTGATATTTTAGCTTCAATCCTCTTAGATAAAGCAGAGGAGCCCTTACGCCATGTCCGCTGTGCAGCCCTGTTTTGCTCCCTGCGCGCTGTGGTAATGCTCCGTTTCTTCGGCTTGTTGAATTGGGGTCTCTCCGACTGGCCTCTCTCGCTCATGGGTTCAGGCATTATATTTCTGTAACCAATGATCTACCACAGGCTTATGGCTTATGCTCGTTAACATTAATGGTGGACTCGTGAAGGCGATAGAAATCCAAGTCGCGAGGGGCGTTTAACCCCGCGCTTTACCTCCGGGCCAGTGCCAGCACCAATTCCTGACCGTAAGCCACTGGGGCATGGCTTACGCTTAGCCTATGACATGCGGTAAGCCATAGCTTATCCTGCCCTCGGTTTCTTGCGGCATCTGTTTGGGCTCTGCCCAGAGATTGGACAGAAGGGTCGGATGTGGATCCGCGAAACGAGCGTGATACGTATTTGCTCCACTTTTGCTTTATCAATTAGTCACAGGCCCACCTATTTGGATTGGTTGCTGATAACTAACTAGTTGCATCAGAAGACCCAACTGACAAATCGATGCAATGAAAAACAAAAGCTACGATATGACATTATTGAGGATGGAGTATTTAAATAGAAAGAGCTCATCAATGAATCATGATTACACACCCATCATTTTTTTCAACTCACCTTTTTTGAGAGCCATGGCTTCCAATATCTTGTTCACAAGCACCTATCACTCCAAGCCTTACCCAGCAATCGAGCCATCTCTGCAAGAGAAGAACATCAATGGGAAGATAGTTTTCATAACCGGGGGTGGTTCTGGAATTGGAAGGGCCATTGCCGTTGCTTTTGCAAAAGCGAAGGCTGCGAGCATCGTCATAATCGGGCGCACGAAGGAATCTTTGGATGCCGCAAAAAATGAAATCGAGAGCTCTAGTACTACGACAGTCAGAACAATTGCTGCCGACGTAACTATCGCTGCCGACATCCAGACCGCCTTTAATTGTGTCTCCTCAGAACTTGGTGCTGTCGATATTCTTGTCAACAATGCTGGATATTTAGCTGAACCAGCTGCGGTGGCCAGCGCGTCAGTTGAAGAATGGTGGAAAGCATTTGAGGTTAACTGCAGAGGCGGTTTGCTTGTTACCCAAGCATTCCTTTCCGTGGCATCTAAGAAGGCCGTTATGATCAATATGAGTACTGCGGGGACATATTTGCCTCCCACTCACCACCTCTCTGCGTATTCCGCATCTAAACTGGCCTTCTTGCGTGTTCTCGACTTCGCTTTGCTAGAAAATCCCGAACTAAAAGTCATTCATGTCCACCCCGGTTTCATCAGGACCAAGATGAACCTGAAATCCGGCATAAAAGAAGTCCCATTTGATGACAGTATGTTCGTCCTCGCCTAACAGATATTCTATTACTGACATGGAATCAGTTGATTTGGCCGCCCATTTCGTGGTGTGGTGTACCAGTCCCACTGCTGGATTCCTCAACGGCCGCTTCGTGTGGGCGAACTGGGATGTCGAGGAACTGAAGATGAAAGAGTCTTCGATACGTGAAGAGAGGAAGCTTACTTTTGGTTTGTTGACTTGATATGTGTTGATTGGCTAGAGAACGTTGCGTGACACTCTTGCGAAGTTATGATTGACGACTTTATGTCGATACTTTTCATTTAGAAGCAGCTTTTCAAAAGTAGTCTGAGAAAGGAATCGATTTTACGCCGTCTCTTTCCATTCAAAAGCTTGATAATGAAGCAAGCTCAGACTCTCGACAGGGCTGTCTATTTTAATGTTGTAATTTAGTTAAATGAACCAGAAATATATACTCCCCTACCTAAATTCCCTAAACTCAATTTAAGTACTATCTTTACTTTATAGAACATGACCTTAGAGTTTGCTATCTATATAAACCCCAATTGTCGAGATATACGATTGCAAAAAATGGCATTTAATATGATGTTCTACGGTGGCCGGGTGGGTAGTGAATTACGTTAGGTGTCATGCCATTTTGCATTCCCCGACATGATAACTATTATTGAGTGTTTATTTGATGATGGCCAAAAATTCTCCATCCAAAATGGTTGGGTTCAGGCAAGAGCCAATTGGAGAATTACCTGTACCGAAATGGATTGGAGTATTGAATTGAGGGAGAGTGCTTTCAAAGCGTAATATTTGGCTTCAGACACCTACACCCTCAGGAAGCCACCCAAGCAGCCAATCTAGTGTTTTTACCCCAAAACAACCCGCGATCGTCGCCGAATTGCTTAAAAAGCATCATCAATCAACGCATTCCCAAAACGACGCTCAAATAACCCACCATCGCCCTCGCCAACTGCGTTAAACCTGCTTATTAATGGTTGTCAGACTGCTATGCAAAACGGCATATTACTTGAGCAAGAAAATAAGGAATTGCGCGCTGCTAACGCAACGGAGAAGCAAAAACAAGCATTATGGGTTTAGTCTTTAGAAAACACTAAAGAAACCCCAAGTATTAATAGGTATTTAGCCTAAGAAGCTGGTATCTCAGTACAAGAAGCTCAGGAGCATTTTCGAGCCTGTGAGCCTACTATACGGTCTACAGCACTTGTTCCCGGCAGCACCCACGCAGCCTATTCAGCGAGCGGCAGCACCAGCGTGACTGCGTCAATTTACCTGTTCTTTATGTAATCAGGTATGGCACGGGGCTTTCAGTTTAATCAGGAATAATTTAGTGAATACAGAGGCGTTTTGGTTTGAAAAAGGATGGTTAAAAAATATAGAGGGTGTGTGCGTCACTCGCCTACCGATTACGTTAACTAGTTAATTGTCAACCGGCAAGCATTTGTCAGCCAGCTGCTGGAAACCGAAAATCACGCATCCCGCAAAAGCACGACCGACCGAGTGAACTGGTCAACACTAAATGCATCCACGCTCATGTACAACCTGCCATCAGCGCAAAACAAAATGTGACAAACAATCACCGTGCTCGGGTTGTCGGAAATCCAATTTTGCCTGCGTCTATCCCTCCAGAACGCGGGCAAAAGGTATGGCCAGGACAAAGGCGATTTCAACTTTAGCCTTGAGGGAGCGACTTGAAAGGCTGGAGACTATGGTCCAGAGTATCCGTGGAGATAGCGTCAGGGGCGGATCCCCGTTTGAAAAAGGGGCAACGCAATACACACATGTCAGCAGCCAGGCGAGCAATGATAAAGTGGAACTGGGGAGGCTGGAAGTTGAGGAGGGAGAAATCCGGTACATGGAAAATAGCTTTTGGGTGACTCTGTCTGATGAGGTAAAATTTGCTACTTTGGTGTTCTGATGAATTATGTTGATACCTTTGCTGACTTGTCGATACCTTACATAGGTTTCTGGCATGAAGGATATCCTAGACGCATGCCCAGACTACGAGGATGCCTCTTTTCCTGACAATGAGCCGTCGATATCAGATGAGGGACAAGTATATGTGTACAGCTTCAACTCGATTGTGAGCAACCTCGCTGCATTTCACCCAACAGCGCATCGAATCCTCTTTCTCTGGCAAATTTTCGTCGACCAGGTTGATCCCGTTATCAGAATGCTTCACAAGCCCACGATGCAAGCCCACGTTATGGAGGCAAAAGATCACGTAATTGAAATGAGCAAACCTAATGAGGCGTTGTTGTTTGCAATTTACTTTGCAAGCATCACGAGTATGAATGAAAAACAGTGTCGCGACGCTTTTCAGGAGGGGAAAGTCTCCTTGCTGCGCAGGTATCGATTCGCGGTGGAGCAAGGCCTTGCGAGAGCCGAGTTCCTAAGCTGTCATAACCTTGTCACATTACAGGCTCTTGTAATTTTCTTGGTAACACACCAACAACGATGTTTTTGGTCAGACCGCAAGTTAATATTCTCTCACAGATATGTCAGCGCAATCATGATGACTCTAAACTGGTTTGGACACTGACAGCCACTGCTATTCGGATAGCCCAGTCCTTGGGTATCCATCGCGACGGTTCCAACCTCGACCTCACCACATTTGATGCCGAAATGCGTCGCCGTGTCTGGTGGCAGATTTGTATACTAGATGTTCGTACCACTGAAAACCATGGCTCCGACAAAGACATTGCGCAGCAAAGTTTCGATACGAGACTTCCCTCTAATATCGACGATGAAGCCCTTGTCCCTGGGTGTCCCGACCTTCCCCAATTGCGAACGGGAATCACTGAAATGTCTCTTTCGCTCATGAGATATGAAATTATCAGCGTCATTTGGCAACTGCGGTCACAGTTCAATACCTGCGGCATTGCTTATGATGCCGAATATTCACACTCAGCCGTGCAAGAAATAGACCGAATCACGGATGATTGTCGTAAAAAGCTCGAGACCCAAATCCTTCAGTACTGCAACATGGATGTTCCTTTTCACTGGCTTATTGCTACTGTCGCCCGTATGATGCTTGCGAAGATGTGGATTAATGTTCATCATCGCTTCCAGCTTGCAGGAATAGGAAGCGACTACAAGGAGCATGGCAGAGATCGCCTTTTTTCGATGACGTTAACGGTTGTGGAGACCTGCTTGCTTTTGGAGAGAGAGCAGTCGATGCAACAATGGAAATGGGCTTTCCGAAACTACGTCCCCTGGCAAGCTCTGACCTTTATGCTCTCCGAGCTCTGCGTGCGGAAACAAGGCGATACAACAGACCGAGCATGGAAGGCAGTGCAGGGTGCCTTTCTAGAATGGACAGACGTTGCCGCAGAGAAGGGCCACGGTATACTCTGGCTACGCATGAAGAAACTATTGGCAAAAGCCCAAAGGGCAAATGGTCTGGATCCGATTGATATCTCTTATACCAAAACCACGGACTCTCAGCCACATGCGAGTAGTGAGACAGGTTTTCCAACTATTGATCCCGTTACCTTGCCATCCGGGCCAAGAGGCATGTCTAGCCTAGATACGGAGCTGTTCTCGGCGTGCAACCCTTTTCTTGCTGTTCCTCCAGATGCTAGCGGAAGCTCATTGATGGCACAGCAGGATGAGTCCGAGTGGAATCATGATGATATTAGCTTTCCAATTGCGGAAGATTATTTCGACACGGCAGGTTTGACAACGACAATGAATTTGTCACTGGATCAGGATGGCGCAGCAGCCCAAAATTTGCTGCCGTCGGCGGCATTGGATAATTTGTGGTAATAATTTTGTCTGATGCGGCGAGCATCTTCACAGCTCCTAATTCCATGTGAGAAATCGAATATCGGTTGATTTCAAATCATATTTTCTAAGTACATAGGAGTATCCCCACTTTCTAGAATTTTGAGGGGATTATCTGACTATCTTGGGGTCCCGATCGAGCGATTGATAATCTTTGCTCTATTTTCTTTGAGAATCCCTCGGTGCAGGGACCTGGTGTTACAAAATGCCGAGGGATGCTCTCTCATTCGTTGTTTCGGGAACGGGGCCGTTTGGCCGAAATCCGAAAAGTCGACTATGATTGGTGGATCACAAAAAGGCTAAAAAGAAGAGCCATAACCGTGGAAAAAAGGTGAATAATCAAAGCCGGTTTCCACAATTTAAAAGGAGCTGCATTTGCATGTAGCCACGATCAAAACATTGAGTTATCTCAGCTCGAACAACTGATTCTCCCCGAGATTCATCTCTCGTGCTGCCAAGACGAAATGGGTCTTCAATCTGAGTTGGACGATATGCGACAAAGCTCGTTGAAAACAGTCAATTCAGAGCTAGTCAAAATCATCAAAAAAGCTGGCGATGAATTCAAGTCATCCTATGACGCCACCCAAGTAATACAGCCTGGTGCTCGTTTTCCGGAATCCATTTTACAAGATGCAACCGGTCATGCAGTCAGCCTCTCTGGTTTAATTGCGAATGGACCAGTCTTTTTTTCCTTTTATCGCGGAAGCTGGTGCCCGTACTGCAACTTAGAGCTGCGGGCTCTGCAAAAAATCCTGCCCGACTTCAAAGCCAAAAGTGTGCGTCTTGTGGCCGTCTCACCCGAGCTACCCGATCAGTCGCTCACGACTTCTGAGAAAAACGGATTGGAGTTCACTGTCCTCTCGGATGTGCAGAATGATCTGGCTCGGAAACTAGGGATTGTTTTCTCTCAGCCAGATCAGATGAGGACGGTTTTCAACGCTATCCAAGTGGATTGGGATACGCGCTACGGGAACGACAACTTACAGGTACCGATTCCGGCGAATATCCTGGTGGATAAGTCAGGGTTGGTAAAGAACGTGTGGTTAGATCCCTACTGGCATAACCGCATGGAGCCTTCAACTGCATTGGAATGGATCAACCAACTATAGCCGCTCCATGTTCGCCTTGATCTCACGCATCTGATTCTTGAAGACATTTTTGATAATTTTCCTAAAAGTCGGTACCTTCGACTATGCTTTCGCGTAAGATATGCCTCCAAAATATCAATGCTGAACGTATAACAATCCTCCCTTTTTCCACCTTTTGTAGAAGTGACCAGTAGCCAATTACACCGTTTTGACAGGGTGGAAGAGAATCGTGGATTAGGTCGCTCTCATGAAAGTCACGTATAGTATGAAGGCATTTCATTCAATATAGGCCAGGAATAAATCCTCAACTATACTGAGATGAGTTGTTTTTTGGCGTTCAAGACTCGTGTAAGAACCGAAGAGCAAGGAATACTAGAGGGAAGACATGTGATCCTGTTGTATATAGGGAGTTACCTGGGTGAAAATCTTATCGGGGCTACGGATAGTAAAGACGTAGGCTGTTACAGTCTAGCTAGAGCCCCGCGTGGAACGCAAAGTCAACAACATGTAAATACCATTGGATTAGAGAGCAAAGGCCAACTGGCAAATAAGCGACTGCATTATTTTGAAAAAAATCATTACTCTTTCTTGTGATCACGGTTTATAATATTTAATGCTCAGGGTGAGAAAGAACGCAGGTATGTTGGTAGGGATAAGTGAAAGTGTCATATTAACCAACACACTCAACAACAAGCAATGTCTGAGTTGCGCGCACACCAATTTGTATATAGCAGAGGAAGTCGATATCGGTTAAAGTACCAAGTCTCACAACTCTAGGAGAAGTGTTTGCGTAAAAGTTTAATCTGCACCTGGACGTTGCGGTTGAAAACTTCCACTTGGTAGGGTTCGAAGTGGCCACAGTCAAACTTCACGAGCTCTTTGCTATCTCCGGCCTCGTCGAATGCTTTCATCGTGACATCGGTTGGGATAATTGAGTCTTTCATGGCCACAAGCATAAGCATAGGCCGAGGACTGATACGGTGGATGTACTGGATCGGCTTGTGCTTGAATATGTGATAGTAGGTCTGCAGGGTAATTTTGTTCTTCCACTTGAAGTCTGGGGGAAGTTTTTTCTGTGAAACATCCTGAAAGAACTCCGCGGACTCCTTAGTCCCAGGTATGACCCTGTGATCTGAGGTGCGGGCCTGCTCTACCGTCTCGGACTATAAGCGCGTATACTTGACTGGAACGGTATAGTCGTGGTTTGTATATATCGTAAGTACGGACTGTTTTGGAGCTGTGGGCTGAGCGCTCTTCCTAGACACGAAGGGCACCTGTGAGATCATGGTCTTTACTTGTGGATCAAGAGCAGTGGCCGTTAGGGTATTCCCACCTGAACCACTGCTCCCCCAGACCACCGCCTGATTCGGATCGATATCAGACAGGGTCAGTGAGTAACTGATTGCAGCATGGATATATTCGATCTGACGCCATGGGTCCGTCTTGTTTTGTGGCTCACCGCCACTGGATCCCCAGCAACGGTTGTTATAAATCAGTGATGTGAAACCTGCCTCCTGGATACGGGCGGCAAAATTATTAAGCAAAAATTCCTTAAGAGCAGAAAGCTGCAATTGGCAACATAGGTTAGTTAATACTCCTATCATATAATGCATGATGTGATACACCTAGGAACAGGATATTGAGCGACTCGCCCTATGGGATATTATAATCACCGGGCGCGATCTCTGCCTGTAGCTGGATAAAGCCAACCCGGAGAGCTATGCCATCACAGGTTTTGAATTTAATGACGCAGCGGAGATCAGTCATTTGAGAGGATGATAGATAAACGGTACTGTGGTGGGGTTGGGTGTGAAAGTCTCTAGGTACAGCGCTGGTGTTGTACGCAAATTTTGCGAACGACAACTTAAAAAAGAATATAACCAAAGTTGTTAACGCAATAAGTATATTTATATTTTATAAGGGGCTGGAAGTAGTTCTATATTGTTCCGGGGTCTTCCCTATTTGTGAGTGTGACGGGTTGCGGAGTTTGGATCTCTACTTTTGCCGAACCCAGAGCCCTTATTTTCCAGTTCGGGCAGGGTCGATAACTTGACATTACAAAGTCAGAAATATTATTAATACCTGGATAGGCGGAGTATAAGCCGTAATAATCTATTATATCTGGCCGAGCAATTAAACTTTGGTAACGAGAAGTAGGCCGGCTCTCTGGAATGAAGAGCCTCTAGTAGGTTGTTATTCTTTATATTTCACCTTAATCTTTCCATCTTCACGGAGCTGCTATAGTTCTAATACCCCCCTATCTTAATTGTTTTAATAGAAACAGCTCTAAATATGCGAAATCTACAATAACTTTTCTCTCGTACCAGCACCCTTGAATCTAACGAAAGACATTACCTTATGGCTATTTTGTTATAACCCTGAGATCAAAGACTTTAATGACCCTGTTCTGATTGATGTGGAGCAGCCATCTTGCAGCTATACATACAGTACAGCAAATTATATGGTGAGAAAGCTAATTGTAGGCCTGAGAGTGTGTGGGCTTCAGAAAGCCCAGTGTTTGTGTACATTCCTTCAACGATATTGACTATCCCGTATTGGTAAACGGCATTATCGGGGCATGGAGGGGGGGGGGGGTGTCTGGGCACGCTCTAATCTATTGTACACATTGCCTAAGCTAGTGCACGCAATAACGATTGCTTGAATCTCATTCTTCATCGTCGATTGAAAAACCTGCTCGAGGCTGCTCAGCAGGTCGGCTTACCCTGTGATCACGACTTCATTTTCGACCAAGGTTCTGAGCAGAGTTTTCCAATGGGATTTCCTAGTTGGTGTGAACTTCTGGAGCATGGTGAACAGGACTGGGAAAGCTTCGATGACGAGCATAGGTCGAGAAACACAACAGTGACTCATTGCTTTAGCTCAGGGACAACAGGTCTCCTAAGGCTGCTGTTGTCAGCCATTAAAACATGATCGTGCAGTATTGTATCCTAAATTTAACTAAAAAGATGTACCAGGTAAATCCTGCCCGAGAATTTGTGATCTAGTGTTTCGTGTTGTGCTATATGCTAACCAGAAGAAGGAGGGACGACTTGCCTCTATGCCTCTTTATCATATGGCTGTTATGCCGACAGTTTATTTCTCGGTATTGCGCAGTGGATTCAAGGTGTTTCTCATGTGCCGTTTCACTCTTAAGAAATCTCTGAGAAATATTGTGCGGCATCAAATTATGGGTTTATGAGATTATTTTAGTTCCTTCTATGGTGACGGATATAATTAATAACTGAATTACGTTGAAGGACTTACAGTATAGCTTAAAAATTATCCAGTATGGTATTGTTGGGGCAGCACTATCAAGGCAAGGCCCTCAGAAGTGTCTCAAGGCATTGTTGGGGGAGGGAGTTCCTTTTGCATAGGTATGGGCGATGATAAGTTTGTTGCTTCTGGCACGTATGTTGGTACCGAGCTACTGACCTCCTATAAAGAGATAACCTGTTTTGTAACTATATTCCTATACCCTCTGGATGACGATACTGCTTCTGTGGGATATTCTCTACCCGGGATATATCTAAAGCTGGTTGATGACACGGGAAATGATATCTTAAAGCCGGAAACAGGTGGCGAAATTTGTATTCGAGGTCCAACAGTCATCCGAAGCTATCTTGACCCTTCTTACTTTACTTGATCCGAATAAGCCTGTATACGAAAGGATCATCAGTGCTGACTGGAAGACGGACGAGTTTTTCTACATGCTGGTAGATGGTATATTGTGGACCGTGAGAAAGAGCTGATGAAGGTTTGCGGGTTTTAGGTGGTGCCACCGGAATTGGAAAATGTACTGCTTTTTTATCCTCTTATTGTCGATGCAGCTGTGGTGGGCACTGAGGCGTTGGACAATTGCGGTGAGTGTGCTACGGAGCTCCCGAGGGTATACGTCGTCAGGAGCTTCCTATGTCTGAGAGATGAAGAGGTAAAAATTTATCTGGCACAGAGGCCAGCTAAGTATAAGTGCCTATAAGGGGGAGTCGTATCTATTGACTGTATTCTGAGGGATGCATCCGGAGAAATTATGAAAAGGTTCCTGAGGGAACAAGCAGCTCGAGAGCTGAGCAAGGAGCGGTCGGATGGCGAGGCTAGAATGTAGTTTTTGTTATTATGTTATAGATAAGCTTAGGTTTTGAAGGGGCTAGGTTGGGCGCTATCTCGGTTTGATCCTCTATGACTGACTGTTAGGATGGCCTGTCCCTTAAGAAGTTGTTTTGGATGCCAGGTATAGAAGTGTTGAACTATTGAATTTATAAGCGAGTATATAGTCTAAAATGCTAGATTTCTCAGCTGGAAGAGTACCGGATGCTGGAATTTGTGTTTGAAGTTGAGGCGGTAAAGAAACCTGACCTGTTGTGAGTGAGAAATGATGTAAATAGTCGGAATAATTTACTGGGAGTGTTATATAAAAGTATGGTTACTTCGGACAAGTGCTGGGAGAGCTCGGGGTCTTGTCCGTATCGATGAAAGAACTACTGGAGAAACTACGAGGTAGGCTCTTCGATATCTCCTGAGTGCTCTTTTCTATGTGATCTTTACCTATCGGGATATTGCTTGTTTGGAAAGCTCCTTGTAATGGGATGGACTTTGCGTATGGAGATTGAAATTCTGGTCCAGATTGATCGGCAGCCTTATTAGCCTTGTAAGTCTCTTAGTGGATATCGAGTATCTTGGTATCTTGTCAAGTTAATCTTTTCTTTGCGTAGACTTATTCTCAAAAAATATTGTGTCCTGCTTTGAGTTTCTTGATTGTATCGGTGGTATTGTGTTGTACCCCAGATATAAAGGAACTTTCTCTTTATAGAAATATAGACTTGGTTTTCTACGATCCTAACAGGACTGGCAGGAGAGTGTCTCTCGATTATATCTCTTTTTGGCAATGCGAGATAGGATGGAGGGCTGTCTTGAATGTATAAGGGGCAAGGCTCTCTTTTTGTGGGGTTTGGCTATGGCGGTTGTAATTGAGACAAAGAGTCTGAATTGGTATCTCTTTTTGGCTTCAGTCCAGACTGGGAAATCCTTAGGAGTAAAGCTAATAAGTACAGTAAAAATTAGCAGCTTAAACTTCTCTTATCTTAAGTATATATGACAAAGTATAGTAAGAAAAGATATAATGGCAGCTATTACCGAAGTTGCTTTATAAAGTGAATAACTATGGCTGTACTACCCCATAGGCAGCCTTTTCGAATATTCCTTTCAGATTTTGGTAGTAGGCTATATAAATTCCTACCAGGAAGTCAGTAAGCCCTCTAAAGCGCTAGATACAGCTGTTACCCTGGCTAATATGGTATTATCTGAAAAGCGGCAGAATCCCTACTATACCTTGAAATCCGTTGCCTATATGCCTTAGGCTGGATAGTAATAGCCTGTGGTCTAGATATATAGCGATCCCAATATACGGAATTAGAGTGATCCTGGGGATATCTCTTGCGTTCCTCAGAGCTATAAGGTTTCTTAGGTATAAAATACTAATATCGCTACCAGAAATTAGACCCTTAGACCCACTGATAAGATCCTAGGACCCCTTTACTAATACCTAGCTATAGCCGTAGACCCTTAAATAACTAGGCTGGTCGAGGACAGAGTCTTTAATAAATCTATCCGTCTCTCTTCTAACTTTCTGTGGGCCCTTAAATCTTACGCCCCAATTAAATTCCCATTATGTTGTAGTTTATTAAGTCCTTCTACGATATATTATCTATTAGGAAGCTAAAGATTAAAATAAAAACAAATCCGAGAATTACGCAACGAGATATTGTTCCCGATTACTATATACCTCTACGGCAGCGCAAAATTTGCCTTTGTAAGATTATACAGAGCCCTATACCACTAATTATGGCTGGTTATTCTCTGGTTTAATATTAAATATCAAAATAGCAATCTTCTTGGCCTGGTAGCCAAAGATAACGATACTAATCTTACGCTGCTGTTGATTTATTACAGAGAAAACGTTAATACCTTCTTCTGCGGGAAGACTCCGGCGATAAGGGCTCTTAAATATTTTTCTTTTACAGTACTTAAGCTTTTGCTGGAAAGCCCTGGGCTATATATAAATATCTAGAACTATAGAGCAGGAAAGTGCCTTATAGTGTACAGTTATACATAGATTATACTTAACGCTGTAAGCCCTTTTAGAATTACCTAACTGTATAGTTGACTTCCGGTATTAACGACGCTAAATTATACTCTATCTTTTGTATAGTAGGGCAGAATTAGATTAGCACAGCTGCTGCTCTCTAAGGATAGTAACCCCTACGTATATAATAACTCTGGCAGCTTACCATAGGCTTAGGTATACTAATACAACAGACCGTCTATAAAGGCCGTCTTTTAAAAGAAGTATAAATCTATTTGGCCAGTACAAAATAATTCTGATATACCAGCACTATACTAGGTAGCTCTCTATAGATCAGTAGATACTATAAAGCTACTCTTAAGGTAAAAATATCTTGAGGGTGCGGTAATACACCAAAGTAGTGCTACAGCCCTTTATTTATCTGTTTGTAGTTAATACTTAGAGGTAGTTAACCTTATTCCTAGCATCCTTATCCTGATATAAACTATATAAATAATAACAGTAATACCATACTCTAGTAGTCAGTGTTTTTATTATATATAATAAGATTACCGGAAAGCTGCTAGCTACGAAGGATATTGATGCCAACTTAAGCAGCGGCTATGGTCGACTTAACATACCCTCAGCACCGCTGCACTATACCGTAACTCACTCAGAGATTATTTATTTTACGCAACTACTTACGGTCCCAGGAATTAATCCGAACGTCTGTACTGCGAGACAACCCCCTTTTTCTGCCACTACTGCTGCCGGCAGAGTCAACAGAGTGACAATGCTTTTGGGTATAGAGGGCATAGAAATCAATACTGGTAGAGAGTTGATCGACCCACCTCTATGCCAAGCGGCAGCGTAGGCCACATGGACGCTGTTAGCCTGTTGGTGAAGCAAGGTGAACGGCTCAGAATCAACCAGGGCACCTTGGCAATGCATGACACGGCTCTGGGGATTGCTGCTCGTGCCGGTAGCCTGGAAATTGTCCGGACTCCGTTAGAACATCCGAATGGCCATTCAGGACGAGATCGATGGTCACAAATCTTGCCGCGGACGGATCGCAGCTTCACGGACAGAAGGTACATTGGCCCTCGGCTTAGTGGACGCGGGTCTCCAGCATAGACCACAGAGCAATCGTTAAGATGGTACTGCTTGAGATATTTGCCGTGGGCCGCAGAAAAGTGGTCGACTAGCTATACCCTAAGATGTACGGCATGCACTGTAATATGAAACCGTGAAAAATAAACTTGTCATCACTCTTATGATACACAAATTCATTCATGAGGTCGATGATTAAATCCGCTTCGCCTTTTCTTCCCAAGGATATATCGTCTCCTCCCCAGAGTTCATCATGGCGGTTGAAGTCTCCGACGATCATGATTCCTACCACCGTCCCCGTGTCTCGCCGTACCTTTGTAATTGCTTTTATGAGGCGTTCGCAGGTGTCGTCCAACGCCAAGGCATCCCCTTCTTCTACGTAAACTAACGCTATGAGAATCAGTCGCTCGGGAAGCCGGATGACCGCCGCTGTCAAATCCAGCGACTCGATCCGCACTTGCTCCTCTTCTACATCCTTATTGTCAAGAGCCGGCCTTAAATGATCCTCGCTTGTGGTTCCTGAATCGCTAACGCCGCTGCCCCCTGAGTTTCTTCGTCGTTCATTAGACTCTCATGTACTGCTCCCTGCTTTCTCACGTTCAATTGGATTATTCGGAGTGTTTTATTCATGACTTGACGGGTAGAGCTTCCGGCAGTTTTCGCTGTACGATTCATGTGGGCCTCCGCATAGAACGCACTTTGGAACTGTTTAGGCGTAGTTACTATAGCGATGGCCCTCCATGGCGTATTTGGCACACCTCTGGACGTTATTAATAAGCGGGCACATAGAGGTAGAGCTGTAGTGAATCGTCTTGCTGTGCGACTGAACCCTCTGGACGTTATTAATAAGCGGGCACATAGAGGTAGAGCTGTAGTGAATCGTCTTGCTGTGCGACTGAACCCTCGGAAATCATTTTTGATCGGATCCCTCCGTAGCCGTGGAAATCCGGGAAATCCAGCCTTGGAGCTCAATACGACCAAGATTGATCCACTTGCAACGCCCTAAGCTACCACTTTTAACAAGTTTGGCAAGTCGGAGAGTCAAACCAGGGAATCGACCTTTCCAGGCCACACCACCCAAGACACGCCAAGAAACACCAAGGCTAGCCAAAATCGGCGCTAGTGTCATTTGTCGATTCTCTGGTTCGTAGATTCAACCCTGCCAAGCCGAAGTGGGCGGCAATCCATCGTTTAGCGAAAGCAGTGGAGATTGCGCTTTAGCCTCATTCGAATAACCCCTAATCTTAGGCTGCTCTAGCATGCGGTGGAAGCGAAGGTGGAGGTGGATGATGAATGGCGTATATAATGGATCACTTTGGACTCCATAATATAGTAATTCTTTTTTATTCTTTTTATCCTCATACCAGCCGCAACCATGACCGGACTGAACGTCTCCGTTTCTGCGGGTTGGTATACCTACACCAACCTGGGTCCTATCACAACCACCTTCACTCCAGCTCCCAGCTGCACTACGTCTGGCCGTGTTGCAGTGGGCTATATCAACATAGATGGTGGTAATCTGTACCTCGAGTATTACACAGAGCCCATTGAAGGGCTCAGCTTCAGCGGATGTACGCCAACATCAACACCAAGCATCACCGCTACACCAACCTCGACCGGGTATTTGACTTCGGAAGAGCCAATTTCTGTCTTCTTAGCCGAACGGATAAGCTGGAGGGCTTACGGTCAATACTACTCTCCTGCCATATATTGTCCCTCGGGATGGGAGACAATTGGTATGGTCGGGCGAGATGCCAGCAGCTCGCTCACTTCGTCGGGCATTTATATTCATACTACGGCTACTACTACTACTCAATCATACAGTACAGATGATGTGTACTACTATATGTTCAACTACGAGGATAAGGCTTCCGTTCTGAAAGATATTCTTAAGCCAAAGGAAACGATGGTTGCGTGTTGTCCCAGGTAAGTCCATTTATCCACAAAACTCAGATGGATAATATCTCATTATAGGAATATTGCTAAAAATCTATGCAGTGGTATGATAGCAGACTCGACGGGTCTTTGCTACTCTCTCGTCAAGGACTATAAACCATCCGTCGGCTACCAGGTTGCCGTAGGATACAACTACGAATATGGCACGACCACGAAAGTATTGACCGAGACAAGCGGCACTGATACAATCACCAAGACTCGATACCATGAATATGAAACGGGAACTACATATCAGACAGACACATACACCGCAACTTTTGACCGGGCAGAGCAGTCTCCCTGCTACAGCGCATTCTCTTACGCACCTGTCATCACAATGCTGTATCATGAGTCTGATTTGCACTCTAGGTCTGCAACATCATCGGCTACCGCTGATTCTACAAGTGCTACCAATGCGGCGGGCAGGGTCTCTGCTGTCACGTCGATTTGGAAGGGACTTGGCTCCGTCGTGGGAGTTTGGGCTGCTGCGTCTGCCTTGGGGGCTGCTATGATCGTTCCATGGTAAAGATGCGTGTATTATTCGATAAGACTTCAGTTGAAGGAAAAGGCGTATAGTACAGGGCTGCTGCTAAGAATATCCCTAAAATATTCCGGCCCACCAGGGGGGGGGGGTGTTCCGCATTAAAAAGTCTTGGCAAGGGGGGGGGGGGGGGGGTGTTGGCCTAACCCAACATCCCCCCCTAACTAGGTCAAATCTTAATATTTTCTGATCGGGTTTTTTAGAACTTTTATTGGAATTATCTAAACTATTCTTCTATCAGGTTTAACAAGATGATTTTTGGTTGGAAGGGTAAAACCTTAAGGGGTCTGATTTTGGTAGGTGATTTTTTGATGGGGTATGCTAAGACCAGGACTGATAGGTAGTCTATACTCTTTTTAGCTTCTATACCTATAATCGTGACCTTGAGCCAACCTCCTACGTTAATGATTAACTTCAAAATTTTAGATTATATTTGTTTTTATAAGACTGTACGTCTTACTAGGCTCAGGGAAGTAGAAGGTAGATCAGATGATCCAATAAGAAGCTGTTGGTTGGTAATAGATAGGATGATTGATGTATTGCATGGATGTGTATGATATTAGGATTGCAGGAGATTGAGATGCTATTTATCCCTGAGGTTTAGCAGGCCTCAGGCCACCATTATTAGTAATTATAATGGTCACACAACAATAAGTCGTCGTAATGTATTAATCATGATTAGCATCGAATGGTAATTGATTATATAGGTTGCCATAGTTAGCACCATAGTCAATTATGTAGGTGGCAGATGGCCAGAGTTGCCACAGCATCCAGATAGTTTGCCACTATCGATCAGGTTCCATGAGGTTCCATTAGGCTCAATAGGCTATTGCTATATATTCAGATGGACCAAGCAGGTATATAAGGTTAGTGACGTTTGTCTTAGCCTACTGATAATTCCCTATAGCTTAACTGATTCTATAACTCTTCTTCGTTAAACTAAGCTTCTCTGGTATATTTATATACAGGATAACGGGGTTATACTCAATACCCTAGAATCTGGTACTTAGGAGGAACTGTCTGTGGCTTATCGGGATCTCTTACCAGTAAGTAAGATACCATCAAGGTATACCTCTGCTAAGTATAGGAAGATACTATACCTATTCCTAGCTAGTACCTATCTAAAGACTATATCAGAGATTTCGTCTTGTCTTATTGGCCGACAGAGATAGTTAAGCCCTATAGTTATTAAGGAATTAGATATTCTCTTCGGCGCAAACTCTTAGGCTGCCCAGGAAATAATCAGTTTATACCGTAAGGATAGCTATCGGTGATTCACGCTAATATATAAATCTGTTAAGCAAATAGAGAAGGCAGTATTTGGTAACAATTCCTTCTTTCACCGGAAGGAGGCTGGTCTGCCTATAGACCTAGTCCCAACTACAGAGACTATAGAGGTAGAGGAGGTTGATTCGGAGGATGATAGCTCAATAATCAGAGATAAGGATGTTTTGGAGTTGCGGGCCTAGGAGATGTCATAGTATCAACTGAATAGTTTACTGTGACAGAATAGCTTATAATATTACTGTATTAAGCTAGAATTCTTCAAAATCATATAGCATGTAGAATATAGGACTTGCCTTAGAATAAAATACTTATAATAGAAAACTATCTGGTACCTCTGTAAATAACATAATTCCCTATTGCTTAGTGATCTGATTTATAAACGCCAAGACCTATGGCTTATGCCAAAATGGGTTGAAATGGGAACCCACTGGGTTATTGGGTTTAACCTATTGGGTTTCGGGTTGGGTTTTGGGTCGGCATCTCCAACCCAAAATGGGTTATGGCGATGCCTATACTAAATAGTAAATTTAGCGCTACAGCGTACGCCTAATAGAAGTACGAGTATTAGACCTACCAGAGGCCAAAATTTTTGACCTCTGCTGCGAATCGAATGGAAAACCACGGAACAATAATTACCCGAGGCGGGCCCAGACCCACCCAAAAGTCACGTTATTTTTTGACCTCCGCTCTGCTGAATCCCGGTCTTGAAAGGGTGCCCGAACAAAATAAGAACTCGCATTGATTGCCTGAAAAGCCATTGTTCTCTGACTGGGATTTCTAGAATCCATTTCTTACACCTCCTCTGTGTGACCAGCCATGCTGAAATTGCCTAATGAGATCCTGCATCAGATCGGGGCCGATTTGAAAGAGCGCGACCTGAATTCTCTCGTTCAGTCAAGCCATCACCTTTGTTCTGCCCTTTCTCCAGCTCTATATGAAAGGAACATGCGGGAGAACGACGGGTGGGCACTTATGTGGGGAATCATCCATCGAGAAGGCCGAACGATGGAAAAGGCGCTTGATACAGGTGTGACAGATCTCGGTGAAGCACTTGCGTTTGCGGCTGAGGACGGACAAGAGAAAATTGTGGAACGGCTTTTGTCCGTCAAATCTGCCAATTTTTCGCCCCAATTTGACTACAACGGCCGGCTGGTTCTTTGGACCTCTCCATCTCGCCTATATTCCATATCAACTACAACTTCTGGTGGGGGTGTTGAGCATTTCAAGCTCCTGCGTCGTGGGGATCATTTCAAAGCTCACAGTTCATCACCTTTGTCTCGTGCGGCTAGACAAGGCCACATTGGCATTGTCAAGGAACTGATAGAGTCCGGTCATTGTGACCCAAATATTAAAGACTTGGATAACAAAACAGCTCTCTTCTACGCTGCAGGAAGAGGGTTTTTGAATATTGTGGAGCTTTTGATTCAGTCTGGTCGAGTTGATTTGGACTCTGGAGACGGCAGAAGGTCCCCTCTTTCATATACTGCAGAACACTCGGATGCATCGATTGCGAAGATTTTTATTGAGTCTGGCCGAGTCAATTTGGATTCTAGAGACAGTAAAGGAAGGTCCCCTCTCTCATATGCCGCACAACGCTCGGATACGATAATTGCGAAGCTTTTGCTTGAGTCTGACCAGGTTGATTTGGACTCCCAAGACAGAAGAAGACGATCCCCTCTTTCATATGCCGCAGAGCACTCGGATACATCAATTGTAAAGAGTTTGATTGAGTCTGGCCAAGTCAATTTGGATTCCAGAGACAATAAAGGAAGGTCCCCTCTCTCATATGCCGTGCAACGCTCGGATGCGACAATTGCGAAGCTTTTGATTGAGTCTGGTCGAGTTGACTTGGACTCCCGAGACGAAAGAAGAAGATCCCCTCTTTCATATGCCACACAGCGCTCGGATACAACAATTGCGAAGCTTTTGATTGAGTCTGGTCGAGTTGACTTAGACTCTCAGAGACAGTAGAGGAAGATCCCCTCTCTCATATGCCGCACAGCACTCAGATCCAACAATTGTGAAGCTTCTGATCCGATCCAATCGAGTCAACTTAGATTATAAAGATGACAACGGACGTACTCCTCTTTCATATGCCGCAGAGCACTCAGATTCGTCAGTGATAAAGCTGTTAATTAAGTCTGGTCGGGTTGATTTGGACTCCCGAGACGAAAGAAGAAGGTCCCCTCTTTCATATGCCGCGCAGCGCTCAGATACAATAGTTGCAATACTTTTGATTGGGTCTGGCCGAGTTAATTTAGATTCTCGAGACTTTTGCGAAAGGTCCCCTCTTTTATATGCCGCGTATCACTCAGATCTATCAGTTGTGAAGCTTTTGGTTGATTCTGGTCGAGTCGACTTAGATCCTAGGGATGATGACGGACGCACCCCTCTTTCATATGCTGCGCAACGCTCGGATACAACAATTGCGAAGATTTTGATTGAGTCTGGCCGAGTGAAATTAGATCTAAGGGATAATCGAGGACGAACCCCTCTGTCATATACCGCGCAACGCTCAGGTGCAACAGTTGCGAAGCTTTTGATTGAGTCTGGCCGAGTCAATTTGGATTCCAGAGACAATAAAGGAAGGTCCCCTCTCTCATATGCCGCGCAACGCTCGGATGCGACAATTGCGAAGCTTTTGATTGAGTCTGGTCGAGTTGACTTGGACTCCCGAGACGAAAGAAGAAGGTCCCCTCTTTCATATGCCGCGCAGCGCTCAGATGCAATAGTCGCGATACTTTTGATTGGGTCTGGCCGAATTAATTTGGATTCTCGAGACTTTTGTGAAAGGTCCCCTCTCTCATATGCCGCGCAACGCTCAGATCTATCAGCCGTGAAGCTTTTGGTTGATTCTGGTGGTGTCAACCTTAATTCTAGGGATAGTCAAGGGTGTAGTCCTCTCTCATATGCCACAGAACGTTCAGATACATCAATTGCTAAACTTTTGACTGACTCTGGTGGCATTGACTTGGATCCTAGAAACGATCAAGGGCATAGTCTTATTTTATATACTGCGCTACGCTCAGACGTATCAGTTGTCAAGCTTTTAATTAAGTCTGGCCGAGTCGACTTGGACCCTAGGGACGATGACAGACGCACCCCTCTTTCATATGCCACACAGCGCTCGGATGCGACAATTGCAAAGCTTTTGATTGAGTCTGGTCGAGTTGACTTAGACTCCAGAGACAGCAGAGGAAGATCCCCTCTCTCATATGCCGCACAGCACTCAGATCCAACAATTGCAAAGCTTCTGATCCGATCCAATCGAGTCGACTTAGATTATAAAGATAGCAACGGACGTACTCCTCTTTCATATGCTGCAGAGCACTCGGATTCGTCAGTGATAAAGCTGTTGATTAAGTCTGGTCGGGTTGATTTGGACTCCCGAGAGACAGAAGCAAAAGATCCCCTCTCTCATATGCTGTACAGCACTCGGATCCAACAATTGCGAAGCTTTTGATTGAGTCTGGTCGAGTCGACTTGGACTCCCGAGACAAAAAAAGAAGGTCCCCTCTTTCATACACCGCAGAGCACTCGGCTGTATCAATTGTGAAGCTTTTGATTGAGTCTAGTAGAGTGAACTTAGATCTAAGGGATAATGACGGACGCACCCCTCTTTCATATGCTGCGCAGCACTCGGATGTATCAGTTGTGCAGCTGTTTATTGAGTGTGATCGAGTCGACTTGGATTATAAAGACCGCTACGGACGTACTGCTCTTTCATATGCCGCGCAGCATTCAAATACATCAGTTGTGAAGCTGTTGATTGAATCTGGTCGAGTCGACTTGGACTCCAGGGACAATCGAGATCGGACACCAGTCTTCTATGCTGTGGCATCAGGGGATAAGGAATGCGCCCAGCTTCTAATAGAAACTGGAGAAGCTGACATGAACTCTCGGGACTACCAAGGCCGAACACCACTCTAGTTTGGTATTTGTACTTTGTATGTTTTGTTTTTGCCGGTAAGTGGGGCTACTTGCATAGGTAACTAAGCTCACGCCGCATTTATGAGGGCGATCATACTTGAGCTTTGTGTGAGTCTTATTAGGTGCTATTTTGGTTGTTGGGGTGCTTAGTTAGAATTTTGTGGCCATGATTATCGTATTTATTTTCGTGCAAGTTAAACCCTCATGTTGTTGCTAACATGCCAAAAACATCTAAACAGAACTAAGTCGAGTCTACTACGAAAGAACTCTCTTGACAGTCTCTTCAACAGTCTCCAACTTCAATCCTAACAAATCATTGGCGAGTTCCGTATCCTTAATGTAGTTTGCTCGGAGACCAGGAATACTTCCTACCATCATAGCACGAACCAGCGAAAATGCTCCTGTGAAATCACCGACAGAGAGTTGCTTCTGGCCTTCGCTAACTACTTCTTCGGTCTTCACATGAGTCACAGACCATTTAGCTCTCGTCTCTTTCTCTAAAGCTGTCAGAATTTCGTTCTGAGAGGTTTCAACTGAGGCAACATAAAGATACTTGTTGGTAGTCTCCTGAGGACGCTGCAGTACAGAAACAACAGACTGTCCGAGAGCCTTTTCGTTGATAGCAGTGAACCTTTTGTCACCGCTATCCCAGATAACAGCAGTATGCTTTTGAAGATCATACTCGAGGAAGCCAGTTGTAAGGCTCTGTATTAGCCGTTAATATTCTGAAGATTAAGCATCAGTGTTGTCACTTACCCAGTCGAGTAACCCTGATGTAGCAATTCCAGTCCATGACAGTCCTTCAGACTCCTTACTCTTAAGGTAGTCAATGATATTCTTCTTCACCCCAAACAAAGGCAAAAGGCCAATAACTGCATCGTCCTCGCTGCTTGTCGATAGTTCAGATGGAATGAATCGTTTCACACCAGCACGCAGTGCAGCGTCAACAAACTTCTGCTGCTCGGCGAAGCCAGTAGCTCCGACAGTAGAGATCACAGCATCTTGGCCCTTGAATATTTCCTCAAGACTTTCTCCCGATAAGTCAGATTTGATCAATTTAATACTTGGGTGGAAAGTTGCCTCGCTCTCCTTTCGCTGGATGGCAGTGATATTGAATTGTTCGGAAGAGACGAGAGCGTCCAAGACGATTTTGCCAATGTTTCCACCGCCCTGAAAGATTGTTAACAGCTCAGGTTTTTTATCAACTTGAAAGTATAGAATCAACATACACCGATGATGGCAATGTTCTTCAGAATCGAGGCCATTGTTATTTTTTGGATTGGGGATTTAGAAAGAGCGGTTTCTGTAGAATATGTGCTTTTGCTTGTTTTCAGAATAGATGATGACTAGGGAAGATGGGACTATGAACATCTTTATAGCTCCAAGCCTGACTCAAGTACTTCGTATTTTAAGGCTATCATAAAAAAGCCTCATAATCAACTGCTTCATTTTTAGAACCATAACGGACCCCAACGGCTACGAAGACCGCCTTTCTCCGCTATAGCCAATGATGTCCGCGAAATCAACCCCACCGCTGCGAAAAATGCTGACAAACTGCGGACTCCGTCACCCCGCTTGTCCGCTCTGTCCAACCTCATACAAGCTCCCTTTCAAACGGCTTTTGAATCCAAGCTTTACTCATGCTAGAAGTGCATTAATAACTCTTCCAGAAAATGACGCACATGAGCGAACCGTCTAGAGCGTCCTGTCTCGAGTGCCGCCGCCGCAAAATCAAATGCGACAAGTCTTTCCCGTGCTCATACTGTATGAAAATTAGGATCGAATGTCGCTACCCTTTACCCAGGAACCGAGAGAGACATGCTCAAGCTGGTAACAGCCAAAACCTTGATTCGGATCTCATTTCTCGTATTGAGAAAATAGAACGCACATTAGAGTCTTTTGAGCGAAGCTTGTCACAAATAAATCAACTGGTGCTATCAAGCCCGTCCTCGCTCGCCTTTAGCCCGGCCAACAATCATATTGAGGGGCAGAATCAATGTGAGGTAAGGCCATGAGGCTCTCCATTCCTTTCATTTTTCTTTGCTCAAAATTTAATCCAACAATTTACCAGACAAGTAATCGATTAATACAATGGGGCTTGCCAAATACGCCATTTAGCAGACCGCCCGAAACAGTCTCGCACAATACACCAACGTGTCTGGACATATCTCCTACCTCTGAGCCAGCTATACGTGCGACAATCATACTTCCCCTATGGCAAATATTCTTAGAGCGGGTGGATCCGGTTCTGAAAATGATTCATGTTCCAACTGTCCAGCAAAAGATAATGGAGGCTATGAGATCTCGAGTGCCCGCTTGTATAGCATTTCAAACTCTTATTAGCTCTATATGCTATTCTGCAGCTGTGACCATGAACAATGAAGAATGCCGGTGTAAATTCAATAAGGAAAGAGAAGATATCCTCGGCAGGTAAGAGCGTCCTGTCATTTGCGGTAACTGCTTCTATCTAAATCTTAAACTTTATAGGTATCGAGCCACAGTGGAAGACTCTCTCACATCGGCAAACTTTCTTCATTCAACAGACATGACGGTTCTCCAAGCTTTCACGATATACATTGTAAGAATATATTATCTGATTCCTTCTTTTCATCAACGCTCATAGTATCTAGGTGTGCGGGAGGTTTGACAAACAAGGCCCCAATATCAACAGCCTAGTTCCAATTGCCGTCGATATTGCTCAGAAAAATGGCCTTACTAGACTCGATAGCGACTCGATAATTTCGCCATTTGAGAATGAAATGCGCCGTCGAATTTGGTGGCAACTTTTTACGCTTGACATCCGAAATGCCGAAGATCATGACTTGGAGCCATGCATAACAGAGCCTTCCGCTACCCAAAAGCTTCCACGAAGCATCAATGACATAAATATCCATCCTGGGATGAGTGAGATACCCCCGTCAAGCTCAGAAAGAACTGAATTGCTTTTTACTCTCGATCGACACGAAATTAGCACTCTGGCGCGCCGAATACTATTCTCAGAAAAGTTCTGTCAAGAAAACTCCTATCCAATATCATCCGTATCGGAGAAGTGTAACGAGATTGATAGATTCCAAGCCCGAATCGAGCACCAAATATTGTCGCTGTGCAATACGGATATTCCTGTGGATTTTATCACAGTAACTTCCAGTCGTTTAGTCTTGGCAAAACTCAAGCTCAGCGTGATCAAGCCAAAGACAAGACAAAATCAACATATTCTCATTGGGGAAGACTTTCGATATACCTGTGTGGAAATCTTGAAGAGCGCTCGAGCACTTCGTCTTTATGAGGAGGGGAAGCAATATCTTTGGCTATTTCAAACATATCTGGAGTGGGACGCTCTAGCATATCTCATCATCAATCTATCCTTAGTACCATCAAGCCATACGACTAGCTCAGCGTGGGAAGCGGCAGAAGACATATATGAATATTGGAAGAGCCGTAGCGAGGTTCTTTTTGATGGCAGATGGAAACAGATTGAGAGTCTACGCTCGCAAGCTTTGCTAGCAAGACGAGTGTATCAAGACAATCCGGCTTCCATGGGGCTATGGCTAGTTGACTCGGGAGATCAGGCTGATTCCGGATCCGCAAACGCGGTGGAATTCCAGGGAACTTCACCAGAACCGTTTATTGGAGCATACTCGAATACATTGGAGCCAAATTCAGATGTAGATTCTGATATTCCGGTCCCCACAACGGGAACGGCTTATCAGTGGAGTGCGGCTCTTTTCGAGCGCTATTTTCAAGTCCTAGACTCTGAGCATATTACAGAAGTAGTATCATGGCTGTGATTTGTACTCCTTTGATTTATTATTACGCTCATGTATCGGCTCAAGTATCTAAACGGAATATCTTTGACTACAAATTGCATCTACTAGTGGCCGAAGTAGGGGCAGGGCTCACCATTGTAATTTTGAATAAGATCAGTCAGATTGCGGCCGTTAAAAACCCTTTAGAGTTTTTACTAGTATAGCTAGATTTCCATGACCACTGGTATAGGATAATTAGAGAACAATTTTGACTGAGAAGGTCACGCTGGATTGTGTTGTCTTGCTCTAACTCTAGCCCATCATTAGACTACCGCAAGTTGTTAAGTGGCCGCAATACACAACTTGAACTCTAAAAATCCCAGTCAACAAAAGCGGCAATGAATGAGCATGAGTGACATGAGAAAAGGTAATATCCATATGTAAGGTAGCGCCACCTGGTAGTTATAGTTATAGTAAGTCCATTATGTCAGCAGGTCACCATCTGCTAACGTTATCCACGGCCGAGCGGATCACACAGCCGGGCGGATAACCCACCCCCATAATATAATTTTAAAGCAGGATATCGCAACCGAAACGCATTAATTGATACTAATCTAGCTTTTTTTACATTGATTAATCTTGTGGCCTTTTACTCCACATCCACTACAGGTAGGCGGAGCCCTCCTGCGTAGCTGATCCTGCTGAGTAGGCAAATCGCCCTGTTTATGCGATACTACCTTATTAGCTTTAACTGGCTGAATTAGCTCCTGAGCTAGCTGTAGGCCCTCTTCGATCGATAGGCCCCCTTTATGAGCTATTTGCCTAGTTGATCGGGTGCGCTTTTGACGTTTCTTTTCATTCGCAGCGCGTAGATTTGCGTTCTCCTGTGCAAGTAGCGCAGTGTTGTGCAGCGCAATATAGTGATCCTAAATATATTCCGGCCCGTCCCCCCCCCCGGGACGCGCTTAGAAAAGTCTTGGCGAGGGGGGGGGGGACGAGTAAATACGTCCCCCCCCCCCCTAACTAGGTCACCCCTCTATATTTTTCGATCGGGCTTTTTAGAAGTTTGATTAGAATTATCTATACTATCCTCCTGTCAGGTTTAACAGGATGATTTCTAGTCAGAAGGGTAAAACCCTAAGGGGTCTGATTTTGGTAGGTGATTTTTTGATGGGGTATGCCAAGACCAGGACCGACGGGTAGTCTATACCCTTTTTGGCCAGCCTTCTAAGCCTAGGGTTTCTGCCTTAGCTATGAGGTATTCTAGGGCTTTTGGGTTAAGACTAGGGTTGCTGCTTATTGGCTAACTAGTGAAGCTAACTAAATCTGGTTTGTACTACTATATAGGTAAGCTTAGTGAGTAGGGGTCTAGAAGGCTATGATTATATAAGCAGGGCCTATAGAGGTTGAAAACAGTATAAAAGAGGTCTGGAAATTTTTAGACTGCTGACTAATATTAATTTATATAGGGTAATAGAGGGGATTTTAGTGATCAGAATGATATTAGTATAAGCTAGGTAAGCCTAGTGGTTATTGAGATATTGATAAATAAATATTTCTATTACAGATATTACTACGGGTACTGTGGCCAGTTGTTGAATAATACCTTATAGTATATATGTCTATACCTAGGAATATTAAAGTATAAGCTTGAATATTATAATCTTCTTAAAGTATTAGAAATAGTATATAATCCTACTATAGTAAGGTACTAGGGGTAAGGTACTAGAGATAAGGTGCCGGGGGTAAGGTGCTAAGGGAGAGGTACTAGGGCTAAGGTGCTCAGGGTAAGGTACTAGTGCTAAGGTGCCGGGGCTAAGGTGCCGGGGGAGAGGTACCAGAGGTAAGGTACCCAGGGAGAGGTGCTAGGCGAGAGATGCTAGGGCTAAGGTGCCGGGGCTGAGGTGCCAGAGGTAAGCTGTCCGGGGAGAGATACTAGTGCTAAGGTACCCAAGGAAAGATGCCGGGGCTGAGCTGCCAGAGGTCAGCTGCCCGCGGAGAGCTGCCGGGGCTAAGGTGCCAGGGCTCAGCTGCCAGAGGTGACCTGCCAGAGGTGACCTGCCCGGGGTGAGCTGCGGGGGGGTGAGGTGCTAGGGTTAAGGTGCCAGAGCTGAGCTGCCCGGGGTAAGCTGCCCGGGGTGAGGTGCTAGGGCTAAGGTGCCAGAGCTGAGCTGCCCGGGGTGAGCTGCCCGGGGAGAGGTGCCAGGGCTAAGCTGCCACAGGTGAGCTGCCCGGGGAGAGGTGCTGGGGGTGAGGTACTGGGGGTGAGGTGCTAGGGCTAAGGTACTGGGGAAGAGGTGCTGGGGGAGAGGTGCCGGGGCTGAGCTGCCACAGGTGAGCTGCCCGGGGAGAGGTGCCAGGGCTGAGCTACCACAGGTGAGCTGCCCGGGGAGAGGTGCTGGGGGTGAGGTGCTGAGGGTAAGGTGCTAGGGCTGAGCTGCCACAGGTGAGCTGCCCGGGGAGAGGTGCTGGGGGAGAGATGCTAGGGGAGAGGTGCTAGGGCTGAAGAGCCGAGGCTGAGCTGCCACTGTTGAGCTGCCACTGTTGAGCTGCCACAGGTGAGCTGCTACAGGTAAGCTGCCCGGGGAGAGGTGTCAGGGGTGAGGTACTAGGGCTGAGGTGCCAGAGGTAAGGTACTGGCGGAGAGGTACTAGTGCTAAGGTGCTGGGGATGAGGTGCTAGAGATGGGGTGCTAGGGCTAAGGTGCCAGAGCTGAGCTGCCCGGGGAGAGGTACTGGCGGAGAGGTACTAGTGCTAAGGTGCTGGGGGTGAGGTGCTAGAGATGAGGTACTAGGGGTAAGGTACCCGGGCTAAGGTGCCAGAGGTAAGGTACTGGGGCTAAGGTACTGGGGCTACGGTGCCAGGGGTGAGGTGCCGGGGTAAGAAGCCTGAGATAATTTGCTAAGACTATGTAGTGCTGGATAGTGCTAGGGGGTACTATATCAAAATTTAGTTAAAGAAATAATTATTACTTTATTTTAAAAATGATTATAATAGATTAACCAATTATAAGGGATCTTTATCCTATCACTAAGATAGTTAATAGACTAACTAATAGACTAGTAAATTAACTAATACAGATCAGGCTAGCTATCTAATCCTAAGATCGCTAGTACAATTTGATTCACTAGGAAACCACCAAAACCCTAAAACCCTAGTCCCAGCCATGTATACTAAAATATAACAAAGCAAAGTAATAGAAAAATACTGCCCCCTCTATAACCTCTGTATCCCACCGCCATCCTTCTGTCTGAAAGTGATTCGGACGAAACCCTTTAGGCCACCAATCCTTATCAAAATAGGGCGTTTGTAGTAGATCAGCTTCACTCTGCCAAGTAGCCCTTGCACACGATAACCAAAGTACTATCAATAGCTTGCTAGAAAAGCATATATCGCTATTAGTCCCTAAGGGGCCTTTACAGACCCTAGTAGGTAGATAGCATGTGAAACAGCATGTATTAGGCTTCGGGTCTATAGCTTCTCTCAATCTACTAATATTTGTAGTATATTGAGTCTCAGCTAAGACCTTACAGCTAGCTAGTGTGTGGCCTATAGCCTGCTGCCTAGTTTGGCTATCTTCTTCTGAAACTATATAGATATAGTTAGTATAGTGGTAGGGTAGTAGTAGGCTAGTAGGATAGAGCACTTACCTAACCATCTTATAAAACAGATAGGGCACCGCTGTTCTGTCCAAAATTTCACTGTACTAGCAAGGAAGTCGATAGTTCCTAGATTCTGCCGCTGTTGGCTACTAACCCTGGTAACTACTACTGATTGCCTAATTAGGCGGTCAGAGCAGCGGTCATACTGTGCCCAGAGAGGATCACATACCTCTAGGGCTTCTCCATTAAAAACCCTAGAGATTACCCGGCGGCGGCAGATCTGATCAGTAAGATAGTGCTGGAAGAAGACCTTCTCTGCTGATGCCTGAGGCACTAGATCTGCCTGAGGCAGCTGATTCAACTGGTAAGGTTGCACTAGGCAATAAGACCAAGCAGGCGAGCTAGGTGATCTACCAGCCCTACCTGACTCCTGCATAAAATTAGTTATCTTATATACACCAGGCATAAAGTGGATAACTAGGTTTACATCAGGGAAATTATAGCCAGCACCAATACCACTAATGGCTAGTAGGATAGAGGCCTCTTACCGAAATTAGTCTAGCTGACTAAGCTTCTCGTCATCAGATAGTCTAGCATAGAATCTAGCTGCCTGAGGCTGTAAGGCATCAAATAGCCTATCAACTAGCGCCTTAGTTCGGCAGAAGATAATAACCTTTACATCTGCCCTTAGACCAAAGGGGCCATGCTGGAGATTAAACTGTTTAATAAACTGGCTAATATAGCCAGGATATTCTGCCGCTGCTAGTGAGTCTGGAAGGGCCCTAACCCTATAGGTTATATACTTCAGGGTAAGCTTAGCCCTAAGGATTTGGGGTTGTGTACCTAGTTGAAGCATTTGACAGAGCTCTTCCTCTAGGTGCCTAGGTAGGGTTGCTGAAGCAAATACCATAGGAGCCCTTAGGGCTAGGGTATGCCAGGCACGACATATAATTGGCCGATAGCTCTTTGATAGAGGAATCAGATGACATTCATCCCAAATCACCCTAGCTAGCCGCCGCTGATTAATTAGAATATTGGCCATCTCTTGGAAACTCGGATAGACCATATACTCGATTTGTACTAAGATAACCCTAGAATCAGCAGGAAGGGTTACTTGTGAAGGATCCCATACTGTAGGGTTTAGCCCTAGGGTCTTAGCTTTACCTAATAGGTCAAGCTTTAGTGATATCAATGGGACAATAATAATTGTCACCTGATTATCAAAGAGACTAGCCCCAAATAGGAATAATGTGGTTTTCCCGGCAGCAGTAGGCAGGATCAGGATCAGATAGGGCACATACTTCATCATATGATAGAAGGCCTCTTCCTGTTAGGAACTGTGAAAGATAGCCTTATCGTCATTAAGGAACTCCCTAAGTAGCTGGGTCAGTAGCCCCGGCTTGATTAGGCTAGTGCCTACTAAGGGCGAATTAGCCAGTT